GGTCAGCCAGGCGCGCGCGGCGGGGCTCGCGGCGACCGAGGCGCGGGCCGCGACGGACGGGTCCGGCGACGCGGCGATGGCGGCGTAGGCCGGGTGGTGGGTCTTGTAGGTGTCGGCGATGAAGTGCGCGGGCCGGCGGCGGCGGAGGCCCGTCAGCGCGGCGCTCAGGGACGGGGCGGTGCGGGTCTTGCCCGCGCCGGTCTGGCCGACGAGCAGGACGGCCAGGGGCTGCTTGTTGTTATGAGGATGCCGCTGCTGCTCCTCGGCAAAAGGGGCGATTTCCTGCGGGTAGATCTGGGTGAGGAATATCCTTTCTGATTCCTCGGGGGACAGGGCGTAGGCCTGGAGGTCCGGGGGCGGCATTGTTGTTGGGGGGCTGGGAGGGGTTCCGATGAGATGCTGGATGGATGAATATGAATCGAGAGGGCCGCTGCTGCTATGAATGCAACAGGAGAATATGCAAAAGAAAGACGAGCTTGGCACGGTAGAAGTCCCAGAGAAGAGTTGACGTTGTCTTTAACTGAGACGGAGCTACTTAGTGTGTCTTAGTCTGAGAGACTGTTGTGGGGTCAAGAGTTGGAAGACATTCCAGAATAGATGAAAAGCGCAGAGCATTTTGTTCGCAACAGAGAGTTTGCCGACTCGATGTGGCGGCTTATGTTTCGCTCGAGACATCATGAGAGCAAATTTTAGATCCAAAGTGCGGGATGCGTTTGGGGTGTGATTGAAGCAGGCGTTCAGGTCAGATGGTTGGCTGGACTAACCCCGATGGTGTCGTTTGGAGCCTTGCCAATGACTTGCCAACTCAAATAAACACTGTGCTTAACTAACCGTAGTTCAGTATCAAGGGAAGGCGGGATCTGTCTCTTCGATATGTAGCAATATTTTGAGGGGACTGTAATCTTGCTTTCCGCTGTTTGATTTGCTTTGATAGTAAGATGCTAGCTGAGGCACGGCGATGAATTGTGTTACGTCCGGTCAACTTCCTCTCTCATTCGCAGCATATTATGAATGTGAACATGTGTAAAAGGACCCAGGCTGGCTATCCAGTTCTAACATTTATGAAGTACCTAATTGCGAAGCCCCAATCTTCTCAGCTCGCACCACCAAAGCTACCAAAGAGCCTTCAGCAATCCTAAATTCCTCCGATCCACACGCGCGCAGAATGGCAGACATGGCATAAGAGTGTATGGTAAGAGCAATAAACTGATGCGGGTCATTGGAGAATATGTCCTCCAGAACCGTGTGTTTTCTTGCGACGTGCTCGTCTGGTGTCTCTGAACGGTCACGTTTCCAGAGCTCGTCATTCTCTGTGAAGCCAGGTTCTATAATGAAAGTTGGGTAGTTGTTCTCTATCCAAGTGCGACTGCTCCGACTGTCACAAGTGTGATCTGTCAGTCGCTCTCGGAGCAGCTCCTTGATGTTGGGGTGCAATGACTGCCCCAGTTGTTCAAAGAGCCTCGAAAAGACTATCCGCGTGGTTTCTAGGCATCGGGCCAAGGGACTCGAGTAGACAGTCTCGGGCAGCGGCACCTTCAACTCGGACACTGCTTTAGACCAAAAGCCTGCCAGGATATTGGCTTGCTGAACTCCCTGATCCACGAGCTTTGCATCTCGAAAGACAACATTGCCGTCGCCGTCTAGATGTGACCAGTAATCCTGTTCGCCATTAGTCATGTTTCTCTGTCCTGAATATGTAGTCTCTCACCCTCCAAGCCTGTCCGCCCACTTTCTCCATGAAGACATTGTGGACGCCGAGGCCGTGTCTCATGAGGAAGAGGACCTTGTAAGAGACATGATCAGGGGAATCTGCATTCAGACCCCTGATGTGAGCTGCGAAGCGCTCCCAGGGCAATGACGTCTCGGAAACAGCTTGCGATTGCTTCCCATCATTGTAGCTTTTGTCGATCAGCCCAAGATTCGGCCTTGTCGTTAGCTTCTTGCCAGGGCATTGCCTTGCAGCCTCAAAGTAATCAACAAAGTAGTCGGGTTGGATCTCGAACTTATAATGGCATGCCATCGATTCAGGCGCACTCGAGAAAGCTATTTGGGACCAAACAAGAGCCAGGTAAACAGCAAACCAGACCGGCATTGTTTGCTCTTGTATTGAAGTAGGAGAGGAGAATGGGCGAGACCAGGCAGACAGACTTGAGGCGAGCGGGGCTTAGTTGTGGCCGATGACTACCTGCATAGTGCGGCTGACTTGCATCAATAGTTCCGAAGCTTGGCCTGCACAGGGCATGGCACATAACTCGCAGGAGTTATGGCATTTCCTTCCATATGGGAACATCGCATATCGTTATCCCATTTGGAGTGGTCTAGACCGTCTGCCGGCATATATGACCAGAGTCCAGCCCTGCAAGCTTACGACCCTTCCACTGGTGAGGTGATGTTTCCTGTTGTTGTAAGTTCTGGAGTGATCTCACCTGAAACTTGGGAGAGATTTTCACAACAACAAGCCTTTGGGAGACAGTATCGTTCGGCAAGTTGGTTTGACTCTCAGTCAAGCATTGGTCGCAGAAATGTCTTGCCCAATATACGCTTTGTTGCCTCTTCTAGGCGCAAGAGACATTAGGCTGTTGTCTATCATTCCAAGAGAATCGAGTGATGGCCAGGAGCAAATCAGGTGCAAGTTGGAGGTGGCGAGCCTTAATCGTCGTGTCAAGTACCATGCCCTCTCTTACACATGGGGCTCACCATATGGCGCTGATCAACCCCCCGAGAAATACACTGGCCAAGAGGAAGAGGTGGCCATACTCTGCAACGAGCAGCCGTTTTCTATCAGGCCAAACCTACGTGATGCACTCTTGAGAATCAGGGAATCTCCCGACGACTGGAGAGAACGCAGAATATGGGTGGACGCCATCTGCATTGACCAGAAGACGCCCACTGAGAGGTCATCTCAGGTCCGCTTGATGGCAGAGGTGTACAGCTACGGCGAGACAGTCATGAGCTGGCTTGGAGAAGCGAACCAATGTACGACACATGCTTTCCAACTTATTGAGAAGCTTGCTACCTATCCCCGCGAGACTCTGCAGCAGATCACACCAAGAAGCTACCAGACACAGCGCACACTTCTTGGCGAGCTTGCTGAGCACCATTGCTGGCTTGCCCTTGCGAAGCTACTTCAGAGAACATATTTCACAAGGATGTGGATCATTCAAGAAGTTGTCCTCGCAAGACAGATTGAAGTCTTTTGCGGCAGTCATCGAACACAGTGGATCTGGATCGAGAGTGTCTCACACTTCTTGTCCACTACCGCATGGACGGATTACTTCAATCACATCCATACTTCTGATACCGCTTCTACTTCTTCTGCATCTCATCCTATCGAGGCAATGATGAAGCCTAGCCATGCTCTTCCTACCAAGCTTAGAGCTATCAGGAGGGATGTCAAGGAAGGGAACTTCGGCCGCACACTTCTTCATGCTCTGATCCGATCGCGGGTCTTCCAAGCGAGCGATCCAAGAGACAAGGTCTATGGTGTCCTCGGACTCCTTGGCGACGCCGCGAAGAACAAGCCTTGGCTCCAGCCAGTCTACGGGACTAGAGATGTCTCGGAGACTTACATACTGGCAACAAAGCAGCTTCTTGCGGACGCCGACGACCTTCTCGTCCTCTCCTGTGTGGACGGCGAGAGGAAGGCGTTGGCAGGCCGGGAGTCTTTACCGTCATGGGTGCCGGACTGGACTTGCGACAAGTCTCTTGGACTTGGCGTCACTGGCTATAGCAGGTACTCGGCTGCCGGCGAGTTGCCTAAGTATGCTCGAGTGCTCGAGCCCTCTTTGACCCTGGAGCTTGTGGGCCATCGGATTGACGCCATTACAGTGAAAGGAGAATCCAAGGTATCCATGCTAGAAAATGGCGTGGATTTCTCTGGCTGGCTCTCAATTACATCATCCATCTCACAGACATACTGTACCGGAGAGGATCGAATGGAGGTCTTGTGGCGGACCCTGGTCACGAACACTGGTGGCGACCCTCCTGTACATCCCATCGATGGAAGATACAGAGAGGGATTTGTCTCCTGGATGATCAGCCAACTTTGTCAAAAGCACAGCCACCCACAGAGCCCCGAATTTCAATCACAATTCCAGAGCCTTGTACGCCTTTCCGTTTCAAGTCAGACAGTCGCCTTCTTGAATCAGAGGTTGGCTTCAGTGAGTGGCCCAGGAGAACCAAACGACGTTATGAACGACCTTATTGCCGACGAGTACGCCAGCACTTATTCTCACGCCCTTCACCTGTCACTTTTCCGAACCTCTGAGGGTTATCTTGGGCTAGGCCCTGAGTCGATAGAAAAGGAGGACTCCATATGGGTTGTCTCTGGTTCCCGAGTGCCCCTGATCTTTCGCCGCGCGACTGATGACAGTCATCGGCTCGTAGGCGCTGCCTACCTGCACGGATTCATGAGTCGAAAGACGATTGATTTTGCAGACACTCGATTTCAAACCATTCATGTCATATAGGCACAGCATCAGCTTGACCGGATCTCACGACCAAGAGTTGTCGAGAGGAAGAAAAGGTGTCTATTCTACTCGCTTTGTTTTCCTGCTACTTTACCTATGCCTACGATTCGCGAAACCAAATACCCATAGAAATATCTTCATACTGTTATGTACCCTCCCTCCTTGTTTTCCTCCGGTGACGCAGCCTTCAGAGCCCGATTCTTCTCTCTCAATTTTGCACGGCGCCTCTTCAACGCAGCCAGGCGCTGTTCTCGCCTGCGTTCCTTAAGGTGCTCATGCCACTCGTTTTGCTCGTACGACGCGGCACAATGGTCCTCGCCCTCAGAATATACATGCCAAACAGGCATGGTCCACTTCTTCACATCCGCCCGAGCCAACCTCTCGCCACCAAGGACTCCGGGAGCCGTGACCGCCGAGGGGTCCAGGCCGAGCAGCACCTTGGCCATCTGCTCGACGTCCTCGCACGTCAGCCCGCTCGCGTCGTCCATGGCGTACTTGTCCCGGCGGATAAACACCACCGGCACCGGGTCCTCCTCGTCCACGAAGCCAGGCACAAACGGGCAGCCGATCCACCAGTCCACGGCCACGGAGCTCACGTCGACCGTCTGCCGCAGGCAGAACGCCACGTCCTCCCCGGCCCTCGCGCACCGCAGGCACTTCTCGTCGCCCTCGTGGCCGGGGACCCCCAGCGAGCACGGCATCTTCATCACCGCGCACCGCAGGCAGGGCACGGTCCTCTCGAGCCCGAGTCGCCGCTCCTCCACCTGCTTCCGGCGCGCCTTGGCCGCGGCCGCCGCGCGCCGGTTCTCGCGCGCCTCCTGCGCGCGCTTGAAGGCCTGCTCGGCCTTGGTCACGGGCACCCAGTCGCCCAGGGGGTCCTCGAGCCAGCGGTGCTGGCCCTTGCGCACGGCGCGGGTGCGCCCCGCGCGCAGGAGCTCCACGGCCGTGGCCTCGCGGTTCGGGCGGAAGGTGATCGTGTGCCGCAGGATGTATGCCTCGAAGGGCGTGAGACCCCGGGCCGGTTTCGTGGCCGGGGCCGGGCCGGAGGCTGGGACGTCGAGTGCGGTAGTAGCTGTGGGTGGAGGGTCGCTGGCGGCAGCTGCAGTGGTGAGAGTTTTGTCTCCTGCGGACGCTGGCGATGATGGTGAGGCATCCTCGGTGTCGCTGGATTCATTGCCGTGCTGCATCTCGTCTTGAGAAGTCACTATGGCATGTAAGTCGCGTAGACATGTGGAACCTACTGTCAAGCCATCTTCAGGTTCGGCGGAATCTGCCTCCTGGGATGGGAGCCCAGTGTCGGCCTCTGTGCCTGCGATGTCAGTTGGAGGGTACGGTTTCATCATGCGAGGACACCAGCTGAAGCTCCTGTTACACAGTCAAACGCCCCAGGATGGTAACTTAGACCTCCTTTCCTTTCAAAGTAGCTGAACACTGGCTAAAGGGTGGAGGTGGTATCTCTTTATAAAGCAACCGCGCAATCCATTGTGGCTGAACAGAACAGTCGAGGACAAAGAAAGACCTCATGGAGAATTGCCGGACCAGAGACAACAAGGGGCAGGGTAAATGGCATTGTCTCTGCCCAGCTCTGGCCTTTGTCTCCTCACGTGCTCCTTTGTTGATTTGATGATACATCACAACTTAATCTTGGAGGACTTGGAGAGTGAAATTGCACCGAGATCGTTGCAGGTCGTCAATTGACAAGTGAAACTATTTCAAGACATCCGGAACAACACTTTTCATGAGATAGGGGAAAGGATTGCGCCATCGCGAACAAGCCATGCCTCCAATACTTGGTTTAAACAGCCGCTCTCGCCCTAACCCCAGTCCTTCGTGACATGAAAACTCTATATTCCACGCTTCGTATTAGGTCCTACGACCTTGCCTCCTCCAGCTCTAGCTCGAGTTGCCGGATGCGCTCATTCTGGTCCTGACTGCCGGAGCTGGCACGCTTCTTCAGAATGTCAACATCAGCAACGAGCTGCCCAATCTTCTCGTTCTGTGCCTGGATGATCTTGGTCTGGGCCTCAAGAAGTTGTTTGATTTGGTCCAAGGAAGCCTCGACAGACGACGAAGATCCAGAGGAGGGGGCGGCAGCAGGGGAAATAGGAGTTCTGGCAGAGACAGGAGACTGTACAGGCTGAGTCTTGATGGGTGACGACTGCTTGACCTGCACAGGCGGAGTGGCCTTGATGGGCGACGGAGGCTTCTGCTCCCGAACAGGCATGCTACCACGGGGCTGTGGTCGCGAGACTTCCTCGAAGCTGGAAGTCTCATCAGCCTCATCGTCGTCCTCCTCATCATCATCCTGGTACTTGTTTGCCATTGCCGACATGGACTGCTTCTGATCCTTCATATTGGGCGGTGCACGGGCCGCCACCGGCTCCGGCTCCGGCTCTTTCTTCGGGGCGGGCTTGGCGACCGGGGCTGGTGCGGGAGCCGCAGCCGCAGCAGGTGGTTTGTAGTCAGCGGGCACTTCAACGGGCGCATTGCCATCGTAGACACTCTCAAGGTCAATTTTGGGCGGAAGAGCTGTCTTCCCCGAGAACCACTCCTTGGCTGACATAGCTGGCTTCAGACCAATGGCTGGCGGGAAGATGTCCGACTGGAAAGTTTCGGCTCGCCGAGGCACAGTGAATGAAATCGGCTCAATGTAAGAATCATTCACCGTTTTGTATGCTCGCATGACCTCATTCTCGTGGACCTGGAAAACTTTAGGTGCTGATCATTCTTGGCCAGAGAATTTGAACCTAATCAGTTCACAGGATGGGAGAGCTTACATTGACTCCTCGCTTGGGTACAAAAGCAATACCGCGCTGGGGGTCTGCAGACTTGTACTCCGACAAAAACTCGAACTTGTCGTTCTCGTACTCGAAGTAACGGATGTTGCCGTCACTGAAGCTCGTGTTAGCCGAGTGATGTGTGCGAGAAGAAAGTGTGTCGACTTACCCCTTGCCGGCAAGGTAGAGACAGTTCGATCCGTTATCTACAGATCACAAGACTCGTTAGAGATTGTCTGAAACCAGTGATAGTCTTGACATTGCGTACCCCAGAACGGCATGAGAACACCAGAGATCGAGTCGAGAGTGTTGAAGCCTCCAATAGGGTCATTTCTGCCGGGCTCCCATAGAGCAATCTGTCTTTCACTCATACGGGAGAAGCCAGTGGTAGCAAATCGATTATGCTCGCCCAACCAGGCCACACGGCTGTTCTTGGCGCCGGTATGACCCGGGGCTTCATGAACAGGCTTCTCCTGCCGGACATCCCATACCCGCAGCTTCTTGTCTCGAGAGGTGGTGGCGAGAAGCGCGCCGTTGGCACTCCACGACAGACTTTGCACAATGTCTGGGTGCTTAAGCGTGATTTGCGACTGCCCACTCGAGATATCCCAGAGCTTGATGGTGAGATCCCCCGAGGCAGAGGCCAGGATGTTCTCGGCTGCGGGATTGAACAAGACCTGGCCAACTTTCCTGAATGACAAGAAACTCTATCAACTGTTTGTACTATACGGAGCTGAGGCGTAGGTCCTACCTGGAATGGGCGGAGAGCTTGCTCACTGGCGCAACGTCTCGGATGTCCTCGGGATCTTGGTGGAGCGTGAAGCCCTCAGGGACTTGCCATATAAACACTTTGCCATCGTCGGAGGCCGAGGCTATGACTCGGTCGTTGAATGGATGCCTATCGCCAGTCAGATATTGACATTACCGAAACCAGACCATGGGAGCCTTCAGGGGCAGCGTCGTACCAGTCGGTGTCGAGAACGGCGGCGGTATGACCTCGGAATAGGGGGATCTGATCCGGCACCTTGCCTCGCTCGTCGACCGGGATGACCGCAAAAGCACCACCGCCTCCAGCTTCCCAATTGACAGAGATGTAATCGGGGTTGGCCTGATAATCATCATGTCAGCATACGCACGTGCGGCAACCCAACAAGAGTTGCATGGAAGCTGTCGCTGCGCACCTTCACCAGGTTGGTGTCCCACGCATTCCGACTGATGTGCAGGTTGTCATAGCAGAATTCCTTGCGGGTGGATTTGCCAAACACATGTCCTGGCGAGTAACTCTGTCAGTGAACCGCACTGGTGCGTGCTTGGCGAATGTCGCATCTTTGTTGAGGGAGCTCTCACGATATTTCGACGCTCGTACGAATCGCCCCGCCATGGCTGCGGATTGGAATGGGGTCGAGAAGAATGATCCGAAGCGAATGGATGATAATACAGTACAAGGCTAGCTGGTCACGAGCCGACAGGGAGGTCGTATCGGGACGAGCGACTCTGGGGAGAGTTCTGGTGATAGAAACAAAGATGTCGCAATGAATGCGGCGGAGCCAAAGTTTCGAAGGCCTGGGCAGGGGGGTCAGAACGCACTGGCCTCACTATGCCCAACCAAGCAATGGGATGAAACCAACCCCCAAAAGCTGCGCCTCGCACCTCTGCAGCACCTTCCATGGCCCATTCCGGCTCAAGTTTAGTTGCCATGCAGCGCTATCTGGGACCTGAGAGCGCTAGAGATCAGGTGGGATGACTAGTAAGGCCTCGAGGTACCTCGAGCGATTGAACGGCACAAGTTTGTGTGTCATTACGTAAAAGAGTACATCCCCAGCTGCGTGACAGCTCTCCACATGACGTAGGGACCAGTGGCGGCAGCTGCCATGCCGCGATACGGATCCTTATCACAGGACCCTCCCTCGCTTTGACACTTTCCCCGACCTTCAACAAGACTTGCAGGCTTCACTGCAGCAGTTCCGTCAAAATCATGGTATGTGTGGTCCCGACCCAGACAGATATTTCGATCTTGCAGGCAGAGGCCATGTTCTAACGTAAATCACAAATATGCAGACTTCAGCAAGGACACCGTTACTGGCGTCGTCCCGTCGATCGGAGGAGTCACAGCGCTCCGACGACCGCGCCGACGAGGAAGACGAGGCCCTCCTCAACGAAAGCAGCCAGCGCCGCCTCTCTGGCGCACCTACGATAAACCGCCTGCGCGAAATACTTCTCTTCCTGTGGGCCCTTCTGGCGACAGCTGCTCTCATCATCCTGGCAGTATGGATGCAGCACTCCCAGCAGACTCACCCGCCCCCTAGTAAGCCGGGTCACTCTAGCCACAAGCGCAATCTCATCTTCATGGTGTCCGACGGCATGGGTCCGGCTTCTCTATCTCTGACGCGTTCCTACCGGCAATACGTCCTGGACCTGCCCATCAACGACACACTGACTCTAGACCGGCACTTCTGGGGCACGAGCCGGACTCGATCGAGCAATAGCCTGGTAACAGACTCGGCTGCTGGCGCCACGGCATTCTCATGCGGAAGAAAGAGTTACAATGGCGCTATTGCCATGTTGCCAGATTATACACCTTGCGGAACGGTGCTCGAGGCTGCCAAGAGAGCCGGGTACATCACTGGAATGGTAGTCACGACAGACATCACCGACGCAACCCCCGCTTGTTTTGCGAGCCACGTCAACTTCCGGGTTCAGAATGACGAAATCGCTATGCACGAGGTTGGAGAGGGGCCGCTAGGTCGAGTTGTCGATCTCATGTTCGGTGGCGGCCGATGCCATTTCCTTCCCAACTCAACTGAGGGAAGTTGCAGGCTGGACGACGTAGATGTGACCAAGATTGCGCAGAAGAAGCATGGATGGTCCTATTTTGATACCAGGGCCGGCTTCGACTCTCTCTGGGGCGGCAACAATGTCACCCTACCATCCCTCGGCCTGTTCGCTTCGACCGATGTTCCTTTCGAGATTGACAGGAAGAACATGTCAGATGTCTACCCTAGTCTTGGCGAGATGGCCAATACTGCACTGCGAGCTTTGGAGAAAGCCACCAAGGACAGCGATAAGGGCTTCTTCCTGATGATTGAAGGAAGCAGAATTGACCATGCAGGCCATATCAACGATCCCGCCGCCCAGGTCCGGGAAGTCTTGGAGTACGACAGGACTATGAGGGCTGTACTGGACTTCATCGAAGCGAGCGACACCGAGACCGTTATGGTTGCAACTAGTGACCACGAGACGGGCGGTCTTTCTACTGCACTACGTAAGCTCTAAATTCGCCATCATTTGCTGTTGCGTTGCTAACCCTCCCCAATAGAGGAGCCTGGGCACCTACCAGTTTACAATTGGTACCCTAAGGCATTGGCACAAGCCCAAGCTTCTGCCGAGCGACTCACTCAGCTGCTTCTGGAGCATGTGGACGAGATGCGATCTGCAGGCAAGCCGGAGTCCAAGTCATCCTTGAAGAATTGGATTAATACGAAGCTGGTCATACCCAAGCTTGGCATCACCGATGCCCGTGAACACGAGCTCCAGCAGCTAGCTTCATCTCCAGAGACGGCGCTCGTTACCTTTTCGGATATGATTAGCTTGCGTGCCCACGTCGGTTGGAGCACCCATGGCCACTCCGCCGTAGATGTGAATATCTATAGTTCGGGGGGCCCTGGAACCGAGGCCATTCGCGGCAACGTCGAGAACACAGACGTTGGCAAGTTTTTGAGGGAATATCTCAACGTAGACGTTGATGATATTACTAAAGAGCTGAACGAGAAGATGGATATTCAGAAGTTGAAGTCCCTTGCGGCAGTGGAAGGGCCTGATGGACACATGGATGTGGAGCTCAAGACTTTCGCTGCTTCTGCAGGAACATCATAAGCGTAGCAGCATGAGCATGGTCATTTCGCTTTTGTTTTTGGAATAGGTTGTGTTTGGATTTCAAGATTGTACTGCTCTCATACCACAGCTCATACAGATACCTGACATCCCTAGCATGGGGAGGAAATACGTGGACATCCTTTCTTTTTATTCCGTATGAAGATCCAGTCTTTTCCAATACACCTCTTTGATTCTCAATCACCAATGAGTCGGGAAGTTGCGCCATGTTTCTGGCTCAGAAATTGTGTTACTTGAACATAAACCATGTATACCTTTATCGTTTTATGAGAGGTTTATAAGGGTCATCGTAGGACGGATCGGATCCTGCCTCTTCCTTCGCTTTTTACCCAGCGAGGTCCGTTTCATGCGTGACTCAACTTCTCCGCCCCGTAGCCTAGAGTCTCGAGATTCACATGGACGCCCAAGGGACAGATTCGCATACCATTCACCGTCTCTCGTGGCCGCACGCCAAACACGTAACACGGGTTCTACGCACCAGCCTCGTGTGGTGTCAACCATGATGTCCTTATGTACATATATGGTGATGGGATACTAAATAAGGGCACGAGAGCACCGCCGAGTTTGGATTCATCATTGTGGACACTGGGTTGACTGGGGGCACAGCGGTGATGAGGGGTTTTGAGATAGGCGTGGTATGGTATCGGAACAAGGAGCGACACCGTCAATGCCAAGGAAACCGTGGCATTGGTCTTGCCACAGGAGTGAGACTCAACATCTAGTCGTCTGCAAAATCAGTGTCGTCGTCTTCTTGCGGATTTCTCTCGTACACAAGGTCGATCCGGCCGCCGAACTTGGCAGCAATCTCTTTCTGAAGAGACGTCTCCTCAGTCGGCGTGATAACGACATGGGGTGCCTGGTTCATGATTGACAATGCCAAGCCGTCATGCGAACCGTCGGGGTGCTGCTCGAGATCGGCGAGGAAATTCCGTATGCCGTCGGCAGTGAATAGGGAGCTAGCGAGGATGTTGAGTGTCTTGAGCTTCTTGAAGCGTGCGAGGATCTTCCAGCAAAGATCAAAGAAATTGCTGCCATCGAAACCGAGTTCCTCAAGGTGTACGAGGCTCTGACTGAACCGGGTCACGTCCTCCACGTTGATCAGGGTGGTAATGAGATCCAACTCTCGCAACTTCTGGCACTTGCAAAGTGAGGAAATCAAGTCCATGTGCTGCGGGGTGCCGGGCTCGAGCTCCTCATCAATCGTCCGCATAGCGAAGTCTTCCATTTCCGTCTGGAACCCCAACGCTGAGTAGAAGGTCGGCTCAGCATCGATTAACCTGACATCCAACGCTCTCAGACGAACAGCAGGCGCCCTCAAAACTGTGGCTAGAACGGTGCTAGCGTTCGGTACCTTCGCGACTTGCAGGGTGGTCAAGCTTTTGCAAGACTTGAGCCACGTTATAGCTGCCTGGAACGAATCGGCATGAGTCGCTTCCCAGTTGAAACCCGTTGGGTTGGCTGCTTCGAGGGTGAGAGCCTCCAGCTTCTCACACTGGGCCAATGCACCGAAATGCTCGAAAGCCACGGTCTGCAAGGATGACAAGCCCAATTTCCTCAACGACTCGCCATGGCATCCGAGTGCCTCGAAAGCCTGTTGACCCAGTCGATTCAGACTGATAACGTTGAATGCCTCCAATGTGTTGGGCGGCAACGCCCGGAAAAAGCTGGCCAAGTCTTCGTCCACGGTCGCTCCGTCGCAGTAGTAACACTCGAGCTCTTTGAAACTAGGACAGTTGTTGCGGATAGCTTCGGCAACGTTGGGCCCGAGCACGGATCCATCTTGTATGGTCAGAGACACCAAAGTAGGGAGTCTCGAGATCCACGTAGGCAACAGATCCATGGGGATATAGTGGCCTTCTAGATGAGCCACCGAGACGGCCTTGTTCTCTCGGTCGGCAGCATCTTTGACAAAGGCAGTAATCGTGTCGCCGACCTTGTTGCTGATAGCTTGCAGGTCCAGACGAGGCTTGTTCTTCCTTGTCGGCGGCCCAGAAGTCTGAGAGATATTGAAGGGCTCCATGTGCCCAGAGAAAAAGTCATCCCGCAGAGCTTGATACGGAGCAATATCATTGAGAAGATCTCTCAAATTCCCGAGCTTCAGGTTCTTCACCCATAAGCAATATGGGAGAGCAGTCTGTCCAATGCTGGAGAGGATGATACTCCGCCAAAGCTGAGCCCATTTCCTCTTTCCGACAATGGAAGCATCATCAGTGCTGGCAGAAGCTAGTTCGTGAATGCTTGCAATGTAGCAGCTGTTGTCAGTATCGGGAGATATAAAGTTGTTGCAGAGATTCGAATTACCTGTATAATTGTGGTAGAGCGAAGCCTGCTAGGGTCTTGCTGACAGTAGAAGTAGCCAAAAGGGTGTTGAAATCTCGCCTGGCAGTGAGTTCCAAGATTACCATCCACCAGATATCAGTGGGAAGCTCTGGTCGAGGGGCCATTGTGGGTGTCTTGTCTCCCGACGAACACACGAGGCTCGTGCTGTCTACCTAGGTACCTGGGGCAAGTAGTCTCGGAGCTATGACGATGTAGACTTGTGAAAGTGAAGCAAGGTGCACGGGATCTGGCAAAGGTGACCGGTGTATTCTGAGGCGAAATTTAAATGCTTTCAAATAGCCAGCGATGACACGCCTTTGCCCAGTCTTCTAACGACAAGATGCAAAATATGCGTTGTTTTGTTGTTTTGATGTTCTCATGACGAGGTTGAAGGTGTTGGTACTCAATCACTCATCGATGTGGGGAAGCTGTCGAGGCGCGTCTCCCAGCTCTCGACGCGAATTTTGAGTTCAGTGTTGCAAGGTTAGTGGATGGTTGCTGCGGAGCATAACTAGCAGTACCGATCTGCTGCTTGGAGTGGCGCTATCAATGGCTGAGCCTTTCAGCTTACTGCACCTGTACAGGGCACCCTATCAGACACTGTTCTCCCGGGCCGGCGCTGCGTAAACTAATTGGATTGGAAATTATCCACTGGCCAGTTGAGCTACTTCCTCCCCTAACCCCTGGGTCAATTACTCCAGCTTCTCGAATTCCGTCTGTCCTTTATAAGCATATCAAAGGCAAGCTTATCAGTGCCCTCATCTCCTACATATCCTATCACAGACACAAGCCAGAAAGCAGGGCGTTCCGTCGCCGCCATGGCCGTTGTGAACTTCACTCTGAGCGAGGAAGGGGTAGTGGCACTGCAGAATGTCCTTGCCTGCATGCTCAAATTCAGCGACGACGTCTGCCTTGAGGCGAAGAAGGACAAGGTAGGCACGCGTCTGATGGACTCGGCTTGTATGAGACCAGTTGCTCACCACTCAATCATAGTTGATGTTCACGGCTCTCAACTCATCTAAATCTGCCTACGTCTCCTTCACCTTCGCAGCCAGCCGTTTCTTTTCCAAGTACAATTTTGAAGGCAACGCTCAATACCGCGAGAGGTTCTTCTGTAGTATATACATCCGGGTGAGTAGAGCATTTGACGGCAAACATATGTTCCCGAGTTATTCACCTAGAGTGTAGTGAATACTGATATCGCACATTCATGTAGGCACTGCTCTCGGTCTTCCGGAGCCGGATAGGTGGTGACCCGTCTCGGGAGCGCGAGAAAGAGACCACCATTGAGAGATGCGAGGTCACAATCGATGACGGACCGGGTCGAAAGAGCCGACTGGTCGCCAAAATTATTTGCAGAAATGGTATGTATTCATGTGTACGGTGGTTCTGGATTTTCTAACCGAGTCCTAGGCATCACTGCCACTCACGGGCTACCTTTTGAGGTGAAAGCGCCCACCAGGGCCAAGTTCGACCCTAACGAGGCTGTGAACCATTGGGCAATCTCGTCGCGAACCCTTCGACAGCTCATGGAGCACTTCGGACCCAAGATCGAGCTGCTAGACATCAACACCGATGGCGAGGGCGTTGTCAACTTTGCCTGCTTTACCGAGAAGCAGTATGTCAAGACTGAAGGCGAGTCAATTGATCGTACGTAGCTTGTGTTCATTGGTGGTCTAATAAGCCTTGACAGACTTCCTAAATAAGCCCCTGCACACGTCCATTGCGGTGGAGATGGACGAATTCGATGATATCGAGGTCGAGGACAAACTCCATATCATCATTAGTGTCAAGGACTTCAGGGCAATCCTGCACCACGCGGGTCTAACTAGTGGTGAACTATCTGCATCCTACTCAGTTCCTGGCCGGCCTTTCAAGCTCTCTTACTCAGGCGACGGCATACTCTGTGAGTTCATTCTCATGACAGTAGGCGAGCGAGGCAATCCGGGCCAACGGACAAAACGAAGCCGAACAAAATCAGCAAGGTCAATGCTCGAAGCTGCGTCCACACGTAGTGCCTCTGTTGTCAACGAGGCTACCCCCGCGCCTCCAGCAGCGGTCGTCCCGACCCAGCCTCCAGCAGATGTCGCTGCGAGACCTATTCCACCTCGGAACTCCCAATTCGACATGCGTCCTCCACCACTGCCGCCTGTGTCCACGCTCAGATCCGAGTCCATGTTCATGCCCCAAGATGACGACCAGCAGTGGGAACCTGTGAACCCAGACGACGAAGAGGAAGAAGAAGTCGCCCGGCTTGAATGGGACACAAGCAATGAACCGGTATGTCCCCCTTTAATACACTCGGGTTGTTCCATGCTGACAGTTGCCTGTAGGATCCATCTGCTATGCGACTGAGCAGCCACTTCAACACACAAAATGCTCAACAGACCGAGCCACCGCCGTCTTTGCCCGCAGGGTTGGAGCCGACTCAGCGACTCTCAGAGGTGAGCTGTATGATATCGTCGGTGCTGCGCAAACTACTGACCCGTCCAAAGGTCCGAAAGTACGGCCTATTCTCAGGATGAACTGCTGTTCCAGCTATTCCGTATCAGGAGTGAGCCTGGCTGATGCCTTCAATTACAACCCAGCTGGTAGCGCATCCAGCGCCGATTGTTGCAATTTTGGCGCCCGCAGGCAGGAACTTTGACGAGGCAATCACATTCGCTGTCTTAGTTGCAATCTCTGAGTTGGGCAGCGGCCCGCAATTGCCATGCTCTCCCCAACCCCATGCCAACACATCCTGGCTTGAACTGAGAGCTACGACATGCTCGCTTCCGACAGCCATGGCTTCCACAGGTGCCAGATCAGTCGGCGCGAGCTGGCCATGGTCATTTCGGCCCCAACTCAAAATGTTGCCGTCAGCTTGGAGCACAAAGATATTGCCCCAACTTGCGCCAACATCTTTCCAACCGGGTACCGACGAGGGTGCTTTGGCTTTGATGTCCCATTTGTCAGATCCTAGCACGAGCAGCTCCCCTGATGTGGGATCTCCGACAAGGCATGTGAAGTCCTTGCCACACACAGCCCGTTGTACCTTGAAAGGAACACCCGCGAACTTGCGTGGAGAGTTGATAATTCCTGCTGGTTCTCCGAGCTGACCTTTCCGGCCGTTGCCCCAGCCAAATACTTCTCCATTGTCCAGGACTGCAACAATGTGGCTCATACAGCCGGAGAGATCGACAACTTGTGTGTCTTGAGGCGGGAAATTCTCAATACGGGTAGCTTTAGGTAGCCGTACAATGAGTTGACCTTGACCGAGCTCTCCCTTGTCACCGATGCCGCAGCTGTAGACTTCGGTATTCATCCCCTGGCTATCTAGCCTCGTGAACACGGACGCCTGCCATGTCGCCGCCACTCTGGTTACAGGCCGGTCACCATCAAGTTGAAATTTCGAAAAGACTGGGTCGGCCGGGACAGAGTCTGGTGATATGGAGCCACAGGCTCCAGTCGTTGCGTCTCCGGTCCAGTATAGTTGCCCGGAGCCCGAAAGCAGCAATGTGTGATTCCCGCCTGCTGCAACAGCTTTGACCGAGCTTGGTAGACTCTCGCTGTAGAAAATGGCAGGCTTCGGCACGGATACGTCCTCTTTATGCCCTATGCCCAACTGGCCGGATCCATTTGAGCCTATCGCGAATACTGTGGCCATGTTGTGTTCCACTCAGCACTCGCAAGTCGTAGCCTTGAAACGCTGAAAGTGAACTTGAATTCTTGATGCCAACTTGAAGGGCAGGACTGGGAGGCAAGCTCATGTGGGTCGACAATCTTCCCCACTACATAACGAAGCACTAGCGGGCAAGGCAAAATCAAATCAACCTCATTGAAAGGCCCCTGCTTCGGCACTATATTCATCCATTCCCACGCTACGACCGCTCAAAAAAAAAAGTCGACCATTTATTTTCGAGTTACCTCGGACCTCCTCCATGTTCCTTCTTCACCACCACTCCAGCCGATCAAGAAGAACAGCTCAACGGTGCTAGCTGGACGGAGCTCGACAGCTTGTCCAACGCCAATTGACTTTCAAGGATGTGACTGGCTTATCACTAGCGATTTCCTCATTTCTTGATCGGCAACAATGGCGACCTCGTCGTCCGTTCCCGCGGGGATGGAAAACTTTGTGGTTGGCCTCATTGGTATGGGCGACATGGGCAAGATGTATGCCCGGAGGCTCAGCGCCGCTGGCTGGAGGTAATTGCTTTCCTTTCTTTGCTCTTGTGACTCTCGACCGAGTTCACTTGCATGTACCAATGGTGAGTTGTTTCTTCAACCCTTCGTGCCAGCCCCCCCTCTCCCTCTACCCAATCCCATCCCTTTGCAATGATGACTTGAGTGCATTTGGCTAGAGCATCGTTCGCGGCCGGTCTGGTCAGCCATTCTGGCCCCAGACCATCGTCGTGATCTTTCCATGATGAATATTCTCAGCTACCTTTAAACCTTTGTCTGAAGCAAAACCTTACACCGCCCTTGCATCCAAAATGACTGGCCACCTACTTCTGGGAAGCATGTGCTAACATGGGGCAGATCTTGTTCGAAAAGTTGAGCGGAGGATGCGAAACTACGATCCTAGTTACTTGCTAATCAGTAGCATGCCGACAGGATCCTGGCTTGCGACATGGAAGAGAAATACGAGAGCCTGAAAGAGGAGTTTTCTGGACAAGTACGGACCTCCTGTGCACGCGTTGGCTTTCTTCTCCACGTAGGGACAACATAGCTGAGACTCTTTTGTTGTGTCTAGAATAATATACAAATCATGCGCAATGGTCATCTTGTATCCCGAGCGAGCGACTGGATCATGTACAGTGTTGAAGCCGCTGCCATTGCCAAGGTGGTAGCCGAGTACGGCCCTTGTATGAAGCTCCCCACCATTCCACCGCTGCACCTGCGATTGGAACAACCTTCTGACCTGAATCTTGTGGCATAGCAACCAAGCAGAATGCCATCGTTGGAGGTCAGACCTCGTGCAAGGACCCCGAGATCAAGGCATTCGAGCAGTACCTCCCCAGCGATGTGGACATTGTCTCGTGCCATTCTCTCCATGGCCCGAATGTCGATACCCGCGGACAGCCTCTCGTATGTCTTGCCGCCCTTGGGCCCCCAACCTGCCCATCAGTTCTGACCACATCTGCTCCAGGTCCTCATCAAGCACCGTGCCTCGGACGCCTCGTTCCAGAAGGTCGAGACCGTCCTGAGCTGCCTCGGCAGCAAGCACGTCTACCTCAGCGCCGCGCACCACGACCGCATCACGGCCGACACGCAAGCCGTCACCCACGCCGCCTTCCTGTCCATGGGCAAGGCCTGGCACGCGTCGGAGGAGTTCCCCTGGGAGGGCGCCCGCTACGTCGGCGGCATCGAGAACGTCAAGATCAACCTGATGCTGCGCATCTACTCGCAAAAGTGGCACGTCTACGCCGGGCTCGCGATCCTGAACCCCGAGGCCCGCAAGCAGATCGCCCAGTACGCGCGCTCGTCGACGGAGCTGTACAAGCTCATGCTCGAGGGCCGCGCCGACGAGCTGCGGCGCCGCGTCTACGCCGCCAAGGAGCGCGTGTTCGGCGGCGCGGCCGAGGGCCAGCCGCCCAAGTGGGCCGACAAGCCGCTGCTGCGCGACGAGGTGCTCGACCGCTTCAGCCTCGGCCGCCGGCCCGACGCGCCCCTGCCCAACAACCACCTCGCGCTGCTGGCCATGGTCGACTGCTGGAGCGCGCTGGGCACGGTCCCCTACGACCACATGATCTGCTCGACGCCGCTGTTCCGGCTGTGGCTCGGCGTCACCGAGAGCCTGTTCCGCAGCCCCGGCCGGCTCGACGAGGCGCTGCGCATCGGCCTCGAGGACAACACCTTCCGGTCCGACGACCTCGAGTTCGTCTTCGCCGCGCGCGGCTGGGCCGAGTGCGTGTCCCTCGGCCACTTTGAGACGTGGAAGGAGCGGTTCGTCGTCACGCAGAAGTTCTTCGAGCCACGGTTCCCCGAGGCCATCAAGGTGGGCAACGACATGGTCAAGGCGGTGCTGGACAGCACGAGGGATTGAGATTATGTGGCAGGCTGTCTTGATATTCTGGCAAGGGGGGCCGCCGCTTATTTTCTTCTGTTGTGGGATCATTTGTATTATTTTGACTTTGATGGGATACAGGCCATGCCTGGAGTAGTTTTTTTCGCCCTTGAGCGACTTGCGCGCCTATGAAAACCAGGATTTCTGTTCGTGTACGTGCTGTTTGATTCATTTCCAAACTCTGTGCTTGGGAATAGGCGTCCTGTATCGCTGTGACGCCGCATTGTCCAATTATTCCGCACTCCCATGCGGCACTTTTCTCCATGTATGCAATGCAGCAGTGTCGTCATATTACGAGCTTGCCATGTCGCCATAGATGTTGGGTCTCGATGCTGATGTACAGCTGCTTGGTGGACCGACTTCGAGACTGCCGTAGCCCCGATCATACCGTCCTCTGAATACGGATAGGAGCGTGGGCCTCGCATCTGCGTCTCGTCCCTGCGATGAGAATATCCTCTAACCCGTTGAGTACACACATGCACGATTCGACACTGCGAGCGAATAGCCCGCAGGGCCAGTTGTCGTTTGATAGTATTCTGCCAAAACGACTTTTCAGCCCCCTGGTCGATGATGGCTACTTGCATTCGCATGTTTCGTCTGAGGAAGGTCGGTGGGTGGGAACCAGACTTTCTGCTCCACCATGTCGTCCATTCGCAACGGCTGTTTAAACCGTGACGGTCCTTGTATCACCGGCATCTCGTACTCCTCCCCATAGCCTCGGTACGAGTCCTTCGACGGGAGTTCGGCGGGTTCAGGCGGCCTCGTGATACCGACATGAGCCTTGGCCGCTTGATCGCGCAGGCCAAAGCCAGCTTCTTCCTCCTTGGATTTAAAGCCCCCAACATAGCCAATTGGAGTGGCTTGTACGCTCCCAGGAGAGCGCACATCGGGCAGGCCTAGGTTCTGCGCATGTTGGTACGGAGGGGCGCGTTGCTCATGAGTGGCCCCATGTATCTCATGCGGCCCTTGATTCGGCGGCAGGGTCTGATATAGTTCATATGATGTCTGTCCTTGTTGAGTTTGCTGCGACTGCTCGAAATTGGGATTGTCGTTCACGACTGAACCATCCAAGCCGAATCCGCCTGATCGGAGCTCGGCTGCGCCCGTATCGTGCCTGAAATAGCCCTCGCTAAGCGAGGTCATGTTTATGTTGGAAGTCTTTGCGTACGTCTTGGCTGACCCCTGGGAGGGTGAGCCGTGTCCAGACACCGCCGTCTGGCTATCCGTGCCTGAGAGAGGACGATAGGAGGACCCGGAGTGCAGACTGGAGTATGGAGTGACCGAGAACTTTTCTCCTCGCGAGTATTGGTCAGAGCCTGGTGCTTGGCTGTAGTTGACGACACCGCCACGGAGTGTTCGCTGCTTTCGACGCCGGATGTAACAAGCCACCCCGACGCTAGCCAGGAGGACAGCCAGGGTGACTGTGCCGATACAGATTCCTGCAATCTCTCCAGCGCTGAGTCCATCCTTTGATCTTCCTGCCTCCGGCACCGAGGTGGCAGTGGCCTTTGCGGTGGACGACGAGGAAGACGTTCCAGTGGATGTCACACGGGATGTTGAGGATGATGATGTGGATATGGATGCTGTTGCGGTTGGTAGCTGCACCTCCAAGCCCCAGGTAGTCTTCTGCGGCCGTTCATCGGGCATCACTTTGAAGTGGTCGCTGTTGGCGCCAAAGCCAGCCACATCGCCAGGCCGCAGATTGAACCAGCAATCATCTGACGAGAAGTCTAAGAGAATGAGCTCTGAAGAATTAAAGGGGCTGGCGAGTTGCTTCTGGACTGGAACGAATCGTCAGCAGGGCTGATCGGACGCACGAGGCAAGTAACACGGAGTTGCTTGGGTCTGGGCAGATCGCATATTTACTTGGAGTCCCGAGATCCGGCATACACCATGTATACAGTCGCGGCTCTGAAAATGGCGTTGTGTAGGTCACTTTGACTGTATCGCCCTTGTTGTAGACGTCTTTACCACCGACGGGGAACAGAAAGGTTACGCCATGTTCTCCATTCGCTCCGACTTGGCCGGTAAAGGTTCCAATGAGCAGCAGAGACGACAGGAAGGCCGCGCTGTGTTTTCGACACATCGTCGTCGCATGAGGCATGGCTTTCGACTTCGACGGCCAGCCTCCGCAGGTGCGACAAGACAAGGAAATATCAAGCAAGGAGCAGCAAATAAGTAGGCAATTAGAAGAGAAAGTCGAGATTTACTCAAAGACGCGGGATACGGATATGTATGCAGTCTCCCGTCGATCCCAGCCTGTCTGACCAACCCATGTCAAAATACTGCCCACAAACCATGTCACCCTGGGAGGGCCTAAAGCCAAATGCGACTCTGCTTCCTTTCTGGAGTTGGTAGGAGCATGCATGGATATCCTGCAACCATGCGGCTGGGGGACACTCACTGGTCCGGCTGAACGGTAGGGGGGTCTTGGGGGTAGTTAAAGCCAGCCGACCCAGTCCAGTTCTCGGCTCTTGGCGCGGCTTTCTGCTTTCCTTTTAGCACACTGGCGGCGGCGAAGCGCTTGGCCTGGGTTGCAATTGGTTTAGTAACGCGGGTCGGATCCAGGGGCTATGCATCCATGCACCTAACTTCGTTCGAACCGTTTTTGATATGAGATCAACTGCACCACCTTTGGCCACCAACCGCCCCCGGCCGCTACGCGACCAGGAAGGGGGCTGAGAATAGAGTACCCAACGATGTGGCCTCATCAAGAGTTCTAGCAGTGTTGGCAGAATCAGATCTCAAGTTCCCTGCGGCCTCGGCAGTGTGTCTGTGTGGAGTGGTGAGATACTGCAACACATTGGTTCCTATCGATCCCAGTCCAGTATATTAGACTCGATCGACAGTCTATTGCCTGCTAGGAAACAGCCAAGTGGTGGCTAACATATAGCCGTGATTGAGTAGATAGTTGCTTGAGAGAAGGTGTGCATTCGACGACCTTGACATTCTAGAGCACTGAGAATTCGTTATGCATGCAGAGTGGACTTCCATGTCAAATGATAGGTAACGGCCACCAGTCCAGTGACCGCTCCCGCAGGGCTGAAGGATGGTTGGCGCCAGCGCCGCCAGGACGCGGGACACTGATTAGACCTGGAACGTGCTAGTGCTGACTGTGCGTGGTGGCACCGTGGCACCTTCTCGACAATGGAGAGGCATGTGGTAGATCACGTGCACTTGGCCGTTCCAAAGGTAGGTAGGTACCTGTATGCGGCATAATGGGTGGATGGCTACCTGCAGCGCCGAGATGGAACGGAATGTGGAAACCCAAATCATTCACCTGTTTCCGTCCGCTCCCTCGAGTGCTGGTGCGGCAATAAACGCTACCGTGGGCACTAACTCGCAGTAAAACCCGGCCCACGAGGCAGCCCTAAGAAGGCTCCGGAAGGGCTTGCAGGCACCGACAGGGTGTCCAAGCCGGCCAGGCTGCATGGCCTGGTGGGTGTCACCTTGCTTCTAGCGGGGGATCTCCAGCAAAGAACCCTGACCTGGGAATTTCCACCCGCGCCTCGTCAGTCCCAAATCCCACCTAACCTCGTCTTCGCAATTCACCTCACGCGACAACCCCTCGCAGTCTCGGTCAGTGTTTACTTCGTTCTGGCTTTCGCCACTACCACGAGACAAGCAGCGAGCGTCGACACTCATTCTTATGGACTAGAAGTTCACCTCCTTCGAGTCCCTTCTCTTCTTATACGAGACAACTTCTTTCCCATGTATTCATAGCCCGAGTGGCGCATCACCGATGGGTATCTTCAATCAAAAGTCCAAGTTCAAGGCTGCGCCGCCTACCATCCGCAAGGAGGAGGTCGTTATCGAGAGGCCAAAGCCCAAACCGCGACCGGTCGTTGTTTCGAGCGCGAGCGGACTGCAAGTACCCATGACTGCCGCACGCAAGATCAAGACGCCCTCAGCCTCACCACGAGCCTCCCCCGGTCTGCGCCAGAGCGCATCGCCCTACCCGCCCTCGTCCGACGAGAAGCGCCCCGACCTCAAGCGCAAGATACGCAACGGCGCGTCGCACAGACCTTCCCCCGCGAGCGATCGTATCGAGTTTGACAAAGACGATTCCGAAAGCGATGACGATTGGGAGGATGCGCTCGATGCGCGCAAGCGCAGAAAGCGCGCCCTTATGATGAATACCGAGGCGCGGGACCCGGATCGGAAAATGCCACACCCTGACCTGCTGGGAATCGCCAACGAGGACAAGATTCGCAAGAAAGAGATGCAACTCGTGCATGCCGTTGACGTCGCCTCCCTAAAGCTGAAATGCTCCCCAACTCTGAATGCGCCGCCGGAGGAGGTTGCGTTGAAACTTCAATACCCCGGCTCAAAGCAACGAGAACGGTAAGCGAGAGTGTTGCCAGCCTCGAATGAATTCTGCTGACTTCTGCGTAGCTATGAGCTCGTTGCTGGTCGAGAAAAGATCGACGTTGTCAAAGAGATCATCACAGTAGTAAAATATGTCGCCGATGTGTATCTCGACGATGATGAAGCCAAACCTTTGACAAATCGCGAAAATGGTATCATCCGAAGACTAGAGCGGGCATCCAGCACGGCTGTCTGGGATTATAAAGCCTTCAAATCAGCTGTCAGCGACTTCAATGACCGGCTGCTGATGCTGTACAGCGACGGGACCATAGCGAAAAACTTGAAGAAGACACACGACCTTCCGCCAGATCTGGTCGCTTTCATTCTTAATCAGATCTATGAGCGCACGGTCTCGCAGAGCGTAGAGCTCCTGCGGAAATACGAAAACGGTACCGATTTCGTGTACGGCGAACTGAAGCATGTTTTCATCACTGATCTGCTCGTCCGCAGACTCAAGATGACGTCAAGCCAGGTCTTTGTCGACCTTGGGTCCGGGGTCGGAAATGTGGCACTTCAGGCGGCCCTCGAGATCGGCTGTGAAAGCTGGGGCTGTGAGATCATGGAGAATGCCTGCAACCTGGCAGTGGCTCAGAAGAAAGAGTTCACCTCGAGATGTCGACTGTGGGGTCTTGCGCCGGGTAAGGTCCGTCTATTGAGAGGCGATTTCACCCAGGACACCCAAGTCCACGAGGCCCTGAAGCGGGCTGATGTCGTGCTTGTCAACAACCAGGCCTTCACATCCAAGCTGAACGACACTCTGGTGACCATGTTCCTGGACCTGAAGCAAGGCTGCAAGATTATTTCGCTTAGAAACCTGGTCCACGACTCTGGCCATAATATCAATGATGTGGGAACGACGATTCTGGACGTCGAACATCATAGGTATCCTGAGGGATATGTTAGCTGGACCGATTCTCCAGGGACTTTTTGCATTTCAACCCGGAAGTAAAGTCCTGGGGAGGTGGCGTTGGTTGCACTGCAACAAGCATGACGGGAGAATAGGGATTGATGTACAACAGTAACAGGATTTTGTCTAGGCAATTATGGGATTCTCAGGGGAGCAGGAAGATTTTGGCGCGCTCGGGTATCGTACCTTGGTGATACTAGCACAGCGGTCGGGAGTTTTGCGCTCTCAGTGTGGCATCGTTACTGATAGTCCTGGTAGACTATACAAGCCTTTTCATCCGAACTGAAGTGAACATCCCTCATCTCTCCTTCTTGAAGAATGGTTCATTTGCTAGATTCATTGCATCAGCTTCCTGGCCGACCCTCTTCATCCAGCGTTCGACGAGCTCCTTGTTCTCAGCCTGAACTTTGGCCCGTTGTTGTTCAGCCATGTTCAGCTGTAGATTGAGGGCGATGAGCTCGTCTTGGACGTTCTGTGATCACTCCTGGTTAATATCTGCTTCGGATATGACTCTTGTATGTAGGAAATTCCTCACCTCAACAAGTTTCGACTTTCCGCGGAGCTCCTCATCACGATCTTTGACCTTGGTTAGGAGCATGTTTCTTTCGCTTGTGAGGCTGCGTATGGATCTTGTATCATTTTTTGTTTTGCTCCGCAAGGTTTCCAGTTCCTCTTCTGCCGCTTTCAGGCGAGACTGTAACTGCCCTTGAGACCGCAGCGCCTCTGCCAGTTCCAGTCGCAGTCTGCTCAGTGCATACTCAGTGCTGGCTGCGTCTGCTGCATCAGGTGCCTCGCCCGTTCTTGTGTTCGAGGGAGGTGCCCCGGCTGATGCGAATTGACTCGCTTTTTCGGCTTCCAGAGCTGCGACCCTGTCCTGCAATTGCGAGCCTGAAATGCGCAGCGGAGTTGGTCAGAGAGGGAGATCAGTAACGTTAAGCAAGGTAACACGAACATGCTTCGACAAGCGGTCCGTTCACAGGATTATTCCGCTCTGTCTCCTTGATGGACTGAAGATATTCATCTCGCCAGGTCGGCATTGTAATTGTATAGAGAAAGGTGTGGCTGAGGGGGGTTTGCGCTCCTACATGCCTCGGGAGTCTGGAGGATTAGAGTTGGAGCTTCATCAACAACAGACGCTCGCTTGAGCTACTCGGTAAGTGGGGGAAGCCGGCTGGCGCCCCTCCCTGGGGCAATCAAGTCGTTATCGGATATCGATGGGTTGATGCATCAATGATGTTTGATGCTAATTGGGTAGGTTCCACTATGATGCATCACCCGAGAGCTGCCTACAGTGCGGTTGGCCCGTGCCTAGAGCTTGCATGTGGATCTCAACAGCTTCCCACCCGCTGCAGTCCGACCCAGGTACCTCCTCATACATGACACTGGCGACACATGCCGATGTAGCTCTGCTTATTCTTTTACTCTGCACACTGACCAAATCCAAAGACCTGAGGATTGATCGGACGAGGCACGAGGCATAGATCGTGGGACAAGCCAGAAGCATCATGGGGAGATGATGCAAGATGGAAACACCTCATCCAACGGCAGACTGGGAGCAGGTCGGTGACCGGTTCTACCGCAAGATCCAGCTCTACACAGCTGTCTTCGACAAGTCGCTGGACTTGGATAATTACATTGTCGCAGGGGCATCTTATGGTGGCGCGATAGGTAGGACGGTCTCCTTCATCTCTATCCCTTGATCATTCTTCCTGTTTCTTGTGGAGTTCTCCTCATGAACAACCATGCCTGGGTACATGGACGACAAGGACACCTTGACATACTCAGTCTCCCTCCTAGACCCTGATGTGCAATTACTAACACCTTGAAAAGCACTTCACCGAGATGCCGAGAAGATAATAGCTTACCGGGCAAGGACACCGGCCAAGCCTGGCATAGACATCTACAGCACTGCCGGCAAGCTTATCCGGAGTATTTCCTGGGACAAGGTCATCATCAAAGGGATCGGCTGGTCTGAGGATGAGAAGCTGCTTGCAGTTACATCGGATGGTACCGTACGCTGCTACAATGATCTGCAAGGCGACTTTACCCAATTCTCCCTGGGTCATGGAGCTGAGGAGTCTGGCGTTCAGTCATGCAGGTAGGCTCTTCCTCGATGCCAACCTATGGTCCGCATCTCACACATAACAGGTTCTACGACACCGGTTTGGTAGCCTTGCTATCTGACAATACTTTGATTGAGGTATCATCATACTCGGAACCTCGGCCAAAGGTCCTTGCCAAATGTCCTGAGGGCGAGGTGCACTCGTGGGCCTTGATACCACCCCAGTACACGCTTTCTCGATCTGTCGAAGTCCTCTTAAGCATAGGACAAACCGTCTACGTTGTGGACTCTGAAGAATGTGAGGACAGATTCCTCGACATCGGCCCCTTTTCGGCAATCAGTGTATCTCCGAATGGGAAGTTCGCTGCACTATACGCTGAGACTGGGCATGCCCATGTGATCACGAGCGATTTCCAGACCAGACTGAGCGAGCACGACTCGAGGTCAAAGATACCGCCTGGCTACTTGCAATGGTGCGGCAATGACGCGGTGGTCATTGCATGGGAAGACGAGGTCCATGTTGTTGGCCCTGGAGGCTCTGCTGCCAAATTCTTCTACGACAGCCGGATCCATCTGGTGCAAGGTACTTGAGAGCAGATCCGCCAACATCGTACAAGACTGATAACTTGCAGATCTGGACGGCGTCCGTGTCATCACGAACTCCACCTGCGATTTCCTCCAGAAGGTGCCCGAGGTGACCGACGAAGTCTTCCGTTTTGGAACTGAATCTCCGGCATCGATACTGCTGGATGCTGTGGAACAGCTGGAGATCCAGTCACCTAAAGCAGATGACAATATTCAACTGATTCGGTCTAACCTGACCGAAGCTGTCGACACCTGTGTAAGTTCTTTTCTATAGTCCTTGAGATCACACAAACTGACAGGTGTCAAGGTCAATGCTGCTGGCCAAGAGTTCAACGTGCATTGGCAGAAACAACTCCTCAAGGCTGCTTCTTTCGGCAAATCAGTCCTCGACATCTATAACAGTGACGACTTTGTTGACATGTGCGAGACTCTACGAGTATTGAATGCTGTACGGTTTTATGAAATCGGCCTACCTCTATCGTACGACCAATACCAGCGTTTGGGTCCCGATGGTCTCATATCACGATTATTGAACCGCCACGAATATCTGCTAGCATTGCGCATCGCAGGCTATCTTCATCTGCCTACTGACAAGATTTACGTTCACTGGGCTTCTGCCAAAGTTCGCCAGGGCGCCGAGGATGATGACACAGTCTGCCGCCTAGTCGTCGAGAAGCTCTCGGGGAAACCAGGCATCTCGTTTGAAACCATTGCTCGGGCAGCCTACGACGAGGGGCGAGGCAGATTGGCGACCGAGCTGCTGAATCACGAACCGCGAGCCGGACGGCAGGTCCCGCTCTTGCTTAGCATGGAGGAAGACGAACTAGCGCTGGACAAGGCCATCGAGTCTGGCGACACTGATCTCGTATACTCTGTTCTTCACCATCTGCAGCGCAAGCTGCCCCTGGCCGGTTTCTTCCGCGTCGTCAACAGCCGTCCCGTTGCCACCGCGCTCGTCGAGTCCTCCGCTATCCGCGAAGGCGACAACACCCTACTCAAGGACCTTTACTACCAAGATGACCGCCGACTCGAGGGCGCTTCCGTTTTCATCCGCGAGGCGCTGCGGCAGCCTGACAGTCGCACCGCGGGCGATAAACTAGCGTTGGCAGCCAAGCTACTGGCGGACAACTCAAAGGAGAGCGCGTTTGAGCTGGGGTCGCTGAAGGAGGCGGCCACCCTCTTGAGGATGCAGGAAGCTTTCGACAGGGATCTGACTGACAGCTTCACGGGGCTGAGCGTCAACGAGACCATGTTCAAGCTCATCAGGCTCGGCTACCACGGACGCGCTAAGAAGATACAGAGCGAATTCAAGGTGCCGGAAAGAGTGTCGTGGTGGATCAGGTAAGTTCGCAGCCTAGAAGTCTTCTCGAGGGAATATGTAACCCAATTACTCACATGTCGAGTGCAGACTGCGAGCTCTTGTGGCCAAACGAGACTGGAACGAGATTGAAGAGATCGGCAAGGCAAGGAAGAGTCCCATTGGCTGGGAGGTGAGTGAACCGTGATTCCCTGATACTACCTCAAGTTCCCGAGCACTGACGGTAGTGACCCCCCTCACAGCCCTTCTATAACCAGGTCCTGCAGGCTGGCAATCCTCGCCTCGCCTCAACATTCATCCCCAAGTGCACGGGCCTCGAGGCAGGCAAGTCAATCACCATGTACGAGAAGTGCGGCATGCGCGTCAAGGCCGCCGAGGAGGCTGTCAAGATCAAGGATGCCGATGCGTGGGCACGTCTGCTCGATGCGGCTGGCCGGACCACGACCGAGGGCCGAGAGATTGAAAGATTGGGTCATGGGATCTTTAAGAAGTAGTCTTCCTTCGCCGCACCTGTATCCAGAGGTGCTTCCTTGATGCATCGACGCGCGTGGCAAGCAAGGCGCTTTTGTCTTTTGTCTGTTTGTTTCTGTGTGTAGGAGCTGTCAATCTGACAATTAAACGCGCTCCGGTATATTATTACGCCCTGATGGCTCCGAGACATTATAGAGGGGGACATGCTGCTGAGTGCCGTGTTGCAAAGATAGGAGAAAGTAAGAAGAAAACCAGTATAAGAGATTTTTTGCTTCCGCTGATGCCCCGTTTCCTCCGTCGATGAATCAAACGACGGATGGATGTAAATGCTTGGAATAAGTAATGCAACCCCCCCCCCTTGCCGCCCCGCGCTCCCCTCCCTGCCTGCCTGAACGTTTCCACCTCTCTGATATTCTCTTGACATATGACCCATGTCCTCGACAGCATATATAGCAAAATTCATTGGCAAGACCCATTGACAAAGGAAAAGAAAAACTCCCAGATAACGCCGATGCGCTTTGACTGGTATACGTACTGAAAAGGACGAATACACCTCTTCGCTCCGCCCTTCTCTCCTCCCACCCGTCTCTAGCTCTCGTGTTGTGCTGTGTGTGATTCGATCCGATCTTCCAAACTTGGATGGCACTGGCTTTTCTCTCTCTCTCTCTCTCTCTCTCTCTCAGCACCCTGGCTGGGTCTCTCTAATTTTGCTGATTCAACATCTCGGCCGCCGCGTCCAGGCTCCTCATCTCGCCCCTGCGGCTGTCCGTGCTCGCCCGCCCGGCGGCGGCAGCAGCAGCGCCGCCGGACCGCGTGCGCACGCCGCTGCCGTCAAAGACCCAAGGGCCGGCGTCGTTACGCGGGGTGATGGGGCCCTCGGCGTTGGGCGGCGGGTTGCCGTTGACGGGCGAGGGCGTGCGGGTCTGCCGCTGCTCGTTGGTGGGCGTCGAGTTGCCCGTGTCGTCCTCCGAGGCGACGCGGCGGGCGGCGGCGGCGTTGGGGATGGGCACCGGGTGCGAGGTCGCGTGGGAGACGGACATGGTCGCGTCTTCTGCCGAGGCCGGGCGGGACGAGGCGGCGGGCGCTGCTGCTGGTGGTGGTGGTGGCGGCTGCTGCGACGGCGGGTCGATCTCCATGTCCGAGTCTGCGAGGCTGTGCTGCACGGGGTGGCTTGATACCGGCGCGGGCTGCTGCTGTGGGGGCTCGGGCCGGCCGTCCACCTCGAGCGCCTGCGTCTCGTCCGGGTCGACCGCCATGGCCGTCTCGGCGGCGGGCGCCTCGCTCGCCTGCCCGTCGTCTGAGCCGAGCTGCTGCCACTCCTCGGGGTCCTCCACCTCGGCCTCCAGATCGGCGGCTGCCCGGCAATTAGGGCATATGAAGATGGGGTACTGGGGGGAAGTGAGCAGCGACCGAATGCATTTGTAATGCCACGTATGCGAACACGGCGCAACGAACAGACATTGGCAGGGCTGCAGAGTTGGTGATCAGCGAGAGCATGGTTAAGGCGTTGGTGCACAAGTGTGGGATACTCACTGCTATCGAGCTCAGGCATATTGAGCAGTCCTGCGAGGTCTGTGGCGCACCGCCGGACTCGCCCGACATGGTCATGTTCCGTAGGCGCTTGTGCGTGGTCAGACTAAAGCAGGGGGTTAGCAATGGTACCATGCATGACTTGGAACGAGGGGATGGGAACGAACTTAAAAGTGTTGAGCTTGTTCTGCCAACCACGGTTCAGCTCCAGCCGCATCTTGACGCAACGGAAGATCATCTCCTCTCCTCCTTTAAAGTCTATTCCGAGCTGTACGATATCTCCATCGTTGACCGGGAACGGCTTGCTCTCCGTGCCGGGAGGGCTCAGCCGTATGTGGTTCAGGAAAGTCCCACTAGAGCTCTTGACATCCTTAATGTACCACTTGCCCTCCTCGTACCAGAACTCGCAATGTCTCCTGCTCACAACCTTGGACTTGAAGCCGACAGGAGCGGCGGACGGGACGTTGGTGGGCACATTTTGTTGTGTATCCCGCTCAGAATACCGTCCCACTCGTATGACCTCGCCCCCGGTGGGTAACGTCCTCGAGACCGGAGTGAACGTCAGGGATGGTCGCGTCGCCCTGGGATCATAAAAGGTGCTAAACCGTATGGACGGCAGTATGTCGAGGGGAGTGCTTCCCGCCGAGGCCGCGTCCGATGCCGTCGCAGATCTATTGCGCGTCATGCTGGTGCGTGGGGCTCGCTCGCTGTCTGAGGCGGACTCGTTCTGGGGAGCTGGGCGTTTGTTGGTCGTCCTGCTGGCCGAAGTCGAGGCCACGGCAGTCCTGCTGGACCCTCCTGCCACTGTCGCCTGGGTTGACGAGGAGGAAGAAGCAGTGACAGCGCCGGCGGCAGCGGGTTCTGGCGCGGAAGGCCTCGTGGGCGGAGTCGCGCTGACCGGGCTTGTTGTCGACGACGTCGGCGTGTAGCTGATGGATCGGGTGAGCAGATTCCTCGAACTATGCGACACAGGCGACTGCTGTTGTGCCGCGGTGGGCGTGCTACTGCCAGAGCCACTGTCCCTGTTCAGGAGGTGCTGCTGGGTGTAGGTTCGCAGGTAGCTCAGCCCGCGCAGACGGCCGCTTCGCGAGGTGGGAGAGGCTGGCGAGACAGTGGTTGCGGAGGCGGACGTGACAGACAGGCCCGGCGACGTGGGCGCAGTGACGGGTTGTGTGAACATCTAGGTGGATAGCGTGGCCCGGTGAGTAAATTCCTCGCAGTTGGTCTGAGGGACCCTGTCTCGTCTCGTCGGTTGCTGTCTTGTCGGATCTCAGATCTCAATTGAAGGGAAGGGGTCCGCAGGATTGGGAAACGGGCTGGCTGGTTGGAAAGGGAGTCTCCAGTTTTGGGGGTGAGGGCGGAAACAGGCGACTTTTAGTGTGAATGGGAATATTGTACCGAAGCGGCCCCTAGTTTCACAGGGCCTGGGCCAGGACTCAGGCGAGGACAGGGCGCTCCAGCTCTATCGAATAGTCTGCAAGTACCTAGGTAGGTAGTCGTCGGAGTACAGACAGCGGCACCCTTACTCTTCAAATTGGGGGTCCCGTCTAGGTACATTGGTTACGTGTGAGGAGGACAGTGTCTGACAAGAGCTTGAGAGTTTAGAGAGTCTTCGAGGATCCCTATCCCGAGGGAGTAGCCTGTTCTGAAGTCCCTTCTCGGCTTGGGTTGGGAGGTCTAGTCACTGGTAGGTAGTCTGTCGAGCATGTGGGGGATTATCATCTTGCTAGGTTTGTTCCAAGGTTTGCATCAGGCGACCGGGATGACCTGTTTGGTCCAGACCACTAACTACATTAGTTCTGTCTGGTCTTGGACCATTTCTGACCTGGCTAGCTGCCTAGTACCTCTCTAGGCACGGAGCAGATTCGCACTTGGACTTCTCTCTATCTTTGGAGGTCGAGTAAGTTGTCAAGTAGTGTGAACTTTGAGATATGTAAGCTGTGGCAAATGCTGCGTGCTTACCAGCATAAGTCGAGACTGTCGAGGTATGCAAAAAGGATTCGGCAATAAATTGACAAAGCCATCTTTTCAGCTCCAACCCCTCTTCGAATCGTTCATGAAGGTCTGCGACAGGCATTCGCACAAGCACCAGTGCAGGTTTTGGATGTAACCCCCTTGCGAACCTCCCAGCTGCTAGTGGCACGCGCACACAGTGTTGATATGTTTAATGTACCTTGTGTGCCAGTGACAATTTGAGGTTGTTCAAGCCAAAAGCCAATCCAAAGCCTCATGACAGAATGATGTTCGATTTGCCCAAAAGCCTTAGCAGACCACATCCCCAGACTTGTGTGGCTCCTGAGAGCGACAGCCCCCTGCTTATGTATACTCTGGTACCTCAAACCTGCTGCAGGTATCACTGTCCTGAAACCTGACTCAAGGATGGGCGACCCCTCTGCTGAAAGCATTCGTAGACAGCAGCACCTTCTCGTGGAGGGAGCTGTGTCCTAACATCTTCCTGATTCCGGGCTAATTAACACACATAAGGCGTCGCACCTGGTAGAGTCGATGCAAGGTGCCTCTTCGAGATGCTTCATACCTCTTTATGGTGGAGGGGAAGACGTTATGATAGGTAGATTGTCTGTCACGGGTCCTCTAGAGAACCCCGATTTTGCAGGGTGCCGGCAAGGTTGTAGATCACGAAGGACACCCGTCCCGACCCTTCTGCCACTAGTGCATGCGACCAAAGGGGAAGAGAGTTTCTCATCTCTTGTTAATTAGGTCCTGGGATGCGCTGTGCAGATGACGAGACCCTTACTGCCTAGATAGGTAGTCTTCCTGGGTGTACTTGTAGTAACAAGGCTGGTCTTTCCAGCACCAACTTGACAGTCTTGGCATAGATGGCATCATATTTGCAGGAGACAAACTTCAACAAAGGACATTAAAATAAATAAACAAGACCATGGGTAAGAGTGTAGAGATGATCCTGTGTAAAAGACTCAGCTCATGGCTACCATGATGTCAGATTTGATGTTGTAATCGTCCTGCGACTACTGCAGGGCATTACGGAAGACGTTCGTATCCAGATATTCAAAAAATCTGGGCTCTGGCGGCCGGCCGCCAGCTGCGTCTTATCGATAACCATGACCGGGGCTATCGGAGGCTCTGACCCAACTCGGAGCTAAATTTCATTAGACTCGGATTGATGCGCCTGCTCTCCTCCCAGAGATTCTCGTCTACATCCTGCGTTGAGCGCCTGTACTTTGGTTTGGCACAGCACATCTTTTACGATGTTCCGCTCAATGTCTGCCAGGCTTCCAAGCCGCTTTGCCAATACGGCGCGGCTAGCGCAGAGGAGGCCAGTTCGGTACTCTCCCTCGAGAGCCTTCGCGAGTGTTGTCCCTCCGAAGCCAAGGGTAGGTACTGTGACTCTTATATAGGGACAGACCGGAGAGATTAACTCGGAAGCAGGAACCGACCGAGCTAGACAATATCACAACTCTCCCTAACGGTATCCGTGTCGCGTCCGAGGCTCTGCCAGACGCTTTTTCTGGTGTGGGCGTGTACATCGATGCTGGGTCTCGATACGAGAATGAATACCTGCGCGGTGCTAGCCATATCATGGACCGGTTGGCCTTCAAGTCTACCGACAAGCACACCGCCGACGAGATGTTGGAGAACGTCGAGAATCTGGGCGGGAACGTCCAATGCGCCTCTTCACGCGAGTCGATGATGTATCAAGCCGCCACCTTCAATGCCGCCATTCCCACGACCGTCGGCCTCCTGGCCGAGACGATCCGAAACCCCCTGCTCACTGACGAAGAGATTGCGCAACAACTCGAGACTGCCGAGTACGAGGTCAAGGAGATCTGGTCCAAGCCGGAGTTGATCCTACCGGAGCTGGTGCATATGGCGGCCTTCAAAGACAACACTCTTGGAAATCCCCTCTTATGCCCTCAGGAGAGGCTGGCAGCGATTGACAAGGACGTTATCAAATCGTATCGCGATGCTTTCTACAGGCCAGAGAGGATAGTAGTAGCATTCGCTGGTATACCCCACAACGAGGCTGTCACCCTGACGGAACAGTACTTTGGGGACATGAAGGCGCCAGATCAGACCCTCCTCTCTCGGACTGGGTCAGAGACGTCGATAGACTCGCTTGCCTCAGAGAACAGCGGTTCTTCGGTAGCGTCATCTCCTTCTTCAGCCTCCTCATCACAGAGTCCAAGGCTCATGTCCAAGATACCCTTCCTCAAGAATCTCTCCACATCTGCGTCTCAAAACGCAAATGTCGTCTCAACGCCTTCCGCGACTATCGAGGAGAATCTCATCCGACCTTCTCATTACACAGGAGGTTTCCTGACACTACCGCCACAGCCCCCGCCACTGAACCCCAACCTTCCAGTCTTCACACACATCCAGCTCGCCTTCGAGGGCCTCCCCATCTCCTCTGACGATATCTACGCTCTCGCCACTCTCCAGACTCTGCTCGGCGGCGGCGGTTCCTTCTCCGCCGGTGGTCCAGGCAAAGGCATGTACTCCCGCCTCTACACCAACGTCCTGAACCAACACGGCTGGGTCGAGTCCTGCGTCGCCTTCAACCACTCCTACACCGATTCCGGGCTCTTCGGCATCGCCAGCTCGTGCTACCCGGGCCGCACCGCCAAGATGCTCGAGGTCATGTGCCGCGAGCTGCGCGCCCTGACCCTCGACACCGGCTTCAGCGCCCTCGGCGAGGTCGAGGTCAGCCGCGCCAAGAACCAGCTGCGGTCCTCCCTGCTCATGAACCTCGAGAGCCGCATGGTCGAGCTCGAGGACCTGGGCCGCCAGGTCCAGGTCCACGGGCGCAAGATCCCCGTCCACGAGATGACCCGCAAGATCAACGAGCTCACGGTCGAGGACCTGCGCCGCGTGGCCGACATGGTCGTCGGCGGCATGGTCCAGAACCCCGGCCAGGGCAGCGGCGCGCCGACGGTGGTGCTGCAGGAGGCGCAGGCCGCGGGCGTCACGACGAAGCAGATGTCGTGGGACGAGATCCAGGACATGGTCTATAAGTGGCAGTTGGGCAGGAGGTAGATAGATATTCCTATCCTGTCTGACCCGGCCTTGTACTTTTGAATCATTGCATGGGCAGCGCGGCTCCGTGGGATTACTGTAACATTAAGGGGGGAATGGTGTAAATATATCGGGAGCATCAGCCAATGTATTTTTGTACTATCCATGTGTGGGCGATGAAGCAAGACCTCAATGTACATAGATGGCATGGCTGTAAAATAGGAGAATAGTGTCGCTCGCTTGGTTATTGGCATCACGGCACACGAGATCGCTGCTAGCCTTCATGATCGTTCCATTCTTGTCATTATCCGAACCGAATTTAGGGTATTCCGCTAAAAGTACAAATGCCCGCTTGTGTAAAAGCCCCTTTGAAAACTCATCCAGAGAGCCCTCGAGTAAGAGGACGTCCCTCCAAAAACAATCTACCAAAGAACTCCGATAGTGTCATTCTAAAACGCCAAATCACGGACTCATCTTGAGCGTGTCCCTGCCCTCCTTGTCTAGTCTATAGCTTCGACCTCACGGCCTCCAGTCTATACTTGACATCCTTCAATGCCTTGGTCGTCGGCTTCCAGTCGTCAAACTGCGTCAGCAGCTCGGCCGTCTCGGCCGACAGGTCCGTCTTGACAAAGTCCTCTTCGAGCATGCCGCGCATGATCCACGGCAGGTGGTACGGGTTTGGGTTGGTCATCGCCTCATGCTTGCGGATCTCGGCTGGTACCTTGCCGACGCTTGTAGTCTCGAGAGCGTGCGTCACGGCGAGACTGAGGAATGGGAGAATCAGTCGCAGGTAGAGAAACGAGGTACGGGGATGGGATGGAAGATAACATACTCGTATACTTGATCGTCGTCGTAGAGCCGTGAGTGGCCCTCTCCCGAGTAGAGGCTTCCGGCGAGAGGGACCGAGAGCTCCCTGATCAACCCGTGGTCCGATATTCCCAGGTTACGTAACTTGCAAGCGAATCCTACCAGGTGCGCAATGCTATGAGCAATCGTCAGTAATAAACTCTTGATAAATTTGGTTGACTGGACACCTACAAGTCTGGCGCGTGTATCCTTCCATCGATGAACACTGCCCTGAAGATATACGGGTGGGTTGCCGGTGAGTTGATCGCAGACTGCGCTTATGTTAGCGGCGTATCTCCTTTGAAGAATCGGTTGGCGGAGCTTACCTCCAACGGCACGACTTGGTCGTCAATGCTTCCAACGTACGTTATTCGAACTCCATAGTCAAGAACAACGTCCAATGCCCGCCGGTAACGCTTCGATATTTCACTGTCAGGGTTTGCAAACTCCCAAAGCTCATGGGCTGAACCCATAAGCATGCCCATACCCGACCTATAGTCCGGAAATGGACCCAGGGAAACGCCCGCTGTGGAATGGTCAGTAAATAACATATATAAAAAATATATATATATATATATATAAAAAGAAAGGAAATGGATGACGAACCCATTGCACAGACACCAATTCTCGTGGCGCCGATGATGCCAAGCTCGATCAGCTTTGCCACCAGCATGATGCCGACGGGGACACCTTGGGAGTGGCAAGCCAAGATGACGAGGTCGGCGCTGCGGATGTGGTCAATCCAATTAAGCAGCAACTTCCAAAGGTTCTCGACCCGCTCGCCAATCTTTCCCTCTCCTTCAAGAGCAACCTTTTCGATCTCGCAATCCTCACAGCCATGGGCGTTAGCCCATCTCCTGATACCTTCGGCACAGTGATTGGCGAACTTGATAGAAGTTCCAGTCGGCTGTCCAATCATCGGCCTAAGGTATGCGGCTGGGAACAGTCCATGGACCCCAATAGCGACGGCTTTCTTGATCTTGGGAGGTTCCGAGGTCAGGAAGACATGCTTGGCCGGAGGTTGCTGAGTTCGCAGGAGTAGCTGTGTTATCTGACGGAGAATAGAAGGATTCTCCTTCATGCGGTAAGTTTTCTTGAATGACGGCAGAAGTAGATTCGACGTCGACTGTTTGGGTGGCGTCGAGGCTTTCGCGGGCTGTTTGGCCGTCTCCCCCTTGTTCGATATTTGTGAGGAGGGAGTGTCCGGACGGGATGGGACAGTGTCCTCCATCTCCATTGATTTTGGTCGCAGCCTCTTGTTTTTCTTCGAAGAACTCTCCTGAGTTGTGGCCTGTTTTGCTGGCTTGTCCTGCACCGAAGGAGGTTTTGATGTGCTATCCTTGACCTCAACTCCACTGGCAGGTTTCGGGTGAGCCTCAGACCCTTCTCCCATCACAGCGAGCTGTCCCTCTTCTTGAGAGTCAGATGTCCTCCCCTTGGACTTGGTGCCCGTATCTCGGGACCAGAATGCCCAAGTTGAACCGGCAGATGCACGACCTGGAGGACTCATTGGGGGGGCATCAGGCATCCCTACATCCTCGGAATCTTTCGTGTTGCTATCAACGGCTATTGTATCTGCAGTAGAATCTGCTAATGCTTTGTCTTGGTCTGGCATGGGCCCAGAAACTTTATTCGCTTGTGGTGTGGCCGACCAGAAGCCAAACCAGGATGCGCCGGGTGTGGATTGTTTATCAGGACCAGGTGTCTGCGTAGTCTCGGCTTTGTCTTTGGTGTCTTTCGGCGTTGGAGTTGCCGGAATTTCTGCTTCTGGCTCTTTCGCAGCCTCTGTAGCCTGATCTTGCACTGTCGTAGGGGTAGGGGCAGGGGCAGGAGCAGGGGCAGGAGCAGCACCTGTCGGCCTGCTCAGCCAGCCGAGCCAGCCAGAGCCCGTCGCCGTTGAAGGTCGCTCGACGATAGCTGCGGAAGGTGGGGAAGTTGAAGGCTGCAAAACGGGTAGTGGACTGTCGGCCATGGGAGCATCTTCTTGTTCTGTGGTGCCAGAGGCATCTTTCTTTGAGAGCTTTGGTTGCACCCGTTCGGTAGGTACATCGTCTTTTGGGGTGGTCGATCCGTTCTCGGGAATGTTGGGGAGACCAGCGGCAGACTCTGAAGGCTCGTTCACACTAACTGAGTCTGAAGACTTCTTCGTATCGTATCGACTAAAGTCCGGAATCGACGGGGGCTTGGATGTGTCGCCCAGAATCGTTTCTCTTGCTACCTGTGTCGATGCGGAAGACTTGGGAGCTCGCGGCCATGATCCGTACCAACTGCGCGCCTTATGCACCTTGAAGAAAGTCAACTCCTAGTTCCCTCATGGGAAACTTTAATGAGAAGCTTAAACCAACCTGTTTGAGGGATCTCTGGCTTGAAGCAGCACTGGCAGTGCTTGTGTTTGATTGTTGTCGCCGAGCTATGCCGGGCTCTTTGGGGGACGAGGCAGCGGCTGGGGTTTGTGACGTCGTGCTCGACTGGGATGCAGTCGTGATGGGGAGACTGGCAGAGCTTCCATCTGCTGGATTCGGGCGTACACGCTTTCGAGGACTCATCTTGCGTGCTGCTCGCAAACCACTGGCCTTTTCAGTGGTTCTAGAAGCAAGGTTCTAGCCTTGGTGATCTGGCATGCTTGGGATTTGGAGAATGATGATGCGCTTAGGCCGAGGTTTGTTATGGATGCGATGGTGCCTGGCGGTGGGCAACGGGGATCGATCGCGGCGCAGGTACCTGGTTTTACAGCGTGCTTGGTACGCTTTTACAAGTATTCCAGCCCCGTAAGATAAGCGCTGCCCCTCTAGAATGCCAGTGGGCATCCCCACCAATAGCCACTGAAGCCGGGTGCACGTCATAGGGTGAGAGTGGCTCATGCCAGCCAAGGCGGCGCGCACTGTTAGCGGAGCAGCAGGCCTAGGCCAGACCCCTGCAGGAAGGACCGGACCCCATCAAACGGGCGGTCAATCCAGTCTTATCTTATCAGCTACTACTCCACCACAGATATTTTTTTTTCTGAGGACTCTCTGCTTTAGCGCCTGCTCTAATTGAAGAATCAAGGTACTGCTGCGACGCCTGAATTTTCAAGCACATTTCGAGCACTCGACGTACAGTCGGGTTTGTGCTTTGGAAATCATGAGTTCTCTGAAGCGCAAAGATGCGCCAGGCGGACAATCCGCAGCAAAATCGGCCAGGCCTGCTTCCGAGGGCAGACCGTCAAAACGCCCCAAAGCAGACAAGGCTTCGAAAGCAGACGCAAAGAGCGAGGCGAAACCTACGAAGACCTCGGAATCCAAGCCCGTGAAGGCCCCGATCATATCTCGCCTCAAAGAAGAGGAGCCCTTGTTTCCTCGTGGAGGCGGCAGCGTTCTATCTCCCCTGGAGCAGAAGCAAATCCAGGTTCAAGCCAAGGCGGACGCTCTATTCGAAGAGCAGTCGGGAGCCAATGCCAACAAAGCTGGCAAGGTTTCCAAGAAGAAGAAGGGAAAGTCTGCCACCAAAGGCGAGCCTCGTGATAATAAGGCAGTACACGATGAAGACTCGGTAAAAATTGAGAGCCTCAATTTCAAGGTAAGCCCCCACGCCAGTACCACAATTCTCAAGTTCCTCTTTCTAACAGCTTCGCAGCGTCTCGTCAAGGGCTCTTTGGTGCTTTGCCAAGTCTCTGAAATTCATGCACTTGACCTGGTCGTTACTCTACCGAACAATCTCACGGGACATATCCCGATCACCGCCATTTCACAGACCCTTACCGATCGAATTGAAGCTGAGGCTGCCGACTCTGATGACAGAACGGATGAAGGTGCTGAAGATGATGTCGAGCTGTCCAAGCTCTTCGAGATTGGTCAATACCTCCGGGCCTTTGTCACATCAACAATTGATGACAGTGCTACCAACTCAAGCAAGAACAAGCGTCGCATCGAACTCTCACTGTTCCCGGAACTGGCCAATTCCGGACTCTCTGATCAGGACATCGTCGAGAACTGTACAGTGATGGCGTCAGTTCTGAGTGAAGAAGATCACGGCTTTGTTATGAGCCTAGGTTTTGAAGGATCAGAGCTTAGAGCCTTCCTTCCAAAGAAGGAGGTTGATACCGCCATTGGCGATGGCAGGTTGCAGCCTGGATCTGCTGTTCTCTGTCTTGTCGTCAAGAAAAACGCCAATGGCAAGGTTGTGCAGCTATCCACCAAACAAAGCCAGCTCGGTAGCCCCAAGTCTGTCGCCACTGAAGCCCCGACAATCAAATCCTTCCTCCCAGGTAGTGTGGTTGACGTACTTGTTTCCGAAGTTTCGCGACGAGGAATTGTTGGTAAAATTCTGGGCCATCTTGATGTCACAGCTGACTCGACACACTCCGGAGCTGGACCAGATGGGACAGATTTGGAAGAGAAGTTTAAGGTTGGAGAAAAAGTCAAGGCCCGGATCATCTGCAACTTCCCTACCGCGTCGAACCCGAAGCTCGGCGTTTCTCTGCTCGATCACATCCTTACCCTGAAACAAAAGACGGTGAAGAAAACCAACAAGCAGCCCTTGGCAGTGATGCCAATTTCGTCCATTGTTGAACAGTGCAAAGTCTGCAAAGTCGAGCAAGACATCGGCCTTTGGGTTGATATCGGTGTGGACGGCGTGCCTGGCTTTGTTCATATCTCTCGTGTCAAGGATGGAAAGGTTGACGCCCTGTACGAATCCAGCGGTCCATACAAAGTTGACTCCGTCCACCGCGCCCGCGTCATTGGATACAACTCCTTTGATGGACTCTATCTACTCTCTTTTGAGAAGACGGTTCTTGAGCAACCTTTCTTGCGCATCAGCGACATCCCGGTCGGCCAGGTCGTTCATGGTGTAATTGAGAAGTTGATGATCAATGACGAGGGTGTATCTGGCTTGATTGTTAAGCTCGCAGATGGTATTTCTGGCTTGGTTCCGGAAATGCACATGGCAGATGTGCGGCTGCAACATCCCGAGAAGAAGTTCAAGGAGGGCATGAAGGTCAAGGCTCGCGTCTTGTCAACCGACCCTGCCAAGCACCAGCTCCGCCTTACCCTGAAAAAGACTTTGGTCAATTCAGAGGCCTCGCCGCTGTTCTCTTTTGATCAGGTCTCTGTGGGTCTTCAGACGCCTGGCACCATCATCAACGTCCTTCACAATGGCGCTGTTGTGCAGTTCTATGGCTCTATGAGAGGATTCCTGCCTATTTCCGAGATGAGCGAGGCGTACATTCATGATCCAAAGGAGCATTTCCGGGTTGGCCAGGTTGTCAGTGTCCGCGTCCTCGACGCAGAGCCCGAAGCCAACAAGCTCATTGTATCATGCAAAGATCCGTCTGCATTTGGCATGGACAAGCAATTGGCTCTGAAGAACCTGAAGATCGGCGACATTGTGGCCGCCAAGGTGACGCAAAAGACTGAGGATGACATCTTCCTAGAGCTGGAAGGGAGCCTTCTCAAGGCAACCTTGTCCGTCGGTCACCTCTCGGATAAATCGGCCAGCAAGAATCAGTCGGCGTTGAAGAAGATACACGTGGGACAGATTCTCTCTAATCTTGTCGTCATTGATAAGAATGAGGGACGGCGCGCTCTTGTCTTGTCCCAGAAACCCAGCCTTGTGAAGGCCGGAGAAACTGGCGAGCTTTTAGCCACATGGGATGACGCCAAGGTTGGAGCTGTCGTTTCTGGATTTGTCCGTAACGTTACCGCGACCGCCGCCTTCATCCAATTCGGAGGCAACCTCACTGCTTTACTGCCCAAGTCACTTATACCAAGCAAGGCTCAGGGCGAGCATGATTTTGGACTGCACAAGTTCCAGTCTTTGGAGGTCAAGATTGTCTCGGTTGACAATGGAAGGCTGGTGGTATCCATCCCTTCTGAAGCGGACAAGACGCCAAAGGCAAAGACCGCCAAGATCGTGGAGAATCCGATTGATAATTCCATCAAGACACTCGAAGATGTCACCGTCGGAAAGACTGTCAAGGCCAAGATCACGGCGATCAAGGAGACACAGCTCAATATCGCTCTTGCTGACAACATCCAAGGTCGCATCGCCATTTCCGAGATCTTTGACGAGTGGGATGAGATCCCAAGCGCCAAAGAGCCGCTGTCGAAATTCAAAGTCAAGCAAGTCATTGACGTTCGTGTACTTGGAGTTCATGATGCCAAAACTCACACATTCCTCGCTATTTCGCACAGGACAACACAATCCCTCATAGACTGCTCTATCAAGCCGAGCACTTTGCGGAGCAAGGAGAGCCCCAAGCCAATTTCTCTCGCTCAAGTTGAGGTAGACTCCAAGTGGCTGGGATTCGTCAATAATCATGGACCCAACTGCCTATGGATCAGCTTAACACCCACGCTCCGGGGTAGGCTCAACGCCCTTGATGTGTCGGACGATCTGTCACAGGTCAAAGACCTCGCCACAAACTACCCCATAGGGACGGCCATTCGTGTCCGAGTGACTGGCGTCGATGCAGAGCACGGCCGCCTGGATCTTTCAGCTCGCGCCCCTGGCGCATCCGAAACCCTTACCTGGGACACCATCAAGCAGGGCATGGTTTTGCCAGGCAAGGTGACTAAGGTCAATGATAGGCAGGTTCTTGTTCAGCTCAGTCAGACAGTCTCGGGTCCCATTCACCTTGTGGACCTTGCTGATGATTATGAGTCTGCCACTACCCTACCCTACTCGAAAAACGATATCATCCGGGTCGCTGTTGTGGAACTCGATAAGAGCAACAAGAAGATCAGGTTATCTGCCCGGCCTTCGCGAGTTCTGAACTCCTCCCTTCCTGTAGAGGATCGGGAGCTTGTCAAGGGGTCCAAGCTCGAGGCTGGAGATATCGTCCGGGGATTCGTCAAGAACGTGTCAGACAAGGGCTTGTTCGTCAACTTGGGCGGTGACATCACTGGATTCGTTAGGGTGTCGGACCTGTCTGACCGGTATCTGAAGGAGTGGAAGGACCACTTCCAGATCGATCAGCTTGTCAAAGCCAGAGTAGTTTCCGTGGATGCCACAGTCGGCCACATCTTGTTGAGCCTAAAGGCGTCCGTGATCGACGAGAACTATACTCCGCCTCGAACACTGGAGAGTTTTACTGAAGGCGAAATCGTTACCGGCAAGGTTCGCAAGGCCGAGGAGTTTGGAGTGTTCATCTTGCTCGACAACTCGGCCAACGTCAGCGGGCTATGCCATCGCAGTGAGATGGCAGAGAAGCCGGTGAAGGATGCCAGAAAGCTCTATAAGGAAGGTGACAAGGTCAAGGCCAAGGTTCTTGCAGTCGACCCCAAGAAGAAGAGAATCAACCTGGGCCTGAAGCCGTCATATTTCGATGGTGAGGATAGCGACATGGATGTCGACTCCGATGAGGAAAACGCCGGTGCCGGCCTCGACTCCGAGGACGAGGATAGCGAGGATGAGGATATGCTGGATGATGGCGGGGCGGTGCTCATTACCGGCACAGACAATGACGAGCTCCTGTCTGACGATGAGTCCTCAGATGAGGACGTGGACATGGTTGACTCGACCACAGCGACTGGGTCTGGACTTGAGGCGGGCGGATTTGACTGGTCTGGCGCTGCTCTCGATGAGGCCGATGATGGTCAAGATGTATCTGCAGATGAGGATGCTGGTGATAAGAAGAAGACGAAGAAGAGAAAGGCCGAGATCCAAGTGGATCGGACGGCCAATCTCGATGCTCAGGGGCCACAAACAGCGAGCGACTTCGAACGACTTCTTCTGGGGCAACCCAATTCGTCCGAGCTTTGGACTGCCTATATGGCATTCCAGATGAAGATCAGCGAGCTAGCCAAGGCCCGAGAGATCGCCGAGAGGGCTCTTGACACCATCAACCCACGTGAGGAGACCGAGAAGTTCAACATGTGGATCGCCTACCTCAATCTGGAAGTCGCTTACGGTACGGACGAAACTCTTGACGAGGTCTTCAAGAGGGCCTGCCAGTACAACGACAAGCAGGAGGTGTACGAACGACTGGCTCAAAGCTACATCCAGTCGGCCAAGCACAGTGTAAGTCTAAGCCGTTCACTACCCCGGCTTTTTGAAGAGAACAGATGACTAACTCTGACCTATAGAAAGCGGATGATCTGTTCCAGAGCATGCTGAAACTATTCGGCTCCAAGACTCCCAAAGTGTGGCTTGACTATGCGCACTTCCTGCATTACGATCTCGAGGCTCCCGAGAGAGCCCGTGCTCTGCTTCCCCGCGCTATGCAAAGACTGGAGAAGCACGAACACCTCACGCTCATGACCGAATTCGCGTCTATCGAGTTCCAGTCGCCAAGCGGCAACCCCGAGCGGGGTCGAACCATCTTCGAGGGCATTCTGGACCAATGGCCCAAACGAGCCGACCTATGGGGCCGCCTGCTCGACCTGGAGAACTCGTACTTCAGGGCGGAACGGGCCAAGGGTAAAGATGGAGAGGCAGACCCTACAGTCATCCGAGACCTCTTTGAGCGGCGCACCAGAGCCAAGGGCCTCAAGCCTAGGGTGGCGATGAAGTGGTATGAACGGTGGGGCAAGTGGGAGGAGGAGCACGGTGATGCGAAGAGCAAGGAGAAGGTGCGGGCCAAGGCCAAGGAGTGGGTGGCGGAGGCAGAGAAGCGCAAGGCCGAAAGGGAGGCCGAGGCCGAGGCTGATGACGAGTAGAGCTGGAGCTAAGTCTGCGGACATATACCTTCACGTCGCAAAACGTGTAGTTCTTGTGATCTTTGGCATTGGACCGGCGTTACTGTACTTAAGAGACAAAAAATCAAAAAGTTACCGCGCGGCATTTCATAGTATTGAATTATGACAAGTGACGAACGTTTCGACGATTTACCTAGCATGGATTGAGAGCCGGGAGGAAGTTCGGATGAGGCTCGGTTCGAGCTACAACCGTCATGAAGGGGGGGTTCGATAGGCTTGTACTGGGTATGAGGAGGTTGCGAGTAGGTGACCAGCCATTGTGCAAGCCGTGGATCGGACAAGCGAGGTCCCGAAGCTCTGTGTGGATGTGATCGAGTTCATCTGATATGTCGGCAAAGAGACCAGACATGCCTTCTCGAAGTCTTCTGTGCGTTTAATCAGCAGAGGGTTCGTGGCTCCGACGATGCATATTATGCATAAGTTTACGAGAATAGAAGTAGTATTACAAAGGCTAGTTTTGACACGAAGCTTGCAGTCGTGAAGGTGTGTAAAAAAATTCGAAATCCTGATGTTGTCTCAGCCACAACGTCATTGAGCTTGGAAAAGCTTCCGACTTGGTCTCCTGGTTATTCTTGTTCTTTTAGATCTTTGTCTTGGAGCACCTGTTGACATGAGGAGACACTCTCCCTCTCCAGGTGGGCAGGCCAGGCAGGCCACAGTGACGATGTTCTCGTCCGGTGCCGTCCTGCCGTGGCCCAGACAACACCTGCATCGGAAGATCGCAATGCCAGATGGTCTGTGACCGTTGCAAGGGTTTTTGTCATTCTCGAAGACCTTTTCCCGAGTCTCATGCGAACTGGTGCTGGGGCCTTGCTTTCTCGGGCAGGCAAAAGAGAAGCTGAGGCACGGCAATTAAGCAAGAACCAGCATTATCATGACGTCCGCTTTGGGCCATGTCAAACTCGGCACCTGCAATGCTTGTTTGGTTGGTGTCTGCCGGCGGCCAATGGCGTTGTTGTTTCTCAGCCGCCTCTTGTCTCAACCACCCACACTCAAACGTTTCCTCTTTTCGCCGCACGGCACTCACCACACTTGCTGCCCCCTTCCCGGACTTGACCCAAGGATGGGCTCGGTCAGCACTTACTACAGGCCAGCTGCTCCTCCTCTTCTCTTTTGGGACTCTCGCATCTGTCATCGCGGCTTCTGCCGTGGGGCCGGGGTAACGTCAACAGTCTGTGCGCAAGCGATATTCTCTGGTTCAAGGGTTCCCCAGACCATCCAGATCCAGACTTTCACAGGGTGGCTCAAAGGGAAAGAGGCGTCCATCTCCCCATCGTGCGTGGTTGCGCATGATGAATGTCATGACAGACGGACATCGCCGAACGCTCTCGTCCGAACATCTTGTGGTTCTCCCGACCTGCTAAAATTCCGAACTATTGCGAGGACCGCTCGTTGCTCTTTTCTGGTTCTCTCAGTGGTCTTGACCACTGATTGAACATGATGGTGTAGAGATGAAATCATTGGCTCTTGAAGCGACCTGACACTTGAAGCAACTCACTTTTAACCGAGCCGCTGCTCGCCACTTCGAAGGTGCACGAAGTGTCGAGGCTACTGGCTTTGACTCTACTGAGGTAAGGCAGAGTGTGAGGCTCTTCGACATCTCATCTGCCCTGGCTATTCGACCAAGTGTTGGCTATGGCTACAAGATGAAGAGTAGAATCTCTCCAAATTCGTACGCATGAGCACCTCTGCAACGCGTGGCCACTAGACACGAGGCAGAGTAGCAGCAATCCGACGTCAAGGTCGAATGCGTGAACCATTTGCATTCTCTGCAGTCGGATTTGCGTCGTCCCATCTCAGAGATCTGCTGAGAGGGTATCATGATACACATGCAGGACTTTAGCCGGTTGGGGACCTCTGAGACTCTTTCACACCTGCCAGAGGCACACCGCAGTGCACCGCAGCTGCTATGATCGTCGTCATCCCGTCTCCTCTGACGGCGTTCTGCACCTCGAGGGCTGGATGCTGCGACTGAGCGGCATCAACACCGCCAGTTTCTCGACTTTTACCGGTCTCATGGTCTAAGTATATCGCGTACGCCCTATAACTTATACCAGTTCCCGTCCCCCTTCCTTCTTGTCATCCCATCTCTCTTGTCTTCAGTCTTTCTTTTCGTCTTGATGACTCGCTTCCATGCTGACCTAGTATTGAAACTTTGCCAACTTCTCGTGATCCGGCGAGATGGCCTCGGTGCTAGACGTTAACTCTGAGCCCACGAGTGGGCTTCAGACATTTGCGCTCTTTATCTTATTCTTCTTTCCCGGCCTGGCTCTCATAGTGGTAGGGCTTCGGAATGCAGGCCGACTGGCAACTCGCCAGTTTGGTTTGGGTAAGTTGATTTTGTGTGAGCAGCCAAGGCTTTGGTCGTTGCTAACGATAAGCGCAGACGACTGGCTCATCACCATTGCCATGGTATGAAGTCTCAAGGCGATGCCAATGTTCTCATCACGATGTACTAACACGAGTCGCAGTTTATCTCAGTGGCGGAAACCGTCTTTAGCTATTTCTGTAAGTATCCCCAGCTTCATGATCACCTCGGAGCCTCCCGACTGATTATTGTCAACAAAAGATATCAAGACCAACTTCGTCGGCATCGACGAGTCGCAAATTCCACCGCACGACCCGACGAATGGGAGGATATGGAACTTCGCAGTCCAGATCCTGTACAACCCCATTCTAGCCCTCGCCAAGTCCTCGGTCCTCATATTCTTGCTGAGGCTATTCGGACAAAAGGGCGGTGTCCGCAAGTTCATCATCTGCCTCAACACGTTCAACATCCTGCACATGTTTGGTGTCTTCTTTGCACTCACGTTCCAGTGCTCACCCGTCGCCTTCGCCTGGGACAAGACCATCCGCGGGGGCCAATGCGTCGAGCAGCGCGTCCTCTTTACCTCCAACGCGGTCATCAATATCATTGTTGACTTTCTGATCTTGGGCTTGCCGCTCTGGATCTTCGTGGACCTCAAGATTCCCAAGCGGGCCAAGATTGGCTTGATGTTTGTGTTCCTGCTTGGGTTCCTGTAAGTCATCAGCAGCTTCTATCCTTCTCCAGACTTTGGTGCATCGATGTACTGACTGAGAAACACACAGAGTCACGATAACGTCCATCGTCCGCCTGGTCCTCCTAGTCCAGGGCCTCTTCGGTCTGGTCCGAGGCCCCGGAGACACGAGGAACATCGGCTTCATCACGTCGGCTATAGAGACCAACCTCGCCCTCATCACCGCCTCCGCGCCGGCCCTGCGGCCCTTGCTGCGCTCCCGCGACCGCGGAGGCTGGCTGCCGTCGCTGACGCGCAAGGCGGACGTTGAGATGGCCTCGACGGAGCCCGAGCTCCTGGCGTCGAGGGCGTCGACGACGGCCGGCGCCGCGAGGAGCGGCAGCAGCAGGGGCGGCAAGAGCTCCCGGGGCGGCAGCCTCCGCGGCGGCAGGCGCGGGGGCAAGAGCAGCCGGCGCGGGGGCAAGAGGCCCGTGGCGCTCCGGGACATACGGCTCGTGCCGGCGGGCCAGGAGCTGCGCAGCCAGAGCCCGCGCAGCAGCGAGGAGGAGACCATGACGTCCAACGGCATCATGCGCGTGAGCGACGTGCAGCGCGAGATCGACGGGCTGGCCAAGGAGCTCGTCGTCGTCGGGACCGGTAGCGGTAGCGGCGGCCGCGGCACCGGCCGCGGTCCGCGGTACCCGAGCGGCGCGGAGGTGACGAGCGAGGACATCGCGGACCTGAGGCGGTTCCCGGCCGCGCGGTACCTGGGCGGCGAGGGCGTGTACCCGGACATGGAGTACCGCGGGGAGAGAGACTACAACGAGGAGCGGCTGTCGCGGTACGGCGAGCGGCGGTTCGGCGTCGTGACGCCCAAGACGCCCAAGGCGCCGCCGCCGCGGTGGGCGCAGGGCGGCGGGCAGCCGTTCTGACCTGTACAACATCGTCTTTCTCTCTCTTTCTCCCCCTCCTTTTGCCTTATACCTCATGAAGGGGGGACTACTCATGGCTTGCGGAGTTCCGGGTCCTGCACTTGCACTTTGGGTCTTTTGATATCACGGATCGGAGTTTACACACTAGTTGGGTGCGAGAATGTCTTGTTTCGGTTTTTGTCTTATACCCTACGGCCTGCCTGTACGATGAGGAGATGCTAGGTGAGCCCGGACTTCGAGGCTCGACTTGGCTCGGATACCCAGAGTTAGAGGAGACTGGTGTTAGTTTACAACAGCCAAGCTACAATGGGCATGGACCAGTCATGTGCCTGTCTGTCACTACTGCCGTTGTCGAAATGGAAAATACAAGTAATAATACTGCCTGTTCCTTACTCATCATCCGCGCAACCTCGCATTGTGATTGCTTGCCAGATATATTGGATGTCAACTGCCTATTCTGGTAACGGCGGTGGTCGGGAATACCGAATGACGAAACATCCGGGGCTCGATCCCCCCCCAAAAAAGCACACAGTCCGGGCACTAAAAGCTTCGGTCCTTTCTGGGAAGGGTTCATAGGTCCAGCCAGTCATGGCGGGCTGATAAGAGCACTTTGCTTCTTCGAGCGACGTGCATGCAGTGGCCAGCATACAGGATATTTACTCGCTTCCTGAGTCCTACTTGTACAAGTAGTGGTGCGGAGATTGGCCTGGGGACGGACAGAGATGTCAGGCTTCCACCCCCTCTCCTCTCGGGCTTCGAGAAGGAATGGGCTGTTTGTGGGGTAGTCGTCGATGTCTGTACTTGTAGATGGCTATTTGCCGTGCTACTCTCCTCCAAAGAGCATGCGTGCATGCATGCGTGTCAAAATATCGAGAGGGAGGTGTGACCTCGACTCGAGGAATCCGGGAATTGTCAGCATCGGATAATGCACCCCTTTTCTGTGATAATCCTGCTCGTCCCGTAGATGACAGGCTGTTCTCCTCTGCACAACGTACGTGGCTCCCAAATGGACTGTTTGATCATCTAGGGCTTCTGGGCCCCGATGCAACCTCGAGAGAACACGGGTCGAATGAGAGGCAGCTTGCACACGCAGCAGCACGCAGCACACTGTATGCGGACGACGCGCTACTGCAGGGCTTTTCGTTCTGGACAAGGGCATGACAGGGCACACTGTGCGGATGATCATCTGGCTTCCCACCCCCCAGGGGCGCACTGTTCGCGATTTGGTCGAGATCTCGAGATCGAATCACGGCCCAGATCCCAGGCAACCTTTGTTTCTGAGAGAAGTTGGTGTTGGGATAAGTCATCAGCTGCTGCTGTTTGCTTGTCAGATCACCACCACCACCCACACTTGGCCAATCAACCACTGCGGGCGGGACGGAGGAGTCTAGCGCGGCGAGACAGACACACTTGGCCGATGTTGTGAATGCGGGGGTTCGAGATGTCCTCCAGATGAATGGTGATGGAGGAGTCGGCCAGATGGCATGTGTACATGTCAGCCTGACAAGAACAGAGAGACCCGCCCAGGCGTGAGGATACTCGAGCAGGGCACTCAAACTACCAGGGATCGGTCCAGTTCAGCAGTGCAGTAGCCTAGTGCCACTTACGACACAGGCCAGCGGGATGGTCCCAGTTTCCTTATCTCTACCCAAAGTCGGCTGGGGGTACCACGAGTCCGCGACTGAGGTCCACGGGTGCTGTTGCCCTGAATCGCCTCGATGCGCGGCGCTCCAGTCAGGTCGGCGCTTGCCTCCCTTATCTCGACGAAGCAAAGATAACCTACCTAGGTAACTACCTAACCTCCTAACCATGGCTCTTGGATGTATCAAAAACCTGTCTCGCGCCCCCGGATCCCCCTCCATCTTCCCCCCTCCATAATGTCAGCTCCCGGAGAAATGGGTGGTGGTGTCCTTGGAGAGTCATCCTGTTAAAAACATATGTAATCCATATCTGCTCTGCTTTTTCTTTCCCCTTGACACTTGACACCTACTTTGGACCTCAAACGCCGTCGCCCTCGATACGATACACGCCGTCCATCTCTGGTGCTGGTGGTTTGTTAGCCCCCTCCGCGAGGACGCCCCAGCCTGAGACTGCATGATGAAGTCACATGAGTCGCATTCTTAGGGGTTTTTCTCTGCCGCCACCGTTTGGTCCTTGGTCCGGTCCTAGTCCAATCAGCCAATCCGCCGCCGCCCGCCACCCTGCGCCAGCTGCGTGAGCCACCGCGACGCAGCACCACGCACGCCCGCCCGCACACCTCCCAGTCAACCGCGGCCCAGGCCAAGACCTGACGTTGGGTCATCTTCCCCTTCTGTCCAGCAGCGAACCTGGCTGTCGGGTTTTCTTCGCAGGGTTCCTGACGCATGCTCGTGCATCGCTCTGGCCGAAAGCGTGCGTGTGTGCGCACATCACAGGAGTCATTGACATCCACCGGGGATTTCTCGAAGAAAATACAAACCCACCGTCCGGATAATAAGTTGGCACGTCGCATCGCAACTCTTGCTTTCCTTATCGGATCTAAGTCGCCCAGATCCATTTATTACCAGCTGGGTCCAGGGTCCGCGATTGAGGGTCGACAACGGATCATAGCGCCTTTTGCAAAGGTTGCTTTTACGTACGAGAAAATCTGGGGTACCCACCGAAGCCTGTGATCCCGCTGCATTTGCTGCATCATAACTTGTCCTTGGAAAAGCCGGACTTCTGACTGGCTCAGCTCGCCTGACCACGTCCAAGTGGGCTGGCTCTCCCTCCCACTGCAGCCCAGGAAGGCTCGGGAACGCTGTGGTCGCAAGCCCCCGGGAATGGCCTCCGGGCAGGGCAGTGTCACCCACTGTACTTGTACCTTATTAATGCCCAGTTCCTCTTTGGCATCATGATCTCCCCTCGTTCCTACTTGGTCTCCCGCCAGAAAGAAACACACCACGCTGTTGGCTCTCCGTCGTCGCCGTCGCCCTCCTCCTCTTCCTCTCCGCCTCGGTCTCCTGTTCCTTCCAAGAGCAGCTATGCCCAATCTCGGAGCATCTTTACCTCCAGCACCAGGACTTCTTCAACACCGGCCATGGCGTTCAAGCGGAAGGAGGCCGACACCAAGTCGCCCACCCCAAGTCCGCCAAAAACCACAACGACGCTCACGCGACCGACTACTCCCACCAGCCCTGTCAAGATCCCCGTAAACTCAAAGAACGAGACAGCGCACTCGCACCCGCACCCGCACAAGCACCACCGGCATCATGGAGACAGGAGACACAACCACCACAATTCGTCGGCTTCTCGCCAGAATCCGCGCACGCCTCACCATAATCCCGATGCCATTCCTGCCTCTGTCGCCGCACTGCTGGCCATCACCAATATTCCGCCACCCAGGAGTTCGCGGAGCCTGCGCAGGCGCGCGGCTTACGAGAAGCGCATGACAGTCGACTCTATCATCGAGCAATCTCACGAGGCGGAAAAGGAGATTAGTATCACTTTGAGCAAGAGCCCTTTGGATGTGCTGTTGAGTGCGCCGGAGGATCTGGAAGATGACGATATATCCATATGCGACAGCACTGCCGATTCTATACTCTCAGCCAACACCGTTTCGTTCGAGTCGGTCCCGTCTCTGACAGACTCGTTTACGACTGGGACTATCTCGTCTTTGGAGAGCCCTTCGACTCCTCCTAGACGCCGCAGGACCAAGCCGACGAGAAAATCTCTGGAGCCCGTGTCGTCGCCACCAGGTGTTCAGGAGGTGGTGCACCCGCTATCCAGTCCCACCATTGATGTGGAAGAACTCGACTTCAGAGTCTTTGAACCTGCATCAGATGCCTCGGACAAGAAAGCCGAGTCTAGGTTCCCCTTCCGACCGCTGAAGTCGGCTTTCAAGTCGAATCTGACTGCTTCCTTGCGGGCTCTTCGCAACGCTGCACGATCCTTCTCCAACATGCAACTGACGTCGATCCCTCCCGAGGATTTCCTCACTCGTTCCATCCTTACTCTGGACCCTCGTATCCCATATACTGACGAACGAAGACCGCCGCCTTTGGAAGATGAGCCAAGCGCTGCGCTTCGAAGATATCTTAACCCGACGACGAGCGCGCGCATTGAGTCAAGGCCTTCCGAAGCCGGCCGGCCGGCCGGACAATCCCGCACAGCCTTCACGGCCTCGATTCAGATGCAGACCTACAAGGTCTCGAGGGCACGGAGTGGCTCACCTATGTCTTTCCGGAGCCCTTACGGAAGTCGGCCGACATCATCAGGCTCCAGTGCGTCAACACAGAAGAGTCTCCCGCTGGCCTTTGACGCACTGCCTGGACCGAGGCAGCGAGAAGTGCGCGAAAACCCGGACTTTATTCGCATTGCCGTCATGGAGATGGCGATGCGGAAGAATGGCAAGCTGGATGACCGAAAGCCCGGCCGGGCGCGTCTGGCACTCCCGCCGAGGAAGATGACCGCGAGACCGTATGATATCGGCCCTGACGGTGTCCCGGCACGATGGGTCGCTGTCACCATTTAGAAATCGACCGACGTACAGTTGAAGCACGGCTTACAACTCGCCAATTTGCACAGCTACTCTAGGATCGCGAACTATCGTTTCTCTGACCTGTATCTTAAGGTCCGACAATCACTCATCACAGCGGGCCAAGAATGGCCTTGACAACCCACCATCCACCCATATTAAGCATCACGGACGAAGGTGATTGCCAGCAGCCGGTTTGACCAGTCTGTATATTCGCCGATCGACTACTGGAGCGCGGTCAACCTTTCAGCGGCGAACTCGCTCGACCGCCGAACCTCAACCGAGATTGATCGCGTGGGCCCGGACCTAACGGAGTACACGTTGGCTGCAGCCCAGGGTCCCCGCAAAACTAATAACTCCTTCGAGAATTTGCATGGAAACATGCAGTCAACAATGGGTCCGAATTCTCTTACGACATGCACCACCTCGACGCACCCTAAATGACTCACTTTACCCACGCAATACGACAGGCCGCACTGAAAGGCCTCCCTACATGAACGTCTTATTTTGCACGACAACGCTGGTTTTTCTCTTTGTTTTTCATAGCAGATGGAGCATGGGTTTGCTTTTGGATCATTTCGCAAGTTGGAATAGCATTGCATGGGTCGATCATCGCATCTTGTTTGGGCGTTAGTACTGATGGGTTATTGGACATTGGATGTGTGTGTGTGTGAGTGGACATCGGATACGACTTTGGATCCTGACACACGACGAATGGGGTTTACAGAAGGGGCCAAGACTTCCGGGACCTGCAGATACCGGTACTCTTCGCGGGCGTTCCCGACGTTGGATTCGAAAGATAAGGGCTGCTCGCTCTGCATGGGGGCGTCGGGGTCGGGGAACCGGTGTGCCTCTTGCAAAAGGGTTGCCGGCATCGGCATCGGCATTGGCATCGTCAGCTGGAGAGGGCCACCACACAAGACTAACCCCGTGGAATTGTACATTGTTCTTGATCACAGATATCCTCAAGAACACACAGGTCGACGCACATGAAAGAAATTGGACACAAAATTCTTGACCGCGGTCTCTCTTCCCTAATCAAGCTGGTGTTTGTCCTTCCTCAAGGGGACAACCCTCCTTCCCGACTGGGTCTAACACCCCGGCGTGACCCGGTAATTGAAATGTCGGATAACACGACGGACTTGTCCATTCCGGCCTTACATTTTTTTTTTTTTTTCACACTTCTCTGATTTTTGTGACGCGGCGCACTTTCAGAATCCGAGTCGAGGCTGGCGGCTTCGAGAAGGCACCCCGCCTCCAGCGCTAACGGCCGCTACCGGCGCGCCGGTGACAGCTTCCCAGGGCTGTTGGGATGGGCGGGCTGGGCGATGGCGATGGCGTGGCGTGGCGTGGCGTGGTGTGTGGGTTTCAGGGTTTCTGCAGGTGGGTGGTTGCAGCTTGCCGGTGGGTCGGGTCATCATCATCCCATGGATTCGTCCCTGGGCTTGGTCCTGTTGCCGACGTATATTGCCTCTTTGAGACAACGCACGCACGCAAAAGGCGGAGGTAAAATATGTTCCTCGCGAGGGCCAAGGTTGGTAACTTATCCGGATTTGGGCCTTGCCTTCTTCCAGTACCTAGTTCATGGGTATGATCCTCATGTCTGGCTAGTCGGCCTGTGGTAGGTATCTTTGCTTCGTGCTCTAGGCAGCTTGGACGGTGTGCTGGTTGATATTCTTCCTCTTTTACTTCCCTATGCGTAGCAGTCTTGTACAGGAGAAGAGATATCGAGCCGTGGTTCTCCAAGGAAGAAGAAGCCCGCCCTGCTCGGTCTGGCCAAAACGCCATGTCTAAAACTTGTTCACAACAAACAGCGTTCTTGCAAGCTCTGGTCCTGTAGGGTGGATTGGAGAGCCTCACTTGCTAAATTCCCTTAGCCTGTTTGTTGTCTGTTGATTAGACTCGTTGTACATCATCTTCAATACCATGAAACCTAAGTATGCAGGAATGAAAATCCTGACCTGTCAATCGCTGAATAGTAATGGAATTATTCGTTTGTAGTAGTAAAGCTGCTCGGCTATCGCAGTCCACACAGCTGCCTCCATCTCGACATATGTTATGCCACGCAAGCCACCCTTCCTATCATCTCTATGCAAATCCGCCCCTGTTTCCGCTTTGTGTGCAAAAAATGCTCCTTATAAACACCGTTGCAAGTCAAGTCCAAAGACACCATCCTCCCCAGAGTGATAGGTTGTCAAAAAACACGTTCTTGCTCACACCAACCAATGCAAAGTGATTTATGACAAAAGAAGGATAAAAAGAAAAAAATGTCTGGGGAAGTTGGGTATCCAGTGGGAACGATCAGCTTCCTGCATGTAGTGTCGTACGTAGTATTTGGTAATTCAAGAAGAACGTGACCGTCTCAGCCCGTCTTCATCCTCGCGCTCTTGCTCAGCTTCTTGACGAAATCCGAGCTCCTGTCTCTGTCTCTGTTGATCGGCGTCAGCTCCTCCTCGCGGAGGAAGCTGTCGTCATCGTCGTCGTCGCCGCCCCCGCTCTCGCCCTCTTGGATGTCGGGCGTGCTGGGCTTGCTGGTAGCCGCCCGGCGGAGACTCCTCGTCTCGGCCAACAGCTGCCCGGCCCCGGGCGTGCCGACGGTCTGGCTGCTGGAGCCGCCCGACCCGGACCCCGAGTTGGACGGCTCGCGGTCCTTGAGCCGCGACGTGAACGCGCTCAGCTTCTCGCGCATGCCGCCAATCGTCGACTTGCGGCGCTCGTTCTGCTCGTTGTGCGAGCCGCCCGAGATGGTGACGCTGTATTGGTTCACGCTGCTGCTGCTGCTGCTTGCAGGGCGGAGCTGATCGCTTGGGCGCCTCTTGCCGTTGTCATGGCCACCAGGAGGCGTCATCATCAGGAATTTGGGAACGCCGCCGCCGCCGCCGCCGTTGTTGTTGCTGCTCGGTGGCAGGGCGCTGCGGTGCGACCGACTAGACGCGACACTCGAGCTCCTACTAATCGAGCTAGGCCGTGGAATCGACGACTGCGAGCCGTGCAGAGACCGCGGGGGCGAGCGGGAAAAGTCTACGGGGGACGTGCCAAAAATGGAGGACGAGTCGTCGCCGCTATTCTCTCTCGACTCAGACATAGAAGGCGTCGCCAGGAGCATGGAGCTGGTGGCCAGTTCCCGCAGTTTGGACTGCTGCGCCGTGTTGGGCCTGTGCTTGGAGAACTTGTTGCCAATGATGGCGCCGGTATGCGAGATGAGGGCTTTGATGACCCTGCTCTTGAACGCGAGGGCAAGATCGAGGTTGGACCATGTCTTGTTCCGGTACTCGATGGACGGCAGGCGGAACACAAAGTCGTGCACATCTACAATGCTGCGGTCACCCTTGCCCTTGTAGCTGAGGCAGAGCACGACCGATCCCATCTTGATGTGGGAGAAAGTCATGTAGTTGCTCGCCCGCGTGATCATCTTCGTCAGGTCATCCGAGGGCTTGTCATCTTTGTCATCGTTGCCCTTGCTGCGCAAGAAGCGCGAGACCTTCTTGGAATCGCTGTTGGTAGAGCTTGCATCCCTGGACGAGAAGCCAGTCGACGAGCGGGGCACACCCGGTCGAGGAGTGCCTCCAGCTCGCAGAGAGTCTTGCGATGCCTTCTTGCCCAGACTCTTCGAGCCGGTCGCCGAACGGAAGAACCGGAATGAGTGCCCTTCTGTGGAATGGATACTCAGGGCCTTCTGCTTGATGGGAATGGTCTGAGGGTTAGATGTAAGAGTTGGCCGTAGACGCAGCTCAAGAGATCCGGCCCGGGTCATGAAGTTGCCCGCTTCGAGATCTTGCTCTGAACCACCCATCGCAACGCGACCCATGGACGCATTTGTCGTGTCATCGTCCCCATCATCGTCATCCATTGGCTTGACGATGAATGGGGAATCATCTCTCCCATTACCCGTCTTGTCGCCTTCCATGCCGGGGAAGATATACTCAAACAGCCGCTTGCCAACCTCTCGCTCCAACTGTATCTTCAGTGGGACAAGGCTAACCTCGAAATGGTCCATGACGGGAATCCCCGCGATGGCTTCCAGCATGTTCCAGTAAATCGAAATCATGGGGCGCGTGTCGAGATCAGCAGGTGATCTCTCGTCAATGTACGGTGCGATCATTTGCGGGTAGATGGCGTCATTGAGCAGGTTCAATCCGAGAACCTTGCCAACGCGGAATAGGTTGATGTGCGAACCGTCTGAATTGTCCGTGCGGTCATATTCCATATCTTTGAGCTGCAGTTCGACAAGGGGTTCGTTATTGTCGCGCATCAACTGCCAGACAATCTCTTTCGCCGTGATGCTCCACTTCAGCAACGCATTGCTCTGCGCTGAATCATGCCTGCCCTGGGAGGTTGTGATGGCCTTCATCATAAAGAACAGCTCATCCTCGCAGGCGGACAGATCTCGCTCCAGCAGCAGCCGGTCTTGCCAGCCTTTCTTGTCCAGATATTTGGAGTGGATCTGGAAGTGGTTCTTGATGTCTTCCAGCTGGCGAATGCGTTCTTGCAGCCGTGTCACCATCTCAGGGGCGCCACGAAGATCGCTAAAGTCAGAGGCCAGCATGATCTTTTCCAGCCGCTCGGACCGGGTCTTCTCCAAGGGTTCGCTGTACAAAAGAAGGTCCAGCACGATGACGTAGATGGCGTAGTACTGAGACGAATTGCAAAGGGCTCGTGCTTGAGGGAACTCGACCCATAGATTGTCCATCTTGTTCTCTCCGTTCTCGAGATTGCTGGCTGTTGGACCTTCACCGGTGTTCACTTCGTCGTCATACTTCAAACGAAGCGTGTTGTACTTCTCGTAGCGCAGCATGGCCGAGGTCTTTTGCACGACCCTCTTGAATCCAAACGGATCGGTCTGGAAGTCGAACATCACCTCGGTTGGTACCCAAGGAGGCCAAGACGATCCCAAGGGCGATCCATATGTACTGCCCGAGTACATGGAGAACAGCTGTGTCGAGAACCACTTTTGATGGGTCACGAAAAACTGCGTGCTGTCCATGTTGACAAGGAATCGACGCTGGACAAGTCCGCTGACGTTGTCAGATATCCGCTCCTTATCGACAACCTCAACGACCTTGAGCTCCATGCCCTTCGATGTAAGCAGAACAACATGTTTCTTGTTCTTCTCACTCTGCAGTTGGATCTGCGGGGCGATCAGTCGCACATGGTAGCTGTTCTGGGGTGTGAAGCCATCCGCAATGCCGCTCGTTAAGTCTTCCATAGAGATGTTCTGCGGGCTGTCAGGGTCGCTCGAATCATCTGCATTGACGTATTTTTTGCCATCTTGCAAGATCTTGCGGATTCTATCCTCAATGTCTTTGGTGGTCTCCCTATCGAGATGGTTGTTGTCAGGTGTCTGCGTGGCAGCGCTGCCGCCAGTAGCAGAAGATGCCCCGTTTGTAGCACGAGCAGCCTTCGAGCGAGCCTGCTCCTCGACAATATCGAGGATAAACTTGACTGCTGGGCGAGAGAGGTAGTACACGAAACCTCGCCTCTGGCTGACTTGGTGGGTATATCGCAAGATGATGTTTCGAAGTAGATTGTTCCATTTGAGATGGATGTTGTGAACAACGAAGCGATTTTTGAAGTCACTGACAAACTCCGCTCCAGCGGGGATGGAGACCTGACCTTCGTCAATGTTCACAGAGGTGTCGGAGGCTGGCTCTTTCCTGCCCGCTTCACTGGCGCGACGGTGGGAGTCGTAGGCGATCTGTGCTTCCATTTCCTGGCTCATTTGTTCCAAGAATGCCTTCTTGTCCTGGAGCACCGTGCTATGTTTCGATAGAGCATCGAAATCGGTCTTCAAAGTGGGGTCTCTGTAGTCGTCTCGGACCATGCGAAGCTCCGCCTCTCCAAGATTCCGCGTATGGGCCTCCATCTGAGTTCTGAGCTGATCCAGACGTTTCTGAATGAGCTCATTCTGAACTCGTCTTGGGTCAAACTCGTGCCTCATGATACAGAAGTGGGTCGGTTCGTCCCCGAAAGGACTTGTCCTGTCCGGATCTCCATCAATAACTCCATCAATATCAGTCTGGCGGAAGTATGTGACCCTAGGGGCATAGGCCAGTGGGAGAATTTGGGTATCTGGGTTGGGTTCTGTGGGTAGGATCCAATCCAACTCAACAAAGTCGTCCATATCAATCCACGTGAAATCGTTGTCGGGGATGGTGAAGCGTGACAGGTCAGTGCCATCCTCGGCCTGCTGAGTGATGAAAGTCTCGACAGAGTGTTTTCGGAGGGCCTCTGATGACGTGCCCTTGATACTAGCCGACACCGCTCTGACATCAGCGGACACTAGATCAAGTTGGCCAGCATGTATTTTCATACCAGTCGTCCTCGACTGATTTTTGCGACCACGGTCACGGAGATTGAACTCCTCCCTCCTTTGATGGAGATCGAGCATGAAGCTGTCGAACCTGACTTTGATGCCCGTGGCCGAGACAGCGTCTTCTGAGTAATCTTCCACATCTTTGTGTTTGTAGATATGACTGAGGAAGAGAGGCGCCAGAAGGAGATTATACTTGATCGTTGCAAGATGTCTTCCAAATTTCTTGCTGTTCTTCTCTCGGCCGGGCCATAGATTGCCTTGTCGGATGGGCAACGACAGAGGTCCTCCAAAGAGCGACCACCAAGCGAAGAAGTGTGTGAAGAAACGAGGCGTGAGATGTACAGTGTTGTAACTTCGTGATGGTTCAGGGTTCGACGAGGTCCAGTCGCGGTCTACCGGTGCCCGAACCGCAACTGACATGTGGATGTGTTGGCTTCTAAAGCCTCGGAAAGCGTCATATTTCGAGCCATCCTCAGTCTTTGCGTACGCAGGCATTTTCAGGACGACATCGTAGTGCGGCGTGAACTCAAAGTTTCGCTTGCCGCTCTCGATAGCTCGCTCAAAGACTAAGCCAGCCAGCCATTGAACTTTGCCAGATAGTTTCATAACGACCTTTTTGAAGGCTGCCGAGGACTTGTGGGAATTGTCGCTCTTGGTCTCATCGTCTCCCGTGCTCCGATCAACCTCCCGAGCGTGGTGACTGTAGTCGGGAACTGCCAGTACATATTCGCCGCTGTCTACAGTCATGAAACGCTTGGGATCGTCATCGACGTGAATGTTCCACCGAACATCATTCCTCCAGCACATGAGAAAGCCAGCACCATTCCCAGTAACCTGGTACGGGTCACGGGTTCCCTTGAGTGCTAGGTGGACATCTCCATCTCCCTTCCAAGCCACCCGAACTCGAGAATGGAAGTTGAGGCGTATCTTGTCCCAGAATCCGACACGATCGGAGATGTCTATCTGGGGCTTTGTAAAAGATTCTATGACCATCATCATGTCTTGGACAGCTGGCTGATATGATGGACCCCAGGTGATGCGTGTGGGTAAGGCAGTGTTGATGTCGATATACATGTCGGAGAAAGACTTTACCGCGCCGACAGTCCTGCGTACGTCGATGGCGAAACTGCCCTCGTTTGAGCATCCTGGTTCCAGACTTCTTGGGGGAATTATATTGACCCTGACTTTCCTCGTCGATTCTGGTCCTCGGAACTCCTCGGCGATCACAAAGTTGGTCTTGAGGGACAGTGATGGTAGTCGTGACGGCTGTCCGGATTTCATGCCTGGGACGTGAAGCAGAGGCAGGGGATAGTCACGCAGCGACAGCTTGGCCTCACCCATCTCAATCTGCACATGCATCGGAATGAGAAGGCTGTACTGCATGTCCTTTGGCATGCCCTTGCCAACCTTGTGAAGGAACTCAGGGAGTTCTTTCATGGCAAAGCTGGGTTTATCAATCGTGAAGTGAAGCGAGTTGATAAGGGCGGACATAAGTGCAGGACGGGGGGGAATCTCAAGAATGTTTTCTTGATCTTCGACATCGTCTGGTAATTGGTCGTGGCCAAAGAAAAGATCACGGATGGCGGACATGCCATTACGCGCCATCATGTAATGACGGTCGATCCGTTTCTTCCAGCTTTCAGCATTGTGTAGGTTGAGTTTGTACCGCGCCTCGGCAATGGACACATGTGATGTCCCTGTCATGCCTTGAGAGCCACCGTCCGGATCATATCTGGGTGTTCGGCCTCGGACATGGCCTTCAGTGCTGGATCGTGGCCGACTGTCCTCACTATGGCTGCGGCCCCACGCATGACCTGAGTGAGCAGACCGCCCACGCGTCATCAAAGAACGGTTGCGATACCTGCTGCCGTCCTTGCGAGCTTCTTGCTCATGAATCTTCTTGACTTTGACTCGGAAGGCCTCTTCACGAGCCAGCCTTTGCATTTGCTCCACTCGCCCAGCACGATATATCATGCCAAGCTTCCATTCGAAAGCACCATCTTCCAATTCGAACAGGAAGGTCTTGCTGCGCAATGAGATTTTGGGGATGTGCTTTGGCCCTTCAGGGCCTTTCTCTAGGATGTATTCGTTCGTCCCCGTCTTGAAGCGGTGATGGAGTTGCTGAACAGACTTGAAGACGTTGATGAAGTTGTCGGTAATTTTATGGAAGACAAGCTCATGAGGCACAGCTGCTCTGATTGCATCTGTCACAATGTCGACGACCCGATCCTCGTGAAGGCCACCAACCGCGGTGCGTTTGCGAGACTCTCGGTATTCCAGCCTTCCGTTCTTGATGCTGATAATCCGGGCCCAAACACTGCGCATCCGCGGGGCCTCGGCATAAAGGCGTATGAGTTTAGACTGGAAAAAGGGCGGTGACCACCGATGACGGCCCGCTTCCAAGTTGTAGAGTTGGAGCATCATGGGAGGATCATTCGGCATATCCGCTTTGATCTGAACCAAGGCAGCCTTGACGTCAACAGTGACGAATTCTCGGGCGGGGTTCGAGCTGTCATGATGATGTTGACTTCTGAACGGATCGGGCGACTGTGGAGGGCTCAATAGATCGACCTCGTGCACTGCTGGTGGAGGCGGTGTGCCTCTTGGGTTGGCTGTGTCCTTGCTTGTTCGCATGAAGGCCTTGCGTAGGACCATAGTCGCAACTCCCACAGCATAATGGCGGTAAAGGGAGTAATGTAAGAGCAGGGTGCGGACATGCGAATTGATATGGAACATCGGCCCTTGATGGTCACTCAATGTGGAAAAGGCGACCTCAAACCTGGGTACGTTTACAAAGGGCTCGATTTCCCATCTCTCCGAGGACTCAACGACAAATGCCTCAAGGAGTCGTCCGTGGATCGCGATGCGCCGACCATCACCGTCATGATGGTGTTTCTTCCGCGGCGAGACCGGGACGGACTTGAGAAGTTCGTTATCAGGGGACAACATCGTGCGGCTGCTGGCTCGTTTGCGATTTGGTCGTCCTTTGGCACGGTCGAGCCTCTGTGCCCTATACTCGGCCGACCAAGAGTCCAACTGGACAGCCACTCCTCTGGTGTCATCAGATATGTCATCATCAACACCAGCAACCTCCAAGCTGAATTCCGAGGCTTGCAGGTGGAAATGAAGAAGCCAATCAGGCATCGCACGGAGAAAATTCGGATGCTTCGCAATCTTCGATACGGCACGTTTATCGGGCTCAACGTTGAGCCGTAATTGTCGAACAATCTGCCGCAGGCCATCGCTGATCTCTGGCCGCACCATCTTGATTGAGAAAGTCTGCAAAGTGCCCGTAGCCATAACGTGCACCTCCGGTGTAGCGCTTAGCTGCACCTTCAGCTCGAATGACTCGGTTTCGAGTAAATCGAAACGTGCTCCGCCAGATGTGTGATAATACAAATTATGAGACTGTACTCTCACGGTCGAAGCCAGCGAATAGTGAAGATCTTCGATAGCTGAGTGGAATGACTCTACATCGAGCGATACAGAAGATATCGATGAAATGATAAGATCAAAATCATCCGGGTCGCCCGTTTCTTGCACAGGAGGCAAGGCAACGCGGATTACCGGCTCATGCATTGTGAATTTGATGTTGGCCTTGGGAAGCAGACGCGAGATCAAGACATGACGGCCTTCCGGTTGTGATTTGCGGGCCTTTGGCTTAGGTCGGAGAATGGCGAGGACGAGGGGAAGGTGTTTTGGGTCCAGGTCAATAGATGGAGATGTGACAACCGAGTTTGCGAAGAGTATATTCGCATTCTTCTCGTCGGCACTCCGCTCGCGGGCGATCTCGACGGTTTTCGATGGCAGGGTGGTCTTGACGGTCGTTGTGGCCATAGGAATGTACATAATCCGTTGCGGTTTGCCATGGCCGTCATCGATGCCAATTGAAATCGACAGGGCGGCTGCAAGCGCTTCGTGGGCGATATCTTTCGAAGGGAAATACATCCTGTGTGCAGGAGACTTGGGGTCAAGGCGATGTAGGTCGATCCCTAACTCCTTCATCGAGGCATGTAGCAGGACAGGTGTACCCCCTGCCGTCTTGACGGCCTCAACCTTCTTGGTCAATCCGACATAGCTGACGGCAAATTGCACTTCTTTCACGCCCCTCAGAATGGAGCTTATGAACTCTTTCGAGTCTGACACGGTTTGGACGAGACCGTCATTGGTACTCCCTGGGGTGTCGAGCTCCTGTATGACCTGGTCCACTGAGATGTCCTCGAATTCTTCCTCATTGGCTGCCGACACAGCCTGCCGCCGGCAGAGCTTGTGAAGATCGCCCCATAGCTTGATATCATCTAGGGGAAGATGAACGCGGCCGACCTTGACCGCAACCGCAGCATCCCGCAACCCGTCAAGAGCTTCATAGAGGTAACCGTGAATGTTGATGGTCGCGCTCTCAAGCACCTCCATAGACTCGTGTTGATCAACCGTGAAGAGGACGCTCTTCAGCGTCAGGATCCACTCTGCCTGCTGTTGTTCACGTCTCTTTTCGCTCTTGCCTTGGAAGAAGAACCGAGCACGATCTACCATTTTTCGTCGAGTGTCCACGCCGACTGTGAAGCTTCCAACCTGAATACTGCCCACATCCACGACGTTCAGAGTTGAGTTTGTCGCGACGACGTCAACCATGCGCAACCAGTTGATATTGCGATGGAGGCGCTTGAATCTATCCTTCAGCCTCGTGAGCTGCTTCCACGTTTCGCTTCGCGCGGGGACGGCCTGGGAGCGGCGTGTCGAGGAGGCCCGTGAAGGCGTGCTCGGCGGGGTGGTGTCCTTGCCGTCCTGCGAATCTCCATCATCGGATCCACCTGCTGTGGCCTTCACTCCTTCCAGCTCCCGATAGTCCACTGTGACGACCAGTTCGTCGATGACGATGCTCAGCCAGGTCGGTTGTGCAAAGGTGGGCCGGTGGACATTGAGTCCCAGGCCACGGATTTCGATTTTGAAGCCATCTCGGGGGACGTAAGCCACTCTTCTCACGGAGAAGTAGCCAATGCGCTGGATGGATATCCCCGTGAGTATTCGAAGTATCGCGAAGAGAACGAACGACGAGAGGTAAAGGAGGACGACCCAGCCGAAGATGAAGGTAGGATTGAACAGCGCCATGTCGGCGACAAGTTGGTTCGGCTTGCGCAACCCAGTTCCCTATCCTAGAAGCTTCATAAGCTTGGTGCAAGCTTCAGGAGTGGCGCGAGGGCATACCTTGAGGAGGCCAGAGCTGTGGCATCTCCAGCTGTCAACCGTGGCGCAATTGGTTGCAGTTTAACATGATGGGTGAAGACTTGTTGAGCTGGGATCCCCTTCTCGCTTCGTTGGGAGGCCTGTAGATATGCGGCTATCGAGCAAAAGCGGATTCGGCAGTGCAACACCGGTCCCAGCAAGGTAGATTTCGATGATGTTGGTGGGATAATACAGCCGACACAACGAAAACCCGGGCCTCCAAAACAACATGCGACGGCGAGGCACGGCTGTCAAACCTTGGTCCTCGAACGGGAATGCAGCAAGGCCGAGTCAGAGGGCCTTTGTGAGGGTGCAAGTTGGGGTTTTGGGAATCTCGTGGATGCGGGTCTTGGATTCGGTACGCTTTATTGGCCATCAAGATTCCAGCCGGCGCAGTTGGGCCAGTCAGGCCAGTGATAAGCACAGGGCACTGATAGCGGCCCCGCACCCCATAGTTGGTGGCCACTCGCTGGCTCATGCCCCGAAAGCTTGGGTTCCTTAGCTGAACGCCAGCCGGGGCCATCAGCTGATCTCCCCCTTTCACTAAATCTCCCATAATAAAAACAGTACGCTCGTCACTAGGTACAAGTACTTTACTCGTAGAAGGGTATTGTTGACAAGATCAATTGAAGTTCTTGAGGTGATTCAGGCACGGATTGAACACTCCTTTTACTAACCAGTTCTGTCTGGCGGCAAAGATCTACACCCGAACTGTCAGTGGATTCGGTCCGCCTTAGGCTTGTCTCGACTTGTCCGAGACTCCCGAGTACTTTATGTACCTAGGCATTTGTTCGTTGATCCTCAACTCGAATGAAGCAACACGAGGCCAGGCCAAGCACTTAACTAAAACGGAATGACCAATTACCGAGATATAGCTCTAGTCTAGGACAAGAACATCCTCAAGTAGATAGAGCGTACTTGTCTTATCTTATTTAGTCTCTATGCTCTGTCTCTTGCACTTCTATATTGTGGTCCTGGAGTCAAGGCAAAGTATTCTGAGACGATGCCATCAACAACGGGGCAAGAATGGTGTGATGGTCACCGATAATCCTGCTTCTTGTGTCATCGGTTCTGAATGATCAACTCTGGTCCCAAATCTGACCAGTCAGTTTGCTTTGTGATAGATGTCCCATCCGGGAAGTGCAATGGACAACCACACTTTGGTAAGTGAATACAATCTGTTCTGCTACATTGGTTGACTAGGTATGTAGCCTTGGTAACCTATCCTCCACAGCATTTGAGTAGAGGCTCCGCGAGCTATTGTAAGATCTCCAAAGTATCTGGCTGTCTAGGAGCTACAGCTCCGTTGCGGGTTGGCTGGTCCACAATTCTGGAGACGGCCACTCCATCACGATGAAATCATTGACATCTACCAACCTTCCACCATTACATCAGGACTGGAGCCCTTGGATGACGTCGAGATGCCCTAACTGCTGCTATGATAGCTATATAACTGTGACAGACAGGTCTCAGTAGGGCGGTGGATAGTTGTAGCTCCTGTATCTGAATTCCAATTGAACCCGGCTCTTCAACAACATCGATACATAAATATAATTCCAACCATGGCTCCGTCAAATAACGAGTTTCGCGACATTGCCGCTCAAGCTGAGCGTGACCTCAACAGCTATCAGGCCAAGACTGGCCACGCTCGGTCCACTGGGCTTGACGATGCCGGTGTTGACTCTATGTCGGAGAAAAGGTTCCCTGGTTCAGAGGTGAAGTATCACCCGGATATCAGCACCAACGCCGGCTACAATCGCCGCATCCCTCCCGAGGAGGGCGGTGATTTAGATGACCGCGGGCGGTAAGTTCTAGAGGTCGCCAGGCTCATGGTTAGGAATCAACACTGACAAACACGACCCAGTCAAACCCGTGGCTCGCACTTCGAAGGTAGCGGCGGTCCTGAACACAAACAGGCGGCGCTTCAACGAGACCAGGGAGGGAACAATGATAATGATGTGTTAAGCGAGGACGTACTAGGTCGGGACAAGATTGCTGCTCCGGGCAAAGAACGCCGGGGCAACGGGACTTTGGAACAAGGAGTGGATGCTTCGAAAGCCAATGTTGGCCGTAACCCGCCCGGCGTCGGCGGTGCAAAATACCGTGGGGATGACTACTACCGCCCAGAGTCCGTGCCAGACAGTGTTGCTGCGGAGGGATCTATTCCCCCAGAGAGCGTAACCCAGTCTTCGAGGGAGACCGAAGGGTATTACTAGACCCTCCTATAGTTTCAAAATCCAAGTAAATTAAATGACACCAATGCCGGCCATATGCTGCGATGCAAAGTGGAGTTGTAAATGTACAGGGGGTATCTTGTGAAGAACAGCTTCTCTTACAAAGTCGACCACGGCCCTGATTCTTATGACTTTCGCTCTGATGGCTCCGGCAGTGATGCGGACTGTCTCAGGGCGGCAATGTTGTCATCGATCAAGGCTATCTCCACCTCAAACTTGAGAATCTTCTCTTCGAGCATCTTCTCATACTGCTCATCACTTAATGGGGTGACCGGACTCCATTTAGAAGCCAGCCAGCTGGCCTTGGGCTTGGAGGTATCCTTGGCTGGCATGGAATTCGCCACCATCTGACCGGCTGCACCGAATAAAGTGAACATGATGACACCTGGGACGATGTTCTTGGGTCCTCCTATCAACAAGGTTCAGTTCCATGGAATCTCATCATGCAGTAAAGCTGGGCCATACTTACGGACGAGACCGCCGGCAAAGCCGGAGAACCCTCCAGCGAGAGCACTTGCTTTCACCGTATCAGCAGGGGTCAGCTTGCTATCACCGCCCCAGGCAGTGATGACGATCCTTCGAGAGGCTTTTCCATGGTCAGCGATTCCTTGTTCGTAGACACACCACCGCTACAGCTGGAGTGCCACATACCGTAAAAACTTGAGCCAAGGGTGAACCACTGGATACCACTTGCAAGTGAGAACAACAGCGGTGTATTTGACCGAACGATGCCAGCAGCCGCTCCAGTAAAGAGACCAAGCGCCCCTAAATAGGTACCCAGTCAGCCATGCACGCTCTCAGCTTGCTGCAATAGTAAAGGGATGAACCGTACCGGCAGCTGATCCGACCTTCAAGGACGGAACCAATATGTCCATGACTTCCGGTGGGAGGGGCGTCCTGTCTCGTCTTTGGGGACGAGGAGCCTCTTGATCTGAAGATGTTTGAGCCATGATTGGCTGATGATCAAAGGTTGCTAGGATAAAAGGGCTGTGGAAGAGACAAAGATCCGTATGAGGTGAGATGATGAATGTTATGGCTGATGAAGAAGGACTGTATTATCCGAGCAACGTTTTCCCTTGGTCGCTGGCCGATCAAGAACGTAGAGATATGCATGGACAGAGAAGTGAAGAGCCTTCATCCATCGTTGAGAGACTGAAGATACAAGTACATGTAGACTTCAATGGGGATGAAGTGCAGACCAATCCCCTTCGATCCATTGAAAGACTTCACTTTATCCACATTCACGGGACGCAGGGAAGACCCGGATTTTTTGCCGGGCGTCCGATCAATCACTCGGGCGTGCCAGGGCTGGCCTGGCGTCCAGGCTACAGGGCAGTGCCTGAGCCGCCTCAGTGCTCTTGGCCCATCAAAGAGCAGCCCTGGAGCCCTGAGGCCCTGCACGGTGCAGCCAGCATCCACAGAGCAGCGCCCCTCCCCTGGAGGCTGGAGCCAAACAGCCGGGCTAGTCCGGAATGGGACTAGCGGAGAGGATCCATGGCGAGCACTGCTTTGCTTTGCCGGATGCGAAAAAAAATAATGTCCAACCCTCAATCAACCTCATATTTTTTTGCAATCACCCCCAAAAATTAATCCCACTCGCACAGGCTTGCAACTCCGCTTCCGCAGCCTCTTTCGCGGATCAGCCTCACCACCTGCCTTCCCCCCTCTGTGCACCAATCTCGACATTGGACACAGACTTGTTCCGGCTCCAAACCATCTCGTCGTATTACTTCTCAAGTTCTCGTCCAGTCGGCCGGCCCTGCAAGTCGTCGACTAATCCCACCTGCCTGCGCGCCGCGATAGTTCATCGTCGCGCGTGGCCAAAAAACCGCATTCCATCATGGGTATGAGCCTTCGCCGTCCACACCAGCAACGCCCTCGAAAACACTTCGATCGCCCCTGTCAGATTGTTCTGATCCCGCTAACATGCCTTTTCAATAGCTCCCAAAAAGAAGGAGGTCCAAAAGCTCTCCTATGGAGAATTCATGACCGATACCTGTCAGTAATCTCCCAAATCACCGAGTCTATTTCGAGGACCTTTCCCGAAAACCTTGCCTGACCGTCATCTCAACAATAACTGACCAAGCAACAGCTTTTGGAGGATCCTGGGCTGACGAGGTTGAGGATACCTATGGTACGTAATCTATGACCTGTCCTGCGATTGCTTCAGGAAGCACCGACTTGGCCTCGCTTTGTCTACCCTGGCCCTGTCCCCTGGATTTCATGCCACGCGGAAGCATCCCTAGGCTAACTTTATCAATTAGGATCCCAGCCCTTGCCTGCTCCCGAGCGTCGTGCTGCTCCAGGTGCCTGGGGTGATCGCGGTAAGTTGATCTTCGTCTCAGTTGGTGTTCACCCGGATGCTCATCATTTTTTAGGCTTCCACGTCCGCGACCCCGGCCCGCAGCAGCTTCCCGAGAAGGCGCCTTTCACCGCGCACTTGGGCAACCTGTCTTACGATGTGACCTCTGATGCCGTCAGCGAGTTCTTCGAGGGTTGCGATGTCATCAATGTCCGAATTGTGGAGGATCGCGAGCAGCAGCGCCCCAAGGGCTTCGGCTATGCCGAGTTTGCTGACGTCGAGGGCTTGAAGAAAGCACTGACTATGGATGGCGAGACCTTCCAGGGTCGAAACATTAGGATTCGCGTTGCTGATCCTCGTATGTCCTTCCCGCCTCTTTTCCTGCTAGGTCAGACTGCTCACAAGTAAACAGCCAAGGACCGCGAGGGTCGCACTGAGATGCGAGACATTGATTGGACACGACGTGGACCTCTTCCGGATCTCCCTAACCGCGGTGGTGACCGACGCGGCCCTGCCGACTTTGCCGATCGCCGACCCTCTCGTGATGCTCCCGCTGACGATGGACGAGTTCGTGACTTGGGCTCATGGGAGCGAAAGGGACCCCTGGCCCCTCTTCCCCAGCAGGAGCCTGCCCCTGGTTCTCGCGATGGCAGCCGGCCTCGCACCAACGAGGGCGGTCGCTCTGAGTCCTACCGCGGCGACAGAAGGGCTTCGCCGGCTGCCTGGGGCGAAGGCCGCCAGGAGGGTTCTCGTCCTCCTCGCCGCGAGTTCACCGAGCCGCGCCCTGAGCGTGTTCCTACCGCCGCCGAGCGGGACATGCAGTGGCGAACTAGCATGCGCCCTGATGCTCCCGTCAAGTCTCCTACCCAATCTCGCAGCGGAAGCGAGGCCCCTCCTTCTCCAGCTCCCGCCGCTGCTGTCCCTGCTTCGCGGCCCAAGCTGAACCTGGCCAAGCGAACCGTCTCGGGTGCGCCTGATGTCACCTCCCCAGCCCTGCCGTCTGCGACCGATTCCAAGGCCAGCCCCTTCGGTGCTGCGCGACCTATCGACTCTGCCGCAAGAGAGCGCGAGATTGAGGAGAAGCGACAGGCTGCTCTGAAGGAGAAGAAAGAAGCCGATGAGAAGGCCAAGGAGGAGCGCCGGCTAGCAAAGGAGGCTGCTGCTCAGCAAGCCGCTGAGAAACAAGAGGTCGAGGCGAGCAACGAGGAGGCTCAGCCCAAGGTTGCTGAGGAGGCTGCTCAGGAGCCCCCCAAGGAGGCAGAGGCCGCTGCCCCCGAGGGTCAGAACGGTGGTGATGGCGAGCAAAAGGCGCCCCTGCGCCCACGCGAACCCAAAGAGAATGTGCAGAACGCCAAGTCTCGTGCCACAGAGAGCGGCAACTGGCGCTCGGCCTCGGGCGACCAAAGGGGCGCTCGCGGTCCTATCCCCAGCGGCCCCCGCCGTGGCGGTGGTGCACCCCGTGGTCCCCGCGACGGACCCCGAGCACCTCGTGCCAACGGCAGCTCTGCCCCTGCTGGTCAGCAAGCCCCTGCCCAATCCTCGGCAGAGCCAGCTCAGAAGACGACCGATGAGGAAGGCTGGGAGACTGTCCCCAACAAGGGACGACGCAACCAACGCGGACGGGTTGCGTGAACTGTACAATATAACTCATCTCAGCGCGTGGCCAAGAGCCAGATCTCGGTGCAATAATCAGCGACAATACCTTCATCGGCGAAACCTCCCCGCGCACCCATTCGATTCTCGCCTTTCTCGTTAGCAAGACTGCTCCGCCAACCCCACACCCGAGGTTTGAGCCATGGGTACTAATGCCAGTCGGCAAGTCGATAGGCAGTCGGGCATATTTTGAGAGCAATACTACCTCTCGTCGAAGATTCTTTTGCGCTGGGCTCTCCACTTACCAACAACTCTCGCGTTTTCTCTCATTGTCACGACCTCCACGACGTGGTATGGATCTTCAACGATTTATGGGTTGCCGAACATCTCACGAGGTGATGCAGACATGGATTGATGGAATCATGAAGTCTAGGGGGGTGATTCACATACTTTGCCCACTTACTATTACTATAATAGGGGAAGGCAACTCTGGTAGCACAAAAAAGCTGCACCATTTTGAGAGATTCAGTTTCGTTACCTAAAAAGCATGATTTCTATCGGTCAATGGATGGAGCGTACTTTTACAATTCTCCTTGCAGGTTGCATTGTTTCTTGTGTGTATTCGTTGGCCTCGTAGGACTTTTTTTCACGTTTGGTCATCTGATGCCCAGGAACGAACACGGAGGGCATTTCTCAACCATTTTCGACCTTTGGGGCGTTTGTTCTCCTTGCAGATGGAAAAATAGACTTCTTTGTTGCCAGACCGTCTCTTATCCTGGGCATGGATCTTTTTGCGTGAACTATCTCCGGTGAATCCATAATTTGAGTATTGAGCACTACAGCTCGTAGCTGTGGCTCATGGCTGTGAAGGGCAGCTCTTCAGTAAACCTCATCACTCGGGCGTCGCGAAAAGACGTAGTCTGGTCAATCCGATGTTGTGTCCCTACCACACAGTGCTTTCCGAGGTCTATCTCTATGCTAGGTACCTTGCTCCATGAATCCCCAATTGTCCACAACCATTCGGTATGCCCAATCGTTGACCAATCCCCCTCAATGCTCTCCCTGTCCGAGCCCAACAACTCCAAATCACCTCTTGAGCGTCTTCTGCTTCTCCGCGTCGGTCGCGACGTTGCGGCCCTCGACCAGCAGGCCCTTGCGCCGGCGCACGCCGTCCATGTAACGCTTGGCGACGTTCTCCTTGTCGCCGAACTCGCCGAGGTCCTCGAGGTCGTCCTCGGTGAAGGGCACCCAGAAGGGGTCCTCGTCGAGGACCTCGAAGCCGGCGAAGATGAGCTGGGGCTGGGCGGCGCCGCTGGTGCGCTTGCGCATCTCGTCGGCGAAGCCGAAGGACTCGGCGGCGGGGACGAGGGAGAGGATGGTGAAGAAGGGGGTGCCCTCCTTCATGGCCTCGGAGAGGACGCGGCCGCGGCGGCGGGTGAGGACGTCGTAGACGCGGCCCAGGACTTCGGCTGTGGTTTAGGGATGTGTTAACAAGCCATGGTCATGCACAAAAGGCTTATGCGGCAGAGAGGTGTGGCCGAAGCTTGGGTGCGCTAGGGGGAGAGATACTTACTGCTGGCTTGGATCTCGCATGAGTACATGGCGAGCATCAGGCGCGGCGACCAGTCCAGGAAGCCCTTGTGTATCGACTGCTGCACTGTCTTGATGACCTCTCCGGTCAGACGGCCGAGCTTGTCTCGTGCGGATGCCGTCTCCTCCTCCGCAGTCGCGATCACTACATCCTCGATGATGACGGCGACGCCCTGTACTGGCTCGTTGCAAAGAGGTCCCTGCGCAGTTGCCAGCTGAAAGGCGTAGGTGATCTTGTCGGAGAAGTGCTTGGGGCTTAGGCTCTCGTCGCCTTGGGGGTTGGCGTTCTGTTCTCGCTCGGCCGTGGCGAAAGCCCTGGAGAGGCATCCGTCTTTTGTCGCGTCGATGAGCAAGTTCGGTCCTGTTCGCCTGGGGCCAAATGCCGAGATCTTGTCCACAAGACCCTTCCAAGCGTCCCGACCTTTGCCGTTTTCCAGCTCGGCCTGGAGCTGTCGCTGGAGCTCTTCCGGAGACAAGACCTTCGTCTCGGTCACTTCGGTGTCCTCTTCCACTCGCTCTTCGGCCGTCTGGGCAGTCTGTTCTTCCTCCGTGGCGGCCCCAATCTGTGCGTTTCTAGAGCTATAGAGCTTCTTGATGGCACCAGTGTGCTTCTGGAGGAAACTGGTGACCTCTGAGGGCAGCGGACGCACCCGAAGGGTGACGGTTATCTGCTTGGAACTGGTCACACCGATGACTGCGCCACGGCCGAGCTCCTTGTTGACGGGGGGCCTCATTTCTTCTGCGCGGACGATTGTCTCCCTGTAGGGCACGATTGGAGCGCCTGCCTGAATCTCACATCGCGCAAAACGCTCCCGCAGGTCCGTCAAGCACCTCTCGAGATGTAGTTCACCTGCCGTGAGCAGCACGTGCTCTCCGCTTGCGAACTGTTCGTATTCTGCACATGGATCGCTCTGCACCAGAAGGTGCAAGCCAGCAATCATCTTGTCGAGGTCTGCCGGATTCTCCGGCTCCAGTGCAACCCGAACGATGGGCCGGCCGCCCATGTTAGCCACACCGGCAAGGTTGCAGGCGCCCTCGAGCTGGCTGCACAGAGTCCCGGTCTTGAGGATACCAGAGGCGTCCAGTCCCCGTATGCCGAAAATGACGCCTGCTGGAACCGTAGGGAGGCTCTCCAGATTTCGACCCATGAGCATATAGAGTGCTGTGACCGTGACCTTCTTGGGCTCGGGGTTGTGGTGTGGCTGTGATGGGGAGAACTTGGGCGGTAGAACGTATATCTCGTCGCCTACCGAAATGGTCCCCGAGTATATGCGAGCAAACCCTATTAGGTGTTCTGGGTCGGCCTGCGATGCTTCGGGAACGGGCTCATCCTCTTCTTCATTGAGCGTCGTGTTCTCCAGGGCACTGCTAATGTTGACGATGACACTCTCGTTTCCTGTTCCTGTCGCAGCTTGTGCCTTGGCCGCCTCTGCTCGTTTCCTCCGTGCTAGTTCCCGTGCTTCTTCCGGGCTCAAGGGCCCGTTGCGTCGTTTGTTCTCAGGGAGCTCGCTCTCGGGTACCGAGACCATTTTACTGACATATGCAACCATAGGATCTGATTTTGACTGCTTGAAAGACACCATAGCATCTCGAACTTTGGCGTCAATGGACTCAGCCCCTGGAGATTCATCCAAAAGCTCAGGAAGTCGGTCTGCTTGCGCTTTTCGCGGCGAAGGGAGTGACTCGATCACCGACACCAGTAAAGCAGTCGACAACGGTACCCAGGATGAGAAGACTGTGGTCAATAGTAATCTTGGATCCCTGGAGCGCATGATATGCGGCGGTATCGTGATGTTTAGAGATTTTGTGATCTTCTCGAGCAGGACCGAGTCTCCCCTTCCACTGTCCCCGCCAATTGTTGCGTTGTACACTGCCCAGATCTGTTCGAGGACCAGCTGCACAAACATGGGCTTGAGATTCCGTCCTTTGAGGTGCTTTTGCCCTAGAACTTTCTTCGTCTTTGGATCGAGGTAGAAATTGCCCCATAAGACCTTCTCCATGACAGAGCGCTTGATTCCGAGCTTCTTCTCGTATAGTACCGCAAACTGCCTGACTGTGAAAGCCCAGCCGTCAATGGCGCTGCTAAAAATGACGTTGTTCTTCTCCGGTGCAAAATAGATGTCCTCGTCGTCGCGCTCTTCGAACTGCAGATCGCCCGCCTCACTCTGCTGGTCAACTATCTGAGCCTCTTTCGCCGCCGTGGCGGCAACGCGCTCCTCCATGCGCTCTCTCCAATTCAGATCTTCTTCCATTCGCTCGCCCTGAAAGAAGCTGCCCAGAACAGCGTTGACTTGTTCCAGGAGTTTGCTAATGTGGATGTAGGCTTCGTTAGGCGTCATCTTAAGCTCTGTGATGAGCCTGTCCATCTTGTTGATCACCAGAAGCGGCCGCAGCTTCTCAGTCCACGTCTGTCTCAGTACTGTCACCGTTTGACTGCACACACCCTCGACGGCATCCACAAGAACGACAGCACCGTCGCATAACCGCGAGGCGGTTGAGACTTCACTGCTGAAATCGATGTGTCCTGGAGAGTCAATGAGGTTGATCAAGTACTCCTTGGCTTCGGGGGCTGCCTCGGGGCTTGATCTCCTGAGCATGGAGAAGTATAACGAGATGGCTGAGGACTCCATGGTGATTCCTCGTAGCTGCTCGTCGGGTCTTGAATCGAGATACCGGATCTTGCCGGCCAGCTTTGGTGAGATAATGCCATTCGTGGCGATGAGGGCGTCCGTCAAAGACGTCTTGCCATGGTCCTTTTGCGACGTGTGAGACCAGATTTGCTTGGAAATGTAATGCCGGATGATTCACTTACAACATGGGCCAGGATACATATCTAGGACTGATTAGCACTGTGACTGTTAGGGGGGGGGGGCTGTTGGAGGAATACTCACGTTTCGAACATCATCGGCGTGCTGCTGGAGCTTGGCCAGCTGTTCTGGGCTGACGACAGGCATATTTGTTGCTTTCCTTGATCACAACAAAGTAGTGAGGGGTGACAGACTACAGTGAGGATTTCCTATTCTCACTGATAAAGGAATGGACAGGAGATATATCATCCCATATATCCTGGGTAGCCATCAAAGCTTTCTTGCCTGAGCTCGTTTGAGTTACTAACACCCCGCTGCAGGCATAAAATGTACCTCTTGAGCGGTTGAACCTCACTCATAGTGGGGCTTTCAGGTAGGTGTAGCGTGCACTGCGGGGTAGGTACTTCAGGTCTTGGCCCAGCCTGAGTCATCAGACATGTACAAGTACACAGCCAGCCGCAAGGTCGTCAAGATGATTCATTCTGATCAACAAAGAATTCTCGCCGCGAAGAAATAACAGAACCTTGATTACATTGACCTTTACTGCATCTGATATACAGTACAGGGAGGCATTGCAGTGTCTTCTTTTTTTTGAAGAATTTCCTTCTTCAATTTTCGACTGATGCAATTATCGGGGGGTGGGGCCGCATGCATTTATCGGGTCTCACAACCCTAACTCAGTCGTGGCGCGGTTTCGCTAAAAAAAATTACGGTTGCTTGTGGATAACCTCACCTTTTAACCCCTCGATCTCGCACCCCTCCACCACACCCTTCACGGCCGACCGGATTGGGTACGATTTCGTTGCAACAGCTCGGTAGTGGTATCAGGCAATCCAACATGAGCGCTTTCCAGAACGGCGTCACGCCGGTGCGGGCCATGAACGACGACAGCGATGTCGAGGAGGAGGCCCTTGTCGCCGAGTACAAGGAGCAGGTTCAGTACGATGACGGAGAGGAGCTGGAGCAGGTCTCTTCTCTGACGATGGCCCAACAAGCCGACGATATCCAGTCTCGGCTCGTAGCTGCTGCCCAACCCCTCGACTTCTCCGCGCCTCTCGAGGTCAAGTTCCAGAGCTATGATTCCTACTGCAGCTTGTTCCACTTTATTCTCAACTCGGAGGGACCTGTCGACTTGGAGCCGCCTTCGGTGAGTCTTGGAGAGGGATCGAAAGGATGGATGGAAACGCAATATGCTAATCCGAGACCTGCGATAGTACTACTGGGCCTGGGACGTCATCGATGAGTTCATCTACCAGTTCAACTCTTTCTCATCCTACCGAATGCGCATTGCGAGGCAAGCGAACAATGAGGAGGAGATGCAGATTCTACGAGAGAACCCCAACACCTGGGGCTGCTACAGCGTCCTGAACGTTCTCTACTCCCTGATCCAGCGATCGCAGATCACCGAACAACTTGCGGCGATGAAGCGCAACGAGGATCCCATGTCCGTGGCCGGAGAGTACGGCTCCAAGAACCTGTACCGCATGCTCGGCTACTTCTCCATCATCGGTCTTCTCCGGGTCCACACTCTGCTTGGAGACTTCAGCTTGGCTCTGAAGACGCTCGACGACATCGAGCTGAACAAGAAGGCCATGTTTGCCAGGGTTATGGCCGCCCACTTCACCACGTACTACTACGTGGGATTCTCCTACATGATGATGCGCCGCTATGCCGATGCCATCCGCATGTTCAGCCACATCCTGGTCTATGTTTCCAGGACAAAGAACTTCAACAAGAACGCCCAGTACGACTCCATCACCAAGAAGAACGACCAGATGTATGCCCTGATCGCCATCTGCGTCGCCTTCCACCCCACGCGTCTCGATGACACGATCCACACGCAGATCCGGGAGAAGTACGGCGAGCAGCTCCTCAAGCTGCAGCGCGGCGGCCCCGAGTCGCTGCCCGTCTTTGAGGAGCTCTTCAGGGCTGCGTGCCCCAAGTTCATCTCCCCCGTGCCCCCAGACTTCGACCACCCGGAGGCCAACGTCGACCCCGTCGAGCACCATCTGTCCATCTTCATGGACGAGGTCAAGACCAACATGTGGAACCCGACCGTCAAGTCGTACCTGCGCCTGTACACCACCATGGATCTCAAGAAGCTCGCTGGTTTCCTCGAGGTCAAGCCGGAGGAGCTTCGGTCATTCCTGATGGTCACCAAGCAGCACACCAAGCAGCTGAGGTGGACCGACAACGGCCTGCTCGACGGCGAATGGGTCAACGTCAGCGACCTCGACTACGCTATGCAAGGTGTAAGTTTGTTGTGTCCCTACATCGGCCCACCCTGAGCCCACCCTAGGTCATATCAAGCTTTTCGTGTGACATTTTACTGACGGCAGCCTGCAGGACCTGATTCACATTTCCGAAGCAAAGGTGGGACGGAAGCTGGTTGATTGGTACCTCCGGAACCTCTCTCGGACCTACGCCTAGGGGAAGTAAGAAGGGAGCCAGAAATTGCATCATCCCACACCCACATGCTTTGCTTGTTCTGTTAGTCATAGTGCAATCTGGGACGGTAATGGTTACGCAAAAGCTCTTTGTCAGCTGCATTGCATAGGCGTCGCGGTGTTACCAGTATGGAAAACTCGGATGGGGGACGGGCTGGTGATTTGGCAAATAGGTAGATCTGCGAGGGACGAGATAAGGGTCCGCGAAATGAGCGGTCTCGCTCGAATGCCAGGACCCGTCCACTCATATTCACGAAAAGTTGCAACATGCTCAACTTCCATCAATTTGGTTGGCCCTCAGGAAACCGGTCAAAGCTGACTCTTATCTCGTGCGGTGAAGGAGAATCATCCCTGGGCGTGCGCCCGAGCTTAGTTGGTACGGAGTTCTCGGCTTCAGACTGGTTCCCAATTTTTTGACGCACCAACCTGGGCAATGTTCTGGGGTCAGACGGGCGGCTGGCAAGCTGGATGCTCCCGCCCGGTTGGGGCATGGGACTAGCTTTTACCTACCTAGGTAACTGCTAGTGATCAACAGCCGGGCGCTAGCTCCCGCTCGCTGACTGCCCAGGTGTTGACAGGAAGCGGTGAGGTCCAGGGCCAAGGTTGATCTACCGAGGCGTGATGACCTGGCATGTCATGCCTAAAGACAACAATACACTCGTAACAGTGCACACTGGTCACCCCCTCTGTTGGAATCGCTCATGGTGTGCGTACATATAATATCTATTAGGTACTGAAGCCGCTGGACTTGTGGCGGGATTAGATACCTAGTCGGGTCCGGGGCCGGGGCCGGATCACAGAGGCTGGCCTGTCAGTCTCTGCATCCAAAAGAACAACGAACAACATGGCAGATAGCGAGATGCCGTTGGGATCTGCCCACCATCACCGCAGGACAGGCCCTTGGCTTGGTACTACGTCTCAGCGCGGAGGGGCATGTTACCATGAGAAGCTGCGCCAGAGCTGTCGGAGGGAGCCATGTCAACCCAGTCAGATCAATCCGGCGAGGCTGCATGCTGCAAGCCCGACGACTAGCTGCATGATGCCGTGCGATCCTACTATCTGTATCTTGCGTACCTGTGGGTGCTGCTGCTGCCGCAGCTCGAGCAAGGTAGGTAGGGAAGAGGTGTGAGATGATGGGCGCGCGCCGGAGGCCCTGTTACACTGCTGCTACCGCCCTCTGTCCTCCCGGGTGGACAGCCATGTACGCATGTACGCATGGCGTGTCCGGGGACACTCCCGCACATCCCATGTCCAGATGGCTGTTACGGAGTTTCTTGGATAGGTATCCCGCCATGCGACGATGATTGCGTGAAAGCAGGAAACGAAAACACCGTATGGCGGGAGCTAAAAGGAGCTGTAGCAGGGATACGCCCAGGACAGAACCCTCCCCTCCCCTTCCGCTCGCTCATCATTCTCGGGGCATCTGTCATCACCGACCGATCGGCAATCAGCCATCAATGGCACCCTCCTTGCCAACCTGGTCAGGGCCACTTAGTCACGGCAGCTTGCGGGAGCTTGCGGCGACGTGTCTTTGAGTGTGGAGGGGTAGCTCTTGGTGGGCGGATTGCGGAAGGCGATGCCTCACAGACTGGTATCCGCTTTGCAAGCAGTGGACCTCTTGGGAATCTTTTGTTTTCGTTCTTTTTTCGAGCTTTTATGTACGGAGTACTCCGTAATTACCATGTAGTGTGATTCGATGGCGCGTACAGATAGGACAGGGCCCGCCCAGGGTGCGGATATGCGCAAGCAGCCTTCCGGGCAACCCTACCGTGATAGTGGCGGCCCCGTTGTGTCATGAAGTAGAAGCTCCGAAAGATGAGTCGACGGCGAGAGGCGCGACAAACAATCAGGCCAGCGAGCGGCTCGTCGTCCCTCCTGACAAGTACATTAGTTTACCCCTCCCTTCCTACGGTTAAGGAGCGTGCCTACCAGCGCCCTACCTACTTCACACAATCAGGGAGGCCTCATGGGCGCACGCCAAGATGCCAAGAAGCCAAGAAACGCTGGTGACATAGGACTGCCATGCTTGCAGCGCGTGTGAGAGAAATGGAGGATGAGAGGACAGAGGAACCCCGATGGCGTGGCTCCCAGCCGTGTCAGCCAGAGAGACAAGAGACAGGAAAAAGCTTGGCCGGCAAAGCGGAATGGCAAAGGTGATTTTCGTTACGCATCTCCATGTGTCTTGTCGTCACCTCCAATACCGCTGTTGATGCTGTTGCTTGCTCGCACTCGTCCGTCGCCCACACCATGGCCATGTGAATGGACCAAGATTGCAGAGCTAAAAAGGTGGCCCGCTTGCCGTCTGATCTTGGCATTCATCTACCTGGGCTGGCTCGCGCATCTGAGCTCCCTCATTCTTATCCCTGCCAGGCTTTTTATATGTTTCGTCGTCCTTTGCCTCGCTCCCCTAAAAAAATGCGACCTTGTAGGGTTTTACTTCACGTCTCTCCTCCGCGCCTCCCTCGCTGAGCGCTCAAGCTGCCTGGTCCCTGCCCGGCGTGAACCCTATTGACCATCTGTTATATGCCCTACATACTCCTCCGTACAGTACTTTTATATACCGTGCCCCCCAGACCATTAAATCTCAACCGAGATTATCGGACCATTCCCATCTGATTAGCTCCTACCGTGGCCAATTTTGCACGTGGGAGCAACCTGATAAGAGAGAGCTTGGATCGGCTTCTGCCTGAGACTGATGTCACTCTGGTGATTCAATCTCTGTCTGTTGGCCAAGCAAATCGATCACACGTTCACCTCTTATCATCTCGAGAGCACTGTTCATTCTTTCTTCACCGTCAACTGCGATCGATTGTTATCCATTCCAGAGCATTCGGAGCTGCGACTTCTTTGTGCAAGGTGCAGACCTACAAGACCACATTTGACTCGGGGTGGCCGAGCTTAGATCTCAACGCCAAGGTTCCTAGCTTGCCTGGTTTCGCATTCAGACCAACCTGTTCCCTCGGTCGCGGCTCGAACGGCTCTCGACCTCTTTTCCTTCTTTCCTCGCCAAGCTCGATGCTTGATCCCACGATAACACCTCTGCCAGCCGCTTCGTGAGGTTCCTTGAGCACTGGCACAGTTGTCCAAACAAGCCTCCCACAACCAAATCGCACCCACCACGCGCGCCGTACTATGACTGCGCCATCACCTTCTCCGAGTCAATCTACTGTTGTTGCTCCTGATAGCCCAGACTCCGATGTATCACCCGGAACTCTAGTCCCACCCAAGACGCACAAGATCAAGACCGACGGTTCTGGCGATTACTTTTCCGTTAAAAGCGGCGATACCACACCGACTGCCAAGGCTGCATTGAGTCCGGTCAAGGAGATCAGAGAAGAGAGCAGACGGAGCTCGGTTACAACGTCTAGCAGTAAGACCTCGACTATTGTCAGCCCCGACGAACAGAAAGATCCCACCGTGTCCCCGGGAAGCGAGGTCGATCTCAGCGGGAGAGACTCGAGAAAATCGTCTGTCAGCTTCCGTCCACCTGTCACGCCAGGGCTTCCTCAAGGCCACCAGCGCAACAAGAGGTTCAGCTCGCCAAAGCCGCACCGGTAAGTCGTTGATTTTTTCCTTTCTTTCCTTTGTCCCCTCTCCTCGGCTTTTCTTTGTCACGAGAAAACCCTCCCTGAGTTGCCGCCGATCCGCTTTTGAGAGCCGAACGTGCCAAATACCTTTGCACTTGGTCCATTCAGGAGCCTCGAAGTCGGGGACCAACTCAAATGGCTGGGTCCAGACCTAGGGAAACCCGACTTGCTGCACGGCGGGCCGTCTCGCTCGCTTTAGGCGGTTATTTCTCCAGTCCCTCCACCCTGAATCCCTACCCCAGCTCCTACTAGCTTCCTCATTAGGGGGAATCCAGTGAGGTAGCGCCATCATGACAAGCACACACATGCCTGCCTACACACGCACAGCAACACACACCACACCACACGCAGTTTCACTGCCGACAGGGTAGTCGTCTTTGGCGGCCTCAAGTCGTAGCGGTACCTGCTACCTAGCAGTGCGGGGGAGCATCGACAACCCTCGTATCACATTGTGCGGGACACAATGGCGTTCGGAAGCATCGACGTTTGACTTGGCCAGTTGAAGACGAACGATCGGGTGTGTCTCTTTTCAGGCCCAGCGATTCGTTCCTGTCACTCCACTTGGCCCAAACCCACAGATGTTTTGCACTCACTGCCCGTCATCACTGTCACTCTTGGCTCCTCCGGCTGTGCAATCGTGTTGGCCTTCCTTGGGGCATTCCGATGAACCACCAGCCTTCCGGTCCAAGCCCAGAACCCCACCTCAACCCCACTGGACTAAGCACCAAAGAACACACAGCAACAGCAATCGTCAGGTGCTGGACCGGTCGAGTCGGGCGATTGACTCTGGCACTAGACGCTGTTAGTGTCCATTCTGCTCCCGCTTGTGTCGTCGTGAGCTCCTCGCCTTGTCGCAAGCGTCTTGTCCTTGGCCGCACCGCCTCGCGCCTCGATCCATCTTTTGCCCCTCCTGCCCTTGCCATTGCCCGCACTTGCCGTTGCGGTTCCTGTCACGCTCGCTCCCGCTCTTGATTTCGAGCCTCTCTTCCCCTTTCCACAGAATCCTCCCCCGCGAGCGTCATATGGACCTCCCGCGCAGCGAACCAATATTGTACATTGTCTTATGGCGACGCTAACCGAGGCATCGGCCTCCCCTGCGCCTAGGTTTCGCAAACATGTTGCTTTTGACAACATCCCCGTCGGCGAGCCGTCCAAGAACAACACCCTCGGATACACCCTGAGCATCAGCCATCATGGCTACCATCCTCGAAGGCGGTCCCGCACCGTCATGGTCGGCGTCGACTCGCACAACTACTCGGATTTTGCGCTACAATGGCTCCTAGAGGAGTACGCAGAGGATGGCGACGAGATCATATGTGTTCACGTCAGCGACAAGGACGCCCGATCGATGGACGAGCGCCAGTACAAGGCCCGGGCCGATGAGATGGTAGAGAACATCAAGAAGAAGATCCCTCAGCATCGCGCAGTGAGCGTCAAGCTGGAGTTTGCGGTTGGGAAGTTGCATTCTACCTTTCAGAAATTGGTACGTTTCTTGACATTGGGACATCCTCCCAATTGACATAGCCCGCCCTTGATGGCACTGACGGACTGTTGTACTGATCGGACAATTTTTTTTTCGGGCAGATCCAGGTGTATCAGCCATCAATGCTTGTTGTTGGGACTAGAGGGCGGTCACTTGGTGGCTTCCAAGGTTTGGTCAACACCAACTCCTTCTCCAAGTACTGTCTGCAGTACTCACCAATCCCCACCGTGGTGGTACGCGATTCTGCAAAGCGCCAAAAGAAGAAGGACAAACGAGCGCAGGACCCGAGTCGGCAGAGTTACGTCTCCATGCTCAGTGCAACCAAGGGCCGCCACGAGGCAGATAGCGACAACAGCAGCTTGTACGACATGGAAGCCCGTCTGTCGCCCGATGAAGAGGCGCACAGGGTCGCGGCAGCGATTGGACTGCCGGCTGCTTTCGACCCGACGCTCAAACCGATTGATATACAGTCGGTTCTACGACACAGACATTCGACTTCGCCAATTCCGGACATAGATGCGGTGCCTGAACCCCCCGCCGCACAGGCTGAGCGGCCTCCGTCCCCCGTTGGACCGGTCCTGGCGCCTACAAACGACAGCGAAGACGACGATAGCGACGACGACGCCGAATTTGAAGTCGCTACAACCGAGCGGGCCAGGGCCAAGTCTCAGCAAGAGGAGAAGCAGCAGAAGGAACGGCTGCACCAGATGGAAGTTGGCGAGGCGGCTGCTCTCAAGTCGAGCGCCAATGTGTCGTCGGATGACGACGAGGTATGAGATGGGTGAGGGAGGCAGCACGATTTGGAATGTTGCGCCGCCGTCCCTCGCCACGCTGCTGCTCCTCCTTCCAGGGAGTATCCCTTTATTCTGTGCCGTCAGGGTCTTCTAGGCTGAGTTGGGCTGTGGGAGAATCAGAGCGTTTGAGATGAGGCGGCGTGCGACAGGGTGTCGGAGCACATCGTCAAGCTTCCCAAGAAATAGGGATCCGGTGCCCTTTTCGGGCCTACCGAGGCAAGATGGAACATTGGAGCGGTACACACAACTTTACGTAGTACCCGGCGTCTGTGGCGTAGGATCTGGTCATTGGGGGTTTGCTTTCCTGTCATGTCCAAGCAGTACATGAGCAGCAGTGCGACAAATAGGTGCAACAGTAAATCAATACAAATTGCAACAGCACGAGCACGACTCCAAACATCACAGGATGGGACACTCTTACACAGTCGAGACATGTCTGACAGGGTGGGTACCTATGAAAGTACCTAGATCACATGATGTTGACGGGCACTGAGGGCCCACTCTGTACCTGAAATGATGCCCAGTCCACCCCGTCACAGTTCAGTACATTCTTACGTACCACACTACTAACAGCCGGTTTGATCTGTCAATCCACCACCGCTGGACATCGTTGTTTCTGGCAATGAATCTCACAACGCACATGCTGCCAGACTGCTGTTCGCCCGCTCTCTCCCAAATGGACAGATAGAACGCCAGCAGAGCCATGTGATGGTATGCTTCGAACGAGTGTCGCTCGCCGAATTCCTTTACATCCAGAACAATCATCCGATAGGTAAACAGCACTCCGCGGCTCATTCCAATGCGATTTCGCCATGGTTGCGACGAGGACGCTTGCGCGGCCAGCCCTCCAGGCACCATGATGTCGACACTCTTCTCCCTGTCGCCCTTTGTGGCGTCCTTCGCGATCGCCTTCGTCGTAGCTTCGAGGAAGGTCTTTCCCAAGCTGTCTCGCGTACAAGACTCTCGGGACGGCGAGGACCACTACCTCCCCTCGTCGGCACCACCCTCTCTACAGCAAGCCCACGCCGAGCATGGCGCACACTCCCTACGCAGGAAGTTCGCGTCTTTTACTTTTGCGACCACGATCGGGCTGGCGACGGTGCTGGGGGAACTGATCCTGGCGGAAATCTCGGACCTTGTGAACCCCGCTGCTCGAACAACGGCGCTGCGCTTTACGGTCCCGACGTTACTATTCTTTCTCATAGTTCTGATTCCCTTCCTCGAGCTGCAGTCTATAGTAGCCGGGACGGGATGGTCTTTCCAACGGACGGCAAAGGGGAGGATCCCGAGGGTGGCTTGGATGCTCCAGATGACGGCCTTTGCAGGGTGGCTATTTGTGTTCTGGTCCCTGGGACGCGCGGTGCCGGGTGCCAACGAGAGCTACATGTATGCCAGGGACTCGCGGGAAGATTTCGACAGCACAGGCATATCTATGGCCACTCGGGAAGGCTCTGCGGGAGTCTCCATGAATTTGGACATGACGGATCTGACCGAAGATGGCGGGCGGGGGCTGGCGCGCGCTTGCCTTGAGCGGATCGGCATCGTTGGCATCTCTCTCATGGCGCTCTTGTCGGGGTTTGCGAGTGTATCCTCACCTTGGCATCTCTTCGCGGACAATCTGTCGTCCAAGCGGCGGCCGGTCACCGATGCCGATATCGCGAGGAAGCAGTCTGGGCTGGACGCAACGAGGGAGATGCTCCTGACGAAACGGCACCGGCTACGCTCTCTACAGCGAAAAGCAGCTGCCATGGCGGAGGCTTCCGGGGCCTCCTCGGCTGGCCTGATGGGCAAGCTCGTCGGGTCAATCAAGAACATGGGTGGGGGTGGCGACACGGCCGAGATCAAGATGCTGCAGATGGAGATCAACGGGCTCGAGTCCATGGAGGCGAGCCTGACGTCCTCGCTGTCCGTCTTGCAGAACAGACAGGCGGCGGACGTCCGAGCGGGAACGGCTCTGGGCAAACTGTTTACCATCCCGACCTACGTCTTCAGCCTGTACTGCGTGTACCGCATCGCGGCCACCACGCTGACGACCCTGCGGCGGCTCTACTACCCGGGCTCGTCGTTCTCGTCCTCGGACCCGATCAACCGCTTCCTCGGGCTGCTCGCCAAGCACTGGGACCCGAAGCTGGACCAGATGGCGTGGGCGCGCCAGATCTCCTTCCTGCTCTCGGGCGTGATCCTGGCGGCGTCGGCCAACTCGGTGCTGCAGACCTTGCACCTCTTCGCCAAGTGGCTGCCGGGCCTGCTGCGCCAGGCGCAGGCCAACCTGGCGCTGCTCGTGGGCCAGATCGCGGCCACCTACGTCATCAGCGCGGCGCTGCTGCTGCGCGGCAACCTGCCGCGCGAGGTGGGCAGCACCATCAGCGACGCGCTGGAGAGCGCTCTGGAGCCGGGCTTCGTGGACAGGTGGTTCGAGGGCTGGTTCCTGGTGGCGAGCGCCGCGACGGCCGCCGGCATTTGGGTCGGGCGCAAGGTTGGCGGTGGCGGTGGCGGAGTCGGGGACGGGATGTCGATGTGGGATGAGTGGGACGACCTCGGCGGGGAGGAGATGGGGCAGAAGAGGTCGTGATTGCTGAACTCACAGCAATGCTGTGAGTGAGACTTACATACATGCATACATACATGCATACATAATCACAAGTACTAGCGACGATACGTTTGCTGCTGGGAGTACTAGGGATTGGAAACACACCGGGCAGGCAGGCGTATTGGTTAGATGGGGCAAACATGACAGGCTTCTTTTGATAACTAGACTACAATCTGCAAGTAGCAACTGCAGTAGAGCGCTATCAGCGTTGTGTGACGAAGAGACTTTGTTGATTTGGATACATCTTCACGACGATCTGTTTCTGCTGCGCTATGGTCCGGATTGTCATGAGCCACAGACGTCGTGCTTTTTGCTCCGGCTTCGACCTCGACGGCTACTCGACCAAGTTAGTGCCCGAGATATGCGGAGCTTCTATTTTGGGGGCGCTTTTTGCGGCGGCCAATGGCGCCGAGTCTGCTGTCTGAGCTAACAGCCACCAGTCATCCAGGGGCTCTTACAGCAACTAGACTACTACCCAAACTCCTCAAACGAGACGAATGTTTCATGTTTCACGACCGCAAACCCCCCCCCAGTGCTATCCATCCAGTCGCCTTGTCCAGTGCTTTTGGGTGTTTCCGCCAAAAGCCCGGCCCCCCCCTCCCCTCAGCGGCGACATATTGTGCCAATGCGATTGGCCTCTGACCTCTCCTGAGGCGTACGAGTTGGCGTGAAACATCCGACCAGTAGGTAAGGGGGAGGAGGGGGGCCAGAGAGCCGTGAGGAGCAGAGGAAACATGCTCTCTCAAGCCCGTGGTGGCTCTGTTGGTTGTGCTTTGCAGAAAGCTGGATCATCACTGCGCGCGCATGAGTGTTGGCTGGTCTGGCTGGATGGTCCGGACCAAAGCCTGCCCGCCTGCCTGCCTGTCTGCCTCCAACACTCCGCCTCCTCTCCCCGCTGAGGTTAGTCTATTCCAATCACGGCCACTTCTTGGCTCCTCTCTGGTGCTCCAGAACGGGTGTCGCTTGGACGCATTGAACACGCCGGCGGTTCTGTCAAGCTACCAGACCTCGACGCACTCTGTCTCGTTCAGGGCTGAGACTGCGCTCGTACCAGCCAGAGCGCCGCGGCTCGGTTCGTCGTCCTCGATCCGGCAAAGCCGGAAGGGGAACGCACAATGAATGGCTTGCCGATCCTCGAGGATGGCCTGGTTACGGGGGCCATTCGAGGCAGGTGGACGACAGGGCAGATAGGTAAGTAACTAGCTGGATGGACTGTCATCGATGATGTTACCAGTGGCCAACGAGTTGTACAAAGTGCGTCAAGTGCGTGCAGGCCAGGACCCAAAAGTGTATGTACATCGTACATGGTAGAGTGCTGCACAGCAGGGGGGGCACCGGCCGGGGTGGTGGTGAACGGACTGCCTTGCATCCAAGGATGCGGTTGTCGAGGGGGGCGACGGGGTGTCGGTCCCTCATCACTTCCTATTCTGGAATAAGAGGGTTCTATTCTCAGGTGCTGCCGCCTCTTTTGTCCTTCACCATCAGCTTACATCTCGTCAACGCCCGCCGCCCCCCCTTCTCTTCATCTGCCTCTCTTTTTCCCTTTTCCTTTCTCCTCATTCGATTCTCAATTCTTCCGCCTGGACGGATCGACGCCCTTTTCTTCTTTTTCTCTTCTGTCCGCCGCAGGTTCAGGCAAAAGTCACTTTAGGATCTGCTCTCTTCCCTTTTCCCCCTTCGCCATTGCGCAGCCTGAGACGTGGAGCGTTTCGGATTCCCGCGATCTGCTCGCTGTCCGACCACACAACGGCCCTCCAGGTCGCCCAGAGCCCGACCGCGAACGTGTCCACCTCTTGAGCAGTGCGTTCCTGGGATTCTTTGAACATCTTACTGAGCGCCGTCCGATCCTGCGAAAACCGGGCAGGTGCATCACATCACCACCTGCTGGTGGCAAGGACGATCCTTTTCCTTTCCCCTTACCATCCAGGCGAACCCAGACAGACAGAGATAGAGACAGAGACAGGTCAATTTTCTGTCCTGCTTCTGCTCCCACAAAAGACGATTCCCCGCCGCTCAATAGCGAGTCGACACGACCCTTTTTTCTCCAGTCACTCGTTTGTCTATCACGTATCAATTCCACATAGCCATGGCTCGGCGACGCAGGTCACCAGGACTGCAGTCCTCTCTGGGCTGCCTCCTCTTGTTGGCCTCGACAGCATCAGCGCTATCGCTGTCTAACTTCCAGCTCATTGCGTCCTCCTCGGTACCGCTTGGCTGTATATTGGCCTACAACCAACCCCTCGAGGAGTGCTCCGCGTCCGACTTTGCGGGTGGAAATCAGTGCTCCAGGAGCTGCCAGAGGAGTATCCTCAAGACTCAGCGCACATTGCAGGGCGTCTGTGTCGATGTCAGCGCCCCGACGAATACGGTCTTGGGACAGGCGCTTAAGGGAAACCTGCTCAACGTACTCTGCGGTGGCAATGGGGACGAGTCGAACCCCAAGCCAGGCCGCCCATCGGCTACCTCTACAGTCGCTGCGCCCCCGTCTTCCACTGCATCCAATGGCGGAAGGACCAGGTCGACGTCGGCCTCTTCGAGCTCGCAAGCAGATGCCATCTCGTCCACAATTGACATATCCTCTTCCACCACAACGCTATCACAGCCCTCGCAGAGCAGTCCCGCACCAGCCCAGACGACTTCGCCATCACCTCAACGGCCAACGGATACTACCGGTGCGCAGCAGACCAGGAGACCGTCACCATCACAACCCAGGCCGAACAGGGAAACGTCGGGAAGCAGCCCCTTTGAGGCGGCTGCCCAGACGGATGCCGCGCCAGAACTCACAGTACATTGGAGACAGGCAGTGTTCATGGCTCTATCAGTAGGAATTCTACTGGCAAGGTAGTGCGGTTTCTAGTGTTGGGCTGGGAAAGGCGACTCGCAATCGCCGTTGTATCAACAAGTTCTGGCGTTGACGAAGAAGGGCAAGGCGGTAATGTTTGAAGAAGGGAGGGGCTGGCGATGCAATTTCAAGATTGCTGCCGATGAGACGAGTGCACAACAGGAGCTGCTCATTAGCCATTTGCAAAGTTTGACACTAGTACATATGACCATTCTCAATTAAGATACCACATTTTTATGAAGAGATCATCATGTCTATCGCGCAGATATCGCAGATAGTATGTACAGCGAAGAAAACCAACAAGAAAACACAATGCTTCGACATCAAAATGACTCAAGGGTAGTCCGGTATGGCCCGGTATCTCGTCTGAGCCCGTACATAGCTCTCATGTGTATTACTCGCTCCAATTTTCAACCAACAGCCTTCGAGTGATCGATGCCTGTGAGTGTTCTCGACATCATGCCGACACTGCCCACTCCCTCATCCCGACATCCCCGTCCGTCTGTCTAAAACCGGGACAAACTCTCGTCTCTCAAGCGGCCGTCTTCTTCCACAGGTCCCGCATGCCGATGGTCCCCGGCACGCAGCCGAGCAGGCCGACGGCGGCGTCGGGCAGGTAGCCGCCCCCGCCCCAGTGGACGACTAGGGGCGCCCAGGCCAGGTTCCGGGCCAGCGTCTTGCGCGAGGCGTCGAGCTCGCCGGCGGCGGCGAGGCGCGCCCTGCCGTCCGGGGAGGACAGCTGCGCGGCGAGGCGGCCGATCTCGAGCCCGACGAAGACGCCCCAGGCGCGGACGCTCCAGACGCCCGCCCGGGCCTGCGCCTCGGGGCCCCAGCCGAGGACGCCGCGCGAGGAGAGGTAGGCGCCGTTCTCGAGGACCTGGAAGCCCAGGCAGCCGAGGAGCTGGGCCCAGGCGACGAGGTGCTCGCCCAGGGACTTTCTGGGGTGGGCGGCGGCGGCGGCGGTGCCCTGCTTCTCATCGCCGGAGGAGGAGGATGTGGAAGAGAGGGAGGCGGCGGTCTCGAGGACGAGGCTGCGCGCCCAAAAGTACAGGCCCAGCAGGGCCCAAAGGCGGGTGATGGTGCGGGCCTCGCTGCAGAGGCCCGACAGGGCCTTGAGGCGGGCCGAGAGGAGCAGGGCGGCGCGGGCGGCGGCCGTCTCGGCGCCGGCCCTGACGCCGCCCGTCGGGACCACCACCACCGCCGGGCTGGCTGCGGCTGCGGCGGCGGTGGTGAAGAGGATGGCGGTGGCGCGGGAGGGCAGGGCCAGGGCCAGGGCGACGAGCTCGCTCGCGGAGCGGCGGGCGAGCACGTGGCCCGCCAGCGAGGCGAGGAGGGCCGAGGACAGGCGCGACGTGTAGCAGACGAACTGGAGGACGGCGTCGGCGCCCGAGGGCGTCTGCATGCACCGGTTCAGGTGGGCGATGAAGGCGTCGAGGCGGGACGGGGCGGAGAGGAGGAAGGAGAGCGGCAGGCGCGGCGCCGCCTTGCTGCTGTTGTTGCTGCTTGGTGGTGAGGAGGAGGAGGAGTCGGCGGTCGGCGGCGGGATCGAGGACGGGATGGGCGCGCCGGACGGGAGGTCGGCGACGGGCACGTCTGTCGGTGCTTCGGCGGCGGACATGTTGGGCTGGTTAGGTGTGACGGCTCGTCGAGGCTGAAAGGGCGTCTGTCTGTAAGTTGAAAGTTCCTCGGCGGGGGAAGCTTTCAGAGAAGAAAAGATGCGGTCGAGATAACTCTGGGACGGTCCGGCAGCGGAGCCCGCGGTCGTCGTCGTCGTCGAGGCAAAGGAGCGTGTGTAGTGGGGAACTGAGGTTGTAGGTACTTGGCTGGGGGATATATCGGCAATTCACAGAACAGCCAGGTGTATGTATAAAAGCAAAAAAGATCAGCAACCCTCTACACGACGAAGGTCTACTACAGAGCAGGTTAATAAATTGGTGCCCGGATTGGGGAAGAAGCACAATGTCACAAATATCCGACTTTAAATTAGGATGTCGGCCCAAAGTTCATGCATGCAGGAGGAGAGAAAAGGAGTGGGAATCGGTTGGATCTGTGTGGGGTGGAGGGAAGACGAGATCGGGAGGGAGTCTTTGGAGATGGAGCACAACTAGCTGAGAAGAGAGAAGAGCTCCAGATTACCCGTGCGCGCCCCCGCAGGTGCCGCCAGTCTAGCTCGATCATGGCATTTCGACCTCGGCATGCTCGGTGATGCTTTAGCGGCGCGCCGGGAAGGTCGAATCGACGCGGCACATGGCCCTGACGACGCCTCGGGAAAGGCTAATAAACGGCGGACTGCCCCTGTCTACCTTTACTTGTACAAGTACTTGATATCTTTCCAATCCTGGGATAGCGGCCTTTGTTCGTCGTGTACAAGTAAATTCGACAATGGGTTTTCTCTATGCCTTAACAGTCATGCCGGTGGATGGACTCGGACTCTTGTCGAGAAGAATCACATATCCTACGATCGCCCATATCCCATAAAGAAGTCCCCATAGCTCCGCTCTAGACCGGCACATTCCGAGTCCATTTCTTTCACAGTGCAATGCATGCGTCTGGCTCAGAGATCGTCGTCTTTTCCATGTGGCCCCGAAGGCCTCTTACATGGCCTTCCTGGGCCGTCGCATCCGAAGTCGTCTGAACTGATTGGTCAAGGGCTCAAAGTTTGGAGTGGTGCAAATGTCTGAACGACTGCCTCATGTGCAATAAGCAAGGAGAGAAGAGGGAAGAAAAAGGACGAGTCTATCGGCAGCAGAAGAGATGCTTTGATAAGGATTGTGCCCGGACATTCATTCTGAATATTCGAGTTGAGGGAGCAACGAGAGGGAAATCCGGTGATGGTCCAGTACAAATACTTTGATTAGTTTGTAGTGGGGATCTCGGCCAACCAGACCAACGACCTGTCCTGCCACTCGTATCAGGCTCATATCCATCTGCATCTTTCACATCCATGGAAAAATTGCGTGGGCGAACTCGGTGCGCGCTGGGAATACCTTTCCATATCTTGTCTCGCAGCTTGAGTGCGTCGGAAGGCGAGAACTCGGATCTCTACAGCCGCTCGCACGCTGCTGCCCTTCATGGGCACTCGCGATGACCATGCGGCTGAGTACGGCGCTCGCGAGAGCGACGCTGTCGCATCGCGCATCGACGAGGAAGCCCAATTGCTGCAGGTCGACGAGCTAGACTACGAAGAGCCGGATTGGTCTCATCATCGGCGCCGGACTACCCGTCCACCACTTGTCAAGAAGAAGAAGGGATTTCGGTTCTCGGGGCCGCATCCGCCAAAGATCCAGAAGATCCGACCGTGGTTCCCGTCGGTTCAGCAGGCGCCCTGTCAACTCCTGGAGCGCGTGTGTCCCGAGAACTGGCAAAAGACTGTTCTGTTCGTGGTATTCGTCCTCGTCTGGCTCGGCGCATTTGTCGCACCCCTGAGGTGGGCACTCCCGGTCAAGGCCGGAGACGGAGACTTGGTCGTGAACCTCGACTGCATCGACACCTTCTGGCGGCGCAAGAACCTCTGCGGCTTGGACGGCATCGACTGCCGCCCCTTTTCCAACTTCTCCCTTGCGTTCCGGTGTCCCGCCAACTGCGCGGGCGTCAAGGTGCTGAACCCCCACGCGGTCGGCCCCCAAAATGTCAACTACCGCCCTCTGGTCATCGGCGATGGGACGTACCGAGGCGATAGCTTCATCTGCGGCGCCGCGATCCACGCCGGCATAGTCAGCGACTCTGCAGGAGGCTGTGGGCGGGTCTCTCTGGTAGGCGAGCACGCCGACTTCCCAAGCACCGAGGCCAGCGGCATCGAGTCCATCGGCTTCGATGCCCCTTTCCCTCTGGCTTTTACGTTCAGCAAAGAGGCAGCTGTGAGCTGCAGCCGGGACCCGCGGGATCTGTCGCTCGGCGTCTCTGTCTTCTTCACGTCGGCTCTGTCCATATTCATGACGGCCACATGGCAGTTCTTCCCCATCTTCACGGGGATCTTTGCCCACGTCGGCTTCGTCTCCGACCCGCCCGGCGCATCCTTCCACAGCACGTCCGTCCTGCCCGACCATCTCTCCGCCTTCGCCGGGAGATTCTTGCCAGCCGCCTTCTGCGCCGTGGTCCTGTACCTCGTGTGCGTCCGCAGGACCCTGGACGGCCTGGCGGCCCAGCTCGAGAAGACGGCCCTGTGGCTCGGCGGGTTCTGGTTCGGCGCGCTCTCCAACTACACCCTGGACTGGATCCCGATCCAGCGCCTGACGGCCCACGACCTCGAGCAGCAGCCCGGCGCCAAGGCGGCCCTGGCCGCGATCCTGACCCTCCTCCTGCTCGTCGTCCTGCAGCAGGCCCGCTCCTTCTGGCTCGAGGGCCGCCTCCCGCGGATGCTCGCGCTCTACGGCCTCCTCCTCGCCGGCCTCCTCCTCTGCCTCGCCGCCCCGGGCGTCCGCCTGCGCATCCACCACTACGTCCTGGCCCTGCTCCTGCTGCCGGGCACGGCCCTGCAGACGCGGCCCTCGCTGCTCTACCAGGGCCTCCTGCTGGGCCTGTTCGCCAACGGCGTCGCGCGCTGGGGGTTCGCCCCCCTGCTGCAGACGCCGGCGGCCCTGCGCGGCGACGGCGCCTACGGCGCCCCGCTGCCCTCCGTCGCCGACGTGGCGGTGTCGGTCTCGGCGGGGCCCGCCGGAGGCGCGCGGGCCGTCGTCGGCTTCGACTGGTCCCGGCTCGTGTCCCCCGCGTTCGACGGCCTGAGCGTGCTCGTCAACGACGTGGAGCGCCACCGGGACGTCTTTGCCGACACTGCTGGCCATGTCTTCAATTACACAAAGGGCGGCGGCGGCGATTCATATAATGCATACGTGCGGTTCGCGTATATCAAGGATGGGCTGGCCCTGGACTACACCGAGGCGGGCACCTTCTATGCAAACGGGACGTGGGGAGACGGGACCCGTATAAGAACGTAGATATATATATGGTTGTGAGATTAGGTAGTTTGATATTATTCTTGAAAATGTCAAATGACGACAAGTTTCCGTAGTCTATGCTGTGTGATGTGTGTGTGTGTGTGTGAATCCCCTGATCCCCCTGAGTCCCAATTTGCTCCCCTTTTTCGGTTCGGCCGTTGTTTAATACATACATGGGAAAGGTAGCGACAGATGTAAGCCTCATAAAACGCCATTGATGAGCCCGCAACGGATCACCTCAAAAAAAAAAAAAAACAATGGTGAATCAAGCAAGTTCTCAGAACGTCAGCTTTCTTCCGCCCTCCTCGATTCTGTCCTCGCAGCCCTGATCAAAACAAATTGCGATATTCACCATCATACCGTGTGATCTGCGATCCTTACACGACCAAATCACCGCAGTCAGGTCGGCCTCATCCCACTCGATCGTACATATCGTCACTCTCCCTTTCGATCCCTGCTGCTTTCCACCCGCGGCTCGGATGGCTTTCTTCAGGCTTTACTGCTGAGCTATTGCAGTCTTTGTGTGTGTTGGTCGGTGGTCGGGCTTTACGCGGTCTTCTTCTTGCGGGGCAGGCCCTTCTCCTTGCGCGCCTGGACGTCGCCCTCGGCAAGCCACCTGCTGGCCTTGACCATCTGGACGACGTTGATGATCTGCTTGGCCATCATGACGGGGAAGCTGACGATGGCAATGATCCAGGGGACCGTGGAGTCCTGTAAGGAATGTCACACACAGATGATTAGCAACTGCGCCAAATGGGCGGCAAAAGCATAACAGCGAGAGGACTTCTTGTTACGAGAGAAAACACACCATCTTGTTCGCGCGGGCCATCTCGAGGGCGGCGGCGCTGTAGGGGTTGGTGAAGATCTGGCCCAGGATGGACGAGTTGACCTGGTGGCCGTGGCTGATGGCGGCGGCGGCGCTCTCGGGCACGGCCTTGAGCAGCTGGGGCGAGAGGTAGGGGCTCGAGAAGGAGAGCAGGTAGAGGGCGATGAAGAAGGTCTCGTTGAGGGTGCAGAAGATGAAGAGCACGGTCTTGTTGGTGTAGTAGAGGTTGAGGATGCGGCTGCGCGACTTGTCGACGTTCTTGTGGCTCTCGTCGGAGCCGCCCATGGCGAGGGTGGCGTACATGTGCATGTAGTGGCTCGCGAGGTCGAGCGAGATGAGGCCCTGGAAGATGATGGCCCAGCGCGGGAAGGCCGAGGAGAGGAAGACGAGCAGGCAGGCCGTGGTGCAGCGGTCGGTGACCATGTCGAGCACGGCGCCGAAGCGGGTCGACTGCTCGAAGTAGCGGGCGGCGTAGCCGTCGAGGGCGTCGAGGAGGCACGACACCGAGTAGAGGGCCGAGCAGGTGCGCGGGTGCAACGGCATGTAGTAGAGCGAGGCGACGGCCAGGACGATGCGGAAGTAGCCTGTTGGGGGAGGTGGGACAAGACAACTCTGCGGTTAGCCAAGGGTTCTTGATCTCGGAGGTTGGGGCTTGAAGGATAAGAGAACTGCTAGAGAGTGGTGCGGTACCGATCAGGTTGGGCCAGAAGAGAAAGATGTTCTCGTGGGCCTCGTCGTCCCCTTGCGCCGAGCGGCCATGATGCGCGGCGCTGCCGTTGCCGGTGCCGGTGCCGGTGCCGTTCTGGGTGATCTCGTGCTCTTTGGCAGGGGTGTCGTCGGCGGCAGCATCGAGAGCTGCCTGCCTCCTGGTTCGCGCGCCGGCCATGCTGATGCTGAGCTTGTGCGTCGCAGTGCAGGTCTGTTTAGGGGGGGGGTGGAAGGTGTCGCGCAGCGTGCGAAGAGGACAAGACAAGGAACGAAAGAAGAGTGAGTTCACATCAAAGAGAAGGGTCAGTCCAGGAGATGGCAGGTGATTACTGATAGGGAAAAGTCAGTCCGGTCGTGAGATTGTGGTAGGTAGCCCAAAAGCCAACAGTCAGCGGGTGCCCTGAGCTACAAGCACCAGACCAGACCCGATGATTATCTCACGTCGAGGGCTCCAGGGCTGGCTGGGCCTGGAATGCTCCCGACTGATCCGGAGCCACTCAAAAATTCCACTGATAAGGGGACCGACGCGTCGCCGATAAGGAGACCGTGGATCGCAGCAGTGCAGAAAGGGGTTTCTAAAAATGCCAAGGAGCTCTGAACAATGCGGGCCCCATTTCTTCCAAGGAGGGATGTCGAAGGAGAGAGAGAGGTGCAGGGATTAGTTATGCATAATCGGGCCAATGGATGGCGAGATGTAGTGTATGTACGTACATATGTAGGTAGGTACAGTAAAGACTAAGGTACTACAAGTACAGAGTAAATGTATGGACCTCTCTCTCTCTCTCTCTCTCTCAACGACAACGACACGACAAGAACAACTACAATCACGACAATGTTTGTTCAATGTAGACTGTAAATTCTATTATGTACCTAGGTAGGTAGGTATTCGCATGATGACGTAGTAAGACCGCAGGGGTATCTCAATGCCTCGTGAAAATATGCACACAGCAGCAACGAACAAACCACCAGTGAGTATCTAGACTGCCTGCCTGCCTGCCTGCCGGCCCGGCATCCTCACTTCACTTCTTCTTGCCCCCTCCGCCGCCGCCACCACCCTTGACCTTCTCCGGCGCCTTGACCCTCCAACCCCGTACGCTGCCCCAGACGCTGTCGCTCACCCGCGGCGGTATCTTGCGGCCCCGCAGCCGCTGGTCGATGAGCCACATCCCGACCACGAACTCGGCCTTGTTGAGCATGCCCCTGCGCCCGCCTCCGCCGCCGCCGGACGGCGACGACGACCCGTCCACCAGCTCCCACACCTCGGCCAGCTCGTCGGCGGGCAGCCGGCTGCGGCTCCAGAGGTCCCGCACCACGACGCCGCACACGCAGTCCGCCTCGGACTCGGGCAGGAACAGGCCGCGGTTGCTCGCCCACACGGCCTCGTACCGCCGCCGCTCGCGCGGCGTGACCTCGTCGCGCCAGCGCCGCCGCGCGCCCTCGTGGTGCGAGTGCTTGCCGCCCACCGACAGCGGGTTCTTGTGCCGCCGCCGCGCCGCCGCCGCCGCGTTGGACTCGTCCTCCTCGTCCGACTTGGTCGGCGGCGAGCGCAGCGTCTGCAGCATGCCTGCCCGCCGCGGCGACCGGTTCGGCTTGCCGCTGCTGTGCGAGCGCTCGTGCGAGTGCCCGAACGGGATGTGGGGGTGGTGGTGGTGGTGGAGGTGGCGCCGGGACGTCGGGACCGGCGGCGGCGTCTTGGACTTGGGCGTCGGGTGCCGGGACGACGCCAGGGAGCTGGCTACGATGGCGTTGGCGAGCGAGTCGAGCGCCAGGTTGCTCGGGGTGCCTGTGCCTGTAGAGCGGCGAGGTATGGGCTGCAGGCTGTGCGTTGATAGTGATCTCTTGGGTGGCGGAGGCTTGGGGGTGGTAGCTCGTAACGGTATCTGCCGGGGTTTTGTCTTACGTCCCCGTGGCGGAGTGGGGGGTCTGGGAGTCTGCGTCGAGGATGCTGAGACGAAGCTATCGTCGGAAGATTGCGAGGTCGCAGTAGTCGGCCTCTCCACTGAAGTAGTCGTCGTCACCGTCATCCTCTTCGGCTCCCGACGACTCTTAGAATATGATTGGCCATCTACTCCCCTAGATAGCTCCTCCGTAGACGACGTTGCAGTCACAACTGGACGCTTAATTCGTGGACTCATCTTGCCAACTGGAGATGAGGCAGGTGGTGTTGAAGTCGTGATCTTGGGTCGTTGTTCGATATGCCTGGGCCTCGGGGACAGAATTTCCGTAGAAGCGCGGGCAGTCTTCAATGGCGGCGGCACAGAGGTAGGTGTAGACGGCCGTTGCTGAGGTTTTGGCTTCGGCTTGGGTTTAAGCTTGGGAGGCGGTGCTGCAGTTTCCTCCGGGGCAGTCTCCTTCTGCATCTTCTCCTTTGGGGTAGCCTCTTCAACCCTAACCTGCTTCTGGGCAGGCATCTCCTCCACCTTCCTCCTCGGAGGGCTTAATTCCCGGGGTGGCGTCGGCACCCTGAGTCCGGGCCGCTTCGACGGCGACGGCACCCTCTTGACGGGATCCACACCCCGTTTGTCCTCAAACATCGATATGAGCGAGTTCGTCGCGGGTATCGGCGTAGTATCTGGCAAGTCCACGCCCGCCGTCGACACCGAGTGGACGCTGCTCGACCCGACACTGCCCCTCCTGGCCCTGACGCTCCGCCCGCCGGTGCCACCACCACCCGGGCCCTGGGAGAAATACCCCGGCCCGGCGGCCTGCGCGCTGCCGTGTACGACCGGGCTCGGCGTCGGGCTCGCGGACCTGCTCGCCGCAAGCGTGGCGGCGATGAACGACGCGGACTTGGGGTCGGCGCCGCTCTTGGCCCCGCCGCCGCCGCCAGGCGGCAGGAGCAGGTGCGGCGAGCCGACGACCGAGGCGGGCGAGCTCAGCACCAGCGACACCCGCCGCGCCAGCTCCCGCTCCCGGCTGCGGTCCCGCACCGCGCTCCCCTGCCGCTCCCCGGTGTTATCCCTGCCGACGCCCTCGGCGTGACCGGGGCCCGCCGCCGCCCTCGGGCTCCTGTTCCTAGTCGTCGTCCCGACGGCGACGCCGGCGCTGCGCGAGGGCGAGACGGGCCTCGAGTGGCTCGCGTCGCGGGAGGCCGAGGTCGCGGCCAGCAGGGCGCCGTTGACGGGGGTGCTCGGGCCGGACGCCAGGTGGTGGGCGGCGGTGTTGGCGCGCTGCTGCTGCTGCTTCTCGAAGGCGAGGGAGGCGCCCCTCAGCGCGGCGGCGGCGGCGGCAGAGCCCTGGCCCGGCGAGGCATCGGGTCTGCCGGACGGGGACGCATGCATGAGGTGCCGCCGTGCGTCGGTGAAAGTGTTTGCGAGGGCCAGTGCTCGACGACGGGGGCAGCAGTCATGTAAATAAGGTGGTAGAGCTCGTCAAGCTGTGTGGTGGTGGTATCAATCACCTCTCGTGAGGAAGCATCCGGGGCAGGAAATAATGTGCCAAACGATACCACAAGCTGAAGAAGAATCAATGGGAATAACCGGCACGAGGATAACCTAGCCTCGATAGATCATTGTGACGGGCCCTGACACAGGTCGAAGCAACGAGTAATGCGAATACGGGAAGCCTGGAAGCTTACCAACAAGGCTGTCGAGCTGCGAAACCTTGGCGCCCTGTACACGCGTGGGTTGAACCGGATTATGGGGAAAGGGGTCGATCACTAGGGGCTCTGGACCCACCAACGGCTAACTCGGATAGGGGGCCTGGCCAGCCTTCTTTAGCGCCGTTAGCGAGCCGCTGTCAGCAGCAATACGAGCATTTGTTGGTCTGAACTGACATCAGTCAAGAGCAGTCAGTGGATTTGTATTGAGCCTCGTCCAGGAGCCACTAACGAGCCCAGCCCACGATAGCGTAGCAACAGACGATGGAGTGCTTGTAGGTACCTACCTAGGTATCTACCTTAGGTACGTGTGCCTCGGTGGCTTCCACGTGGCGGGTGACGACATGATGTTGCAGCAAGATGCAGGTATCGACCCATTCGTGTTAAAAGCGATGCACGACGCGAGGTGCATCTATCAATTCTTTTACGCGAGCATATCGACGACAAGAAGAGGAATAGAAACAGAGAAAAGAAAAACAAGAACCTCCCAGGCCACTTGAAAACGCCCCTTATGACACCCAAAGATTGTGCAAAAAAGCCCAGCTTCCCTTGAAATACCCGGCCGGCCTTCACCATTCCCGCCATCACTCACACCCTCTCCTACTCCATCACCCTCCCAGTTCGAAATGTCCAATTGCCAGCCAACAAATGCAATTGCGTGGTCAAGTGTTGTGTGTATGTGTGTACAGACCGGTCGGTGAGAAGGAAAGAAATCGCCAGCCCTCCTTGCCTCGCGGCACGTAGAAAAGTTTGATATGCAGGGGAAAAAACGCGAACGATGTATACAGAATAGAAAATTCCAACGTCCAGGAGAACTCTAGAATCGACCGTCGTGGTCCTGTGCCAAGGAGAGAATGCAACAAGAATCGCAGTCATGGCACATGTCGGGCGTCAGTCATCCTCATACAAACGTTGAGAACATGAAAGACATTGAGAGAAACGTCGTCGCAACATATAGGCACGGCCTCGCTCCTCATTTAGAAGGCGTCCTCATCCGTCCACTCGCTCCCCGATATGATTCGGTTGCCCTCGCCGTCTATCATAACATGACCTGCATGCGTTGGTGGTAGACCTCGTAGGCGTTTCGCCTGGCCCGCGTGAGGCGGCGCGTAGCCGGTCTCTGGGGTCATGCGCTTGCTCCTCGCTGCCCTAATCTTGGCGTAGTATGTATCTGATGCATCCGCCTCCGGTTCTGAGTTGTCGTCGTACGTCTCCCAGTTCTCTGATCCCGAGACCATGGTGGACGTATTCGATATTTGTCTTACTGGGGGAGCCTGCGAATAGTTCGAGTGGACAAAGCGGTCATTGGTCCGCAACGACGCCTGAGAATCATGTCGCGACATCGGTCTGCTAAACCGTTGTTGTGACAGGTGTCGATCGTCGTAGACATCTTCGGGCTCAACCTGTCTTACAATACTCGAGCCGAGATTGGTGCCTCGATAAGGGTTCGCCGGTGTCTCAAGCTGAGGTACAGGCACGAGTTCCCGCATCTTGGGTGGAGGAGCTCGCATCAGTGCCGGCGCATGGCGCATCGTTCCGCCATCGACCCGGGACTCCGCCCTGGGCCGCTCAGGGGAGTTGTTGCCGTTCTTCAGGCTCGCGAGCGGCGCCCTGGCCGGGATCCGTGAAGGGCTGCCCTTCAGGTTGTTGTTGCCGCCATGGCCTGGTGCTGGAGCACGCTTGATGGTGTTGTTCGCAGTGGTAGCACCAGCTTTGGATGCTGGGCGAGAGCCGTGCGCGGCTTTGCCAACACTATTAGCCCGGCTCAGCGCCGCCGATTTGGACGCCGATTTCACTGCCGAAGGAGGCGCGCCGTTGGCCGGGGTCTTGGCTCGCGGACCGGGAGCGGTCTTGGCCTCATCCATTTCAATAATGTCAAGATATCTCTCGCCGTGCACCAAAAAAGGTCGGCCATATTCGTCCTCCCATTTCTCGAGCATCTTGCGAAGCTCGGCGGCGACTTTGGGGAGCTCCTTGGAGATTCGCTTACGCATCTTCTCCTCCCTGAGAAGCTTGCCGGGGTCGCGCTTCTCTCCCTTCTGCCCTCTCATCATGAGACGTGACGCGTCCTGGCTAGATGCGGCCAGCTCGTCTCTGTCGTGGGTCAGGGTCCTGTGCTTCTCCACCAGCGCAAGTGTAGGTGCTCGCTGTTCTTTGAGAGCTTCGAGCCGGGCAATCTCGCGCTCATGTGCCTCCAGCAACGCGTCACTGTAGACATCCGAGAAAGCAGGGGTGAACTCGAGCATCTCGTCCTCGGACAGATAGAGCGCATCCCATAGCTCCTGCAGCTTGAAGCGTGCGTCTTCGACGAAAAGATGGAGATTTTGGCGTTTCAATTCGTTGAGCCGACCAAGCTCGTCCTCGAACTCGTTGATTTGTCGGATACCACAGCCACGGTTGCCGTTCAAGAACGCCTTACGCTCGTGCTCCTCGACACCCAACTTCTCCCAGAGGGCCTCCACTGCGGCCTTCAGGTCCTTCAACCGCTTCTCGCGGGACTTCTTCTCATCTGCCAACTTGTCGCGCTTGGTCCGCAGGCGCGCAAGGTCCTCCTCATGCAAGCCAAGTTGCTCTGGTGCATCTCTATAATATTTGACGATCGCACTGTCAGTCTGGGCTTGAGGGGTGCCGAGCTCTGCCCAAAGCTGGATGATGTGTTCTGACAAAGCTTTGACAGTGGCTACTCTGCGAGTGTACTCTTCATACACCCGGGTGAACTCCTCATCTAGCTTATCGACATAGGTGGGCGACAGGTCAAAGTTGGGAGGTATTGACTGGTTGGGCCCCGTGGGTGGCAGAGCGATCCTGACAAATGTCGGCTCGAGATGCGACGAATACGACTCGAGCGCTTGTACAAGCTCTGCAATATTGTTTGTCAGACGCTGAAGAGATAGACGCGATCGGTAGGGAGGCCACTCACTCTTGACTTGCTCGAAGCGCTCGCGGTGAAGCCTGCTGATCTGGATATGCTTCTCCTTGAGTACTTGCAGACACCTGGACAGCGGGTATGTGACTTTTAGTTCATCGTCTTCGCCATGATAGTCGCGCCGGGCTTTGGAGTCATCAAGCGATGCCTCCATTTGCCGGATGGTGGTGATGATCTTCTGGGCCTCGTCGACCATGTCCTTCTTCTCGGCCGTCACCAGGCGCACCTGGTTGTGCAGGGCCTCGGACAGAGCTTCGAACAGCTATGTCAACTTGGCGTTAGTATTCCCTGCCCGCGACAGTAGAGCGCTAGTCGAGAGCTCACCTCTGATTCTCTGGTTTCTCTCTCATGGCTGGGGACTCCAATCTCGTCGAATAGGCCGTGCAATTGGCCAATGATGGTGTTCACCTGTTGAGACAGGTAACTGGTATCCATGGCGGGATGACAGCAAATGCTGCGGTGCAGTCGCTAAGAAATGCTATGCAGACAACAAAGGAATGGGATGGTATATCGATAAATGATGAAATGTCCGTAGCGGGATGTTGATGTTATTATTATTCGCGGGGATCCGTGCTATAGGGAGCAGGTGTAGGTAGGGTGGTGATGACGGAGGAGGGGTTGAATGTTGAGAGGGTGTGAATGTGTTTACAGCGACAAACTCAGAGGACCCGAAGGTGTCGCGATTCCGTTGGCGCGGTGCATCTCATGCAGGTGATGACTGTAGTTGAAAATTGTCGGTTTTCAAGGCGTGGAGGCGCGTGCGACTTTGCTGTCCCGTTGCAAAGTCTCGCGAAATTTCGTCTCGAGATGATGATCGTGCCGTGTCTCGCAGCGAGAGAGAGCTATGATGGAATTAAAAGGCCGTGGAGGTCTTGGAAGGGCTCCATTGTTTGCATGTGGCTTGCGTTGATCACACCTTCCCCGTTGTTATCACACCTCGCTGCACGGGTCCGTGCTGGTCTCCACGGCAACAGCAACCACAGCATCCGTTTTTAGCAGCGCCGGCGTGGTTTCAGTGCTGCGACCCCACTTTTCAGATCGAAGGACCAGATTCACGGCCAGACTTGAAACTTCATTTCGCTTGAGCACTTTAACAGGTAAATGAGACTGGATTCGTGGTGGTTGACTCCCGAGGTCGTCAGTTGTTTGACGGTCTGCTAATTGGAAAGACTCGCAGCGTCTCTCAAATGACAAGGTCCCCCTTCTTCTTTTGGATATAGTCCGCTACTGTCGTCAATCGAAGGCCTCGCTGGTGGTTAAGCGTCTGGTCGATGTCCCACGACGTCCCCTTGCCTCTCCCAAACACCAATTGATATTTGGTCATGGTGTTTGTTGGATCCTGCTCGAGCTTCTCCTCCAGCTGCGGTATACTCCACTCTTCTCTCTTGAACTTGGTATCCAAGCCTGCATCCATCCGATCAGCAAACTCACCATAGCTCAGCACGTCTCCAGCAGTATAGACCACCCCATCCACGCCCTTCTCCCCGGACACATAGACGGCTTCGGCGACCAGTGTTCCGATATCCTCGGCTGCCGTCGTGGCCACTCGAATGTCCCAGCTACCTAGCGCTCTCACCGTGTGCTTCTCCAGATCAACGACACCAAAGTCCTTCAGAAACCAGAAGCTCATGAACAGACCTGTCGATACGATGGTCCACTTCGTCTTGCTCTGGCTTCTCAACAGCTTCCGGACCTCTAGTTGCTCGTCGAACAAGTCCTGCGCGCTCCCTTCGCCAATGGCATCGTAGTCAAGGCCATACTGCCAAGGAAAGAAACGCCGGACACCTGCTTCAAGCACAGCTTTGGCCACCCCAAGCTGCGTGCCGGGCTTTTGGCCCATCCCTGCCGCCTGCACGACGACATCGTACTTTTGAAATGTCGGGATTAGCTCCCTCGGCGCGTTGGCAAAGTCGCCACTCTCGATCTCGATCCCTTGAGATCGAAGGTGCTCGATGCTCTGCTTCTTGGCGGGATCGGTTGATTTGATGCTCTCCGCCCGCAGCACAACCCCAATGCGTCCTCCGCTGCGTCGGGGATGGTTGACAAGTGCATCGATGACTGCGGTGCCGAGCTCACCAGCCCCTATAACTAGGACAGACATTGTTTGCGATGAGATTTAGATTCGACTTAGCAGCTGCCGTTGTGTGTATATCGTTGTGCGCTTTGTGGCAAGCGATGGGTGCGAGGTTGTGGTGCTGTTGCTTGTCAGCAGGAATGAGCCTCACAAACTGGGCGGTCTTAATAAATAGACCTCTGGCGAACCAACGGTATCCCCGTAAAGTCCGCACAGTTTGAAGCTCTAATATTTGCAGTGATTCCTCAGGTTTGTTAGACTAGAAGCACTTCTTGGCGTGAGGCGGGCTGATTACATCATCGCCCCGGACCTGCGCCGATGAGTGGGTACGGACTGGAGACAGATTTGAAATCACAGCTTCCGTGAAAGCGCAGACACATGATCAGACTGACTGATGGACCGACAGTAGGCAGCTAGCTCAAGAAAGAGCTCAATGGGAATAGTATATATATAGCATTCTTTCTCATGTTAACGAATAAAACAGAGATTCATTTCACACAATATTAGTAACGACTGCCACGGTTTCCAGCTTGTGAAGTATTCTGTTACATGTTTGAGATAAGAATAGAGAGCTTTTGACGGCGTCGTATCAGATAAGGCAGTGGGTTCAACTTTTCTTGACTGTGGCAACGCTGACGGAAAGCAGGCACAAGGGAATTCGGTGAAGTGGTTGCGAGACGAGTATTGGGGTTGATCATGATATCAGAAACTCTCATACAAGTCTATGTACCGGGGAAGAGATATAGACTGTCATATACTTTACGGCAAATAGTGTACAAAATATGTGAACAACGGTCTACGCTTATTGCTCGCTACCATCACTGTAAAATTATTTAAAACCACAGTATGCTGAAACCAGACCATTGTTGTTCAACTCCTGTGATAGTTCGACTATATAAAGCAGAGTGGGGACACATCTAGGAAGCGCACACTATCAGGGAAAGGATGCCGGCCGGACTATACGTGGCACAGTACAGCAACGAATCCGCATGGGCCCATGGGCGCTCTACCTACCTAGGTAGTCTCAGGAAATCAAGCTCGGAATCTCCAGAGTAAACAACAAGAATCGGATACAGCTCTTGCGCCTTGTGACCACCGGCATAGACAAGGCTCTCAGTATGATAGGAATACATAACGAAGAGCGATGACATTATCGGTATGACAGCCAGAGATGCCATAGGTACTCTAATGGGATTATGATATGCGTGGAGGTGAAAGTGCAGCTGTCCATATGCTTACAGTTCCTGCCCGCGTGAGTCGTGTGAAAAACCGTAGGAGCAAAGGAAGGATGTCCAGATTCACCTTATCCGAGGACCTGAACATGAGAGAATTCAATAGTCCTATTTTATTCAAGTCTCCTTCAGCTGGATGATGCGAATATGGACTCTCTTTGTTGGACATGATGTTCGTCTGCTCTGTCTTCCATACTTTGACATGAACTACTTCTGCCAGATTCCAGCTACATCCATTGCTCATCAAAGCCAACTGAGAAGATGATAATAAATCTTTCTATTGAACACGATTAACAGAGCTTGGGGGCTTGATATTCATCCGTCTGCCCTATAATTCAAGTGTGTCTCTCGACCTGTCCCGCATCACACTAGCCGGCTACAACTCCCGGGAACACCCATGCCGACCGGTGTGCCGGAGCAACTCAAAGCACAATACAAATATATGCGCCGACATCACGCCGACAGAGCTCCACAGATTCTGCGGACGGGAGCTCGACTGTCCACGTGGTGGTGACTTCGGCACCGTCAGTTCTGTGGGGGCGGCGCTGGACAATTACTTCACGGCAGCTGCGGCGTTCCAATCCGATGAAGATCCAAGTCAGCTTCAACATAACGACGTCCGGAATGGAACGGGTCTTGTCCAATCGTGGTCGTGGCGAATACCCACATCAACCTGCAGGGTCATAATCCAAAACGAACACCCTACATGGATATGCCTAATGTACGTAGACCTGGAGGCACAGCTTTTACCCTCCCCCCTGCTGGCGGGTCAAGCTTTCTACTCTTCTGTTCTTCTGGAATATTACCCTATATTACTCCCCTTTTATTATATTAAATACCCGAGGATATGGTACCACTAAGCGGCTGTTATAACGCGGCTGCTCTAGGTTAACCCGGTGGTGGTGGTGGTGTCCGCCCTATGCCCCCTCGGCTTCCCAGACACGGACTGCCCAATGGGAAGCCTTCCAGAACACCGTGATGACCCTTTTGTCAGCGCCCCCTCTCAGCAGCTCTTCTGGAAGGGGAGGGCTATCTCAACCAGATTGCCACCTTCCCGCCTAGCCCGCCTCGACAGTCAAGTCTTTGGTCCCGATCGACAGCGATCTTCGCCGCAGGATACTACAGTACACGGGTCTAGGCTCATCTGTAGCCGCTACCGCTGCACATAGGAGGCCCCCAAATGAGACAGCAGGTGGGCGGCGGCCGGCGGCCGGCGGTATAGCCTATACCGCCGCAGGCTTACCCAAGAAGCGAACTACACATGAGGCCCGGCGTGCAGTGGGAGCCCGTCATCTCACCAAGTAGCGGCTTGGCCCCTCCCCCCCAATGACACAGTGACATCGCTGTTTTCTCGAGGCCAAGTCGAAAGTGCCTGAGGACATCGAGAACTGCATGACCTGAGACGGCTGGTTTCGGATGGGCTTTGGATGAACCCCTTCCCTTGGAGAACAACCCGGGCCCCTCTCGATCGCCAAGCGGAGAAGAGAGGGTGTGAATGTCATTTGTAACCATGTCTGCGCCTTGGTAGCCTACTTAAACCAAAGGATGGTGAACCACGTGGTCGGAAGGACCCTTCGAGGAATGCTGTTGGTGGTATTAGCGAAAGGCGAAGCTGCTGTGCCACCTTGCATTCTTGTATTTCGTATTGGAACGGGATATGTCAACGAATGAAGAGTTTTTTATTAAGCCATGGAAATGACGGGAATAGATTGATTGTCCGGACGGTATTCCCTCTTCGATGTTTCCATTACATCCTCGAAACCAACATGATGGTCTTCTCAAAACACAAAACGCATCTAACCAACGCATATGCTCTACCTGAACAGAACAAGCTCCAAATCTAGCCCTAAAAGGCCGACCGACCGAGACTCATGTACCCACAAAGAAGGGCCGGCACTTAGGCGACCTTCTCAGCCGGGTAGGTAGTCTCTCGGTTCTCGTGGAGGGCAAGCTCCTTCTCGACCTGCTCCAGGTTGATCTGAGCGACGGCCTGCTCACCATCGAAGATCTTGGCGATCTCTTCGAGGGTGGGGCCGTTGGTCTCGACGTAGACGAAGTAGACGAAGATGAGCTCGACAAAGTCCCAGAGCTGTTTGACATCGATTCATTAGCAAATGACCCTGAGTGGCGATCAGTCATGTGTGATAGGCTTACAGTGTAGAACAGGCACAGGTTCCAGTGGCTGGGCAGGTTCTCCCAGGCGAGGAGGTTGGTTTGACTGTTTCGTTGACGTTAGTTTCCATTGGCTTGTATCTCAAAACGGAGCAGAGTGGCACTTACGCGCTGAGAGCAAGGATAGCCTGGACGGTGATGTTCATAATCATCATACCCTTGGCACGGAGGTGGAAGGGCAGGACCTCGAGAGTATAACCGACGAGCAGACCAGAGAAACCGATATCGTAGAAGATACCGAAGATCCAGACGAAGACGATCTGGGCATAGCCAAATCCGGGCTTGTTGGAATCGCGGTCGTACATGGCGGCCATGACGGTCCAGAGGGCAAAGGAGATGGTCATGCCTGGGATCAATCTATATTAGCTCACATATGAAATCTAGCGTAGAAAAGCGCGCTACTCACCAGTGATGGCAGTCAGGAAGAGCGGGCGACGACCAAACCTGTCGACAGTAAGGGCAGCGCCGATAGCGCATCCAAGATCCAGAACGGTCTTTCCGCTGGAGATCTACACGCAGATAACAAATCAGCGAGATTGTTCAATGGTTGGGGGCAACTCGCGCAAGACTTACACCGAGCTTCTGGTTCTGGTCGGTGATACCGGCGCCATCGTACACAGCGTTCATGTAGTTGGAAATGACAGCGTTACCAGAGTACTGGGAGATAACACCGATGGAGATAATGATGGCAAGACGCCAGCGGTTGCCCTTGGTCTTGAAGAAGTCGAGGTAGCTGCTCTTGTTTCCGGCCTCGGCCTCCATGCGGATGGTCTCGCCGATCTCGCGGTACTCGAACTGGACGGTCGCGTTCTGGGTGTTTCCGTTGGCGTGGTACTTGGCAAGGATGGCCAGAGCCTCCTCGTTGCGGTCCTTGGAGAGCAGCCATCTGGGGGACTCGGGGATCCAGAAGATGAAGATGATCTGGATCAGGGAAGGGACAATCTGGATAAGAGTAATAGATCTCCACGACCAGTCGCTGGCAACATACGAGGTGCCCCAACCGATGAACGTGCAGACTGTTCTGGTCAGCTATGAAGGTCGCATCGTTTCTCAAGGCGGTTACATACTAAGGTTTCCCAAGTTCCAAAGACAGTTGTAGATAGTAGTAACTGGACCACGGTGTTGAGGGTGGCAGATCTCAGTCAGAAGCATGGGCGAGCACATCTGTGCCAGACTGTTGCCAAAACCGAGGGTGAAACGACCACCGCAGTACACTATTCAACAAGTAAGTCCTGATCGATGCCCGCAACATTCGTCAATACTCACTGGCATAGCCGTTGGCGAAGGCAGTGAGGAAACCACCGAGAATCATGATGAGACATCCCGCAGCAATAGGAACCTTACGGCCCCAGCGATCGGCGATGAAGGGACTATACGATGAGGGGCCCCGTCAGCGAGCCATTATCAACACCGGGCACCTTGGTACTCACGTAATGAAGAAACTGACGATGGAACCAATGTTGAACATGTTGGTCCTGTACAAATTTCATGTTAGAGTGGGCTTTTCATCACAAGGGGCATCTTGAGAAGTGCAGCATACATAAGACCAAGTCTGTTGGGGTCCTTCTCAACATGGTCGAAGTAGTCCTTCCAGGCCGTCATCATCTGGGAGGTGTTCAAGAGGGATCTGCACGAGATTGACCATTAGTCTTGCATAATCAATGGCGTCAACAAAGCAGCGGCATCACTGCATACCCATCATAACCAGTGGTCGCGGAAGCAACCATAAGCACGGCAGCATAGAAGTAGAGCTTCCGCAGACCGGGATCCTTGCTCCACCGGACGGTCTCGAACTCCGGCGCCTGCTCCTCGGCGATGTGCACTTGTTCCTTCTTGGAAGCCATGGTGTTCTTCTACCCGAGGGACCTTGGGGGAAGGGGGTGGTGAATCAACTCGGTGATGGATTGTTGTCGGATACGGACTGGCACCGATCGATCTGCTGCGAGCTGGCAGGGAAGGCCCATCGTGTGAAGACGAGTAGGGGGAGCAAAGACCTTATTTAAATTTGAGAAGCACATGCAAAGATGGCTTGGCAGCCTTGCTCTCCTGTCCCTGGGAGGCATTCGGTGCTCACACCCGTCTTTCCGGGGCTACGAAGGGTTGCACCCACCACAGAGACCGGGATAGGGGGATGGGGCGAACCCACACTTACATGGTCGAGCCAAACAAAATGCGATCTTGCCCAGTCTAGATCCTCACGCGTGCGCCGATGCGACGTGGTGAGCAGCCGTGCCAACACAGTCGATCGTCGTCTGGTGTACCCCGTCTTGCCCGTCAACCCCTTCTCCTCAATGTAGGACCTTTATTGGACCCGTCGTAGTCACACACGGCACGCTGCCTCCAAGAATGGGTGGTGAACCGAGAAGCGCCGAACAAAATATCGACCGACTCCACACGCCCGCGAGACCTCCAAATGACAGCTGCGGGGCTCCAGGATAAAGAGATGGGGGTCCGAGAGGCTAGAGCACGCGTTCTTAAGTCTTATTCTACAGGCTAAATGCAGAGTGAGGAGTAGACCGTTGCCACGATCGGATCCAGCAGTTGGCGCCTCGGCAAGATCGCCATGTTGACCTCGTCCAGGCGCCATGCTGTGGACGGCTCCATTCGGTTTCCCGTTAGCTGATCAGACTGACGAGCTGACGGTCTGACGATCCCAGAGGCGTGGAGGCGAAGGAAGGAGCATTTGGGCAAGCGCGAGGCCTCGTAGCGAGGTCCTACATGGAGTCGGTTCACGGCAGTCCTGGCCTAGTCAGCCAGAGTAAACGGAGCGATACTCCGGCAAGGAAGGGTGGGTAAGGCGCTTTTGTGGGCGGTGCGGCACAGCGAGCCACAGAGCGCGGAGAGCACCTGGAGTAGTTACCCGTCCTCCCCAGCCGGAAGCGAGTGAGAGTCTCTCCGGAGTGGCGTCCAGTCACGGGCCAAGTTGTCTTACCCAGATCCCCGGACTGGGTAAGGGAGTAATTCCATGGCACACATGCTTGTACTAGTGCACACAGAGAGCGCGCCTGGTTAAAATGAAGACGCCCGCCTTTGGAGATTTGTTGCATCTTGGGGAAGTCCAGCCTCGTTTTGGGACAAGAAGCCCAGTGATGGCTTTAACCGCGCTGTGGTGCAATTTAGCCGGCATTCAGGGATCCATCCCTGCTTGAAACTTCCGCACAAGCGGCCATGGGCATGGGGACCCCTCTGGTCCCTGACAGCAGAACGCCCTGGAGTCTGGCAGAGATAAATGAAATCCCGTCCGTTCATGAATCAGAGCGCTTCGCTGAAGCGCGGCCCGAGCCAGCGACGAGCGTGTGCAGCACATCCAATCGACTCTTGAGCTGACGAGTGGGCCGTTGTGCCTGAGCGCGCACCTGACTGGCGCGCATGGTGCATGGGCAGGATGGCCTCAGACATGGGTGTACCGTCAGATGGCCTCTCTGCTCGTCGTATGATTGTGCCAATTTTGGGATGTCTGCCCCCTTTGGTAGGTTTCCATGCATGTATGGATGCATGTACGTGGTATAATCGAGACGGCAGCAGGATTCCAAAACCACGATACGAGCCGCGAGCGAGATTGGCTCACAGTTCCAAACAAGGGTGCAGAGCAGACCGAGCGAGTTCAGCGCGGCGGCCGACCGAAGCCATGTCTTCAGAATGTTTCTAGACGGAGGTGCATGTATACGATGGTGAAGTGGGAGAACGTTGTACCGCGTGAGATGAACCAACATCCATTGAAATCGATGTATGCAGTCTGTTTGACTGATCCAGTCAAGTCTTTGTCTGTTTTTGGTTAACACGCCCCGGCAGTTAGCAGTTGAGCTCTCCATCCCGCCACTGTTGAGCTAACAAGAACTCCAGGGCTGCTCTTATCTTATCGCAGGCAACCGCTTCCCCACCGCCTATTACTCCAGTCCGTACCTCTCCAAACCGGTCCCCACACGAGCCACACCCACCCATGAGCTTCCAGCCTGCACAGCTGCACATCCCGCCCACCGAATGAGGTAGTTAGCACCTTCATCTAAATCTCGAGGCTTTACACGTGCTGCGGAACCCTTGGGATTCATTCCCATCAGGATCTCCAAGATGGATGTCGCAATGAAATCATGGGGTAAGTCTGCATAGCTCCCCCTCGATCGACCCCGACCCCAGCTCTACATACAGTCCGCTCTGGAAGAATCTCCATAACTGACCCCGCCTCTACCTCTGCTGTCTCTAGAGCTCGACAACAACGTCAAGTTGGTCGATCCCACCCGCGATGCCCTCTACAACTACGACTCAGAGGCCCAGCGAGCCATCAACCAAAAGAAGCCATGGAATTCCGATCCCAACTACTTCACGACCGTCCGCATCAGCGCCGTTGCCCTTATCAAGATGGTCATGCACGCCCGTTCCGGCGGCTCCCTCGAGGTCATGGGCCTGATGCAGGGCTACATTGACGGCACCTCGCTCGTTATCACCGACGCCTTCCGCCTGCCTGTCGAGGGCACAGAGACGCGAGTCAACGCGCAGGACGAGGCGAACGAGTACCTCGTGGAATATCTGCGCCTAGCCAGAGAGCAGGGCCGTCTCGAGAACGTCGTTGGCTGGTACCACTCCCATCCCGGCTACGGCTGCTGGCTGTCTGGCATCGACGTCAGCACGCAATTTCTCCAGCAGCAGTTTAACGACCCCTTCGTCGCCGTTGTCGTCGACCCGGACCGTACGATTAGCGCCGGCAAGGTCGAGATCGGCGCCTTCCGAACTTATCCCGAGAACTACAAACCCGCCACAGCCGAGAGCAGGGGAGACAGCACCAGCGATGGCTACCAGACAGTGCCTCTCAACAAAGCTGAAGACTTTGGTGCGCACGCGAGCCGGTACTACAGCCTCGAGATCGAGCATTTCAAGAGCACCCTTGATGCCCATCTGCTCGAGCTTTTGTGGAACAAGTACTGGGTGCAGACACTGTCTCAAAGCCCACTCTTCACGAACCGAGACTATGGAAACAAGCAGATGCTTGATCTTGCATCCAAGATCAAGGAGGTCACCACTTACGTGCAGAAGTTAGGTCGAAGCGGTGGGCAGAGCGGTAATGGCGGGGCTGCCTATGCCTGGGGTGGAAATGCTGGCAAGTCACTCGACCAGGATGTAGACAAGGTTGCGCGGGATAGCAAACAGATTGCCGCCAGAGAGACGGCTGGCTTGATGGCAGGGGAGGTTAAGGCCAAGATATTCACGGGTCTGGGCCCCAAAGTCGCCTGAACCGACTTCCTGGTTTCCTGGTTATATGTACTGTACCATGCTCGGTACGGGCCGCGGCAAACCAGTCAAGGGTAAATACGGGCACGGAGGTCAATAACGCTCGATACTTGATTCATAGCATAGGATGGCGTTTAGAGGCTGAACTTGATATTGGTACAAAGGGGTATGGTAGATTAGACGAATATGTTACGCTTGTCGTTCTTCGGTCAACTATTGTACAATGCACTTGAGATCGGGATCATAGGCCATCACGTTGGTTAACTGACGCTGATCTCCTGCGCAGCTTTAAGACGACGCATAGTCTCCTGCTTTCCGAGAAGCTCCAGCAAAGGCACCATTTGCGGACCGGGGTCCGACGCGAGAAGTGCCCAGCGCAGGAATTTCCAACCCCCATCTACCCCCCCGTCCGTGCCTTCTACCTCGAAGACAATCTTCTTGCCTTTGACAGTATCGTCGACAGCACGCTGAAGCTCTACTGTGTCCCAACTCTGGCCGTCAATCTTGTCGAATCGTCGTATGAAATGGTCGACGAGCTGAGCGGGAGCGGTCTCTTGTGACTCTAGAGCAATGCTCTTGGTCGGGCCCATCATGGTCTTGTATGTTGTTTGCAAAGTCTCTGTCGGAATCCGCCACAGGAGGTACCTGTTTGATGCAATGGTCTCGTCGACATCCATTGCGTATCCTCTCGAGCTTTTGATAAGGCGAAAGACATAATCCTCGACCTCGCTCTCAGACCCTGTCATCTGCGCCAGGGGAGAGCCCAGTGATGGAACTAGGTCTGCCAGCATGGCCCCTAGACACTGTGCTGAAGCTGTACTGTCGGGTTCTTGTTGCGACTTTTGCACTTCTCGAATCCTCTTCGCCAACGGAGCCACCATAAAGTCATTGATGACCTTGGTATTGCGGGTGCTGTCCTGCAAAAGCAGCTGACAGTGTTTCTTCTGGAAGAATGCAAGCTTTTCCATATTGACGACAATGTCGCCTTTTGTGAATCTCAGAGAGAACTGACTGGTTAGCACGGCTATGCTCCAGAATCTCACATGATCAAGATTACTTACGTTCTCGACCATCTCATCAAGCGTCATCACGCCTTTCCGGGGTGGGTTGCTCGGGCTCCAGCCCAGGAGCGCGGCAAAGTTGAGTAGCGCTGGAGGGAGGATGTGGGCGTCTCGATACGAGTCGATACCGATGTCCATGTTACGTTTACTCAGCTTCTGGCGGTTCGCATCGACAAGCAGACCGACGTGGACAAACTTGGGAGGCTTCCACCCAAAGGCATTGTAGAGCTCCACATGCTTGGGCGTGGAGATCAACCATTCCTGAACTCGGTAATCAGCACTCGCGGTCACGAATGTGCGAAGGGAGGAAGGGCAAAGAGCTCACCGCGCCGCGAATGACATGAGTAATTTTCATCAGATGGTCGTCCACCACATTGGCGAAATGGTAGGTGGGAAACCCATCAGTCTTGATGATGATGAAGTGGTCTTCGACATTCTTCTTCCTGTACAGCCCGTATATGATGTCTCGGACCTCTGCTGGGGTGTCACTGCTCTTGAATCTGATCGTGTGTGGGTCACCTCTAGCTGCCCTCTCGGCAGATTCTTCTGCTGAGATGTTCAAGCATGTTCCTGGATACAACCCGCCGCTGCCGTCAGACTGGAGGGATTCCTTCTGATGAGCAGCTAGATCCTCGTGAGAACAGAAACACCGGAAAGCGTGGCCTTGCTCTAAGAGTCTATCCGCGTGCTCTCGGTAGATAGGTAGCCTCTCTGACTGTAAGATGTGTTAGTTAGATAATAACCTGACATTGGTAATCTCTCCTTACTTGTTTGTAGGGGCCGTATGGGCCTCCACAATCCGGACCTGGTTGCGACTCAGTTCAGTTGGTCTTTGATAGCCAGTGGGTGGGCTATTCATACCTTCATCCCAAGACAGACCAGCCCAGCGCAGGTCCTCATATAAGCGGCTCTCCGCGTCTCCAACAATTCGACTCTGTGCGAGTTATTAGCATCCAGGTTCAAACGCAGTGTGGACGCGCAGTGGTTGTCACCTGATCCGTGTCCTCAAGTCGCAGAAGAGATTGGCCGTTGGTCGCTCGGGCTAACAGGTAACAGAACAAAGCAGTCCTCAGAGACCCCAAGTGAAGGTATCCAGTCGGTGACGGAGCGAAGCGCGTCCTGGCAGGCTCATCCGGCAGCTTGGTTCTGTTGGATGCTCCGGGAGAATGGCCTGAGTCGGGCTTGCGAATGATGGAAGCGAATCGTGTTGAACTGAGGGAGAGACATGCCCTTCTGAAAGAGACTACGGGCCTCCGTGCAAGCCAAAGCCCTGACATGTCTTCATCTACCTTTTCATCGCCTTCGTCCTTATATACCGTCCGCACAGCTCGTCGTCACAAGCAAGAGTTCGAGACTGAGCCACAGGAAGCTAAGGGTCAAATTGTGGCGCTAGCTTCGGGGTCACGTCCCCTGTGGCTTCCAGGGGACTGCTAACCTTAGAAGGTACAGGGGAGGCTTAGCGGGTGTTGAGCGGCTCCACTGCCTAGACGAAAGAAATTTCCCCACTGGGCTATCATATCATCCCGCCAACCGTCAAAGACGGGTTGAGATTGCTAATCTTTAATCTGTAATCGGAGAGTTTCCCATGGTGATGGGTATCTCAACCTCAAGCGTTGAAGGCGTCACGACTGGTACATCATGCCTGGCTACTATTGTAATCTAAAGTAATTGCTGGGGAGGAACTAGAGTATGTAAGATGTTGCCCAACTCAAAGTCCCGTCAAATTGATCTGTAGAGCGCCATAAATGGACAGGGTCTACGTGTAGATCGATTTAGAATTTATGATAAGACAGCCACGGGAATACAGTTGCCTGTTTTGATGATAGACAAATGGGAAGGCAAACTGAGCATAATTAAGCAACACCCAGATCTTTCACCGCTTCTTTTCTTCGGCCGAAGCCTCGTCTCAAGGCAATCTATTTCTTAGCCCCTACTCTGCTGCAGTTGCTGTCTCGGCTCTCGATGCGTGCCTAGTGTTGGGGGAGAATAGACTCCATAGTAAATTTTCTTGGGCGCTGTCTGACCCCGCATAAGAAACCTCTGCCTTTTCCTTCCAACACCTCGCATCTTGCTACATCACTATCGAGAAGCCGAGAATCTTTTCGAAAATGGACTCAGGAGGACCAAGCATGGGTCCTACAGACCCGGAGGACATCGACCTCTACGGTGGGCACCTCTCCGACCTGTGTGCTCTCTGCGAAGGCGTTGCTAACTTCGTCAGCCCTGCTCGGCATTGATAAGTCGGCTAGCCAGAACGACATCAAGAAGGCGTACCGCAAGGTCAGTCACCTTGACCCAAAGAATTCGCTCGAAACCTATCACGATGAGCAGTTGTTCTAACGCAATTTAATTTTTTAGGCTGCCCTGCAGCACCATCCTGACAAGGTCCCCGAGGAGCAACGACCGGAATCCGAAGCGAAGTTCAAGGCCGTATCGCAGGCCTACGAAATTCTGCGCGATGAGGAGAAGCGCCACCTCTACGATACCCATGGCATGGCTGCCTTTGATCCCTCGCGCGCTGGACCCGGCGGCGCCGAAGTCGACCTCAATGATATCCTGGCCCAGATGTTCGGCATGAACATGGGCGGCGCCGGCATGCCCCGGAGGCCGCGCAAGGGCCCCGACGAGGAGCAAGAGTACAAGGTCACACTTGAGGAGCTCTACAAGGGCAAGACCGTCAAGTTTGCAGCCAACAAGAGGGTGGTGTGCAGCCAGTGCAAGGGCAGCGGTGCTAAGGACAAGGTCAAGCCGCAACAGTGCGACCGGTGCAAGGGCGTGGGGATGCAGGAGGCCTACCGTCAAGTCGGCCCCGGCCTAGTCAGGAAAGAAGTTCTCCCTTGCGATCATTGCCAAGGCTCGGGCATGTACTATAAGGAGAAGGATCGCTGCAAGAAGTGCAAGGGGAAGAGGACGACGGAGGAGAAGAAGGCTCTCGAGATCTACATTCCCCGCGGCTCGATGCAGGGCGAGCGCATCGTTCTCGAGGGCGAGGCCGACCAACACCCGGACCAGACCCCTGGAGATATCATCTTCACCCTGGTTGAGGAGCCGCATGACGTCTTCACCCGAATCGGCAATGACCTGTCTGCGGACCTCAACATCACCCTAGCCGAGGCTCTTTCTGGCTTCTCCCGCGTCGTGTTGAAGCATCTCGATGGTAGAGGTATCCACATCGACCACCCCCGCGGCAAGATCATGCGGCCGACCGAGGTCATCAAGATTGCCGGTGAGGGCATGCCACTCAAGCGTGGTGAAGCGAAGGGCGACCTCTTCCTGATCGTCAAGATCGACTTCCCTGAGAATGGGTGGTTGAAGGACGAGAAAGAGTACGAGGTACTGCAGACGCTTCTGCCACCGCCGGAACCTCCTATCGATGCAGAAGAGGTGGACGAGGTGGAGTACGAGAGTGACGTTGACATCGAAGAGGTGATTATGACCCCCGGCTAGCTATTGTTTCTGTGCTTTGCTGACTTGAATTCCAGATGGGTGCCAACTCGGGCGATCCTCGTTTCGCTCATGGTTGGGAGGATATGGACGAGGAAGACGGGGCGCCCCAGTGTGCCACTCAGTAAAGTCTTGCGTGGCATCATTTCGATATGCTGAGGGTGCCCTAAGGACCTGAGATAACACAGCGCAGTGACCTCTTCCCGGTCAGGTATTGTTCGGGATCAGCGATAAGTCTCATTTTCTTATAAAATTTGGAGATCTTGGCATCGGGCGTAGAAGCGCGGGTAGAGAGCGTGGCATTTGATTGAGTGTGGGCTCTCTGGATGATGCTTAGAAGCTTTGACGAATAAATGAACATCGGGTTCTCCTTGATGATAGCGAGAAAAGAGCAAGAGGATTTGAGGCTCACGGAGAGCAACGGTGTCCGAAGCTCTACAGGAATAGATTTCGATCATAATACCACTCCTTTCCAAACCAGATTCTATCTAGAAAGCTGTCGATCGTGAAATAACAGTATAGTTGGCTATTTCTACTTAATTCTAACCATGATCAGCACTGCGCGACAGTTAGACAAGCAAAGCCGCCGGGTTCAGTGTTCACCACATCAAAGTGCCTGGTGGTGGCATGAAGGCTTATCAAGGAGCTGATAAGGAAGGGAAAATTTAATGGGTCTTTCCTTGGCAGATTGAGCCACAAGCCACATCGATCCCCACTTCCCATGTGGCTAGTGAGATTTTGTTTTGGCCGTGGAAGCCTCAAGCCCTAAGCCCTTAGTGCGAAAATTGACCTGTGACCCTCGACAAAAATTTAGCGACAGTCCCATCTCCAATCGACCGTCGACGAAGTCCTATCCGCCCAGTAATCCCGACAGCAATCCGTCAAGGTAAACACGCCTGGTCCAACGTCGATATTCATTGCGAGTCGAAGTGCTGACAGTTTCGCAAAGATGGTTTCCGCAAAGAAGCACGTCCCGATCGTCAAGAAGCGTATGTCACCCGTCCCGACCCGTCGAAAACGTCCCCGAGTCCCAGCGACACATTGTGGGCTGCCGTGAGGGCAGCGAGGAAGATTAGGAAGAAGATGAATATTGACAGGATCTTGTTTCTGCAGGCACCAAGGCCTTCATGCGCCACCAGAGCGACCGCTTCATGCGTGTCGACTCGGCCTGGCGCAAGCCCAAGGGTATTGACAGCCGTGTCCGCCGTCGCTTCAGGGGCACCATTGCCATGCCCTCGGTACGTTCCTTCGCGATCATCGAACTCGAGAGGCCCGGATACCGCTGGATACACCAGGATGTTGGGCTGTTTGGATGGAAGCGGAAGCTGACAGGTTCTGAAAATTTAGATCGGCTATGGCTCCAACAAGAAGACCCGCCACATGATGCCCTCCGGCCACAAGGCCTTCCTCGTCAGCAACGTCAACGACGTTGAGCTGCTCCTTATGCACAACCGCACCTACGCCGCAGAGTACGTACTTCCCGAGTTGATGAAGTGGAGGTGGCCGGGAGATGGGATTGCGAGAGCAGAGCGAACATGGCTTGGGAAACACGAAGGACTAACGATTGATTACGCAGGATCGCCCACAACGTCTCATCCAGGAAGAGGATCGATATCATCGCGAGGGCGAAGCAGCTGGGCGTCAAGGTCACCAACCCCAAGGCGAAGGTCACGACGGAGGTGTAAATGGTCTCATGGTTCACTTTATTGGCGGTTGCATGGGAACGGTTTTTGCTCTTGGTCTGCGGAAAAGCTGGCACACATACCTCGATGCTAGAAATAATTTCTTAGCATTGTCGATGACATGAGGAATTTCAACGAAACATTCTGAACTACGTACAGCACTGCTTGCGTGTGGTGGTGTTCTTTGCGATCTGCCTCGCTGTGGCGAGATGTACCGGATGGCCTTTTTGTTTCACTCGCTTTTGATCATGGAAAGCCTGCTCCATTTTGTGGTCATATACCGACAGAAGAACGCAGATGAGTGAATAGCATTGTTGACTTTGCGTTTGATGATTTCAGCACAGCCTCGATGTTGGATTGGCTACGAGGCATGCGAACCCCCGGTTTGTAGCAGACGAAGCAACCTTCGGCTGGGCTGATGTGGAATACTATCAGTTCAGTTGTGGAAGCAGTGCTGGCACGGATCTCGGATACAAAATGCTTGAGTTGTCACAAAACACCAGCCTGTTTGGCTTCAATCACCCTCGACCCCTGCCTCAACACCTGACTCCCAAGCACGGCACTCATTCAGTATTTTCGGTATTGTTGCAGTCGCCAAGATCACTGGGCTGGACTTGGGGCTCCAACAGCGTTGTCTATATCGCATGTTAGCCAAGCCCTCGGAGCCAGAAGTTGTAGGCGAGACCGGACCTCCCTGCTCCTTATGTTCGAGCTCAGCTGGGCAAGGTGATATGCCAGGAATAGTTCCGCCAGAATGCGCACTGAAATTGACAGGCTGATGACGGCTCGAGCTAGTCGCTCAACGCTGAGAGCTAGTTGCCCAACGCTGAGAGCTAGTCTATGATGTAGGTATCCGGGTCAGTTCTCCTCTGGTCGTTGCAACAGCAATATGAAGGTGTCTGTGGACTTGCCGTTGGGAGCGTTTGCACACGGAGCAGAACAGGACGGTCATGATGAGGATATACACCATCGTGCCCACGAGCTGCAAAATGCTGTTTGTGGAAGCTGGTGCAATTGTGAGCACTGGATATCGCCTGTCTGACCGCCTGGGACCTTACCCATTTCGACTTGACTCTTACGGAAGTGCGACTGCTGCGACTAGAAGACTGAACGCTGTCATGTGCAGGGGCTGCTAGACGTCGTTGAAGATTTGGAATATTGATCGTGTGATTCAGGCTGCAGAGCTACGGCTGGTTGTTCAGTGGTTGGTGTTTGCTTTGCTCGTAGCAATTGTTGTGGTGGTGGTATTTCTTTCCTCAACCGATCCTATCTGGGTTGTTGCCTGCCATTTATCATCGGTATCACTTGCCCCGAGTGCGATCAAGAGAATAATAAGTACAAAGAAGTTACGATTAATGTCATTAGCACGTACTATCCAATGAGTCAAGCAAAAGAGTGCCCCGGGAGTCCATGCTCATCAGGGGTATGCCTGCCGAATCTACTCAACTACAAAAACATGCTTGCCCCCAGTGACGTCGACAAGGACAAAGCCTCCGTCCTGCCGCGCCCCTCTGGCAGCGGAACGCGCCTGCACGTCAAAGACGAGCTCGCCGTTCAGCGTCAGGACCTTCGCCCCGCCCGGCAGCGGGACGGCGACCGTGCCCGACGTATCCCCCGGCGCGGTGACCTGCATCCAGAACAGGCCGTTGCGACCGCCGCCCGCCATCTGCCACTGCACGGTGATGGCGCCGCTCGGGGTCGGCACCGCGCCCCTGGCCCAGGCAAGGTCGCCCGGCACGGGGCGCACGTTCCACCCCTTGAAGCCGGGCTTGGTGGGCGTCACGCCCAGCACGTAGTTCACCATGAGCGGCACGATGCCGGTCGACCACCCGTGCGCCATGCTGGTGAAGCCGCCCTCGTAGGGACTCCCATTCGCCCCGATGCCTTCCCAGAAGGTGACTGTCGGGTCGTGCGTGGCCATCCAGCCGTACAGCCGCCGCAGCTCCTCGAAGGCGCTCCCGACGATCTTCGGGTCGGACGAGATGGAGAACCGCGCGGCGAGCTCAAAGTAGGAAATGAAGGCGTACACGCGGTTGCTGAAGTCGGCGTTGGGGTCGAGAATGCTGCTGTCGTAGAAGGCGTTGCCGTACTCCCTGGCCATCGCGGTGGACATGTAGTCGAGGATGGACTGCGGGGAGGCGCTGCCGGAGGAAGAGTTCGATGCGACGCCGGACAGAATGGCCAGGCTGTTTCCATCCTGCGCGTGAACAGAGCAGATAGCTTGGTCGCCGCAGGGGCCGCCGTCAAAGAACGCGCCTGCTTTGGCATCCCAGTTGCGCTTGACCAGCGCAGGTCCGACAGCAGCCGCGCGGCTTCGCCAGCGCGAAGCGTCCTCGCCTTTGCCAAGCAAGTCTGCCATACTCGCGGCCTTGCCCAGGGCATGGACGTACAGTGCATTGTAGTATGTCACCGCGCCGCTTCTGGGAAGGAACGCGTAGTCGCCATACCCTTCACGCTCGATGAGGCCCGTGTCATTGTTGGTGTGAGCTGGGTAAAACACGTCGAGCGCCTTGGCCATGGTTGGGTAGTATGTCTGTATGAACGACATGTTCCCGGTGTACATTACATACTCGACAGTGCAGACAACCCACCACAGGGGGTAGTCAAACAATGGCAGTGTGTAATCGTTGCTGAACAATAGTAAGCACGGGCTCTCTGAGAATATGCTATAGGGTTCTTGAACTTACATGCTGGCAGGTGGGATCCAGCCATCATCTCTCTGATGGATAGCTAGATCCTCCAGAACGTTGCGAGCGGCTTCAGGTACATCGTGACTCAGATACGAGGTCAGAGCAGAGACGGCGAGGTCACCAACGTATGGGTCTCGATCCCGCTTAGGCCCGTCGTGGAGAACAAGCTTGCCCAGCAAGGTCGGACTGGCCGCACCACGAGGTTCGGTGTCGTTAGCACGGAACACATCGGTGCACATGTCGTTGGTGTAGACGGCGTCGTACCACCACTGAGTGATGTCCGGGTCGGAACACTCAAAGTGGCCCGTGAAGGTATCTGGCGTGCCGAGGAGGCCGGAATAGAGCAATTTGACGGATTTGATACCGACGGATCCAGTCGAGGTCGTGAGCGGCGCGTCGGAGTCCAGCGCATCCAGATAGATCTTGACGTAGCGGAATCCATGGAGGCCATCGGCACAGACTTGGGTGCCATTCTCGCAGCCGAGCTGGTCCAGCCAGGTATATGGATCTTGTTTGACGGCGATCTATCAAAATTCAGCATAAGTTATCGCCCCTTGACATCGATTCTTCAACTTACCTGATCTGTCCCTGGAGTAATCTTCTGAGCCTACCACGCAGAGGATTAGCAATCAGTAGCCCCCTGGGATTTCCTGGTCAAGAGCTTACCCCATTGGCATTATCCGACCTCGTGAAGTCACTCCGGTTTGTAAGAAACTGCAATGTCTCGGAGAAAGCCAGCTTCAGACCGGGCCTTGGGAGGGTGTCCCGGCCCTGGACAACACTCTTGTTGCCGCCGTCGTCGGTCCACCGGCCGTTGGTTGTCGAGCCTGCAAAGTCTATTTGCAAGAGGCCCGCCACGTTGATGCCAAAGTCAATCACGATCATGGGTACCTGATCGCCTGCCGCCTGGCGGGTCAAGACGGTCGGTCCGACCCCGCCATCGGTGCTCGCTCCCAGCAAGCTGTCCGGGTTGAGCACGTCCCCCGACGTCTCGTGGATGCGGGCGGGCTTGACTGTGTGGGTGGACGGGGCGCGCACGAACCGCTGCCAGCTCGTGTCGTTGTTGTCCATGACCTGCTGCTGTGGGCTCGGGGCGGCCACGGCCAGAGCTGCGGCGGCGACGAGAACGGCCAGGATACTGGCCCGCGGAGACCTCATCATTACCAGCCAGACGCGCTTGAAGAGTGACGTGCTGGCCTGGCGCGCTTGCCGGCTCTGGGACGACGATGGCGCAGCCATCGTGCCTTTTATATACAATTTATCAAGCGCTCTTATAGGGGACCCCAGATGAATAAGACCGACGCAATTCAAGTGTCCTTGGCCAGAGGCGTGCAAAGCCCCCCCGGTATCCCCACCAAGGCCCCGGTAGTGGCCGTATTCCCGCGAAAGTGTATATTAGAGTTATTGCCCTCTCATAGCGATGAGCCAGTCATGGGCTGTTGTTAGGGTTGTATCCAAGAATGGACGCGCTCGTGCAAGATTAGACGTTGTGATTCGGGGTCACGATGTGCCTTGCATGTCGGTCCGTGTGTCAAGTGAGTGGGCTGCAAGGTTGCTGCCGCACCACATGCGGGAGGCTTGCGTTAGCGGGGGGAATTCGCCGAAAAGGGGGGAGATCTCAAAGTGCTCTTTTTGCGGGGGAGAGACACGGAACCAGCAGATCCACATGTGATCGACCATCTCTAAATTGCTACGCTGCAATCTCTCTCGCGTCGCGGAGATCATCTGCAATGCAATGCGAGCTGCCCTGAGGCTTATGCGCCTGATAACCGCCTTGATACGACCCCCGATGGCCCAGCTGTTTGGGCTTGATTACCACGGCGAGTCATGCTCCTGCTCAGGATGCTCGTACCCATGCTGTATGCTGTACTGGGCTGAACGCCCGACACACGCTGCGCCCCAACCAAGAGGTTGTTAAACTTCCGAAACAAACACGGCGAATGCCACGTGTGAAGCATGGCGGTCAAGTGCACAGCATGCCTAGCCTTAGCCCGACGGAGGAAATACGACGTGGGAGATCAAAGACCTGCCTGTTTGCGTAGCACGTCCGCGTCTTGCAGCATTTGTCTACCACGGGATCGTTGGGATAAGTTCACTAGTTGTGGTCACAAAGTCTGCATTTGTTCGTTTGCACATGGACTAGTCCTCTGTCGAAATAGGTGATGTGTTGTAGAAGGGTCACGACATCATTCCTTTCTTCTTGGAGGTGCTCACCCGCTCTCTGACGAGTTAGCCTTCCTCAAAGCCCGAGCGAACACCTCAACAAAGGTGACGCAGTCCTCAAATGTGTTGTACAGCGGTGCTGGTGCGACCCGGATCACATCTGGCCTCCTCTCATCGACGATTACTCCATCTGCTTGTAGACTCTCCATGACCGGCTCGAGCAGGGACTCTGCGAGGAGCAGACTGAGCTGTGCGCCTCGCTGCTGAGGATCAGAAGGCGTGATGATTTTGAACAAATTCTTCTCTGCCATCTCATTTAGCAAAGTCTCCAGGTAGGCGGTCAGCTTAAGGGACTTCTTCCGCAGCTCGCCGACGCCGCCGGCGAGCTCAAACACCTCGAGCGAAGCGCACAGGCTCGTGATGTCCAGGATGCTCGGGTTGCTCAGCTGGAAGCCGGCGGCACCGGGCGCCGGGTGGAACTTGGTGGCCATGACGAAGCGCGTAGACTTGTCGTTGCCCCACCAGCCCGCGAAACGGTTGGGGTAGCCCTCCTCGGGCCTCTTGTCGGCGGCCGCGCTGGTCACCTGGCTGTTGCGCGCGTGGACAAACAGGCCGCCGATGCAACCGGGCCCGCCGTTGAGGTACTTGTAGGTGCACCAGGCGGCCGCGTCGACGTCCCAGTCGTGCAGGTGCAGGGGCACGTTGCCGACCGCGTGCGCGAGGTCCCAGATCACGAAGATGCCGTGCTTGCGGGCGAAGGTCGTGATGGTGGGTATGTCCAAGAGCTGGCCGGTGTAGTACTGGATGCCGGGCAGCAGCAGGACGGCGGTGGTGTCGGCATGGGCGGCGATGACGGCCAGGATGTCATCTGTGGACATGGCGGTCTTGGCAGCGGTCTGAGACTCAATCGTCACCATGGAGCTCTCGGGAGACAGGCCATGATGCCGGATTTGTGTCTCCACAGCAAACTTTTGTCTTTGGGTTAGTCGGAACGGAAGCCGGTCAGTGGGATGCGGGCGAGGCTACGTACATGGTCACTCGGGAAAGCCTTGCTCTCTAGGATGATCTTGTGCCTTCCCTTGATGTCGGGCCGGTAGAAGGCCGACATCAAGAAGTGCAGATTAGCTGTCAGTGTCTCCATGACGGCAACCTCCGACACTTCGGCGCCGACCACCGGCGCTATCATCTTCGCCGCCTTGGCATCGGCATCGAGCCAGGTCGGCAGCGGAGAGCCATCTAGAGGCTTGAAGTGACCCTGTACACCCTGAGTGGCCCAGGTGCTGAGGTATTGCTGGAGCCGCAGAGCAGTCCTTCGGGGCTGCAGGCCAAGCGAGTTGCCACAGAGGTAGGTGCTAGCATCCGTGCTAGCATCCGGCCCGGCCGGGGTAGCCGCTGTCTCGCCAAGGTCTGTCAGGATGGGTCAGTCAGAACTCACTCGATCTCCATACCCCAGACGGAGCGGCAGAGGTCGCGAAAGTCGAAGAGGTGTGGAACCAACCTTTGACTTGCAGTCGTGTACTTGCCAGATCGGCTTTCGTCGGGACTACGAATTCCGCACGCGTGAAGTTGAGTGGATCATCCCGATCCAATGCCCGGGCCTCCTCACGTCGGGGGCTGCCGGCGGCGCAGACGGCGGCCATGGTGGTGGATGGTACTGTGAGGGCACAGGATCCGACCAGGGAAGAGATGACGAATTATCTGGGGCGGGCCACCTCCTGGCGCAAAAACTTCCCACAGTACGTCTTGTCTGTTGACCGACCTTGGGTAAAGACGGCGACTCTAAGGCGGTGTGGCAGTGCGCCAGGTACCTCGCATTTGAGAAAGAGTTTTCAAGATTCCTTGCCGGGTGCCCCTTCTTCGGTGAGTGGTGGCGCGTTAGCTTTTCGTTTTCATCCTGGTTTGCTAAAGTTGCGATGAGTGATGGTACACAATAGAGACCTTGATCTGAAAAATGCCACTTCTCCACACACCGGCGCCGGCCGGGTTGCGGCTTTTTTCCTGCCCCACACCCCTCCGCGCGTAACAAGTTTTTTTCTGGGTGCGCCGGACATGGACGATTTGAGAGCTTTCATTGTCCTAACTTTTGTACAAGTATTTCTATTTACGGGAGCGGAGTTGGAACCCTTGTATTGCTGACTTTTGTTATCTGCATCCATGTATAGAGTACGTACCGACGAGGATTCGTGACCTCACAAAAGCATCAAGGGCGGCCTGGACTATCTCGTAATGGGCTCCACTGCTTGACAAAAAGGATGCACTGCCGTTCAAGCTCCACAAACTGGTTGATCGTGAATGTTTGAAAGTAGTGGAAAGCAGGTAGTGATCGAAGGTACTGAATTGTTGGGTGAACACGGACGCAATGCCTAGCAAGGATGAGGATGTGGTGTGGTATGTGGTTATGCAACGCCTTTCGCGTTCTGAGAATCACCAGCATTAGACAAGGAGTTTACAGTAGGTAATGGCAAGAATGCTTCCCGTTGGGGGAGGTTGTTGAGGGCGACCAGTCAAACAGGCCGTGGTTTGGGGAAAGATGAATGCTCGCTATTGGTCTGAAGTCATCATGCCAGGTACACACGACTTGCAAGTTGGAACAGGCGCTGCTCGATGCGGCAATGTTTGAGACCAGTGTATGTTTAGCTGCCAAATACTTCCGAAAAGGCATTCTCGTTACGGTTTTCCCTTCAAGGTTGTCTCTGTCTTTTCTCCCCTTTTGATAAGAAATTTGATCGCATCAGGGGCACTGGGGTCTTCAGTGATAGGTATCCGCTAAATGTCGATAATAACCGATTTGGAAGGCAGATCCGAAGTCCTTATCTTTTCACCTTCAGACTGTACGTCGAGAATTCGAGAGAGCATCGCATGGCCAGGCGCTTCGAAGGCAAGCGGAAGCCATGACTCACGATGCTATCTGTGTTGTTGCTTTTTTTTTTTTTTTTTGCTGGCCGGCTTCTTCATTCCAGGAGAGAAAAGCACAGAAATGGCGACGAGGTCCGAGTGTTGCTGGCCCCGTGACTCTTGTCCAGCTGACAGCGAGGCTGTGCGACTCGGGGTCCATGTTCGTCGAATCTCGGGACCTATCCGGTGTCCTGTGGCACGGGGTCCGGCCTTCCTAATCTCAGCAGGGTTGTACGCCGTAGCGTCAGGTACCAGCGCAGCATAGCGGGTTCCTGAAGATCAAACCAGCCTGCATGGAGCTCCAGAAGATCCAGTATTTCCACTCGGGTGCAACAGACAAGACAGAATACGCGACCTGGCCTGGCAACGGTGAATGGGAATTGGCATCTAGAACGCCCATTCCGTGTCATTTGACATCGTGGGCCAGGGCTGAGATGTCAAAGGCCCGCTGTCCGGTGCTACCGGTACAGGGCCTGCCTCACCGTAATCTCCCCAAAAACGCCCCGTGACGACCTTTGGGAGCTTCTTAGCGTTCCAGGCGGGGCACAAGAACGCACCCCGGACTCCCGTCTCAAGTACCGGTCCTCAGTCTCTGCTGCTAGCAATCTGTCCCTTGGCTCCAAAGGGAGGAGGGCCTGGGCTAGTTACCTAGTATTCCAGAAGAACACTTTGACAGCTCTCAGAGGGAGCGGGTTCATCTGGTCAGGATTCTCTGCCGAGCACACTCGAATTTAGCCAAGACTCGGTCAAGAAATCTCATCAACTCTCGACGCAATGGCATCTTCGAGCGGGACAGGGAAAGGAAAAAACAACTCACTACATCTTACGGAGTACCTACTCAGCCATGCAACAGGTCGCTTCGACTGGACAACAGAAACTCCTGGCGTCGAACCAGCTGGGTCCCGTGCTTCGTTGACGGAGGAGACCCATGCACGATAGAATAATCTGGGGGTAATGAAAACTCCCTTTCTGGCGCCCAGGCGAGGGGCTGGTGGGTCAGCCGCCCGCCGGTGCATACCGGTGGACTCGGAGTCAGGCCCCGACTCTGCTGCTCTTACGTACATTTGCGCCGGATATCACGCAGTTTTTACACATCACGAGCTTGTGCAAGTTTCTATTTTCTGTTGGGGCACCCAGCGTGTCCTTCCCGCTTCTCGACGCAACCCACTTGACCCCGGAAAGAGCCAATTTCGAGGAGGCAATCGAGATCCCGTCTTTACGTTCTCCAGACTCTCCAGACTCTCCTCCAACCAAAAGTGGCACAGCTCCGTCGCGGGGCTGGTTGTCATCGTTTCGATGCCGACCCGGATGGTTGTTTCAAAACGTCTACCGAAAAAATAGCGGTAAGACGAGAACCCCTGCATGGAAGGCCTTTATTTCGACAATTTGCCATGGATCAGTTGACCTAGTTCTGGGGGTACCCAAAACAAACAAGTTCGTCAGTGCCACCGAACTGCTCGCTAGTATTGTACCTTACTCAGATATCCCTCTGGACGGAGACGCAACTCCACCGCCTTCACAACAGAACATGGACGACAAGTTCTCCAAGACCAAAACTTCATGACAGGCTCGTACCATTGACTCTTGCCAATCACTATGAAGAGTCCCTTGGCAATCAAAGCAATGCAACCTCCTCATGCACGGAGATGCATCAAAGAGTAGACGTGTTTGGACCTTGGAGCCCATCTCTCTTGACTCGTTGGAACACACAGTCCATCGCGTACTGTGGAGTCTGCAAACCGGCCTTGAAGAGCTTACATGTACCTACCTACAGAGGCCTCTCTCTCGCACACTAGTACCGGCCTGCCTTTCTGGAATGAGTACAGAAAAGTCTCTGATCCACCCCGGAGGGAAGCGAGTGTGTTGTGTTGAGGCCCGGTGAAAGCCACCGCCCCTGGAGGTACTCCATGCAGGAGAGAGATCAGAGAAACCTGCAAGGTCAAACTCGTGTAAGACGAGAAGTATCCTCGACTTGTGTACCTACAGAGTTAGAGCCTCGAATAGCCGGTAGTTCTGGGGTTTGGGTACGTTCCCGGAACCTCAGGGCGCGCCATGGCCATGGAGCGCCAGGTACAGAGTCAGGTACCAGCCTGGCCTCTAGTGGTGGAGGGCCCCCCCCCAGCTGGTGGAGCCCGTTCGTGGCCTCCAAGCGGCATAGCGTGTGTCTCGATTTGCTAATGTTAAAGCATCTTGAGATCATGACGACCGCTCACTGGCCGTTGGCCCCGGATGACTGGCTAGATTTTTCTGTCCTCTCCGGGTCCCTTGCTAGACGACGGTGAGGTAGGTATCGTGGAGGATTGACGAGGGGACGGCCCAGGAGGCACGGAGCGAGTGTGGTACCTCGAGGATCCAACTTGCTTCGCTGTGCCATATAAAGGGACTGCTTGTCCCCCCTTGAGCTAGGGCTGCTCCAGCTTCCATGGAAATCACCTCTTCTGGGTATCACCAGCCACTCCTATAATACGACTTGTCTCTTCTTGTAGCTTGCACTTCCTCCGCATAGCTACCGCTGCCTCTCCTCTGCTGTTACCAGACCCAAAACAGGTACGTTTCTGTATCACGCCTCGGCTGCCCAGAGGCTTTCTCCCGCCCCTGTCGCCTTGCCCTGTGCCAGCCAGCAGCCTGCAATAAGCCTCAGCAGCAAGGCCATCACGGGGCGTTGGCCTCCTGGTGAGCTGTCAGGTGTGTCGTCTGGCTCTTTGTTGCGAGTGGGCGTCAACGCCGCAGCTTCAGCGTGGCTTGTTGCGACGACACGCCCGGCTTGGCTTTTTGCCCCTCCACGAGGGCGCTAGCTGGGCCTGGCCCTGCAGCTCGGCTTGCGGCGGCACCCCATGCAAGTGCTTTTGGGGACTGACATCAGCGGTCGGCTCGGGATGCTTTTGCCCCAAATCCCATCCATGTGGCACGCGCAGCTGCTGAGACTGACACGGCTGCAGCACTGCCCACCTTACGATGGTAATACGAACGAATTGATCTCTCAAAAAGGTGAGTCGCTCCGTCCTGCCTCGGGCAGAACCAAGTATCCCTCGCTTCTGCCTTTGGTTGTCGCGCAATTGCTGATCCGGCCACAAAGTTGTGTCGTTTTACAGTTGTTGCTTGCCCCTCCCTCGCAGCCGAGTTTCGATCGAGAAAGAGTCCCTCCGCATTCCTCGACCAGACCAACAAAGCAAAGCAAACTTCGTATTGTACTTCCTGCACCATATACGGCGACAAGACTTGCAAGAAGCGAGTAGCCGTGTTATCAGACGCAATTGACCGGACAATTGCGCCAACTCTCACCGGATCACCACATTAAGGTACGTCACTACCTAGTACGCGGCTTAGACTCGTTCCTGCAGGCCGAGATGGCACCTTCTCTGCAGGATCATTTCTTTGCTTCTTGCGGTGTTCTTGCAGTGTTCTTGCATTGTGCCCACACAGCGACTGCGAGATGAATCCAACACGTCCCTTCCTTGCGCACATTCAGCCCTGTCTCCTGGCTGCCTCCCTCGCCCTGGCTTTTCCGCCTGGCGTGATTGGCCTGACAAGCCAGCCCTTTTGCTTTGGCGGGCGAGCCAACATTGAAGTTGTGGACCAAGCAAGAGGCCCTTGAGCTGTCAGATCTGCTCTGGCAGTCACAATATCTCCTGAAAGTTCACAGCCGGAGACAGCCGTTCACCAGGTCATTTCTGGGCGCTTCTGGGCGCCGGCCGTGTGTTATTGCAACTCGTCCTTGACCCAGGCAATGACCCTCATACCCTCCCCTGCTACCCTCACCGTCTTGTCGAAAGCGAAAATGGCCGGGAATGACGTGCCTACGATGGCTAACTCTGCGGCTACCTTTCCAGAATACATAGATCCAAGCGCATCAAGCGATATCTCCAATATGGCTTCCCCAGCCCCCACCCACAAGATCCTCGACAGTGTCAAGGACCACCCGAGTCGCCACCCTTCTCCCCAGCCTAGCCACATCAGCGTCCACCTGAAGAACAATGAGAATGGCCGGCGCGTCCTGCGCTCAGCAACAGTGGGATATGTCGCTCCCGAGTTCGCGGGAAGGGACGAGCAGATGGCAGCTGGTAAGGCGTGCCCTCTCACCAATAAGGACGTGTCGATATTGACTCTCCATCTCAGTGAAGCAAATCATCAGCAAGGCTCAATGGATTCCCGAGTCCCTCATCGACAACCAAATCAACTGGTTCTACAACGAGCTGGGCATCGACGATGTCTACTTCCAGCTCGAGACCGCCCAGGTCATCGCCAACCACATTACCTCCCTCTATGCTGCCAAGGTTGCGGCCAACTCTCGCGAGGACAAGAGGGAAGAGATCCGTCTGGACATGGAGGCCTCTGATCATGCCATCTATATCGACACCAATGTGCCCGGCAGGACCGCAATGTCAGGTCCTCGCTACGAGACCAGACTCGAAGCCAAGTACTTGGACGGGGCCGACACCTCCAAGAGGTACCGCGTCGAGACCTTCCGGTCTCCGGGCGTCCTAGACGGCGCCAACGGCAAGGCGGCATCCCTGCGCTGCTACTTCGTGTATCAGTGCCAGTTCGCCGACCCCCAGGCCGACCCCAAGGAGACTCGCCTTCAAGTTATTAGCGACCGCATGTTCTTCGCAAAGGCGACCAAGAACACCAAGCAGATTTACCAGGACATCATCGATCTTGCTGTGACCAGGACAGGACCAGTCATCGAGGTCTACAATATGGAAGACTCTCCTGAGAAGCGTCTCGTTGTTGCCTTCCGTGCCAGGACCGCGCGAGGCATCTTCAGCTCTCTCAGTGACCTGTACCATTACTATGGTGTCACCAGCTCCAGGAAATACGTGGAGCAGTTCTCCAACGGCATTACTGTCATGAGTATCTATCTGCGTCCCGCCACCAACCTTGAGGGCAACTTCCCTCCCCTGGATGAATCGATCCACCAGATTACCAAGGAGATTTCCCTGCTCTACTGTGTCCCTCAGAACAAGCTGCAGCGTTTGTTCGCGTCTGGCGAGCTCAGTATCCAAGAGTCTATTTATGGACACTGCGTGTGGGTATTCGTGCAGCATTTCCTGAACCGTCTGGGCTCGGAGTATGCCTCGTTGTCCGAAGTGTTGGACCCTGACAACAACGTCCACGCAATGCTTCTCTCCCGACTCAAGCGTCGTCTGCGTTCAGAGACCTTCACGCCGGATTACATTCTGGAGATCATCTCCTCTTACCCTCAGCTGGTGCGGGCGCTATACGCATCCTTTGCCAGCGTTCATCTGCCCGTCGGTCCGGAGGAGAACGGACTCTCGATTGCGCCAACCCCGCAAGTGGAGGTTCTCTCAGATGCTAAGCTTAAGGAGCAAATCACGAGGATTGTCGACAACGAGCACGACGAGATGGTCATGACTGCTTTCCGTGTCTTCAACAACGCTGTCCTCAAGACCAACTATTTCACCCCGACCAAGGTGGCCTTGAGCTTCCGCCTTGACCCTTCCTTCCTCCCAGAGTTTGAGTACCCGAGACGTCTCTACGGCATGTTCCTTGTCATCACATCCGAGTCTCGTGGTTTCCACCTCCGCTTCAAGGACATTGCTCGTGGCGGTATCCGCATTGTCAAGTCACGCAGCAAGGAGGCCTACTCCATCAACGCACGGAATCTCTTCGACGAGAACTACGGCCTGGCCAGCACGCAGCAGCGCAAGAACAAAGATATCCCTGAAGGCGGTTCCAAGGGCGTGATCCTTCTTGACCCTAAGCAGCAAGATAAGGCGACAGAGGCATTCGAGAAGTACATTGACAGTATTCTCGATCTGCTTCTGCCAGCTGAGACTCCCGGCATCAAGAACCCCATTGTTGATCGCTACGGCAAAGAAGAGATCCTCTTCATGGGCCCTGATGAGAACACCGCTGGTCTGGTGGACTGGGCGACCCACCATGCTCGTGCCCGTGGTGCCCCGTGGTGGAAGTCTTTCTTCACTGGCAAATCTCCCAAGCTTGGCGGCATTCCCCATGACGAGTACGGTATGACGACCCTTTCCGTTCGCGAGTACGTCAAGGGCATCTATCGCAAGCTCGAGCTCGACCCTTCCACCGTCAGGAAGATGCAGACCGGTGGTCCCGATGGCGACCTCGGGAGCAACGAGATCCTGCTAAGCAACGAAAAGTACACCGCTATCGTCGATGGTTCTGGTGTTCTCGTTGACCCCAATGGCATCGACAAGAACGAGTTGTACCGTCTAGCGAAGAGCCGTGTCATGATCTCTCAATTCGACGTCTCCAAGCTGTCGAAGGATGGCTTCCGCGTCCTCTGCGAAGACAGCAACCTTACTCTTCCCACGGGTGAGGTTGTGGCGAACGGCACATCGTTCCGCAATACCTACCATCTGCGCGACAGCGGCTTGACGGATGTGTTTGTTCCTTGTGGTGGTCGCCCCGAGTCTATTGACCTCGTCTCTGTGAACAAGCTCATCAAGGATGGCAAGTCTGTCATTCCTTACCTGGTTGAGGGTGCCAACCTATTCATTACCCAAGACGCGAAGCTCCGCCTCGAGAGCGCCGGCTGTATCCTCTTCAAGGATGCTTCCGCAAACAAGGGAGGTGTCACCTCCTCATCTCTTGAGGTCCTTGCGTCGCTGTCCTTCGACGACGAAGCATTCATCACCCACATGTGCCACGATGCCAATGGCAATGTTCCCGAGTTCTATCGGAATTATGTCAAGGCTGTGCAAGCCAAGATTCAAGAGAATGCCATGCTTGAGTTTGAGGCCATCTGGCGCGAGCATGAGGAGACGGGCATCCCTCGTTCTGTCCTGTCTGACAAGCTCTCTGTCGCCATTACCGATCTGGATGAGCAACTCCAGCACTCGGACCTCTGGCACAACGAGTCCATCCGCCGGAATGTACTCGAGAGGGCTCTTCCAAATTTGCTCGTGCAGAAGATCTCGCTCGATACTATCATCGAACGCGTCCCGGATGCGTACCTCAGTGCCATCTTTGGCAGTTACCTCGCCAGCCGCTTCGTCTATGCCCACGGTTCATCGCCGAGCCAATTCGCGTTCTATGATTTGTAAGTCTACCTTTGCTACCAAACTTGATTGCCGGCTCATGCTAATGGTGTTCCTTTGCAGTATGTCGAAGCTAGTCAAGGAGATGGATGAGGAGAAGTCGAAGAAGGCGTGAGAAGGACGGTGGATGCCCGAGCGAGGTGTTGCTATTTGTGAGCATTGAAAGGGACTATATGTGCGCATGACTGCGCATTGAAAGCTGTTTTTCTTTTTGGGAGCATGGCATGGCTACATAAACAAAAGTATTAATATTGACCATTTTGAACGTTCTCATCAGTTTGCCAAGGAATGGATGGCATTGCTGGCTACTTCTGTGTCTCTTGGATCACCATAAGCTGCCTAGTGTACCATGGCTCTCATCTTAGAGGGTTAACCGAGAAACGATCTACTAATTCGGCAGGCTAAATTCTGCTTATAGTCCTCTCCCATTATGCTTTCACATAGTTCTCGCTCACGAATGGCATAAAGAAGACTCTTACTGTTTTGAAGTCTGTCAAAGACACAGGAATGAACAAGGATACAGTCCCGAATTGAAGAATGAAGATGAACCGGGAAACACTTTCTATTGCCCACAAACACTAAGATTCAGACAAATAGTTTTTCTCCCACGTGGAAACACAGATTCTTCCCAAACCAGTCTTGAAGGAGTGCCGAGAGCTATCTGCGGCTTCAATATCAGCATACTTGTGATCTGTGATCGAATGTTTCCTCACAGACTCACTGTCTGGATTCTTCCTCGTCCTCTTTCTTTACTTAGTGCAGCAGCAGCGCTTGTTGTTGAGGATGCTGCACTTCTCCATGCGGTCGACGCCGACGTCCTGCCCGTATTGGCGGCAGTAGTGCTCGCACTTGGCACCATAGGTCCAGCCACAGTCGCTCTCGTGGTAGCAGGCCTTGCGCTCAACGAGTTGAGGGAAGTTGGCGCCCTGGTGGGGGTTGGCCATGGCGACGGTGGCAGCGGTGAGAAGGGCGACGAGAGTGAACTTCATCTTGGACTGATGTATCGGAACTGAACGAGAAACTCTGTTTGGTAATCAAAGTCTTGTAGAAGATTGCGAAGATTGCGAAGCTTGCAGAGCCGGTATTGTCGAGAGAAGGAGAGGTCCTGAGGTCTAATTATTCTTATACTTTGAATCCCAGCAGCCCCGAGGACACAACCATGTCCGTTCAATGTGGGCCATGCCTGAGAGTTGATGACTGTAGATCATCTTGCCTGACGTCTTAGGTCTTCTCCGACTGGGCCACTTGACGAGAGGATTATATTTAGTTGCTTCTTTCGTATGGCTCGCACTGGCCGGTCATTGGCCAACATGACGGCGGTAAGGAGAAGAAGCGATATTGACCCGTTCCTAAGAGTTTCCGTTTTGTAACATGACGCCAAGAGCTCTAGATCACCCACCGCATATCTGCCTTTTCTAGGAACATAAGCATTCCAGAGCGATCGATTGTTGTTTCTGGTCGCCGCTCTGGGACAGGGTGTCTCTGCGTGGTCCAATGGCACATCCATCAGAGGTAGACACCTACGGCAAATCCAACACCAGTGCCCACCCAAGGCGTGGAGCAAAGTGATTTGCATGTCACTTGGGGGCTGGGCAGGGAGATGATCGTGTCACTTTCCCCAGATGACGGCTGTCGGTAGGGCGTTCCTCTGACTGCAAGTGGGCAGGTACCGGGCGGGAGACCAAAATTATCCCTACGCCAAGAGCTCTTGTTTGCCAGCGGCTCGAATAGCTAGGCATTCCTGGTCCCCGGATAGGGCAGACGCAGCCATGGTGTGTGGTGTCATATTTTTACCGGGTAATGGGGGCAGACCATAAGCTCGGATGAACTTTAAAGCTCTGGGTGCGGCTGAGTTTACTGGACCCCTTAGGTATATGCTTGCTGCCCGCCTGGTGGCTATGCCGTGGTTTCAGGCACGTAATTGGCGAGCATCCTTTGGTATGATGACTATTTTGAGGATCATATCCAAATTGCCTACCGGAGGGCGTAATGCACCCGTGGTCATGACGGTGATGATTCGGTGTCCCATTGTCGATCATGATTCAGCTCGAGTCGCTGTGTGAGAGCGAACAGGGGCCGGTTAAATTGACCGCCTCCATGCAGTCCTTTTAAGGTTGAATAGAGGGACGCCGAATGCTCGGACGTGACATCGCTTCAGTCGTCTATAGAAGTTGTTCAGCTGCTTAATGAAGAGACACATGGAGTATTCGGATGGAAGAGCAGGCTATTGTGGGGTGCATGGGCTTGGGTAGATGGTCAGTTGACAATCCCCTTTGCCCTATTTGTCGATCCTTCTTAATGCTGTCCGCAATTTGTTGGTCATTGTCAAGAGCAATTTATTACGAAGTCTCATGCGAGGGGTTGGAAATCTAAAATCCCCTGTCTCGACGAAAGCCTCTCGGTTGGCGACAGCTTGGCCAGTCAGTTCGCTTCGACTGTCTCTCCCCCCTCAGACACCTATGCTTGAAAGTTTCAAACCTGATGGCACTCCAAGAAATGCATGACGATCTCTCCCATTCCTCAGAATGACTAAGAAACAATTTCAACAGGGCATTCCGGCGCTCCTCATGACTAGGGCACGCGTTCCTACTTCTGCTGCTTCCAGTACTTGCTGCCGGCCATCTTACGGTCCGTAACGTAGACGTTTAGTCCAGGCTTCTGCCATGTACTGAAAGCCTTCATGTTCTTCATATTATCGGCCGTGTCCCACTCGTGCGCATCATCGGCGTTCTTGAGGTCAAAGTTCCAGAAAAGACGAGCGAGGGCCAGGCGCTGCTCCATATATGACAGACTGGCGATAGTTAGATAATTGGCATACAGGGGTTTCGGTGAATGGTAGTTGTCAGACTTACTCCTTGCCAATGCAACTACGCGGGCCCAGAGAGAAGGGCCGGCTCGCCGGCTTATTGTCGGACTCGAACTCGGTGTTTTCGGAGAGCCAGCGTTCAGGGATGAACTCGTCGGGCCGCTTGAAGTTGTCGGCGGAGTGGCTGGCACACCAGGAGCTGACGGAAACAGTAGTCTTTTGGTAAGGTCAGCTATAGAGATCTTGATCGTATTCGGAAACTACACAGCAAACTTACACCTCCAGGAATGTGGTGGCCATCGACAACATCTCCTTGGGCGTCAATAACCCTGAGGAATCCAATAGGTGCCGGCGGGAAGAGCCGGAGACCCTCCTCCAAGCAGGCATTCATGTAAGGCAGATCCTGCATGGCGGATAGAGTAATCTCGTCTTCTGAGTTGAAGCGGTTGCGGACTTCCTCAATGACCTTTTTGTAGCAGCGGGGATGCTTGAGAAGGAACATGGTAAGAGCAGACAGGGAGCTGGCTGTTGTCTCACTTCCGGCAACACTACATGTTGTTAGACCTGTTGCTCGAAAGGAGACTGCCAGGAGCGACATACATGAAGAGAGCAGCATTGACAATGACTTCATTCTGGGAAAGATCATAGTGTTCTCCCTGCTTCAGGATGTAGTAGATAAAGTCCTTACGGTCGCTCTTGCTTTGGATACGTCTATGGTCCCAGGTCAGTTAATGATGCCTGTCCTCAACGGCATCCATGATAACTCACCGCATGACTTTCTCTCGGCTATATACCAAGTGGTCAGCACGCTGCCTTCGGAGCAGCTTGCCTTGACACCACTGCTGAATCTTTATCTGCAACCAGCTTCCAGGGGTGGCGAAGCGGCGGCTAGCCTGCTCGATGGCGCCGGCCTTGATCGCCATGAAGATGAGGTTGATCCAGAAATGGAACTCGCCCCTTTCGAGACAGCCAAAGGACTCGCCAAAAGCCAAGTCGCCAATCACGTCAAAAGTCATGAAATTGTACCACCTGACAATGTCGAAAGCCTCTCCCGTCCTGGCGTACTCGTGGATGCGGTTGATGAGCTTGTCAACGAATCCCTGTACTATATCCTCCTGCTCCCACAGAGCCTTCTTGGAAAAGCCGTGTGACAGAGCCTTGCGCTGACGTGCGTGATTCTCCCGGTCGGCCATGGAGATGGTTTGAGCACCAGGGACAGGATCGACGGAGCCGACATGGATCGGGTCCTTCTCGAGGTCTGGACGCCCGAGCTTGTGGCCGTATATATCCTGCCACGCTTGCACCGTGTTGAAAGCTAGCTCATTGGGCGACAAGCGAACAACGGGGCCGTATATGTCGTGCAGCTTGCGGGTTTCCATGGGCGTACGGCCCTTGAGCGTCCAGATGACGCCAGGTATCTGCCAAGTCAATTTGTCAAGCTCGGGCAGAACACGTAGACTGCACGTACCCATGAAATACGGTTGATGACCGGGCCTGGGAATTTTGCCAACGGATGAAACCAAAGGCGATATATCGAGATAATGACGAGATAGGTTACGATGCCAACGGAAAGTACGGTACCGGCGAATGCCAGGCGTGCTTGAATGCTATTTGTCTTCGTAACGGGGTCCATCCTGCGTGATTCTCAAATGTAAATGACTGGAGAACTCAAATAGTGCTACTCAACTGTGCAAAGAAAAGACGAGCAGAAAACATCAAGGCGAACGGTTGAAGTCGTATTGCCTCCTATATACCTCGCGTGCGGAGATACTCCTTCCTCAACGTGGATGTCTGAGCAGCCGACCATTCTCCCCGACGCATTGAACTTTATGATAGACGCCAACAACAGCCTGCACTACTACCTTCTTGCAGAGAGAAGCTCGAATCCCGCCATGTGATACTGGCTCCTCCCTTCCTTTTGGCCCTTCCCCCGCGGGTGGGTGCCATCAAAGGTGGGTGGATTTGTGCCAACTGCATCAAGATGGGTCCCGTATTGCGCGGAAAATCGTAACCGCTTTCCAACATGGCAACGATTCGACCGTCATATATCACGGAAACATCAAGTGCCGCACACTCACATGGCGTACATAAAACTTGATCTCGTGTGTACTGATAGAGAAAGACACCAAAAGGACTTTGCATGGGCATCGGTGGAGTTGGGTCGAGTATACGGATATGTGTACAGCTTTTGAGAGGCAATCTGTTTCGTCCACATGGGTAGCATGGCCTTCCTGGACGAAATGAAATAAATGAAAACGAACAAAACAGAATGACCAGCTATCAATAAGACAACCCTAACTATCAAACAAGTTAGACGTGCTTCGTTGAACAACGGCAGCATCGCCGCCGCCTTTCAACTCGCAAAGTGGGACATATTCCGGCAGCCCCACCGACTTCCGGAACCGACCCACTAACTTCCGTGCATGGCCGGATCTGACGGGAACCCGGCCGTCTGTAATATCGCATAAAAGACGGCGCCGGGCCCGGAAAACAACGGCAGGTTGGCTACGCTTCGAATTGAAATAGTGGAAAGGTCGAAGACCTCAAATTTTAGCATGGGACGCGCTGGCACGCCACACAAATGGCACGCAAACGGCACAACTTGAGAGGAGGAATTCGTCTCCTGGGATCAGAAAAGTGATGGCCAACCATAGTACACCTAGGTCCAGGTCAAGAGGATTCGCGTTTGACAAGATTTTGGTAGTAAAATGCAAAAAGAAGCTATAACATTGGAGGCAGATTCAATATGACGCCTCCTGGCAGCAAATGAACGTTGAGGTGAGTAGAAGCTACTCTGTGGTCATTCAGTAGCCGAATCAGACACCTATACTAGCTGAAGCATCACGGCTGGTGAAGGGAAGACTTGATTTTCAACAAGAAAAGTTATCTGAGATGATTTCATTGAGGCACTTGGCTCAGACAGTTGACATTCCCACGCATCACCGACCCAGCCCTATCATGCAGCGGCCGGTATTACCAATGAACTCCTTCATTAGCAAGTGTTACAGTGGTTGCAGCAGTTTGTACCCGGCGGACAGCAGCAAGGGCCATTCCAGCCGTCACATGGGCATTCAACGCAGCCTTGCCGTTTCTCGAGGTCCATATGCGGAACGCTCAGCATAAAGGTTCCATCAGATCGCATGACGACTTCCCCGCTTCGAGGAGATAGCCCAGAATCAGACTACATCCATACGTTAGTATGTGCCTTTCATGTTTTGTGCCCTTTGGGTTGATGTTACCTCGGAAGGGGCTGCAAATGAGAGGCCTGCCAGGCTCAGGCAGAGCACGATGGGCGATGAGAACTTCATTGTTGGAAGAATGGGTTGAAGTTGGATATTCTGAGGTCTGGATAGAAAAGCTTTTGGTCTTGAGATTCTTGGAGTCTACAAACACGGTGAGATGTGTATGAATTTATAGTAGGAAGGAGGTCATAGACAGAGTCAGAGATCATCAACCTGACTGCCTCTTTGGTCAGGCAGCATCTACCCAATAGCTCAAGGAAATGCAATCCTTTGAGAACACCCTCGGGCTTTGGGTACCTAGTTTGGTCGAGATAAAGCCCGACGCTTATGCAGGACCAAGTCACTCAACTCTCAACACAGTTATTGGCTCTCTCCCGCATTCTCCACGAAGATCCTTCCGTTTACAACACCCAGTTCACCTATTGCAACATCGGACTTCACTGGGTATAAGTCCACATGAAGCTGTCAGAACCTTGTAAGCCGAGTGAGCCTCGCTATGGGAACGGATCGACAAGGCACACAAGTGCTTGCCAAGCGGTCTCACATCAGCACGTTCATGCATTCTCATATCAACAAAAGTACACGAGCAAAAAAGAGAAGCGAAAAAGAGACCCTAATAAACTGTCATACTCTTCATCTTTGGCAAGCCCCACTACTACGGAGTATACATATCAGCAATCGTCTTCTGGCTGGCTTGCAACATGTTGACTTGGCAGATCAGCCACATGAGAGAAGAGAAACAGTGAACCCTAAAGGCTCCCGAGAGCACTCAGGCACATGTAGTTCGAGTTTGGTACCGAGCTACACATCCAATGGAGAACATCATTGTCGAGTCCGAGCAGACAAATGGGACGGGACGCGGCTCGAGCCGCAGGGATATGAATCAGTATCACACTTTGCTCAGACTTCAGATTTAAAGAAACAAGGTCAGCACTAAGCTGGGCTACCCGGGCTATGAAGCATAATTGGACATCCTTCAAGATCCATGACGGCTCGGGAGAGATGGGACACAGGACTGAACCATTCAATGTTGCCTCCAGTGCTTGCATCGTAGTACCCCAGCTCAGCTCCAGATCTATTGAGCCTTCGGGGTTTGACACAAGCTCAGCTTTCAAGTGGTCTGGCTGAGGTACACGAATCGCTTCATCCTCTGGATGCCCTTGTGGTCTGAATAAAACTCGCGTGTATAGACAGAGGAATAGATGCCATCTCTTGGCTCAAATTTATATTATATAGAATGCATTAAAGCTACTAATATGCGCCTATATCCAAGCGCCGACGAAGCGGCGACAATATGCGATTTCCACAAGGTTAATGAACACAAGACAATGCCGCAAACCCATCAGTCCACCGCAGACCACCCATGATGGCAATCATGGCGGCCAGCGAGACCACAACGCTAGCCCCACCATAGACATAGGCATGACGACGCCGCAGCACGGCCAGTTCGGCCACCCATGTCGATATCGTAGTTAGGCAGCCGCAGAACCCGTCCTCGATGCCCTGAAGGACTTGGCAGCCGACAACGCCGCCAATGGAGGCGTGAGCTAGGTCCCACGCCATGCCGAGCACAGCCGTGCCTCCGACATTGGCAGTGAACGTGCCCAGGGGGAAGGCCCCGAAACGGCCGTTGAGATAGAGCGAGAGGTAGAAGCGGGCCAAGCACCCCAGAGGCGCGAAGACGAGGGAAAACGTTGCTGTCCCTCTCCAGATCTCTGGGCCTGGGTTGTTGCGATCCGGCGGTAGGGCCGAGAGAAGGATGGCACCGGTCCAGCAGCCCCAGGCCAGGAATACCACGGACCGATCGAGAACCTTCCTGGTGAAGGAGTAAGGGAGCGATGGCGTGATCGGCTCAAGTGTGATAGCGAGATGCGCGCCAATGAACAACCCGCCAAGGGAAAGTGTAGTGGTTATGATAACGACGCCGAGTAATGCCATGAAAGAATAGCCGCCATTTCTAGGGATGGATGTTTCGGTCCCCGGCGCCGCGATATCGTTGCTTAGCGCCAGGAAACAGTCTTTGATAAAAGCAGAAAATGAAGTAAAGGATCCGCAGAACCCGGTGGCGAGACCGATGTACAGTGGAATCGTCTTCTTGGTCGCCATGTATGCCTTTCTAGCAGCCGCCAGGTCGACATTTGGCGTATCTGATGACCCGGAACCACCCTCCTCACCTCGAGACTTCTCCCTGGCCTCCCGGAGTTGGTTCTCATAGGTGGGTGTGCCCCATTCGAAGCGGAACAGCATCCTATCTTCGGACAGGAAACCCATGACAATGGATCCGGCAAAGTTGGGCCATATCGATGCAAAAATGACAGGGGCACCAGGATAGATGGTCAAGGCCCCCAGACCAATTCGGGCAAGAGTCCCCAAGAAGGAGAAGAAGACTAGGTAGGAGATGGTGTAGAGCTGCGTGGCCAGTCGGGATACTCGAAACGTCTGCGGCTCCTCTTCTAAATCCTCTTCTGGTTGCGCCACGGGAAGAGCCACGGAAGGCCGAGGCTCATTCCCGCTGACTCTTGACGTGCGCCTGCGCTGCTGTTCTTCGCGATCTCGACTGCGCTCCTCTTCCAGACTGTGGAATTTGTATATCGGACTTTCATCCGGGTTCTGAACAGGTGACACGGCCAATTCATCGAGGTTGTTGTAGGCCTCCGGTATATCATAGTCCACCCTCGTTCTCGACGATTGACGCTGCAGCATGCGCAGTTCCCTATCAGCAGCTGAAATTTGCGACATGCGCCGCGATAATCTCTGCTCCAGAGGCAGGCCCATGTCTTCAGCAGCGCTGCTGCCTCGGCGCGACCTGCTACGAGCACTGTAGCTATCTTCCCTGTTGCTGATGTGTCGAACGGGCTCTTCCTCGGGGTTTTGAACTGGCGGTGAAATGCCGACTTCGTCTAGGTATCGGTACGAGTCGGGTATGTCGTACTCGAGCGAGCCTCGAGATGCGCGTCGTGCATTTCGCGACTGTCTCGAGCGGCGCGAGCTGGTCCTCTGCAGTCCATCGGATGTTGTGACGTTGCGCGAAAAGGGCGAGGGATCCTCCAAGCCCGATGCTGGTGTTGCAGTTTGCGGGAGGATAGGACTCGATGGCCCAGGCAAAGAGGTCGTAGGAGAGATGTCGGCATCGTTAGATATAGCGCTGCCGGCCACGCCCGACGCAGCGTCATGAGATGTACGGGCTTGCGACATCTTCTGGGTCTCCCGGATCAACAGCCAGATACACGGAAGATCACGATTGGCTTCGAGTTGTTCTCATGTCGCGCGCGGCTTGTTTTTGATGATCACTACCTGTGAATGGCAAAGGCTGATCTGCTCATCGTGGATGTATGTCGAGACACGGCTTTCCCCGTCGTGATTTTGTGGGGAGTCATTTTTTTCGCTGGATGTCCTAAGATTGTGGCAATCACGGTGATGACTTGCGCTTTCAGGGCCGAGATATGCGGGAAAGCCGGCTAGCGGAACTTTCGGTCCTCAACAGTAACTGCGGACCCTCGTGTAGAGGAGATGAACCAGGACTCGGCCTCTCCGCGGGGCAATTGATAACCCCTTTGTTGGAAATCTTTGTGCTGGTAAGACGAGACTTGTGTGTGCGATGATGCAAGGTCGGCTCCCATTTCTGTGGTGTTTTTTTTTTCTTCATGATCTTCAATGCCAAGCATTCAAGATAAGATTCTACCTATAGGTACGTCACTCGACTTGTTTCCTCGCTGACTGATGCTTCCTTCTTCCGGTTCAAACTTCGCAATCCCTGCTAACGCACGACGTTGAGCGATTGCGTGGCTCCACTAGAGCTCCAGCGCGTGCGTCTTAGCGCTACATCCACTGTATGCAGCTGGGCTTAGGCGTCTTCGGTCTCCTTATCTGTTATCAGTGGTTATCGGGCTCTCCAAACCCCCATTTGTCGGTGAGCTTCTCCACTGGCCGTCACGCGGGGACAGCAAGCACGGGCGGCCAAGCGGCGGGGGGAAGTGACACAGGTCACGACCTCCCCCAGGGACGGACCTCAGCGCCGGTTGAAGGAAACATTCTAACTACCTAGGTACTTACTTGGGGGTTTTTATTCTACAATCTACGCAACTTTCTCTTCCCGTTTCAGCTCCCGGACCTCTCTACCCGGTGTCTCCTTTGACTCTCCCTTGAAAGACTCACACACCCCCTCTTGACTTATACCATCCCGGATTCCCCCTTATCTCGTCCCCGCACCATGGCAACAGACATTCCCAAGAACGTTCATGTATCGGCTCACCCGTGCCTGCTGGCCAAGCTCAGCCAGCTCAGATCTAACAAGACCAGTCCGAAGGAGGTCAAGTCCCTCATCAATGATATCTCGTTGATCCTGGGGTGTGAGGCCCTCGCCGCATCGGTCACCTCGGTGCCTGGCGCACAGGTAGTTCTCAAACCCTCCGAAGCCGGCATGAAAGACAACAGACCGCTAACATGAAAAACAGGATGTCACACCCATTGGTTTCGAGTATACATCATCTGGCATAGAACCCAGCAACATGTGTCTCGTTCCTATTCTGAGATCCGGTCTCGGCATGGTTGAAGGTATGTGATCTTGCTGAGGACCCCGGTGCGGGTTTAGATGGGCTGTGCTTTTTTTTTTGGCTTTACGAGAATCCGGTGGACTATCGACGGCCACATTTTCAAAGCTCTTTACTCATTTTTAAAGAAGTAAGAGACTAACACGCCTCGCTAGCCATTCAAACCTTGCTGCCCAGCCCGGTCCCAGTCCACCACCTAGGCCTCTACCGCGAGCCCACCACCCTGGAGCCAGTAGAGTACTACAACAACCTCCCCAACCACCTCACCGACCCGGCAGCCGCCTCGGCCCAGGAGCCTCCGGCCCGCATCGCCTTCATCCTCGACCCCGTCATCGCCACCGGCGGGACCTGCGCCGCAGCCATCCAGACGCTGCGCGAGTGGGGCGCCCACAAGGTCGTCGTCCTCTCCGTGGCCGGCGCCGTGGCCGGCGTCAAGCGCGCGGCCGCCGAGTGGCCCGAGGGCGTCGAGATCTTCATCGCCGGCATCGACCCGGAGCTCACCAATGAGGGCATGCTGAGGCCCGGGCTCGGCGACGTCGGCGACCGGCTGTTCCTGACGATCGGGAAGTAGAACAACCCGGCGTCATCTCCGTCCCCAGACCCTGCTTCTAGACCCCCGGTTGCCGTGACGAAGGACGATGTTAAACCATTCGATACTACCAATGTCGGTGCTCAGTACCCCCAGTGCGAACACGACATGGTGGTCCGACAAGGCAGCGAACAAGGGGCCGGCGAGCCCAATATCAGAAGATCATCCTGCCTGGTCTGCCTCGCAAGGAACCTAGAGATTCTTCACACAACTCTGCAGGGAAATCACCTCCCTTTTGTAGACGAGGTTGTGCAACTTCTGGCGACGTACCAAGATTCTCTAGACAGGTGGTGTAAAGCAGACCGCGCATGGCGGTCTGTGGCTAATTCAATTGTCAAAGAAGCACAGATGCAAGTGGAGTTGATTGAGCAGGCTAACCGATCAATCGCTTACGCCTGGCTTATGTGTCTTGGTCAACTGCTGATGGAGTGGCTGGTGAGGTTTCTGTTCTACTGGCTTCATCACTAAGGCCGTATCTTCTTTATTTTTCGGCGTCTTTTTTGTTTCTCACCAGATAAGATTTGGGAGTCTCCTCTTCAAGGTTCTTTAGCTTAGAATTGTGTTGTATCTTGCTATCCTTACAGAATGCCAAGAGTCTGTTACATGGGCGCATACGGCTCCTCGTCCACCAAGGTGCTCTCCTTCCAGCTGTCCTCGACCCACTGCTGCGTCACGACGCGAGGGACCGTCCGCCTCGAGCTGATGGTGCTGCGCACCTCGGCCGCGAGCTCCCTCTCGGCGGCGCTGTCGCCCGTGACCACTACCACGTGCGTCGCAGTCTCGTCCTCCACCCCGTCCGCGATGCTGCCGCCGCCGAACCGTACGTAGTTCCTCAGCTTGATGAGCTTCACCTCCGGCACCCCGCCGGCACCACCCACCGCGAGGTGCACACGACACCGCCTGAAGACCATACCCTTCAAGCTCGCCAGCTCGTCGCGGCCCCGCCCCTCGAGCTGCTCCAGGAACTCGGCCTTAGCGAACTCCTCTCCCGCTGCGGCCCCGGCCCCCCCTCCTTCCTTCTTGGGCATGGCCCCCATGATCTCCCGCAGCTCCGCCACGTCCAGGTCCCGCGCGTAGCTGTCGCCGAACCGGTCCACGTTGCCGCGGGCGAGCTCGCGCATGGCCTCGGTGGCGTGGAACAGGTGGCCCGTCTCGAAGGGCAGGAGGTAGGCGGCGCCGTCCGAGCCGGGCCTGAGGCAGTCGAGCAGCCACTTGGGCTTGACGATGTCGACGCTGTCGTCGCCGCCGCCGCCGCCGCCGGCGGCCTTGATGAGCGACGCCACCTTGACGACCTTCTTGTCCGCCACGAGGATCATGCCGGACTCCGGGTCGGCCCTCTGGCTGATGCGCCCGCCGTGCTCCTTGACCAGGGCCTCCAGCTGCGCCTTGCTCCTCTTGATCGGCCTGACCGCCTCGGAGAGCACGCAGAACTCGAGGCCCTCGAAGACCTTGTCGTCCCGTGAGCCACCAGCACCACCAGCACCACCGCCACCACCCTGGCCGGTGTCGCCGTCATCATTGGTGCCGGCCCGTCTCCTCGCGAGTTCCGCGGGCGTCTCGGCCTGCGGGGCGCCCTCCTGGCCCGCGATGACGAGCTCCCGCTTGACCCGCTTGGTCGACCTCCGCTGCCGCCGGTCCTCGATCGACATCTCCTTCTTCTCCTTCTCCTCCTCGTCGACCCGCCGCCGCAGCTCCTGGAACTGGTCGATGTCGAGCGCCGAGTCCCAGGCGCGGTCGAGCCGCAGGCGCCGGAAGCGCGGGAAGCGCAGCGTGACGCCCATGGCGAACTGGTCCGACGCGCCCACGCTCGCGGCCTTGACCGAGAGCACGATCGAGTCCCGGGGCCGGATCCAGACGTCGGGCTTCTCGTACTGGAGGCGCTCGCCGCCGCCGAGCTCGACGAACTCGGTCGGCGGGCTGGCCGCGTTCCAGTCCTGCCACTTGCCCTCGGTGTGGTGCCTGATCTCGGCGTAGTCCTCGGCCTTGAACCCGCCCCCGACCTTGAAGAAGCTCCAGCACTTCTCCGGGCTCGCGCCGGCCTTGACGTGGTTCTCGCCGGCCCGGAGGCCGCACAGGAAGCTCGAGATGGTGCCGCCGCGCCGGCCCGAGCCGAAGTAGCCCCCGACCACCACGCAGTCGAGCGACTCGCCAAACTCGGACATGTACTCGGGCTTGACCTTGATCCAGTCGTCGTTCCGGCTGTTGAGCCGGTACATGGAGCGCGGGTTCTTGAGCACCAGGCCCTCGGACGAGTCGGCCACGATCTGGCGGAGCATGGGCTCGATCTTGTCGGGAGACGACGTGGCCACGTGCGGGTGGATCTCCAGCCGGCGGTGGACGTCGTGAACGGCCCTCTCGAGGGCCTTGTGGCGGTCGCGGAGGGTGTACCGCGTGAGGGGCTGGTCGTTGAGGTATAGGATGTCGAAGACGCGAAACAGCGGTCTCGGGGCCGTCTCGTCGTGCGGGTTCTTCTGCCCGGCCAGCGCCGCCGTCTTGAGCGTGCCAAAGGCCACCATCTTGTCGAGCTTGGGGTCCCAGGTGATCATCTCTCCATCCAGGATCAGGTTGCGGACGCCGTCTGCGAACGCCTTCTTCAGATGCCGCGTGAGGGCCGAGTTATCATCCTCGAAGCCTTCGCCGTAGAGGTAGGTGTAGTCCTTGGCCTTGCGCGACCAGAAGCAGAAGCGCTTACCGCCGGCAACGTCGTCGTCTTCGATCATGTGCATCTGCATGCGCTCGCCGTCCAGCTTCTCTTCGATCCAGAATTCTTGGTCGTCGGCCTCCGGGCGCAGCTTCTCCACCATCTTCTGGAACGACGAGGGCATCTGGAACTGCGCCAGCTGGGGCTGGAAACATTGCATGAGAGTCACCCCCGTATCATCCTGCTCCAGTCTCACAGCAGGGTCGGAAAGCTCCCAGCACACGCGCCGCAGGCTCGATGAGACGCTGAAGAGGGCCTCGCCGTCGGGGTGCCACAAGTTAAGAAACGTCCGCTCGGTGGCGCCGACCTTCATCTGCTTCAGGATGATGCGGATGAGCCACATAAGCTCCTCGGCGTTCATGCGCTTGTAGAAGATCTCAAAGATGGGCAGCTGCTCCGACTCGCCACTGGCGCCGGCCAGCTGGTCCAGCAGCTCGTTGACCTCGCCGATGCGCATGTCGCCGACGGTCGTCCGCAGCTGCCTCTTGGCGAGCACCTCGTAGCACCGGCCCGCAAAGTCGCCGGCCATGCGGCTGGCCGTGATCTGGCCGGGCAGCTTCCAGTGCAGCAGGTTGTACCCGTCCTCCGAGTTCCGGTCGATCTTCATGAGCTTGACGAGCAGCTTGCCGATGGTGTTCTCCTTGAGGCCGTAGACGCCCCGGTCGCGGTCCTTGTCCGGCAGGATCAGCCGCAGCGCCGGGTAGAAGTCGTCGCCGACCTCGGCGCGCCAGTGCGCGATGAAGCGCTCGATGATGAGCCGCCGCTGCTCGTGCGGCGACAGCTTGGACGGGCCGTGCGGGCCCGTCTTCGCGCGAGACGGCCCGCGGCCGGGCTGCGCCTTGTTCTCGTTCAGAGGGTTGAAGAGGTTCTTGAACAGCTCCGAGAACAGCAGCGTCGGCGCGTGATTGCGAGGCCGGTTGGGATAGCTGCATGGTATTGTTAGCTGCCGCGCGGGCCAGGTCAACAACGTCCCATGGTTCGCTCACTTCTCATCGAGCTCTTCAAGGCTCTGACCAGTGCCATATTGGCGTTCGTCCTCCTCCCGCGCAGCTTCCTCCTGGGAAGGCGATTTCTTGACACGACTCATGCTTCTCACGTAGCCCTGATTCTGACGTGGCCCTGTTTGCTCCAAACTAATGCATTATCAGCAACGGTTGTTGTGAGGCTAATTGCACCTGCTTGAGTTTTGTGTGTTTTCAAGCACAAAGAAAACGGAGAGCTGCCCGGGCAGTCTTTGCGTCGTGAGAGCACCTTCTGTTGTATACCGTTTTACGCAGATGGGATGCGCAGGGCTTCCACATTGCAAGGCGAGAATTGCGAACTGTTGCCTAATGAGTGACGGTAATTCGACATCATGAGCCCACCAACAACAGCTGAGCTTTGAGGCTCGCTTTCAGGTGGTTTAGCGCGTCTAGCTAGTGGAGTCCGCCAAGCAAACTGGCAATACACTCCCTCATTCACGGATGAACAATCCAATTACTTATTGGTGAATCCTATTCCAGTTTATCACGTCATCATAATCTCGAATTGCTGAGGCTTTTCTTTCATGTTGAGAATCAATTCAACTATCGATACTTTACTCAAACTCCGAAATCATGAAACAAAGACGACAGTACAAAGGGAATTAGGTCCATAGGAGAGACAAGCACAGCAGCCCGTCCGTCCGCATGGGAGGTAAACAACCTTCCGAATCCTAAAACACGAGTGGTATCAATTCCGTATTATTATGTCCTCCTCCGTGGTATCATCCGCTACTTTTTGAGCCAAACAATGGCAGGTTCATGTTGCGCCCTGCTGCCCGCTTCAACACAAAGCGTCGTCGTATTTCCACTTCGCTTCAAAAGCTCGCAATGATTTCTTCACCCTCGCCAATCTTCGGCTAGTGAGCACCGGCGGGATGGGTGGTGTTAACATTGATGCCAGGCTGGCCAGCAGTGGGAGCAGTTCCACCAAGGCCAGCGACGACAGGAGCGGCGGCAACAGGAGCCAGAGGCTTCTCGCTCTGAGCATTGTTGACGGCGGTGTACTTGCCGTTGGTCTGCTGGCCGTTGACGGCAGTGTTGCCATTGGTGTAGGCCTGGTTGCCGTTGGTCTGGTTGCCGTTGCGGAGGGCAGCAGCGCCAGCGGCAGCACCCGCACCGACGGCGGCACCGCCGGCGGCGAGGCCAGCCACGGGCTGCGTCTTCTTCTCGACTGAAGGAGCAGAGGGAATGTCGGTGCTCTTGGACGCGTTACCAAGGGTGAACACAGGGCTCTCCCACTTCTCGCCCTTGCGAGCAAGCTCCTTGTACTCGGTGGCCTTGGAGCTGATACCACCAGGCAGGTGGATGTTGGGGAACATGCTGTCCTCCTTGGTGATGGCATAGTTGACCTTCTTGTCGGCAGCGACCTCCTCGGCCTTCTTCTTGCCCTTGAGGAACTCCTTCTGGGCCGCGCTGACGTAGCGGTTGTAAATGTTGGGGGCGTTCTCGGGGTCCTCCTTGGCCTCCTCGAGGGCGCGATCGGCTTCCTTCTTGACCTGGTACAGCTTGCGGTCCAGCTTGTTGACGTTGTCCTTGATAGCCTTCTCCACAGCCTTCTGGATGGCGGGGCGGAGAACCTTGAGCATCATGCCCTTGAACGTGTTGAACAGCAGCTTGTGCTTGGACTTGACAAGTTTGATCTGAAGGTTCTTGACGTCGACATCGACCTTGTCACACTTGAAGAAGCTCTGCGAGTCCTTGTTCTCTGCAGTGCTCATCTTCATCCTGAAGGTGAAGCCGTCACCAGGAAGCAAGAGATTGGCGACACCAGTGTCGGTCAGCGAAGGGAAGCCTTGCTTGCGCTTGACGTAGTAGCTCACGTCGCGCAGATCGAGCTGAATGCCCGCAACCTTGACATCGATGGCGTGCTTGCTCTTGTTGGCGATCTTCTTGCGGCCCCAGCGCATGTAGTTCTCGCTGGCAATCTCAAGCACATTGGGCATAAAGTTGTCGCTCTCCAGCACCAGATTCTCGATGACGGCATCCACCTGAGGGTCGGAGTACTCGATACGCGGGATGGGGATGTAGGCAATCTTCTCGAAGGTGGCCGGCAGGATGACATCGGTCAGATCCTTGACCAGATGAGGCTTGAAGGTGGGCTTGCCATTCTCGTCATTGCCGAGATCAGTGAAAAGCTTCTGCATGGATGCAGCAAAGGCCTTGTTCTGGTAGTCCTTGTCGAACTGGTCGGCAATGAACTTGGTCTCGTCGAGAACGCGGTCGGTGTGGGCGCGGTACTTGTTGCGGAGCAGGTACTCTCCGTGATCATACAGGCGGTTCCACTCGTGAGTCGAAGCGTCTTCCAGGATATATCCCTGCTCCTGCAGACAGCGGCGGACGTAGCGATCGACGGCCTTGAACCAGTCCTTGAGCTCGGGATCGCGGTCGGCATCCTTGTAGATCTGGTTGATGGCGGCCCAGAGGTTGTCAGTGGAGGTGCCGTTGGCGAAGCGCTCAATGAGGGTCTTCAGGTCGCTCTCAGCCTGGGCCATGTGCGAGCGGGTCTGCTGGACAGTGCCGGAGCCACCAGCAGTCATGTCCTTGGCATGGCCGCCGTACTGCTCAGCGAGATCGAGCAGCGTCGAGATGGCCTCCTGGTAGTCGGGGTGCTGCTGGCATTCAATGACCATCTTCTTGAGGCGCCAGACGGTCTGGTCGCGACGCTCCTCGGGCATCTTCTTCTTGAGGTACTCGCGAGTGCGGGCCCGGTACTCCTCAGCCTTGGATCGAGCAGCCTCCTGGGCGTCGCCGGGAACGCTGCTGTCGACACGCTCCTGCAGAGTGTCCTTGGCAGCAGAAAGGCCAGACTGAGCATCGACACCCGAAGATGTACCGTAGCGCTGATCGCGAGCGGCAGTGTAGGCAAGGTCGTTGGGGTCGGTGCTGCCCGAGGGGTGTGCGGCAGCGGTGCCACTGGCGGCAGCGGCCTTTGCATCCTCGGCAGGGCTTCCCTTGTATACCTGCTGAGCCTGCTTCTTCATGTTCTCCTTGGAGAAGTCAGGCTTGTCATGCCAGGTGTTGTCGGCAGCCGGCTCGTCAATGCGAGCAAGATCGTCGGCCGAGGGGTTGACCTTGTCGGCAGCCTTGGAAGCGGCATCGCCTGCCATGTCGCGAAGGAGCACGGTGGCATCGCTCACTAAAACTCGCTGTCAGTACAACACAGAGATATGGGATGTCTTGGATACGGAAAGAAGCTTACAGAGCTTGCGGAATTGGCCATTGGTGATGATCAGGGTTCCCAAAGTCCGGAGACCCTCAAGCGCGTCGTTTCCATGCTGCTTGGCCGTGTCCTTGTCGAGAGGCGCGCCAGGAGTGTCGATGCGGTTGGGGTCGAACTGCTGCGTCTGCCAGATGAAGTCCTGGAGCAGATTTCCGTCGTTCTTGGACAGCACGAGGTTCTTTGCCTGCCTCACGACTTCCTGGAAATCAGCAACAAGCGCCTTGCCCTCGGGAGACAGACGCTGGGAAGGGCTGGAGAGCGCCTTGGACTTGAGGAAGCTGTTCAGAGCAATGTCAATTTGCTCGTTCTAGTGGCGGGCGGTCAGCATGCCGAGTCATCAAGGTCTGTAGAGAAACCAGTGCAGCACATACCGAGGGGACCTTGCCGAGCTGGAAGGCGTTGATGATGCCATAAATCTGCAGTTTGCGGTTCACGTCGGCCTCCTTGACCTTGACGTCTGTGGGCCTGTTCACCCGTTGAGTCCCGGTGGCTGACATGTTGGCTAGATTCTCGGTCTGTTTCTCTAGGATCCTCGATTACTTTCTCGTCGAGGGTGAAAATAAGTCTGAGGAGAGTGAGTGACAGATGATGAGCGGGAGACCGGATCGACGAATAAATCGATAGGTAAGGGTATCACAGAGGGGGGGTATTAAGGAAAAAGCACGGCTTTGTTGGGGTATACGATGGTGTTACAGTGACTGGTCTTGGTATGAAACAGTCAAGAATTTGACGGGAAAGGGAAGGAGGAAGTGAGCCGTGAAGTGAAGCGAGAGTGTCGCCTTTATAAAAAAGACTTGTCACTGGGGGGTGGCAGATCGCAGGGCCGTCCAAGTACCTACCTAGGTACCTAGGTGCCTAGTCACGCTGCTTAGCTATTCTTCTGCTTCAATGACTACCACAAACCCTCGCAGGATACAAAAGTGATTCAGGCCAGAGCAGCAGGTCCAGGCTGTACGAGCTGGTGACGTGAGGCCGCTGCGATTGACCGGCAATGTTGATGGATAATGTACGTCATAGGAAGGGTGGGACTAGCAGCACCCCCATCGAGCTCCTGAGCTTCTTTCCTCTCCGCACCACGCGACAGGTGGAGGATGGCTGCCAGGGAAACCAGAGAACAAAGGGGAGAGAGTGGGAGAGAGAGACCGGTCCCATCGAATCCCAAGCCACTACGAGCACCAGTTCGGCCATCAATTGGTCCAGGGGGGAAGCCAAGGTGCCAGATCAATGGGCTCTGGCACGATCCAGCCGTACCTTTTTTTGGTGATGGTTGCGTTGGAACCCGCTCTCATGTCTGGGAAATTAATGCAGGCAAGGCCCAGATCGAGCTATGACGACGATCGACGTCTAGACTTTCACGCAGACAGCAGCGATGGAGGCAGACTCTGGTACCTTTTCCACATTTGGCACCTCTCCCACCAACGCGCATTCTCCTTTTGGGACCATGAAGCTCCATGCTCCAACACCCTTTGTGATTTTAGGGATTGGGGATATCCGGAGATTTTTCCTCAAACAGAGAACCATTGTGGGAAAGTCCCAAGCTGGCCCGATCTCGCTCCCGTGCCGCCCAACATCGAACAGCAGGCGGTCATGCTCTGCCGGGGACGGCATCTCATCCCGATCGTGAATGCAACGCAAGAAAAGACCTGCCAAGCTTTGGATGTTCCGCAGCCCAGCAAACAGTAGTTACCTCGTTACCTGCCCCATGCCCGCGGCTGAAAACTGACTTTGAGGTCTCAGGCCTGACCCTGGCATGTCAGAAAGCCAATATGGACTCGGGCCTCGTTGGCAGGGGCCCGCAAACTTTCCGTTTTCGAGCATGCGACCTGTCTGACATCCAGGACCTGCAATCCGGCAGCTGTCTCTCCATCATCCCGCACTGCGACCATGGACCACAGCCATAGCTAGCCACATCCACATCGCCATCCCAACCCGCAATGAATATTGCTTGAAATGCCAATCACCCGAGTCACCTTAATTCAGGCCAGGAACATTGAACGCGTCTTGACGTCCAACACAAGCTGAACTATCACAAGCTCATCCTTTGAATTGTGGATGCAGCAGCGTAATAGCGTCTGGATGTTGTGTAATGCGTGGAGAATTCTGGGCCAGACCTCATCGATCTATGACGTCAAGCCTGGGAGCTCCAGCAACGTTCACAAGCCTGTCGAGCCTGTCTCACCTGAGAAAAAGCCAAGCAGCAGGCAGCTCCAGCACTGGCAGGCTCAAAATCTCATCGATCGGCCGCCGACTGTGGGAACGAACAGACCCAAATGGTGCCACAATTCATGAACTGACTTGCGCCTTTGGCAGCAGATGCAGCCACATCCATCCCTTTGGAGATCTGGCCAGGTCCTGACGTGGAAACCCAACTAGCAAAACTTGCTTGATCGAGCTGGCAGACAGGGGTGCACAAAGCTCGCTGGCAGGCTGTCCCCATCCAATCACCGCCACCTGCGCACAATTGCGGTGCCTCAAATGCCATGGGGCGGAGCACTTGCTCCTCTCCCGCCTTGAACTACCCGCTGGATGGGTCCCGAAAAGAAACTGGAGCTACAGATGGGTACGATTGGGCCAATTGATGGGTCCAGGGCAGGGCATTGCGGGGAGAGGGAGAGGCACTGATCGACGCATGGGTTGCCGTGAGCAACAGCTCTCTACTTGTATCAGGAATGCTGGACACTCACACCGAGGTGGTGATAGAATGCTCCCATCATTACGCAAGCAGACCCCTTTTCCCTTCCCCTTTCACATACCTAGCACGGAGCTTTTGAATACCTAGTAATGATGTAAAACTAGCCTCCCAATCAGGGTTCCCCAGGGTCCTCGCGGGCCTGTCAGAAGTCACAGAGTCACTGACCTCACATGTGTCAAATTCAGGCACGAACCCTGACCAAAGTCAATTGATCGAAGAGCTATGGAGTAGTTTCCTTTTCCATTTTGATACTATTCATAACTTGACAAGCGGGCGCGAGACGCGAGACGCGTAACATCTCACTACTTCAGCACTAACATGCACCGCGCGACAAGTACACTACTCGATGGTAAGTTGCCAAGTACAAAGAGATTTATTATACACCGTATGATATTGTCCACTTCAGAAATCTTGTGTCCATTATGATAACCTAGAAATGCCTAATCGAAAGTAGAGCGTCGGTAGGGGAACACAATATTACCCAGACCTTCAGTCTGGGGGTCTCAGAATATTACTGTCGCAAGTGATGGGCGGGTTAGTAGACAGACTGTTTACAGAAGTGCGTGACTTTCTATCAAGCCCATCAATTTTAGGTAGTCGGATAATCCTTCTGAGCAAGGATATGCTTGTTAACATCGCGGTATCCCCTGATGAACCTCCGTCAACTATTCTTCACCCTCGTTTGTGTCGTATCCTAAGCCTTCTCCTCGTGGACAATCACGCCGCTCTTGCTCTTCATGTCATCAATCTCGCCAATCTCATCCTCCATGGGCTGCAACTCGTCCATCTTGACCTTGTGGAACTTCCAGGCCGGGACCTTGTTGTAGAACAGACGGTCGATCTCCTCCAGAGACCGCCCACGGCAGTCGGGGACGCAGAAGTACGTGTAAAAGATGCCGATGAAAGATACGGCGCCAAAGATGAAGCCGACCTTGGATTTGAGGTTGGCGTATGGCGCGTTGAGGAGGTAAGGGAGGGCGTAGGTCACGGCAATTCTGGAGAGGAAGAGAAAAGTTAATATCGTTAGCAGATTGTTTCCTCATACGAGACGGCATAATCAATCTATATGCAAGAGCCAGAGTTTCAACTTACTGAAGAATAATGGCCGTCATGGAAGCAGTCCGGAAGGAGTGGTCGCGCATATGCGTGCTGCAGAGCTCGGCGTTCAGCGTCTGCGACACAGCCGCCCAGCCAATACTGTAACCGCAGCCGTAGATCATCATCATGGCCACGACGGCCGACTTGGATGAGTATGTCTGGGGCATCATGGTGCCGATGCCGCCCATCGCCATCAGGGCTACGGTCTGCATAGTGCCGCCGGTGAACAGAAGGACCCTGTGCAGCGCCCATTTGTTAGCCAAGGATGCCCATGGGCCGTCTTGTCAGTGCCAGCCAATCCTTACCTGCGCCCGATTCGGTCCTGGAGATACATGGTGCAGAAGCCAATGCCAATGTTGAGACACAACGTCAAGATCTGGTAGTAGAACTGGTTGATCGTGCCGAGCTCCTTGACGAAGATGGCACCATACGTCGAGGTAAACTGCTGTCCAGTTCCCTGCAAGAAGATATTAATTCCGATAATGGTCAAGGTTCGCCTGCGGTTGAAGCCGCGGAACAGGTCCAGATAGCTGCCCTTCTCTTGAGCCTGCTCGGCGTGGATACCCCGAACCATCTGCTGCCACTCCTCCTCGATTTCCTCCTCGCTAAAGGCGCCGACACGGAGAGAGTGGAGGTTTTTGCGAGCCTGCTCCAGTCGATCGTGAAGAATGAGCCAACGGGGCGACTCCGGGAGGAACCAGATGGTAGAGACGACTACAGTGGGGACGGTGAAGAACAGGCCGAAGGGGATGAGCCATTGCTTGTTGCCCTCGAGATGCTGAGTGCCACTGCCGATGCAGTTGACGACAAGGCCACCGATCTATTAAAAAAAAAAGAAACAATTTTTTCAGTATTAAGGGCGTGTTGTGACCGGGACATGGACGGGGACAGGTGTAGACATACGACGAGTGCGGTATGGTAGGCGCCAACCGAGAAACCACGCACAGCCCTGGGCGTGATTTCTGACTGGTAGACCGGGATGACTGACAATTCCATGCCGACATAAAAGACTTATATGAGCGTTAGTGTCAAAGGCCAATTGAATGGACTTTACAAACGACTCCGTTCAACCTACAGTTCAGAATACGGCCAGCAAGCATCTGGTCCCTGTTCCTGGACGAGATAATGACCGAGGCCGACATGAGAGCCCAGCAGCTCATGGCAAAGACGCACATCCGACGGCCAAAGCGTTTGCTGATCATACTTCCGGTGAGAATGCCGAAGAAGAAGGCAACAAAGGGCACAGCGTTGAAGATGGAGAGCCACCAGGTCGGAAGGTAGTAGGTCTTCTTCTTGGGATCCCACTCGCCGAACTGCTTGTCAAAGGCATCCATCGACTGGATAGAGGAGAAGCCCTGGTTGTCGAAGCCATAGTTGAAGGGAGAGACGCCCAGGAGGACGCAGGTCAGGATCAGACGCTTGTTGAATAGCCGGAACGTGTCCTTGAAGCTGAGGTTGATCTTGTCACCGGCCATGGTGATGAATTCCCACAAAGAGAAGAGCGGTCGTTGGGGAAGGGGGCAGCAACAGCCTTGTTTGGTTCTCTGCTCGAATCTACAGTTCCGGGGAGGATGCGAGAAGAGGCAGTAGACTTCAGGCAGGTATAAATACCGTTACCCCAAAAGCGCCGCGTGAAGTTCGAGCAAGGTCCAAGTGCCTCTCGATACCCACTCTGCCAACCCCATGGGGCAGTTGTTGGAGTCTCTCCTTGACGTTGGCATATTCACCCCCGCATACCCAACCGCGAACCTGCTGCAGTCAAGCCTTCTTTCCACCCCTTGTCTCCGTCTTCTCCACCTTTGAGCATGGATATTCCACAATCTCGACAAATCAGAGTCACATCTGGTTGGTTGTGTGGTGGCTCCAATGCAGATTTGGAGATCGCTTGATAGAAGACTAGGAAGTCGGTCTGCACAGTTGTCGGATGTCGGGATGCCATCCCGCATTTGGAACCAACGAAACTCGCGAGAATGGATCATGACTCCACGCCCAGCTTGTGTTTGTACAAGTAGGAGTCCTCACAGCGCGACCAATGAAGTTTTTGGTCTTGGAAGAACCTACCAACGCGATGGTCCTTTTGGGCCAATGGCTTGCCAAGCAGGTGCCACAATGCTTGACCCAAGCTCATCAAGAGGTACCTGAATGTGAACATGGCATAGGATAAGCTATTGACCTCACGCGGGTTATCCCACTACCTAAATCGACGGTCTAATGGGCGGTGAAGTACTCCTGTTACCAGTCTGTTGACTAATCTGCCTGGAACTCGCCGGCTTTCGGGGCCGTTCATGCCTTCACTGACATCCCGAAAATACATGGAGCTTCCCCGCTGCGAGCTTATCGCCACATCTTCACGTTGGCATATCGGACATTATCCGACAAGCTGAATTATTGGTCAAATCTGCGTTATGATACATTGCAAATTTCCCCTTTGAAGCTGTAATCAGGTTGCTTGGCATGCGCTGTCTCGTTTGCTAAACGTGACGAGAAGAAGGGAAGAACAACTGTATGCTCAGCCTGCATCAATATTGCGAGGAAAAGCGACCTAACTGGCCTAGTTCGTTTCTCACCTGCAAGCATATGGTGACAGAGTGTGTCTAATCATAGAGCAGTAGTTCTCATCAGTACCAAAGACGAGGATAAAGTCGGTATCATGCATAGCAAGAGATAACCTTTTCCCGATGATAGATCTACCGAGAATGATGAGCGATGCGAGAAATGAGGCGTGATCAGAGCTGCAACAGTCAGAATGCAGCAGGTCTCACCGACTCCCGTCGTCTACATTCGCCCTTAAACAGGTTTGTTGTCCCAAGGCCGATTTCCGAGGACTTTGCGGGGTGCCGGGACCCCTGCATAGTTCGCGTGTCCATCCTGTCAATCGCTTGGCGCCTGTCTTTGTGCTCGTGAGGAGCTAAATCATCAAGCGTGGAGGGGATCAGAATAGTTAGCGGAGGTTCATCAGGAGATACCTCGATGTTAACAATGCATATCTTTGCTGTGTTGCTGTAGGGTTCGGAAGGACTATCCCACAGCCTAAACTCGATTGTGGACGATAGATAGTTAAGTGCTTCTGTTAGCAGCCCGTCAGCTACTCTGACCATTACTTGATCACCAAGAAATCCTGGTTGGCTTCCCAAGCCGCCAAGCTTCGGGGAGTTCATGGGCAAGAGGCGGTGGAAATTGGCTCAAGCTTGGTCATACGGGTAATCAGGGCTTGCAACTTTCAAATATCCCCGTGTAGCCTCGGCCCTCAAGTTTGATGTCCAGGTCGGAGGCATTGTTTTACCAGGCAATCAGGGGCCAGGATACTCGATGGAAGTCCTTCAGGAGATACCTATGGTAACAATGCGTACCTTTACTCTGCAAGTCACATGGGTTATCCCACTGCCTAAAACTGATGGGTTCGGTAGATAGGACGCACTTCTGATACTAGACGGACAAGTGGTCTGACTATTGATAAACCTGTCAAACAGTCCATACAAGTCTTGACCTCTAGTCTCATCCTGAGTGATTGATGATTCAAGAGAGGTGATTTCTATTCGCCGTACTGGATTGTGATCCGCTACGTACATCGAAAAAAGGGAAAAAAACCGAGTTATTCATATGACGCGCATGGGTCGATAAAACCAGCTGGCTGGACCTCCTGTTAACCTTTTCTGCTTCGCAGTTCACATCGTCCCCTTCAAGAACTGGCCCTACATTGTCCGCAAATGCCCCACTCGAAAACTGTAACCTTCATCCATCTACCCCTGCATCTCACAGCAGCGTTCAGAGCCCGCCGACACCATACTGGGATCTCGACTACGTGGTCGCAGTCGCTATACTCGGTGATATGCCAGTAACACATTGTCTTGGAGTCGTCAATGGAATGAAAGGAGGTATGTTGTCCAGTAGTGTCAGGAAGATGAGGCCCGAGGTGTGCTTGATACAGAAAGTTTCTCGTTGATGCTTGTAGATCGTTGAGCAAAGACTTCAAGGTCAAATAGAGAAAAGTATGTAGAGGAGGATAACATTAGGAATTTGCCCTTCGTTCCTGACACTCTTTTATACTTGGCCATCAAGGTCGTGAGTAGGTATGCAACCGTGACGCATACGTGCTGTCTATTGCGTTGCATCCTGTCGACAACCATCCTCGGCGATTCACAGCAGGAAGTGACATCACGCCCCCAGCACTCCAGACAGCCGGCAGCAGTGTCAGCAGCAGACTCGCCGTACCACTAAGAAACATCCTGCGTCGCAGTATCCGCTGCGTGGTTGTTCAGGTAGTCAAGCAACCCGCTAATCTGGTTCACGATGCGGATGCTGTGCACGTTGTTCCGCCTCGGCCCCTGCCGCGCCTCCGCAATGATCATCTCGCACAAGCGCCTGCACTCCTCGTCCCTCTCCAGCCCGCGCAGCTCGACGGCCAGAAAGTGCCCCGTGATCAGGGTCTCCCTGTGATCCACGCCCAGGACCCGCCGCTTGGTCTCGAAGTTCTGTCGCGTCAGCCGCAGCGCCTCCTCGTCCTCGCCGGCGTCAGACAGGATCATGGCCAGGTTGTGCTCCGCCGCCAGCAGATCCGGGTTTTCGGGCCCCAGCTCTCGCAGCTTGACATTGTAGACTTCGCGCTGTAGCACGACCGCCTGTTCGATGTAGTCTAGTTCTTGCAGCACGCTGGCGAGATGGGCCTTGCAGTTGAGCGTGTCCTGGTGCGTGGGGCCGAGAACGCGCACGCTGCGCTCGACTGCTTCTTCCTGCAGCGTCCTGGACTTCTCCAGGTCTCCCGCCACCTCTACAACACCAGCGAGGTCGCTGAGGCAGTCTATAGTCTCCGGGTGGTCTGCGCCGAGAACTTCGCGCCGCAACTCCAGTAGCCGATAGCCCAGTTCCATCGCCGCTTTGATTTCCTCTGCGTCACCGTTTACGAACAAAGACCATACAAGACGACCCTGAGTCCTCAGCCTATCCACATCCCTCTCGTCGAGATGCTTTTCTTTGATTCGACATGCCTCCCTAAGCCTGGCCAAGCCTGTTTGATAGTCACTAATCCAGTGAACATATCTGCCGACATAGTCAAGCAGCCGCGCTTTGACGAGCTCTTCTTCCCTGCCAAGGGGCTTCTGGAATTTGTATTGCAATAGCAGCTCGGCATGTGGTAACATATTGGCGCAAGTTATAAAGTAGCCTTCCAGTGGGTTTGTGATAGGCTCGGGGAAGTTCAAAGATAGCAGCTTCAGGGCTTCAAAAGCCGCTGCTTCCAACGCCTCGAGAGACTGTGTCTGAAGCCACGATCTAGTGGTCAGCTGTACTAAACGGTGAGTTTTGAAGACGGTGTCATCAGCGTTGGCATCGAGGAACGAGAATCCTTTGAGCGTCGCCACAGCGTCCTCAAACTCGAATTCGTCCTCATCAGCGTCAAGCAGGAGCTCCTTTGGTATACTCTGATGTTGAAGAAAGCTGATGACATATAGCAAGTCTATTGCTCGTCGATCGTTGTTCCGTATCCAGTCAAACGAGATGGCCCACGTTTTTGCCACCGACTCAAGCGATCGGTCTTGTCGGCCATGGTCCGAGAATTCGTAGTTTAGCATCCGCATCCTCGCAGTCTCGTTGGATCTGTATTGCTGAAGATACTGTGCCACAGTCTTCCGCCGCTTGGCCATGAACGCGACGGCTTGTGATATGGCTAGCGGTATGTGGTCGAGCTCCTGCAAGAACTCTGCAATAAGGCTAGCGTCTGCTTTTTCTCCGGGTAGACGATTCCTCACGAGTTGTGTGCCTTCCTCTTTGGTCATCGCGGTCACCATTATCGGTTCGGCGGGCGCTACGAGATCGACAGCCACATCGATCGTTCTCGTGGTGAATAGTAGCGAGCCTTGGCTACAACGCGGTATCGTATCAGACGCGGTGCGCCCACTTCGCAACTCTTCCACGAAGAAAGCCTGTTTGTCGTCGATATTATCGAGAACCATCAGCCACGGCCTAGAATGCTTCGTCTCGAGGTAGTCCTTCACCAATACGGTGATATCATCCGAAGATCCTTGTCCTCCAGTGACAAGGCCACATGAGTCTGCTATGCGCTTGAAGGACTCTTCGAATCGGGCAGCAGTGGCTGCGTTGACCCAAAACACGGAACATTTGTCCTCCTCCTTGGATCTCCGATAACAATACTCTAGCGTAATCTGGGACTTTCTGTAGGCGAAAAATTAACATGTCGACTTGAATTCCAAGCCCAGACAATTGTCTTGACCTACCCAATACCGCCCAGACCGTATAGAGCCACTTTAGGCTGACTGCCCTCCTTCACTTGGAACGTCAAGTCTATCTGCCGCAGGATGTCTTCTCTTCCCACAAATGATGCATTTCGGTCCAACGGCACAAGCCAGAAGGTGAGTGTCTCGTAAGCCGGCGGCGCTTCTGGGTGAGATGTGCCGGCAGAAATCACCTGATGAAAGGTGAGAACCTGGACATATCTATCCAGTGCCTCCGAGATCTCTTCCACCTTCCTGTCCTTCCCAAGGCTCAACAGGGCTTTCTTTCTGCGCTCCCACGATGACGCTGTCGCACTGGGCAGTGTCTTGTCCAGTATGCCGCCCAGCTCTTCTGTCGAGCGAATGCACTCTGTCACGACGGGCCGGAGCGCGGTTCGCGTGGCCTCGTCCAGCTTGTCAGAGTCCTCCTGCAACTTGATCCTCCTCAGCCCATCGACGATAAGAGGAAGATTGACGCTCATCTGCCGGAAGGCCTTGGGCACCTGGTCCAGGTCATTGCTGAAGCTGTGCAGGCGCTTTGCGACCTTGGCACCGATGTCAATGAATTGGACAATGGCGGCTGCCAGGCCTATCGCGCTGACGGGATCCATCTGCTGAGATGAGGGCGCACCTGGTTTAACCAGCTGTTACACTATCAGGCTTTCCTCCAACGTCGGTGTCGCTTACCTCAGACAGCTGCGGATTTCTAAAGGTGAGGTTCCCATGTGCCCTGCATTTTGTGTGGGGTTCATGGTGGGGAGGGTGACAGAGAGGCTGAACACTGGCAGCATGTTGGGCTCTGACCTACATGCAGCTAAATGGTAATGGTAAGCGAATCACTGCGTGCAGTGGCGGCTGACATTTGGGTCATTTAGAACGGCCGTTTGCCTCATGGTAGTTTCTTTTCTAGTAAGATTGGAACAGGTGACTTTGTCTATATCCGAAGAAGGTGGTTTTAGGTAGTGGGATAATCTAGAACTACACGGTATCCAGTAAAGGGGCATTAGAAAACCCTGTCTAAAGTTATCGACAGTGGAATACTCTTCATCATTAGACAATGGGATAATATTCATTATCAGGCAGTGGGATAACCTTTATTATTAGACTCCCCCGCGTGCCAGGAGTCCCGGCTCTCTCCAAGGAGTTCAACAAGGCTGAGGCTAATACAGGCCCAAACTCCCAGGGCATGGCTGACCTCCAACGGGGCATGAGAGTCCCAGGTCACCTTGTACCACAACATACCTTCCCTACCGGGTTGATCCAGGTCAAGGTTGAAACTCCATCAACTGAGCCGTTCTCCGATGTGAAGAACGTCCCACGCATATCAGCGGCCAGGCAGCCATCGAATCTCGCCGAAGGCATGACGTTGGTAGACTCGGACGAAGAGATGGCAGTGAAGATGGAACCGCTACCAGCCATGCGTGGGGCGATCCTACTTACTATGACGGTAAGGATGGGAGATGACGGTCTATGATAGATTCTAGTAGACCATTAAATTTCTCAATGGTTTCAGGAGAGCCTTAGAGTTATTCAAGTCATAAGTACTATTACATAGAACTAATCAAGTCTATACTCCGGGCTAAGATGAAGACTATAAATGAGTGTCCCCTGCCAACTCTTGCTCATAATTTATCAGGTTTGACAGAAGTGTTTCCTCCCATCGGCCTGCATTGTTAAGATCCTCAACAGGTCAAAGGTTATTATCATCTCTGAGATCTTCAGGTATTTCGATACTCTCACATAATCCTATGAGACATTCTGCTAAAAAGCACTTTGCCCAACTACAGTAGTGTTGTTACTTGTATAAATCAGACGTCACTGTGCTTTTAAGGATATACGTAATGTTGGCACAAGATGGTATCATCTCATTGCCCTTCCACCCAATGCTTTATACACTTTCCTAAACAACCGCTCAAGGGGATATCATTTCTTTCCAAAGACAAAAAAAGCTATAAAAAAAAAAGACACAAAGCGTTACTTCACAACGCTTTTCCTCAGAAGAACAAAAAACAAACCAACACCCAAGGCCCTCGCTCTCCTTCCAATCTCTCATCCTCCTCCTCCTCATCATCACAGCTCCTCAATGATGGGCGGCGTCCAGTCCGGACTGCGCTGCCGGCTCAGCGTGTCCTGCACCTCCATCCAGTAGACGCCCTCGAGGCGCGTCCAGCTGATCTTCTCGGCCTCGTCGCCGCGCCCGGCCTTGCTCAGCAGCGACTCGACCTCGAACTGCCACGTCGGGCCGTGCTGCCAGCCCTCGCGGGCCTTGGCCGCGCAGCGCTCGGCGCGCGCGGCGTCGCCCACGCGCCGGTAGTACGTCGCCATGCGGTCGAGCGAGTTGGACAGGATGTTGCGGTCCAGCACGTCCCAGTGCTCCTTGGGCAGGTCCTTGCCCTCGTACTTGGCCTCGAGCCGGGCGTTGAGGTTCTCGGACCGCGCCACAAAGTCGCGCGAGTAGACGCCGTGGTTGTGCATGATGGACAGCGTGATGTCCTCGAGGTGGCGCAGCGTGCTGTTCCAGTCGCCCGCCGACATGGCCTGCGCGCGGCCGCGCAGGTACTCGTACTCGCCGACGAGCTGCTTGACGCGCCACTCGTCGAGGTTGCGCGTGTGCCGGAAGTAGTTGCGCTTGGCCATGAGCGTGCTGCGGTCCATCTCGCCCCGCAGCTGGCGCAGCATGTTCATCCACAGGCCCGACGCCGACTCGACGTAGTGCGCCAGCTGCTCCGGCTCCATGTTGACGATGGACTGCAGGATCAGGAAGATGTGCGAGAGCGACTTGTTGCGCGTCTTGATGGGCGCCAGCTTGTTGATGTGCTTGAGCAGGATCTGCAGGATGTCGACGCGCTTGAAGTGCAGCAGCAGGTCCGGCAGCTCGACAAAGAGGCCGTAAAAGGAGCCCGACGTGTCGGTCTGCACCATCTCCTCCACCTGGACAAAGGCGTGCCGCAGCAGCTCCCCTCCAATCTCGTGCTCGTTACGTATAAAGTGGTCGAACGCCGAGCGGAACGTGTCGTAGGCGCGGTAGTTGTACACGCCTATCAGGTCGACGCCGGGGATGAACCTCCACTCGTCCTTCTGCGCGTGGAACCAATGGACGTGGTCCTGGATCTCGCACAGGACCCTCTCGATGTAGAACTGACCGTTGGTGCCGTGCTGTAATCGCGTCATCGCATGGAGATCCTCTCGATATGGGCTGCGCCGGACCATGGCTGTCGATGGCCCGCCGCTGTCCTGGGTGCCCGCCGCCTGTGAGTGCGCCACTCTCGCCTTCTTCGGTATCGTCGATGGCATGACGGCATGCGTCCGGTTGGATCGCGGCGGACGCCGGCACGACTTGCCGCTCGGCTTCTGCACCGCCCGACCGCTGGACAGGTTGCGATGCAGCCTCTTGCTGTTGTACTTGGACCACCCCCACTTGTTGAACTGTGTTTTATACATCCTCGCGCTGCAAAGAAAGCCCAGTCTCGATTGTCAGTTTATCCCCGGACCGCAACCGGCCACGCTTGAGGCGTGACTCAAGAGAGTGGCCCAACTTACGTAGCTTTGAACTTGTGCTCGGCACACATTTTGTCGACGACGTCCTTCAGGCTCAAGTTCTGCTGCATGTAGAGATCATGTATGATCGGCTTCATCCCCTCCCAGTCGTTGTTAGTGGCCGGCACCATGCGCCGGGGCGTCTCGGGCGGGGTGGTAGTGTTGGCGAGGTTCCTCTGCACCGCGGCGGCGTGCGCGTGCGCGTGCGCGTGCGACGACGACTCGGCCTGCGTCGTCGGCGATCCCAGCATCGAAGATGCCGACGGCGACGAGGATAGGTCGCGGTCCGCGGCCGTCAGCGGCGGGGTAGCTGTCTGTGGCCCGGACGCGGCCTCGCATGCCTCGACCAGGTACATGAGCCTGCCCGAGGTGGAAGCCGAGGCGGGACCGCTGCCGGGCAGAGCATGTCCGGGCAAGGCGGCCACGGCCGCTGCCTCGGCCTCGGCACCGCCCCTGCGGCGGATCGTAAGGCCCTGGTCCGGGCCGCCGACCGGCCGCTGCTGTCGCGGGAACTGATGGCTCTGCGAGGGATCCATGGGCGACTGGCAGGTCCCGGCAGACACGGCGGGCACGGTGCGCGGGCGGACGACGGAGGCGACGGAGCGGCGATCGATGCGTCTAACCGGTCAAGCGGCGCAAAAGGAAATTCATGCGAGCAGGGGTGGGGGGAGAGATGAACCGCACATTCAAGTAAGGCGTTGTTGTCAGAGGGTCAAGAAAGACTTTGAAAGAGATTGGGTTTCCCGAGTAAGAAGAGGCAACGGGTGCGAGACGTCACGCGAGGAATTGGACGTTTCCCTCTCCGGGGATCGGCAAGCTACGATAGTTGACTGCTGTCAGATGGGTTTTGGGTGGTTTTTGCAGCAGCGAGATCCTCTTTAGGCCATCGGCGTGGCGTGGGATCGCGCGGCGTCGAAGTGGGTTTGCAAGGGAATTAGTCTGAAGTAGCGGCGTGTTGGAACATGGAGATGCCAGAGATGAGGGTTCATAAACAGCTAATTTCTCATCATGTGGGCAGGCAGGCAAGGCTTGGACATTTGACTCCCCCCCCCCCGCGGGCCAAGAGCCAATATAAATAAGCTAACACCCATGGTGGAACCGGGTCCGAAGGACTTGTTCGAGGCTCTGTCTGCACTCGGAAACCACCGATGAAGAGGACGAGGACGAGGACGAGGGCAACGTTGACGCACCAGTCAAGAGGGGGCGGGCGGATCGCAACCATCCTCGGGTCTAAAACATGGGCAGGACATTGGACGACGGCCTTGGGGTTGTCTGGTGACAGGGGTAAGCATCCAAGTATGCTGAACGTATGCGAGGAGGGCTTGGGATGGCTTGGATGGGAGGGGCGGGGGAGGCGGGAGGTGGGAAGGGAAGAAAAAAGGAGAAGATGGCGAGAGCTGGGATGTGGGACGGAGGCGCCGAATGGGCGCGCACGCTCTCCTTTGCTGGCGGCGCTACGAGGCCGGACGAAAGAAGCAACAAGCCTTGAAGCCCAAGGCCTGGCCCTTTCCCGCCGGCGGCCGGACTTAAGCTCCTTCAGGCAATTCATTGTCGTAGGATTGGGCCTAAGCTTGAAGGGTACGGCATGACGGGCATATCGAATCATCGAGCAGACACATAAACCACTGCACGCAGGCACGAAGAGATTGCTGAGAGCCATACCGTCATGTCAAGGTTCGAGCTGTCGTTGGCGATAAGTGAGTGGCACTTCCGTGGCACACACACCAGTCGACGTTGACACACAATCACCAACCAACATCGAACGCCTCCACAACCACCGACGCCCCATCAAATCAATCTTGGGTGTGACAGACGGTTCGAATGCAGCTAGGTAGGTACGTAACTAGGTCGTTGTGGTGTGCTGATGGGGGCTAGAGACTATCCCCCTGATCAGTACATGTGCAAGTAGTGTAGTCAGTAACGTACCTCACTCAACCAGAGATCGGAACCGACAAACGGGCGGCGCACGCCGCCTGCTGCTGGCAACGCTGATCCGTGGATCGTAGAACGAGCAGGCCCCTGCCCTGTCAGGACCAGCGGTGCCTATGCTTCCCTGAATGTGTACCTTGTACAGTACAGGTACAGGTAGAATGCTGCATGTTGTTGCCTGCATCGGGGATGGATAGCAAACAAATGTCCAGATTTTCTTCTTCGCGTGGGCGGGATCCTCGGGCGCAGCACCGTTATGCTTATGCATCCATCGATCCATGCCGCGGCCCCTCAAATTGGAGATTTTCACCGTTGCTGACAGCCAATCGGGACGGCTTCGCCCTGGGGCCTGCTCGGTGCTTCTCGCCTTCGAAGGATCAAATCGGGCCCTCTCCAAGACAAGTGTTTTGGGACCACAAAGCCTGTTTGCCATCTGAGGGGCGGCCCCAATCCAAGCCAAGCCAGTCGGCAAAGACAATGCGGCTTTTCAGCTTGCGTTACCCATCGTATCCCTCTGTTGGCGGGCAGGATGGGCGACTTTGCCGTCCGTGGGCGGGGGAGAGGCGCGTGTGCGCACGCAAGGCAACCCGTTCCGCACTACCTACCACTGACCATGACTGGTTAACAGCAGTGATTGGAACGTCAGCGAGGGGTTGACTCGGCGCACGGCTCGGGCTGGGGAAGGACAAAAGATTGGCTCGTCTAGCTGTACAAGTAGCAGAAGGGTCCGCCCGGCGCTAAACTCTGTTGGAACGCAGCGTCAGCGAAACACTCTTTGGACTAGTCGACAAATAGTCCATATATGGGAGATAAGTGTGCAACCCCAGGTGGCCGGCGCCCGTCCACTACCTCCCGTACCGACCTCGACTAAGTTAACGCTTGCTCGTCAGCGAGGAGTAGTGACCTAGCCATGGGCCCGGTGAATCGTGGTGAGTCGTCGTAGTAGACCGGGGTAGAACACTCGCCAAGCGAAGGTCGGGAGCAGCCGGGCAGGCAGCTTAGTGTTGTCGACCAGTCAAGCTGAGCAGCAGTCCACCAGGAATGCAACCTGGATCGATCTAGTTATCCAGCTAGGGAGCATCCACTGGCACTCCGGATTTTGGGATCCGATATGCTGGCCGTGGAGCCAAGCAGTCCTGCAGGATCGGGATCAATAAACCGCAACGCACCCTTGCAAAGTGCAGGGCATCTGGAGATGCCACTCTCGCCGGCGGGCTTTTGTTTCATTTTTCTGCCTTGTCTGCCTCGAGCTAAGGCATCGCAGCGTCAACAAGAGGTACCTGGACTAGGTTGCCGTGGCTCGGTGTCGATTTCGAGAGATCTCGAGAGACCGAGGGCTCCTTCCGCGGCTCGCTAGGCAGCGATCAGCACCGCAGCATTCCGTTCTCGCTTTACCGATGCTGCAACGCGGAAATCTCACGAGGGCGGCTGTCGATGTCGATGGATGGCAGTGGGCCGAGAGGATCGGTGTGCTATATTGCAGGTGCTAATGGTTGCAGGTGCCTCGTTCCTCGTGCCTTGTGCCTTGTGCCCAAAACTCGGGGCGGGTCGTTGCAAATTGGCTGCCTACCTAGCGCGATACCTAAATCCAACACCGTCTCACACGCCCTTCCGCCCTGCATTGTGGTCCATGTCGTGCATCCGTCGTACGTCTTTGAGTTCTAAAATCAGTATAGCAATTGGCGGCCTGATGATGGGCACTCGGACTTGCTCGTCATCACTGGCTGATGCGGAGCTGCATGGACAAGTGACAAGTGTCAATGTGGTCCCGTCGAGGGGCTCATCACTACCTACTGAGCCTTTCTTTGCCTCGATCATGTTCGAGTTCAAAGTTTTTCGCTGCACTGCATTCGGGAATCAAAACTTCAAATTGTCTCAAGTGAGATAGACCGCTGCAAAATAGTTACAATGCCTCGCCACCTATGCAATTATACCGCCCCTTTGTGGCTGCTTCTCAAAAGTTGGCCCAGAGCGCATTGCTCGTCCGACATACATCCTCCTCCACATGTGTTGCCGGCTCTGACCAGGGAGTCCTCTTTCTTTCTTTTTCATCCTCTCACCAGTCTGTACTCTCTCCCCTCTCGCGGAGTAAATGGTCTCCCAACATGATGGTCGCAACCCCTTTTCTCCCAGACCCTCAATCTCCCTCCTCTCGATCTATCTAGACAAATGCCCATGATAAAGGGCCAGGGCTTAAGAAGGTAATGAGCTAACAATATGTGAAGTGAATGTATGGGCAAGGGCTGAAGTCGGTTAAAAGCCTGCCTCCCCCCTTCCCAGGAAAAATGGTATCATTCCGTTCTAAAGGAGACGAAACGACTGAGGTCTGTGGTATGTGTGAATGGGAACAGGCCTCAAAGTCGACGGCTCCGTCTGAATAGGCCTGGCCTTGTGTCTGGGACAAAGAGAAGAAAAAGAGGGGTAAGAAGTGTTCGTATGAAAGGGAAGATCGTCGTCAAGACCGTAAAATAATTCTTGGACACAAAAAAGAAAGCCTCACTGTCCGAAGGAGGTGTGACCCTGGTGCGCATCCTGCAGCACGTGGAGAACGTTGAGCTGGCCAGCGCGGTCCTCGCAGGCGATCTGGAGGCCGGAGCCGTCCACAAAGTCGAGGCACACGCTGTTAGGCAGCTCCTGCACTTCCATCTCCGGGGTGTAGGGCTGGCGGAAGTCGCTCAGGTGGTACCGCTTGATGGCACCGGCCTGCTTGTCCTTGCCGGCCACCGCGGCGGCAGTCGTGGTGGCGGTGACACCCTGGACGGCACTGAGGATGAGGAAACCATGCGAGTCGAGGCACATGGTGCGGCGCTTCCAGAGGAGATTGTCCGGGAACTGGACGTTGACGTCGCCGAGGTAGGCAACGATGGTAGGGTAGTGTGCCGCGGCACCGGACCCCTGCGACGAGGAGGGTGGGATCGAGTTGCTGAACTCTTCTTCCTCTGCCACGGTAGGGGAGATGGTTGGGGTAATATTCTTTCGGCTCGAGCTGAGCGAGCTCGAGAGCCGGCGCATGAAACGGCTGGCGCGGCTCTTGCCGCCCGAGGGAGTCTTCTTGTGGCCCAGCTCGCCAGGCGAAGACCTGCCTTCGTCGCCAGATCCGCTTGCTTCCGTCATCAGAGATGGCGAGAGCGGAGTAGGCAAGGGAGTGGCAGCGTCGCGGTCCTTGCTGATCGACGACCTCCGGCTGGAGATGCTGAGTCGGCGAGCAAGGCCCGAGGTAGTGTGTACGGAGGGCGGGCGGGACGGTGATCGGCTGGCTGACAACACCGAGCCGGGCGAGGCCAGGTTGTTCAGGTTGTCGGTAGACGGCGATCTGCCGGCTAGTATAGAACCGCGACGGTCCTTGATGAAGTCCTTAACGATTGATAGCGAGGATCTCCGCCTTTGGCGTTGCCCATCCTCCTCATCTCTGGTCTCAGACAGGCCGTCTTGTGACTGTGACCTCCTCTTGTCCTTAGACTGACGACGCTCCTGGATGGTCTCCTTACGGGGTGTATCCCGCGTCTCGATCACAGTTGGGACGATCGTAGTTGGACTTACGTCGCCCTTTTGGTGATCCACAACCAACAGAGATTGCTTCAGGTCCAGCTGGTTCAGGTCCGCAGTGGACGGGCGCTGATCGTTGTATTTCGGGAATGGGTCACGCACTATCCGTGCCGTCACTTGAATCGACTCCGGCCGGCCCCTTGGGAGATTGCCGCCCTCAAATACGGAGAGCCTGCTGGCCATCGAACCTGACCGATCACGGAGCTCCAACCTGGAGCTGCCAGGCGATGTCCGTCCGCGAGATTGTGGCGGTGAAGGAGTGTGATGCCTGCTCAAGGAGTCCGCTCGTTCAACGACAGAGGGCGACCGGGAAGGTTCCCGAGCACCTGTTTTGCGTACAGAAAAGAAAGTTGAAGCTGGCCTCTCGAGGCGTTGCTGCCCGTCCGCTGAGCTGCCCGAAAGCATCTCCAGAGCCTTGATTCTCTGGGAGATACCGGACCCCATGTGGGATTTGTTAGTCGAGAGGGTTGTCGAAGGCTGGCGCGTGATCTGATGCAGATAGGCTGCTCCGGAGGCCGAGACTGACCTGGCGCTGCTGGTAGATACGTCTCCGGGGGTCAAAAGGGGTCCGCGAATTGGATTGGACACGGTTCGTACAATGCGAGGTGTGGGGAGCGCCTCCGTTGTTTGCCTGGGTGGGCTCTGGCTTGGGAAACTGGAGGCCACTGGCGTTTTAGCAACCAAGACAGGCTTGGCTTCTTGTACGGTCGCCGACTGCAGCTCGTCCATGAGGTCCTCGTCGTCAGAAAGGTGAGCCTCGGACCGCACCGCTTCCCTATCTGAGACGTAGTCCAGATTCGTCCGGATGGGCTCAAGTCCTCCTTTCCGCTTGGAACGTTTCGTCTCCGGGGTCACCGGCGGGGCATCTTGAGCAACATAGAGCTCGGGTGGACCAGAAGCCATGAGTGAGTGTAGGGTAGGTCCTTGGGCGCTCTGAGAATCGCCTGTTGCGAACTTGGATGTAGGGATCTGCAGCCCTGACGTCTTTTTCTTGTGGCTGGCTGCCCCTGGAGTCTCCGGGACTTGGCTCTCCTGACCCGTTGACCGCGGCGAAGGGGTCTTGGTAGCAAATTTGGAGACTGGAAGTGCTGGGGCAAGCCGAGGAGCAGTCTCTGGCTCGGGCTCAGGCTCAGACTCAGGCTCTGCGTCGACCTCTGCCACTGGCTCGGTGGCAGCTTTTTCGTCCTCAAGGTGCTGTGCATACTCAGCACCACCAGCAACTTGCTCGACAGACACATTTGCTGACGCTTCTTCCTCTTCCAACTCATCCTCTGGTCTCTCTGGGATCTCCGACATTCGCTTCACAGCCAAAGCATCATCTTCCTCATCGTCCAGTATTAGCCGCTCAGGCTCCTCGTCGACGGGTGGTGAAAGATCCTCTGGAGCATCATCGTCTTTGGCATCTGGCTGAGGCTGGACGGTCTCGTCCGTTGACTCTGATACTGAAGATGCTTTGGTCGAGTCTCCGAGTTCCGAGGACATTGCCAACGGGGACGGAGGATGCGAATCGGTCTGCGTATCCAAGGACACTCTATCAACCGCTAATGTGGAAGCAACATCAACCCCCGAGTCCGCTTTTGACAGAGCAAAATGGGTGTCAAGGGCTTTGTCGCTCGCATCCTTCTCCTCCTCATTGGCCGCATACTCGACCTCTTCGGAGGAGCCAGTCTGCGGCTCAGCCTCTACTTCTTTGCCCTTGCCCTTGTCCTTGCTGGTGGGTTCCTGAGGTGCCTCGGTCGTAGTGACGCTCGCTTGCTGTTGTTGCAGGTTCATCTTCTTCTTCTTCTCACGCAGCTGCATGGCCTTCATCAGCCGCGCCTTTTCCGGCGTGATACCGAGCTTGCCTGTGATAGTCGGCGCAGTCGACTTGACGGATACGCCGGAGCTGGTGGCTGGCCTGCCACCACTGGTGTGCGGTCGTTGGAAAACCGAACTCATGGCCGGATCCTGGGGGATGGGTATCGAAGTGGCAAGAAAGGTGATTTCGGGTTCTTCCTCCTTGATCGACTTTGCGTCTTCTTTGCTGTTGTCTGACCTTCCTTTCCTCGAGCCCTTCGAGAACATCTTAAAGCCCGCCGGCAAGTTGGCAACAGGTCGATAGTTTCCCGCCGTTCGGGGTCTTCCAGCAACGTCAAGCGAGGGTCGGGGGCCAAGTTTCACCTTGGGTTTATTATAAGGATATGATGAATAGCTGTATAAGTCAGGGCGATGTGAATAATGGGCGGCATCGAACGACTTGGCGGGTGAGGGTGGCCTGTCGACGCCGACGAAGGAAGGGGGTTCAGATGAAACAGCGAATTTTGTCCCGTCGGGTGAATCAGCAAGTTTTGAGTCCAATGTGACGGGGGGATCTGGAGAAGCTGGCGACTGAGGTGAAGCTGATTTGTCGTCCGAAGTGGCGGGCCGATCCTCTTCGTTCACCGTCGATTGTCTCTTCACAGCTCTTTGCTCTTCCTCTTCCTCTTCAGCAATTTCCATCAGCCGTCTCCGACGCAGGGAGCTACTCGACGAAGACGCAGAACCCGATGCCGCATGCAGAGAACAGGCAGCGGAGAGCTTGGTGTCCTTGAGCTCCTTGGCAGTCTGGATGTCAAAAGTGGTGTCGTAGGGCGAAAATCGTTCACAAACGGCGTTGAAGTGGACCGTCATACGCGCTGCAGCACTTGCTCATTAGCTTCCCCTTTCCAACTACCGACATTCTACCGTCATCTCGATGACATGGGGCCCAAGATGAGACGAGAGCGCTTGGTGATCATCACCGGGGGCCCGGCGTGCAAAGGCATCTCGGATACAGCGAGGGGATAGACGGTCGACTGAACCCACCTTGCACTAATCTGGAGCAATCCTCGGGAAGGTACTTGATGATGACATTCCTTCGGCGGTACCTAAGGAAGCCAAACAACGGCGAGGCCTCCTCGTATTGCGCAATCGAGTTGCGAATCTCGACGATCCCGCCATTGCCACGGCCTAACAGCTCGACCTCGTCGCGGCTTGCGTACTTGAGAAGAAACCTGGATGCGCAGAGGTGCTAGGTCAGCGGAGGTCCGACAAGCGAGCCAAGGTTTGAGCATATCCCAGCTCAGAGGATGCGGGCGCAGAGCGAACAAAGAAACCCAGAGGTGCGGTTAGCCCACGGGAAGGGCGGGCGCGGGAAGAGGCAGAGTTTCGGTCCGTCGCGCCCTTCGGAAACTCTAAATAAGACAGGAGGAGGGAAAGGGGAGATGCGCGTACCATCCTCCCGGCTCAGCAGCGGCAGTTTCGTGAGCCTCCCTGATCTTGAGGTCGTCCAACCCATTCAGAGACATCTCTGCCTGCCCCTTGGGCGGTTCTGTATTGCGTGTATGGCGATTTAAGGCGTGGGTTCGAGAGTCGGGTAATTATTCTGTTCGGGCGGGTAAAAGATCGTGGGTGTGGTTGGCGACGGACGGCAGAGCAGCTCAGGGGTAAGGCTCAAGTACCGCCCAGACAGCAGCCAATAACGGGCCAGGGACCTTGGGTAGGCGTAACAAACATGGATGTTTGTGTAGAGCAAGATTGAAATCTAGCCAAAGTTAATTTATCGACGGGCCACGCTCCAGAGGTCGCACATGGGAGCTGGCAGGCGGCCACGAGAGGGAGGTCGTGGTTTGCAGAAAGGGACTTGTTGAGTGGTAGCACCACCTAGCAGCGTGTACGGACCGAGCGCAGGGGACTGAGGTACACCAAAGCCCCGTACCGTACTGCCAGACCGAGCAAGTAGCACACGAAATCCCGGGGAATCAGATACGGAAAAGGAAACGACACATAAAGAACGATGGAATACGAAACGAAGCCGAAACAAAGGCTCAGAGGACAACGGATTGTCGCCACGGGACAGGCACAGACAAAGGACCACTGCGAAGGGAAAGGGGAGAAGAAGGGAGCGAGATATGGGAAGGGATGTGACAATCAGTCGAAGCCCTGGTGATATTTTATTTTCTGGTCCGCTTTTGGGGGGAACAGGACGGCGCTTGCAGGGGATCCCTGGCCAGGGCTGGTGCCAGGTACCGTGTGCCTCCAGCTTTTCCAAGGCCTGCTCCGGGCTCTCCATGGCATTCCATCACATAAAGAACGGAGAAGGTGAACGAGTGTCCAGCTGAATTGGAATTGGAACTGGGGCTCGCAGGCTAGGTCTTCTAATGAATGCTCGACGATCATGGCATCGGCCGGGATGCTGCAGTATTGGCGCTGGCCGACTTTAATCTGCTCCCCTGGATATCAACATCAACCCTTACCCGTAGCCGAATTAGTCTCGCGTTCAGAGTCGCATTCCATCACGGAGAGGCATCTCGCTTGTAGGGCAATGACTTGTGTGTTCTGCTTCGTATATACTGCTGTCGCCGTTCCTCGATTACTTCGTACAAGCACCGGCGTCTCGTTCTATGCTCCCTTACTTCATCCTTCCACTCCGGGTCTAGAAACTTCGGACCCAAGCCGTCGGCGCGCCCAGAATTGCTTCTTTCGTATCCGGGCATCGAAGTCTTGAGGTATACAGCATGGAAAAAGCAACCGAGTCTTTAGAGTGAGGATGCATCGAGCTGCGAAATCTCGCACGTCTATCTACAAGTATGTAATTTATCTTTCTCTTTCTTCATCTAGCCAGTAAGCACTTTCAGTATCTTCATGAACAGACAGTCATTGCGAAGCCAACACTTTCAGGGTTGATCCACGGACCCATCGCCGCGAAACATACCTAGCTCTTGACTAGAGCTATTCTCCACCACCAACTTCGCTGAAACGAAACAAACGGCCAACGAGAGTGTCTGCTTCTCTTGGAGCAATGCGACCTCACAGACTCTGGTGCAGTTGAGCGGCACAAAAGTGGCTAGGCCATGCATAGATGAATGCAAGTACTGTACATCATCCTTCGTACATCCATCGACAAGTAACTACCTACAGTCATCCCCCACCCGATCGACTGCCCGCTTTGACCCCTTTCCTTAATGCCCACTCCCCTTTGGCACAGATGGATGAAGCACCACGATTCACACAAGTACTTTGTATTTGTTCGAACAACGAGTGCTACTGCACGCATTCATTCTGGCGCATCTGACCTACCGAGAGGTCTATTTCTCCACTAAGAGAGCGTACTCGCCCAAGATGTCCAAGTCGCAGGCCACGTGGACTGAACAGCCCGTACCGATGATGCCGATGACTGATGTGTCTCAGTAACTTTCTGTGTAGAATGCCACAGTTCTCATGCATGAGCAACTCTGCAAATCCGTCCGTGCCCTCAAAGGACAGGGTTTGCAACTCAACAGACTATTCTAACAATTACATGTTCTTCTTAAACTCCTAGAAAGCATCTTTAGATTTAGACATGTTACCAACGCCTGAGTATCTTGGTGATATCGATATCCTGGCTTACACGGTTATGCCATCCAAATTGTTGACAAGTGATTCAATCACCATAGCGCAAGATAGCCTTGGACGACTTTGATATAACAACTGAGCGGAAATACTGTGAGCTGAAACGATGATGTCTCCCGTCTTTAGAAATGCTAGAGCCGCAGTTTAGAAAACAACCTTTGCCGAGTTGCGAATTGCTACAGAGCCACCTTGCTTCTCTCCCTTCGTTCGGTATAGCCATATCGAATCGATGTGTCTTCCATCAACGCCGACAAACACTGCACGTAGAAATCCCTTCCTACCGTCAAACGCTACACGATCCAGAGATCACATGCACTGCCACACTGGGAAGAACAGAAGCAACTTCAGGTTACCTATCGTCAATTCCTCGTATTTCTCCTCACACTCAACGTCAGCCATGCAAGAGTTTACGCCATTGCCCGTGAAACCCGATCACGACTTTGAGTCGGTCTCTTTGGTGGATGTCGCGAGAGTGGCGGCTATCGGGGTGGCAGGCCCAGGCGTCACTTCGGGTGAGTCAGCGCCCAGTGCATTTGCATCCTCCTCTTCTACGGACCCTTCGATGGGGGTTGGGTTGAACGCCGTCTCGTCTCCATCAACGGCGACAGGATCATGGCCGCGACCACTGTTGCTGGCAGACACTCCGACAGCCGGCGTGCTGCCATCCGCGATCTTCTGCTTCGTCGTGCTGACAATCTTTTCCGCCTCGCTGGGTTTGCCGGCCGAGTCGGTCTGATCGCCCTCCACCCCGATCGGGTTGTCTTTGCTCTTTTGGCTTTCCATCAACGCCTCCTTGTCAAACCTGACAATCATACAGGAGAGATTGTCGGTGCTGAAGTGCTGGAGGGCATGATCGACAAGCAGCTTGGCAGCCGCATGAGGGTCGTGGACATTGCGCACAAGGTCAACAGCTTCCTGATCGGTACAAACGTCCCAAAGCTATAATATAGTCAGCACCGTGAGAAAGGAAAGCGAAGGGATAAGCTCATGGCATTTCAATACTGACCCCATCGCAAGCAATGATCATGAACTCGTCAATTTCGGGTTGAATGACGGTTTCCGTAGTGTAGGGGTGTCCAGTGACGAGGTCCTTCATATAGGTATCGCCAAGAGCCCTTGTGACGGCCAAGACGCCATTAACGCGGTTGTTCAAGATCAAGCCGCCAGCATTGGCTATACGTCTCCCCTCGTTCTCGTCACTTCCCTTGTGGTCATAGGATAAACGGAGAGCCTTTCCTGACCGACAAAGGATAATGCGAGCATCTCCAACATTAGCTGTGTAGAGAACTCTTTGCCTCGAAGCACTACTCTTGAGCTTGGCATGTGTTGTCTCGGCATCTGACTTGTGCTCCAACTTTGAGCCTTCCTCGACAGCCTTGGCGGCGGCAGCTGTGGCTGGTGCAATAGCCTGAGAGCCTGTAGCAGACTGGTTGCTCGGGACCCTATCCTCCCAGCGAAGAACGGCAATAGCTGCAGTGCAACCGCTATTCTTCAGCGGGAGCTTTTCCAATTGGGCATCAACTGACGTGAAGGTTTGATCGAGGAGCTCAGGAATAGGTGCATTTGGGTTTTTCCTGATGACCTCTTCCAAGATCAAGTGCAGCTTCTTCCCACACCAGTCCGCAGCGAATGTTCCAGCATGCCCATCAAATATGGCGAAATAGCCATTGTCCGTTTCAACCATGCCCTCGGCGACCTGTAGGTCAGTCGCCGAGTCCGTTGACTTGGACTTTTGGCTCCCGTTATCGCCGCTTAGGGCCGGCGCTGGAGTATGCAGGAAGTTGTAGAGAAAGGCATGTGTGTCTTCCATTGTGCGTCGGCATTTCTTATTGCGGTCTTCCCATACACCAACGCGAAACGTGCTCCTCGGACCGGGTAAGGACTCGCCGGCAGAGTTGTTGTGCTGGCCCTGAGGCACGGCAAGGGCCGGATCTTGCTTCCCAAGCTTCTGCAGAGGCGTCTGCATAGATGCGATGTCACTGTTGCCGCGCCCGCCGACCTGCGCAAAGTTCAATGTGTTCTTAGCGCTGGCCAGCAGACTGCTTGCCTTACTGCTTACACCGCTGCTGCGGCGCTTCTTCTGCTCGGCGGAGCCCCCGGAAGTTGGCTGGCTGCCATTGCCGCTGCGCTTTTCACCACTGGGGGGTTGATCGGTGGCCTGGACGGGAGTCGGCGAAGCGCTATCGGTCTTGGAGTCGGGGGACGAGTCCCCGCTGCTGCCCGCCTTCTCCTTGGGCTCCGGAGATGTGCTCTCAGATTTCGACGCCGAGGAATTGGAGCCTCCGCCGAACATTCTATTCAGCAGACCCCCTGAGGAGGAGAGACTGCGGCGCTTGGGTCCTGCCAGGTTGCTTGCGGTGGGGAGGGATGGAGGGAGTCGAGGTCTTGACGTGTCGAGTCCCTGAGGCGGGATGATGACGTGCGGGAGCAGCGCACTACAAGATGGAGTCGAGGAAGGGAATGAGGTTCCGGAGAACCAGTGGCTTGCGCAATCAGCCCCGGTCAGGCAATCTGGCAAGATGCGTCGAGCGATGACTCGACGGTGGCTATTCGCGGGGCAGAATAAAAGAAGCACGGCCAAGGGCGTATTTGTCGTGATGTTTCCGTTGAGAAGATGGGAAAGACAAGTAGGCGCAGCGAAAAGGCCCCACGCCTAGGTCGAGTTGAAGGCGCACAATGGGGCGGGTTGGATGGCAAGGTTGGCTGAAGTGGGAGGGCGGAGCCGCCAGGAGGGGAGCGCTGGAGCTGGTGTGGATGCCGCAATTGCTTGTTGTCCAGCGGGCGGGCGGGCTCGAGGGATGGAGGTCCTTCTGCGCCGGGAAGGCGGGGAGCCCTGGAGTCTTGTGACATGGCTGAGATGATGTAATAATATGCCCTGGGATGATACTGAGCACAGCACTCAGGCAGGAGTGGACCGACCACCACCACCAACAACACGGATCATTCGACGTCGACTTGACTTAAGGTACTTGACTTTGACGTAACCTACCTAAGGTAGGTAATGTAGACTTGATGATATACCCAAACTTCCGATCGTCTTCATGGACTCAACCCTCAGTGCTCTTATTCACATGAGTACAACCAACAAACAGTGGCACGGAAGGAACAGAAGACGATGTGCACCTTTGCCTAATGTCGAAGCATGCATCCACTGATAGGCTGCGACAAACCTTGGGTGCCTATTATTGTCCAGTGCATGTTTGTCTTGCATGGACTCGAGACACCCTCCACGGCTCGGCGCCTATGGTCCTTCGCGCGTCTCCCAGTGGCCATCCAAGATAATGTCAAATGATGTATCCATTTCTACATGTATTTGCCAAACAAGTGTCTCAAGTTGGGCAATAGTCTCCATTCGTGAGGTATCATCTAGCAAATGTGTGCAGAGAGATGGGGATCGACTGAGACGAAAATAGAATCGGCTCATGCATTGCGAGCCGGCGCAGAACCACTCTACCATCTCCCTTCCTCCACAACAAATAGGTTAGGCGTGCATCGCAAGAAATCTGCCAGTCGCGTTTCTATACCACTTGTGCCAAGAGTGTCATCACCGGCGCAGGCTATCAAGTCGCGCCTGCAGATCATCATCGCCAGGGTCTCCTCCGCCGCCGCCACCAACAGCCTGCGCGACTTTTCCTTCGGCGACATGTTGAGACTGGAGTCCTTGCGGAGTTTCTCCGAGCTGCATCAACCAACACTGTTAGTCTGATCTCAAAACGCTCGTCTTCGGGACGACTTACAGCCTGGTTCAGATCCACCCCAATCTCTTCCAACACCTGCTCGACGACCTCATCTCCCTCCTCCTCGACTTCAACATCCATTGCGTCGTCGATGGCATCATCCATCATCTCCTGCCGCTGCTCCATGATATCATTCTCCCTCTCAAACTCCATCGCAATGCGCTGCAGAGATGGCAGATTCATCGTCTTGTTCATACCGGCAAGCGCTGTCGTCGCGCCTTTCATAGCTTGCATCATCTGCTCGTTTGTGCGGTATGTCTAGTAGGGTATGTTAGCGAGCAAGTCGCTCTGCGGTTTGTTTGCAATCCCGTGCTGTAGGGGCGTCGTACCTGGAGTCGCAGCGAGATCTTTTGGAGTTGACTCCGCATTCCGTAGAACTTCTCGATATATCTAATGCGGCGTCAGCCCGTGCCTGTGAGCGTGCCATGGTCTGCCATTTTTGCGTACCTCCTCGTGCGAACAAGATCCTTGGCCTGGATCTTGCACGCACCCATTTGACCTTTCTGTGCACTCTGCTTGATCTGCCCCACGAGGGTCTTCTCCTGCTTCTCGAGTTTGACTCGCTGTTGATCAAGCTCGCGGATTGCCTTGTCCAGGAGCCGCTGGTTCTTCCGCAACCGCTCAGCGGGCGTGATGCGCTTGCCGAACGCCCACTCGAGGATCTAGATTTGTCAAGGTTAGCACCCGCGACATCGAGCCTGCGCGCACGACGGTGAGAGAAACAGCAGCCTACATTCATGGTGACTGTACGATCGCGTGCCGCGATCACTAGCAGAAGATCTGTTTGCCAGAGTAGATGGGTTTGACGACGATTTGCTTATGGTTTGTGCCTGGACCAACATGGATGTGATTAGGCTTGGCCAGGGAATTGCTACAGCGATGGGGTCGTAGAAACCTCCCCTACGTAACCACGCGGTCTTGGCGCCCGGAACGGGACCTTACACGCCAGCGGCCATCGATTCGTCCGTCAACTAATGCTGTTGCCTCGCCTGATTAAAGGCCAGCCTTTGGTCCAGGTATTCAAGGATTCACGACTCAAGGGTGAATTATAGAGTAAAGGTTATTTTCTTCTTCTCTTTTTTCTATGTATTTTTTTGTTCTATCAAAGTGTAGATACATAGCAGACAATTAACTTCTCGAGGCTTTCATGTGTTTGATTGGAGAGCGGATACCACCGTCCCAGCCAGTCCAGCTCCCTCCCGGGCACTCAAAAGCACATGCTTCCACTGAGATTTACAGCGGTGACATAGTAGACCCATCACTGGATCCTCCCACAGTTGTAACCGAAAAACATGCCACCCCTAGCCTGGACCAATCAAACCAGGCGCCAAATTATGGGGAGATTTGCCGCTCCTGCTCTTCATGCGAACAGGGAATAACTCCCGTACCTGCTGGCTGCACCTCTGCTTGGTAAGGACTGGTCCGCCCAGAAAAATAACACCATCCGCCCCGATCCGACCCATGTTTCCCTAAAAGCCGCCTCTCTTCTCGTCAACTGTCAAACTCCCCATCGCGGGTCGAATGGATTGAGAGAGGGCGCAGTGATGAGTCAAGAGTATTTTTCCAGTAAAGGCAAGTCTCCCGACCACTCGTCGGGCGACGCCGCCGACAACAACAGCGGCGGAAACCGTGACGAAAGTGGCGAGCATCGCCATACCAAACCTAGCTACATGACCGTCGGCTCCGGCTCGACCTCAGAACATGCTGCACGGCTGCAGGCGCTGCTGGACAAGGACTCTGGATATGGCGGCAGTACTGTCGACGATGAGGCAGGTGCGCTGATCCCCGGATCGCCAGCTTGGGATTCTGCAACGCAAGCAGACCGACCTCTGGATTCAAGCTCCTATACCAACGGCAGCCACCACGCGCAAGCTGGCGCCGTGCATCAACTGTGGTATAACAAGCACCGGGTTACCCTCGAACGGTCAATAAACAGAGTGATCGAGCTTCTGAAGGGTCTGCAAGAGAAGAACGCCTCATGGCCTGCACATTATCCTACCGTCCAGCGGACCGACGACCCTGCACTGCAGCGACCTTCTTCCCGACCGGGCTTCCCGCACACGCAGTCCATGCTAGAAGACCTCCCTACTGCTTCACCTCCTCACCCCGGCGCGCTACGTCGATCCTTGACATCCCTCGAAGACCATGCCAAAGCAGAATCGAGTCGCGATGCGGAGAAGAAGCGAATCAACGCCGAGCCTCGCCTTGTAACACCACAAATCGCGCAAGAGTTCTCCATATTGAAGTTGGATCTGAAGCTAGGCGCACTGCATCAGACAGAGCTGGTTCACTCACTCGAGAAGAACTCGATTGCTTCGCTGCTTGACGGAAAGATCAGCTCCAGTATTAAGCACCTTCTATCACTGCGGGAGCGTATCGAAGATCGGTCCAGCAAGGTGCTTGTCACTGGAGATCTCAATGCGGGCAAGTCTACTTTCTGCAATGCGATTCTTCGCCGAAAAATCCTGCCAGAGGATCAGCAGCCTTGCACGAGCATCTTCTGCGAGGTCCTGCATGCAAGCGAAAACAACGGAATTGAAGAGGTCCATGCCGTCCATAAGGATGCTATATATGACCGAAACGACGAGACAACATACGACGTGTTTTCGATACAAGATCTCGAGAAACTCGTGCTCGACAACGCCACCTATATCCAGTGCAAGGTCTATATCAAGGACATCAGAACTGTCGACGAGTCGCTATTGAACAATGGAGTCGTTGACATCGCTCTTATCGACGCGCCTGGCCTCAACTCAGACACCACCAAGACAACGGCACTCTTTGCACGGCAAGAGGAGATTGATGTGGTTGTTTTCGTGGTCTCCGCGGCCAACCACTTCACGATGACGGCGAGAGAATTCCTTTTGGCTGCAGCTGCAGAGAAGGCATACCTTTTCATCGTGGTGAATGGGTTCGACATGATCAGAGATCAGGAACGATGTCAAAAGATGATTCTGGATCAGGTTCGGGGCTTGAGTCCTCAAACCTACAAAGAAGCATCCGAACTCGTTCACTTCGTCTCAAGCAACGCCATTCCCACATCACCTCCGCCCGGTGGTCCTGACGGAGGTGACAGCGGCAGCTCAAGTGGTGGCGGCGGCGGCGATGACCCGAGTGACGACCCAAAGGGCAAAGGCAAAGATAAGGAAAAGATTCGAGATTTTGAGGTTCTGGAGCAATCTTTAAGGAGATTTGTTCTGGAGAAGCGGGCCAAATCCAAGCTGACCCCGGCAAAGAATTACCTCATGAACATTCTCAACGATGTCAACTCACTGGCAACTGTCAATGCCGAGGTAGCACAGTCAGAGATTGATCGTGTAACCAAGGAACTTGAGGAAATCGAGCCTGTCCTCGAATCAAACAAGAAGGCTAAAGACGAGATTAGCGCCGAAACTGAGAAGATCATCGAAGACACCTGCAGCGACGTCTACAACCAGACAAGGGCCATGATCAATTTCTCTATTGCGCATGCCAGCGATCCAACCTTCCTCGATGTGCACTATCCAGGCCTCCTCAGCGCTTTCGAGTACGCAGAAGAAGTCAAGGAAGCGATGCTCTCACAGATCGCCGCATCCGTCACCGAATGCGAGGAGAGCGCGCGAAGCAAGACGGTTGTGGGCGTCAATGCCATCAAGCAGCTCGGTATCCTGCACCTTGGTGACGAATACAACAACCTCAACTTCCGACCCGACGTCATGTTCCGCCGCAGGCGCGATGCGCTTACCCGACAGATCGAGATCCCTATCGAGCTGTGGGACTTCCTCGACTGGTCCAGCCTGCTCCAGCGCCAGGAGAAGGTCGCCGGCACGGGCATGGCGCTCACCGTCGCCACCGCCGTGGGAGGGCGCCTCATCGGCGGCTACGGCTGGATGGACCACGCGCTCAGCGCCGCGCGCATCGTCGGCAACGACAACCTGCGCCGCCTGATCGTGCCGGCCATCGTCGTGAGCCTCGTCGCCGCGGCCGGCTACGTGCTCAACCAGATCCCGCAGTCGCTGCCGCAGCGCCTGTCGACCAAGATCTCGTCGCAGCTGGCGGCCATCGACTACGTGCACGCCAACTCGAGCCGCATCGCCGGCTCGGTGCGCAAGGTGCTGCGCTTCCCGGCCGACTCGCTGCGCGAGGGCCTGCAGCGGTCCGTCGAGCAGCTCGGCGGCCGGCGCGAGGAGACGCTCAAGGTCCGCGCCGAGAGCGCCGTCGCGCTCAAGTACTTTAGCAACCTCGTGCGGGACAGCGCGCACCAGAGGGCCGCGGTGGGGGGCATCGACCTCGACGGGCACCCGCCTGGACTGGCGCACTAGATTGTTTCTGGCATGCTCTCTCGATGGCCCGCTCCCCCTTCTATACCCCTCCCTCCCTTTTGTTGTCCCCGGCCCTTGATCCCCCTACCCCTTGGTTGCGCTTGGAGTTTCTGCTCGCGGTCTGGTTTTTGAGTTAGGATATCCGCTGGTGACGAGTCAACAGAGGAGAGAAGAATACTGTGCGTCTGCCTACAACTCTCTCGTTCTTCATACACCCAAGGAGGCAGGATTGAGAGATATCGGTGGCCTGCCTAAACTGTATATGTATTTGTTCGGCACACACGCTACTCTAGTTAGAACAAGAGGGATCAACCTCCTCTCCTTATGAATATGAGTTACGCTACCTAATTGTTGAAATTTAAGAGCAATGGACCTCGCTCAGTGGTTTTATATTGAGAATTTGCAAATTGCTGTAACCGTTCAGTTGGATTCCAAACACCATTTCGAAGTCGTGGCAACCCCTGTGGCTGGATATTTGCACAGTGAGGATCTGCACGATCAGAGACGTGGGAGATGGATGGTAGAACAACCCCAGCGCTGCAGTAGCTCCAGGGTGGTCACTCTATGATCAACATTTAGTATGTCAACATCGTATAATACAAATCGAGAGAAAGGTGTCGGTCCCCCTCATCCGAGGACCATGAGCAGTCGTACCCGGCCCATCATATGTAGTGTACAGTTACAGCATCGAGAAAACCTAGAGACAGGTTCCTCGAGCGTCAGGAGTCATCAATTCTCCTCGTTTTTGCTCCTCCAAGCCATGCTATCCTGCCTTTCCGGCCCTCCAAGGCAAGAAAAAAAATTGCCCAGCGATGCTTTCCATCCCCTATGAAAATTTCAACACAAACCCCCCTCGCCTTCTTTCCTGCTCCGCAAGCTCCCCGCCATCAGGATTTTACAAAGCCGGCCGTGCCGTCGCCGCGCCGCCGCCGAGCGCAGCGCCGACCTGGGCCGCCGTGTCGGCGTCGTGCTTCTCGCCGGCCGTCAGCAGCTCGCTGCCGGCCTCGCGCATGCGCGCCTCCTGCTCCATGGCGATGATGTTCTGCTCCTCGGCAAAGGACAGCGCAAAGGGCACGCCGATGAGCATGGCCGAGACGGCGAGGGTCCAGGTCGAGCGGCCGAGGAAGAAGAGGCCCGTCTTGAGCACGCGCGTGGTCGTCTGGACCTTGCCCGAGACCCAGCCGCGGATGGTGGGCGGGATGATGTCGCGCAGGGCGTAGAGGCGCTCGGCGAGCGTCTCCTCGCTGGGGTCGTAGTCGGACTCGTTGGAGATCTCGGAGTCTGGATCGTGGGAATATGTGTTAGTAATTTGTTCCAGTGGTTATTCCCGTCACGGAGCGAGTGGGATCGATCATGTGCAGGATAGAAAAGGAGAGCAAGGCGCATCAGGCAGGGCACAAAGCTCGCGCCATCAATCGAAGGTGAAGCTCAGGGGCATGGAATGCAATCTAGCTGGAGAGAAAGTGATAACATACCGGTATCTGTGTAGTCACCCTCGTCATCGAGGCCCGGCTGGGGCTGCTGGAAATGCTCGTCCTCGACCTCGACTAGCTGAACCATCTTGGGCTGTGGATGTTCTGGCGTTCAGGGATGTATAGATTGATATGTTGTCGGAGGTTCGGTTCCCCAAATAGTACAGCTGATTCTGGCCTTTACAGAACAGGATTCCAGGGGGAAAGGGAGTATGTGGTGGAATAGTCGTTTCTCTCGGCTAGAAATGATGTAGCGAGGATTCAAGCTCCCAGGGCTAGGCCGAACATCGACACTGACAATCTTTTTTTCGCTGTGCACGTGACCCCACCCCCTACGCCATTCATCGCAGCTGGTCTGTGCAGTGCCTGTAGCTGCCAATTATTGAGCCTCATGCACCCGACAACACCTCATGGAGCAAGAAGGCCTGCTTCTGTAGTTGTATTGTGAGGAGCTTACTCAAATGGATCCAAATTTATCACTCACCTCTTTCAAAACATTGTTTGAACTTTACGGTAGACGTCATAGATCAGCCTTTTATCACAGAGTGCTGTGCTAGGCCTTGGACAAGCGCAGCGATGGTAATCATATTTCAAGTGATAGGTTCTTAGTTCACATGGCCACTATCCAACAAAAACGCCCTCTAGTGAATGCAAGTGCGCTGAGCTATGCATACAGTATGCAAAGATAAAGAAAAGAGACATTACATGTGTTTCTCATCAATGACCAGACATTCCGATCTATAGCCGTCACTTTTCATCATGCTGTGTCCCCGTCATATGCATGGGCTATGCTTCCTCCACCATTGATCCTCGACAACCTGAAATAGGAGAAAGGCATTCATTACGGGTTTCGAGGGCTTGCGTCGTCGGCAAACCTGATCCCTCGGCGAGCAGGCGGCACTCTGGGCGTGTCGTCGTCCTCGCTATCCGAATCAGCCGTGGGGCTGGCCATACCCAGGGCAGCTTCACGCCGGCGTCGCTCGGCAGGAGTCTCGTTTGTGTCATCGTCACCCTGCTCGTCGCCGACACTCTGCAGGACCGCCAAGCGGCGTCGTCGCTCGACAGCCGTCTCCGGCTCCTCCTTGCTCGACGACGACGGCGCAACCGCCTCGGAAGTGGGTGCTCCTTGACGGCCACGCGTGGGCCCAGGCGATATCTCGGAAGAGACAGAGCTCGACATACTGGAGCTGGTGGCGCTTCTCGGCCTGCCCCGAGGAGCTTCCGGGGCCTTTCCACGAGACGCGGCGGGAGCTGGACTGCTGCTGCTCGCCGCTGGCGAAGCCTCACCTCTGGGCGACGAGTGCTGGGTGATCTGGAACGTCGGGACAGGATCCTGCTTGGCCAATGTCTTGACCCGGTTCGAGGCGGTAGAGTGGTCGACTACCTCGCGGCGGGTCTTATTGTCGAGTTTCTTCATCTCATTGATGAAGTCGTTTTTGTTCATACGCTGACCAACACCGCCGATAGTGAATCTGATGTGACGGTCGTCTTGTTCCGCCTTCTCTTCGGCGACGCTCTTCTTCCGCTGCCGCTCCGAGGGCTCTCCTGCTTGCTGGCGGCCGAAGGCCATCCAGCTCGGCATGCTGGCCTTACCAGCAGCCTTGGAGCCCTCTCCGCCACCATCGGCAGTCTTGTCGCTCGCCTTGATCAGGCCGCCCATGCCCATATACTTGAGTCCTTGGGACATCAAATCTGGACCCTCCTTCTCAGGCCTTTGCGTGGGCAGTTCGTACTTCTTGACAACCTCGCCATCCTCGTCTTCAACGATAATCTATGCGAATTGTTAGCTTTGGTTCCATTCCCTGTGATATTGTGACAGCATGCTTACCGTGTTGCCGAACTGGTAGGCACGGGCCGGTTCGTGCTTTCGGGTGTCCATCTGTTTCTCCCTGCGTTTCTGGACCTCCTCATTCTTCCAGTGGCCAATCTTCTTCTTGATGTTGTCGTACGTCCAGGCAGATGAGGAAGCTTCGGCCTTGAGTTCATTGGTGAGCTTCTCCTTGAGGGCTTCAACATCCTTCTCGGGGTGTTGCTCTTTGGGGGTCTCCTCGACAGCAATGACATCTCCTTGCTCGTTTTCGACGACGATATGGTCACCCTCGTCGTAAACCTCCATTGCTGGAACCTGGCCTGGAGAGGCCACCTCATCTCGACTATGACGCTCTCCTCGCTCCTCGCCATTGCCTCCTTCCTCTTTGTCCGCGTCTCGCATCGAATCTCTTCGAGATAGGGCTTCCAGTGTCGTGCCAGTATCTTGCCTGTCAGGCGGTGAGTGGCCCGGCGAGTCGCCCTGAAGGGTGGCAGAGGTCCGTTCGCTCTGGCTCCGACGCTGGGGGAAGATGGCGGATTGGCTGATCGGTCCACCAGGGCCGATTCCGTCATCCCACTTCTTCTTTCGCCGACGGCTGACGATGGACGAGGCACGGCTGCCCGCCCTGCTCGGATTATCCTTGTCCTCTTCCTTGACACGCCGCAGGAAGTGGCCTGGGAACCCGACGGGTGGGAGGGTGCCGGGAGGAAAGTCGGGTAGCTTGAGCTCATCCATGTCCGTGTCTGACATTGTCCGAGCCTGGGATCTGGACTGGGACGAGATGCGGGGAAGGCGATTCATCCATGAGGGTCCATCCTCCGGCGCTGTGGTGTATGACATGGTGATGGTCAATGTGTTGATGTGCTTGCCCAGCGTGAACACAGCAATGGAGGAACCATGGACGAGAATCGAGGATATGACCAAGAACGTGACAATCGGCCACACCAAAGTCAGTAGGACGTAATGCTCGTGATCTGGCGGTGGAAGTTGGGCCAGAGGGACTGGAGTGTCTGCCTCCAGCTCGGCTCGAGCCAGGATAGCGACGAAGATGGCTCCGACGCCAATCGGTCCAAAGTGACCAGCAAACAAAGCTTCACGCCAGGTTTTGACGTCCGGGATGAACGGTTTCAAAGCCATCATGATAGGAATGCGTCGGAAGAAAATGACCAGGATTGCTATGACGGTCAGGCGCCAAGCTGTCAGGCCAATCGCCTCGTCGTTGAACATCTCCCACGGAACGATGGTGCCCAGGTAGACAAAGTACGTCAAGTTGAGCAGGAGATCGATAACGTTGGAGACGTGAGACTCCTCTGTCTTGTTGCCGAACCAGCCATCGTTTGAGAAACCGACCCCGGCTGCAAAGCCGACCAGCAAGTCATCTACACCCAGAATACTACCTGAGCCGGCGCAGAAGAGAGCCAGGACAAAATAGAAGACGAGGAAACTCTCCCGATCGATCAAGTCGTGCTTTTCGGCAAACTTGATGCCATGGCGAGCGATGTATCCGATCAGAAACCCAAAGATTGCGCCGAAAACACACTCATAAAGGATGGTGTAAACGATCCAGTGGAAAGAGACGTCCTTGGCGCTCTGGCGATCCTGGATCAGGTACAGGGATAGGTAGATAAAGGGGAAGGCCATGCCGTCGTTGCAGCCCGACTCGGCGGAGAGCAGGTCTCGCAAATGCTTGGGCACTCGCTTGGCGAACTTGCCCTTACCCACAACGGACGAGGCCAAGACAGGGTCAGTGGCCGTCACGCAAGCAGCGACAACAAGACTCTCCAGCCAGTTCAGTGGGGGGATCATCCACCAGATGAACAGGCTTGTGATGAGCCAGCCAAAGGTCATGACGGGAACCAATAGGAACACTACAGACTTCCAGTGACGCTCCATGTAGAACTTGGGCAGTTCCACACCGACGGCGAAACATTGCACGACGAGAACGATCCTGGAGAACTCAACGGTGACAATGTCGACGCTGCCCCACGACTGGGGGTTGATGAGGTCGGCGGCATGGGGGCCGAAGATGAGGCCGCATATCGTCGCTACCGTGGCCTCGCCAATGTACATGCGCTCCTTGATGACGGAGGAGCATAGCATGAACAGGGTGGTAAATCCACCCAGGATGATATAGACCAAGTGCGGCTTGGTGATGGACAAGTGGTCCCACGCCATCGCGGAAGGAGGAGGCGCTGGAGGCGCTGGAGCTCGTGTGTGCCCTTCTCTTCTCGGTTATGCAGACAGGCTGGCGCTACAGTCGAAGGGTCAATGATCCTCAACCAAGTCCTCTTGGCGCAGCTGGGCAAGTCGCGGCGCCAAGCAGGTCGACAGGTGACAGAGGGTGGCCTGGCGAAGGAGTCGCAACACCCCAATCGATCGGTTCGTTCCGCCTGTCGAAGTGCTGCGGATGCATCCAGACCCAGGGAACAGTGCCAATACTGCCAAGTTGGCAAGAAGTCTTAGCTATGGATCAGATTGCGTGAGAATCGGGCGACAAGAAAAGCTTAGCAACGGAAACCAAACAGAAGACTGGGTCGACAAGCAAAGATTATTCACGCCAAGGTTTCCCCAAGATGTAGGATTTGTAAACAAAGGGCCGCTCTGGCCCGTCGGGAAGAGAAAAAAGGGAAAACGAATGTACAGCGTCCGGTCGTCGCGCGCTGCAAGACGGATGCGCAGAGGACGAGAGGAAGGTCGAGGAAGGCAAGCAAGCCTGTGATCAGAGAGATTTCGAGAAAAAGAGCCAAGATGGATAAGTCGGCGCAAAGCAGTACATATAAACTTTTCCCTGCTACGCCATTCGCAGAGAGCAGCCAGCCAAGTGTGACGCTTTGGTCGAGCCGAACCAGGATCAGGCGGCCTAGCGCTGCATGTGCAGTGGGGCCCTCTGCTGGGCGGGCCACACTCCAGCTCTGAGAGAGAGAAAACACAGCCCACGCAACCCAGGGGCGGGCAGTGGTGTTGGTCGCCAGAAGCCCAAAAGTCTCTTGCAAGTACCGCCTGCAACTCCCCCCCTCACTGATCGCCTTCCGTCCTTTATACCCTCACAGCTAAGTAATGTCACCAACACCACCGCAACCACTCATTCATGATCCCGCTTGTTGATGTATTCCAACATGTAGTTGCATACCTTCTTCTTAATCAGTCGTCCTGCATTGGCTCGAGACTGTGTCACTAGTCACATCACCGCCTCCGGCGAACGGACATGATTCTTGGTCTGTCCGACTTGCCGTGCCGCCTCCATGTCCCACCCACCGGAGATCTTGTACATGGGTTTGTCTGCAGGCCGGCAAGCCAACCATCATTGAACTCGCGGTTGCATCAGAGGGAAGATCTCGTACAGAGGAGACCCTGAGCAGCGATGCTAACACCTGGGAAGGCCATGATCCTCACCATTCGGTTCATTCGTTGCTACAGTGGTGCCAACCCGGACTAACAACACTACTGATTGTGGCCGCACAAGCCCTTCAGAGCCAATCCAGGCCCAAGTGATGTATGTCTGTTTACCCGGGATGTGCGCACCAGTCAATCCGGCTCGTGATTGAAAATCAGATGGGAACATTGAACGTGTCAGTGTAGCCAGCAAGAACGTGGAGTGCCCGCAACCCGGGAAATTCCCAGAACAACGGCTTTGGCACCCGCTCCCAAGGCTTGAGTGCTTGCCTTTACACAGAGACGGAGGCAATTGAGGTTCCTGTTGTGTGTCTTTGAAATAAGAAAGGAACTAGCACCCATTTAAAATATACCGCAAGCGCTCCAAGCGAAAGCATCATAAGGGCTTTGGCCTTCCAAGTTGGGTTTACAACATGGTTGTCGATTTTAGGGGACTGATCGACTCCGAGATCGTCATCATACAGAACTGGGAATCGATGATGGGCACTGGAGGGGTACCTCCAAGATACTTCGTGGCTCTGGGGCCCGCTGAGAATACGATCCCTGCATTCTGCCAAACCCGCTAACTCCCCGTTCTTACGATGGCGTTTTAGTGATGGGGTCCCTTGCGCCTGCGAATGTCCTGAGATAAGGCCTACGGCAAAGCCGAAGGAACCGAGATGTCGGTACCAACCATATCTCAATAGACCCCAATGGCCTTGTGTTTGGTCGAGTTCTATTGGTGGCAGAGATGAGTGAGAATGTCTTAATCCCACTGCTCAATGTAGGCTAGGTAGTCTAAAGCAAGTGCCGTATCTTTCGTGTCTTGTTCACTCTAGAGTACCAACTTTCACACTCATACCTTGGTGCATCGCGGTCCTTCATCACCGCCTGCGCGTCGACGTCACATGGAGGGTCACCTTTTTTTTTCTTGCCCAGACCAGCTGGGTAGAGAAGGGGGGAACACAGGAACAAAGGAGACCAATTGCTGACGCATATGGCCTTCCCTAGGGGCTCGGCGCAGCTTGGCACTTTATCTAGACGATGACCATGCCGGTTGTGCAATCTTAAGAACCCAGACTGGAATAATGCCCGAGCAATTCGAAGAACGTCACGCTTTCTTGCTTATGTTTCTCAAATAGAGAAAAAAAAAATCAATAAGATGGTCAGCCTGCAGTTCGGTCGGGAGGGGCTGAGGCTGGCCCCTGTCAAGTCAGGCGGGCGGCTCGGTCCCCCGGGAGAGCCGTGGTGCAAACAGCTCAGCCCAACAGGCTGACCGCCGGGCTGATGGCCTAGACTCCCGCCCCTCAGGGCCACGCAAGACCACGCTGTCGGCACGCTTCGGGGGCCACCTGCAGCTGCAGTCAACGATGAGTGTGGGGGCACGGGGGTTAAGGACTTCTTGGACTGCCGCGCATCTCAACCTCCGGTCCGTTGTCATTACCCGATCTTCAATTGTTCCGCCATGACCTCCGGTAACGGATGCAGCTTCGATTGGCCGCCGGAGTACAACCGCCCACGTTGTCTTCCTCTTTTGTGCATTTTTACCTCCCACCACGATCTCGTCTCCCCAGCCAAATTGCCCGTTTCAGCCATTCGCATACAAAATCTCGCTTCCAATTGGGCACTGGGTTGTCGTCCACTTGCACCAGGGACTGACCCTTGTCACATATTAGGGGGAATGCCATCTCAATGCCATTGACGCCCAACCTGTGGATCGTATCTCATTGTCTCACTCCTTCGTAATTTGTCTTGTTCTTCGAGATGCAAGGTTCAGATGCAGAATTTCTTTTCTTTTCGGTCACGCGACCTCGTCTTGCAGGCCGGCACGGCGTGGGGGTTCCGGCTGCCGGCATTAGTACTTGGAGTAAGCTCCTCCTACTGGGTCATCCGGACAGATCAAGTGCGGACTCCACGCGTCAGTGGGATGTAAACATGCAATAGATTCTGCATTTGTTACACCGGCACACAATCTCACCCTATAGAGAAACTCCCATGCAGACTGACTGAGGAGTCAGTCAAGCTGAACTCTCGGCCTGCGTGTCGTGGGCACGCAGAACATGGGCAGAGCACGGCAAACCTTCATGATCCCCCATGAGATGGCTTGCCAAACCTGGGATATCATCCTTGCATAATCCGAGCACTTGGCTACAGGATGTTCAACTTGCTTCCCTTCAACCCAACCACACACACCCGTATCAGCACGTGTTTCCCATGAATGTTGTTATTGGTTTTATGATGTGTCTTGGAACCTTGCCCCAGGATTTTGACTTGCATAATGAAAAGAAGCGGTGAAATGGGTCTCGACAAAGTCCCAGGGCATGCCTCGCGAGCGGTTTGGGCTCCCTGGTAAGAATATCCTGCGTCCAGTCGGTACTCCAAATTTGTATGGGAATCCGTGCCCATGCTGACTAAGCGAACAAAACGCAGTCACGTGAGCTAGTGCCGCAAATTCGGCTACATTGGACGCGGTGATGGAGTACAGACGCGCCCACACGCGACGACCAACCAGGTTGGGAGGAACCGTAGTACCTGTACCACTTGCTCGACTCCGAGCGATGTGCACGCAAAAAACATTGGGACGCTCACTCACTCAAGGACCTGCCGATTGATTCTGTATGCAGGCTGGTCCATCCAGCCTCGTCCTCTCGCGATCTCTCACCGCGAAGCACCTCCTCTCCCCGAAAACCATTCGTCCTCTACATGCACGATCTCTAGGACGTCCTCCTCGCTTCGTGTGCTCGATGTTGAGCAGGGCCGTCCAGTCGGCGGGGGCGTCCGACCAATCCGCTCCCAACCATGCATCCAAGGCCGGCCTAGCTAAAGAATTGTTCCCGTCTAGCAGTCCCAATCCTCACGATGGCAACATCGCAGACCACTTCAAAAAGCATCGGCCGAGCCAGAATGTCTTCGGTGTCGCCGCTGCCCAGGCTGCTTCGAGCTTCAACCGATCCCACAGTGCTGGACAGCCTCTGAAACCACGGTCTGGTAATTTCTCCAAGCCTCCGAGCTTCAACACCGCCTCGAGCTTCGGCTCTGTCAGGAGCAGCAACAGCAGCAGGGCGATTACGAGCTTGTGCGGCAAGACCGACTCTTTCAAAGACGAGCCCGACGTTATCGATCTGGTCAACCCTGCCCCGCAGTCTCAGCGGAATCCAGTCAAGACGGCAGCTCCGGTATACATCGCGGAAGATGACTTTAGCGACGATGACGACCTGGACTTGGACTTCGAGCGCCCTTCTGCCCTTCCCCAACTGCCTCCACAGCTACCTACCCTGCCCCGAACCACATCAGCCGTCACCGACCCTCACCCAGCAAGCGGGACCAGCGCCCTGAGCTGGTCCCAGTCATCGCCTTCGCACTACCGTGCACCACCGCAGCGGCCACCCAGGCCAGCTGCTCCCCAGCCACCTAAACGCGCAGCTTCCGATGCCGACTCTATCGCAGCGCCAAAGGCCAAGAAGCGAGCCCTACCCAAGAGTTGGCAGCGTCCGGCAAAGGAGGAATACATCGACGTCGACGAGTATCAATCCATGACTGTCACCACTCCAGCGCCCAAGCCAAAGGATGTTGCCCTCTGGGACGCCACTGCCAGTGCGGTCAAGGAACAGAAGAAGCAGCTGAAAAACCAGAGCAAGAAGCCCACGCAAGTTGAGCCGCCCAAACCGGTCGAACCCACTGCTCCCCAGGCGGTCAAGTCGCATGCGGTTGTTGCGACCAACCATGCCATCTCGCTGAGCAACGAGCAGCGACATGTCAAGTCACTTGTGTGCGACAAGAACCAGAGCGTCTTCTTCACTGGTCCTGCCGGTACCGGAAAATCAGTGTTGATGAGAGCAATCATTCAAGAGATGAAGAAGAAATGGCTGAGGGACCCCGAGAGACTGGCGGTCACAGCTTCGACTGGCCTCGCCGCATGCAATATTGGAGGCATGACGTTGCACAGTTTCTCTGGTATCGGTCTGGGCAAGGAAGACGTGCAGCAGCTTGTCAAGAAGATTAGACGGAATCCGAAGGCCAAGAATCGCTGGCTCAGGACAAAGACGCTCATCATCGATGAGGTGTCTATGGTTGACGGTGAGCTCTTCGACAAGCTGTCTCAGATTGGCCGCATCATTCGCAACAATGGCAGACCGTGGGGCGGCATCCAATTGGTTATCACCGGTGACTTCTTTCAACTGCCACCCGTCCCAGATGGGGATAAGAAGCGAGAGGTCAAATTCGCCTTCGAGGCAGCAACTTGGAACACGTCGATTGATCACACTATCGGTCTGACCGAGGTGTTCCGTCAGAAGGATCCAGGTGAGTGTCACTCACATGTTGCTCCGACTAGAGAAATACGTGTCCTAATTAGATACAGTCTTCGCAAACATGCTCAACGAAATGCGTCTCGGCAGAATCAGCGAACAGACTGTTGAGAGCTTCAAAAAACTCGCCAGGCCTCTGGGGTCTGACGATGGCCTCGAGGTCACTGAGCTGTGAGTCAACAACTCCTTTAATAGTATGCCCTTTTGGAGTGTATCTGACCAGGTCAACAGCTTCCCCACGAGAAACGAGGTTGAAGCTTCAAACTCAAGACGCTTAGCAGCTCTTGGAGACCAGGCTCATCGATTTGATGCTTTTGACTCGGGCGATCCAGCCGTGCGGGAGAAGTTGCTGGCAAACATGATGGCTCCCAAGGCCATTACTCTCAAAAAGGGCGCCCAGGTCATGCTCATCAAGAACATGGATGAGACACTGGTCAACGGTTCACTAGGCACAGTGATGGGTTTCATGAGCGAGAGCACGTTTGAACTGACCGGGGCTGCGGACGGCTACGGCTCTGGTGGAGAGGAGCATATGGACCCCAACTTCAAGAAGCGAGTGGCAGCTTTCAGCCGCCAGTTGGACAACTCTTCTTCCGGTTCCAAGGCGGTGGAGTATCCGCTAGTACGGTTCCATGCCGTGGATGGCACCTCACGGACGCTTCTCTGCGTGCCCGAGGAGTGGAAGGTAGAGCTACCGACGGGAGAGGTTCAAGCTTGCAGGAAGCAGCTCCCTCTGATTCTGGCATGGGCCCTGTCCATCCACAAAGCCCAAGGACAGACTCTGGAGCGGGTCAAGGTGGACCTGGGCAAAGTGTTCGAAAAGGGCCAGGCATATGTCGCTCTGAGTCGAGCCACCTCGCAGCAAGGCCTGCAAGTGCTGCGTTTCGAGAAGCACAAAGTCATGGCACACCCTCGAGTCGTTCAATTCTACAACAAGCTGTACAGCGCTGAGACGGCACTGAAGAAGAGGCCGACGGCGATGACATCGCAGCCCATTACGAACTTTACGAACAAGGCGGCGATGCCCAGTGCGAGATCGGGATCCATCACGGCTTTTGCCCAGCGCAAGGATGTTGAGGTCATTGATCTGGAGGAAGAGGAGGCGGCCATGGCGGCATATGGCTACTAATCGGGGGAGGGGGGGCCGATTGACGAAAGACCTGGACGGATTCGTCGTCCTCACCAGCATCACTCATTTGTCCATGGCGTTTTCTGTGCGCATGTGTGTTCTTCTGCCAAAGCTGACAGACAGTGTCTTTGGGCATAGCATTGTTTTCCTATCTGTTTCGGCACAATGGCGTTTGCTAGCCTGCCGCTCCAAACAAGGCCGTTGTTGGTTGGTGTCTGACCAGGCAGTAAGGGGCGAGGGTGTTGATGGGTTGCGTGGATCAGAAAAGAGGTGTCAGTAAAGAGACAGAGTCACTTAGGTAGTACTCAATGGACAATGCAAGGCTTTCACAAGTCGTGTATCTGTGTGTTTTTTAACAATCCAATCGGGTGAGTCAACTTGTTATTTGGTGAAAAACGACAACGCTCCTGCAGGGTCCACAGCTTCTACAGCTTCTAAAGCATGCCAAGTACCTAAAGAAAGGTGGCGGTGACAATTTCTTATCTTATCAGTCGCCTAGCTTCTGTCCTTGAGTTGAAAAAAAATAAGTGGGGTGAGAGTTTGTCAAGCCTGTCAAGTCTGGAGTGAGTGGTGTGTGAGTGAGTGTCTGAGGAAGGAAGCAAGCACATTGCCTCTTGCCCAATCACCACTAGTGTCCATTTTCTGGAATACCGCCCGCAAGCCAGAAGATTCACCTCGCTGTACTTTCTACTTGTTCTCTTTCTCCCTCGCCCGCCTTCAGACGACAGTGACGTTGTCTCCTCACCCACACAAAGGCCCCTTCCGAAGCAAGATCTTGCCCGTACCCAGCTTTGAGCTCCTGACCTCACAACAGTTCACACGAAATCTCGAGGCTCCTGCTCCGACTAGCACTCGGTCACCTTCTCCCACTCCCCATGCCGGGAGCCTGCCCTCGCTGATAGCCCAGCGCCCTCTCTCCCCGCTCTCCGCAGGTCGCTCCAGCTTCTTCGATCCGCAATTCATCATGGCGAACGAGTTCATTGGTCTGCAGATGGTCGTCAACCTGCGCCATCCTCCCGAGAGATTGTGCGGTACGATAAGCGGCGTTGAGGCTGGCCAGAGCTTGACTCTAACCAATGGTTTGTTACCGTCATGATCCCCCTGGTATCGCAGCTTCCTGGCAGCTAATGCCGTCTCTCTGACAGTCTGGTCTATCACCACCGGGCAATGGCATCCCCGCCTGTCCATCATGCCTTCCAATATCGTCGATATAGTAGATGCGACCAAGGATCCCGCCGCGCAGGCATTTGTCGCACATTCCGTCCCAGCTCCTCCGCCACCCCCAGCGCCCTCCCAACCCGCGCAGCCATCCTTTGCAGACCCTGCAATCCTCTCCTTCAAGCCCAGGACCGGTTCGGCAGCACCCACGGAGCTACCGGCCCCGCTTGCGCAACCAGTGACGGCCGAGAAAGAAAACGTCGCTCGCATACCGGCACCTGAGATACGGCTAGAACATGCGTCGAGGAAGGCTACTCCGACAGGCAGCATATCGGAATCTATGCGGAACTTGAACATGGGTGCCCACTTGCCTGACGAGGGCAACTCTTACGCAGAGAACGGCGCGAAAGCGACAGCGTCGTCGCAGTCGCAAGATGCAGCCTCCAAAAAGAAAAGACGGCGGCAGCCGAGACAGCCTCGCAATGCGCCTCAGGACGAACAAGCGGACGCAACCAACGTGGACAGTTCGAAGGGTGTGGGCCGAGGAAAAGGATGGAGGCAAACGCCTATCCTGCAGAGCACATCTTCCTTTCAGCCTTTCAACTCTCTCAAGAAGAAAGGGGGCAAAGGAAGGCAGGCAGTGGGTCAGGATAATGGCTGGGCTTCCGAGGACGTTACGGACGTTCAAGAAATGGGAGACTTTGATTTTGAAGGCGGCCTGGCCAAATTCGACAAGCGAAGCATATTTGACCAGATGCGCAAGGATGACCAGATCGATGAATCGGAGCGTCTAGTATCGCACAATCGACAGCCAAGACCCAAGCCGGGGACGGCCGGCGGAAAGAACTTGCATTACTCGGAGAATGTTCTGGATCTGCCATCGTCCAGTGCAGCTAAGGGCTCCCGTGAGAGTCCAGCAGTTGCGCAAGACTTCTGGAACAGCGAGGCCGATGACGGGGTTGCCAATGGCGAGCATCGAAATAGTGGGCGAGAACTCGGCAGTAGGCAGAGCTCGCGAAGGGGCGAAAGCAAGATGTCGACGACGAGGAGATCCCAGTCCCGGAAAGCGAGTGCAACCGGGCCGGGTCAAGGACCAAGCCGTGTCAACTCAGGGGTAAGCGGTCATTCCCACCATTCTCGCCGCACAGCCAACTACATGAAAGCAGCCGGCGCTAACGAACACGGCCGGAAACAGTTCACAGCGATGGCATCTACCTACGGCTTCTTTCTTCAGCCGTCAAGTCGACGCCTGGAGACGGTCTCGGCACTCCAGATGCTCAACCTGGAGAACATCGCGCAGAACGAGCTGGGTCTCACCGAGGAGATGATGACGGAGAACTCGGGCCGCGGCATTGCCGAAGTGACTTTCACTGCCCTGGCAGACCCAGCCATCAAGATCCGCACGGGTGCAAATGACAAGTCAGGACCTGGTGCCTCCAGCGCCGCACCGGCGACGGTCGTGATCTTAGCAGGCAACAACAAGTCAGGCATCCGGGCCGTGGCCGGTGGCCGCCACCTTCGTAACAAGAATGTCAACGTCCTCTTGTGCGTGGTCGGCATCGAGAGGGAGCGGGATCTCCTCGAGGACATGCGGCAGCAGGTGCAGCTGTACCGCAACTACGGCGGCAAGGTCTTCTCCAAGAGCGAGCTCTTCGAGCACGTGCGCAAGATGAGCATCCCGACGCTGACGATAGACACGCCGCGGAGTGCTGCCGCGATCCTGCCCAAGCCGCCCGCCGTCACGCTCATCATCGACGCCCTGCTCGGCCTGGCCATCACCTTTGACGAGCTGCGGACCGCGGAGCAGGCGTCGGTCTATGAGCTGATTGAGTGGGCGAACCGCAACGAGGCCTTTGTCCTGGCCGTCGACATGCCCACGGGCATCGACCCCTCCTCGGGCAAGGCCAGCATCGTGGACGGCAGCCCGCTGTACCTGAGCCCGCGGTACGTGGTGGCCATGGGCGCGCCCAAGCGCGGCCTCCTCGAGGCCATCGCCGCGGCCGCCGAGCAGGTCAGTGCGGGCGCGGGCGAGGCGGCGCCCGTGGTGTCGGACGCGGACCCCATGACCGACTGGCGGCTGTTTGTCGCCGACATCGGGTTCGGCGCGGCGGTGTATAAGAAGGCCGGCACCAAGATTAGGAGAGGCATCGACTTTGATGACAAGTGGGTGCTCGAGATGGTCTATCGCGGAGCGGCAGATGAGGAGGAGTATGTATGATATGGTATGGGGAAAGGGGGGATTGAGTCTGCAGGGTGAGGTGAGGAGCGGCGCACGTCCGGACAGGGAGCGTCTTTGCTGCCTGCCCCCTTTTCAGCTACTTTGGTTGGAACAACTAGAGTGGGAAAACCCCATGTCACATATGGGGAGGGCTATGGAGTTTTTTTTTATGACAAGCGTTGCATCTTTCTGCATCATGAGAGGCGTCTCAAGGGAAAAGGGTGTTTGTTGTTTTGTTTTGTGCTTGTTTTCACGCCCCAGGGTCCAAGGGGCAGCTGTTTTAGGCAAAAGAGATACACCACGGCATTCACATGATAAAAAAAAGGGAGTTCTTTTCTTGAGGCACACAAGACTATCACAGCGGGCGGATTGAGGTAGTAAAGGTCCAGATAGGCCGGGGATGAAGCAGGTAGTGAATGCATTTGTCCTTCAAAGATGCAAAACACTCCTGGTTAAGTGACAGTGCCAGAAGGAGATTCTGGTTTGAATCCCTTAGATACAGCCATTGAGACTCAGCAGGCGCAAGGCAGTCACAACACTGCCAATTTCCTATTCCCAACCCTGGACTGAAGGCATCCAGCCAGACCTGGATTACAAGGCTCATCAGGGTCCGACCCTTTACCAGAGACCATACTATGTTCGATTGATGATGCCTATCAACCAGGCCCCCTCACCTCTCGGCCACAAGTACATATTGACGAAGCAAAAGCAAACTTTTTGTTTGTTCTCTCACTTTTATCCATCCATCCATATACCATAATCCACCATTTCTCTCCAGTAAACGCCCACCCCGTCATTGCACACATTACACCAACCCCCCACCGTCTCATAATCCCCCCCTCTTTTTTTTCCCCTTCTTTTCCTCTCTTCCATGTCTCAGAACCCAGAACCCTCGAGGCTCAGATGCGGCTGGTCCATGGTCATGTAGTCGAGCAGGTCCATGCCGGCAATGTTGACGCCCTCGGCCGTCATGGCGACCGACGCGTCGCCGCCCATGTTCTGGAAGAAGGCGGCGCCCGTCGGCAGGTACCACATCTCGTTGTTGTTCCAGTCCGACGCGTCGCCAAACATGTTCTCGGGCAGAGCCGTGGCCGCGTCGACGGCCGCCGCCGCGTTGGCCGCCGCGGGCGTCGAGGGCCCAAACATCGAGGCCGAGCCCGTCGGGAACGGGAAATTGCCCGTGCTCAGGTCGAAAGGCGTGGCCGAGACGTTGACGGGAGTCGCCGTACGCTCTGTTGTTTCTCACAGGGTTTCGGTTAGTCTCTATATCTCATTGAGGAAGTCCCGGGTAGAGAAAGCAAGAAGCAACTTACCAGGACCAGGCGTCTTGGCCCATAGCCCCTCGGGTCCGCCGGCATGCTGCAAGGTCTGACCAGGCAGAAGAGGTTCTGCAGGTCCGGTATGGGGGCTTCTATCTCCCGATGCCAGCGGAGGAGGTGCATGGATGAACCTGTTTCGTAGCCTGCTCATCAGGCTCTCCAGCAGATCAGCAAAGCGGATGCCAAGGTGCACATCATCCACAACGCAATTCCGCAAAGCATCGACGGTTCGATCCATTAAAGTGATGGAGGTCTCGACATCCGACTTAGGAGCGCCGAGAGCGAATGTCTTGAGCAGGAACATGGCACCGCTAATGATCCGGAAGTAAGTCCGAACTGGGCAGTGCTTGAGAAAATCGCCAGGGAGCAAGCCATCAACGACAGTGCGCAGTAGGCTCCTACAAGCGTCAACGACAGTCTTGACATATTCCTGGTCCTTTGCACTGAAACCGCCGAGTTGGCCCAGGGGAAGTTTGCCGTAGTAATTCTGCGTCTGCGGCGACAACAGAGGACCGGCCGAGCCTGCAGTGATGTTGCCGATGATAGAGTTGCCCGCGTTGCTCGTGCAGCGCTCGACGACCGCTTGGAGAGAGAGAGAGTTGATGTAGATACGGACATACTCGTATTCGATGGTGAGGATATGGCGGATAAATGTCGGTAGCTTAAAAAGTTCAAACTCCTTGAACCAGTCGGCCAGCAGCGGCTGGAAGTCCTTGAGAATCTCGACATACTTGCCACTCTGGATAATTTCTGTCGTATGTCTGCGTGACCGAAAAATCTTGACGTTCCCGAGGTGCATGGCATTGCTGATTCCAGCCCAGCAGTGGATGATCTGGTCGTCCAGCTCCAGGTCGGGTATATAGTTGAAGTTGTTTGACAAGGATGAGATGTTCGTGCCCGGTGTGGTGCCATCGGGCGCTGTTGGACGCCGTCGCGAGAAGGCTGGGTCGCTCACTCGAAGACTTTCTGGTACCATGTTGGTCCAGCCTAGGCGGCCAGCCAGCTGGGTCGCGTAGATTAGCAGGAGGCGCTTGATGCGGTAGGCCCGCAGCCGGTACGTCTCATCCTCATACTCCGGACGGAAGATATAGCCAGTGGCCAGCAGTTCGTCAATGTCATCAAACACGCCAAGTTCGTAAGCCAAAGCCATACCGGCGCTCAACAGCATCCAGCACATGCGGTCGCTCCTCCATGCAGGCTCCAGCCAGCCCTCGATCCTGCGGCCGTTGACACCTGGTGGGCGCTGGTCTGGATCACCGTTCGCCGGGTTGTCGCGAGGGTCCATCGAGGGGAGGAGGAGCTCATCCATGGCATCCGGTGGGAAATGCAGAGCCCGAGGGTGCCACTCGGTCAGGATCAGCAGCGACTCAATAGTGCCCAGCGTCCGCAGACTACCCCTTCGTAGCCCACGCCACGGCGCAGTGCTTGAGCTCTCCGACTCATCGAGCCCTGAGCCACAGAAGCCACCGCCAAAAGACTCCTGTCCCCAAATGACCCTTTCGATCATGCCTCGCAGGTACGTCCACAGCTGTTCATGGATGGCGTGAGACCTACAGTGGCCACCGGGACCGGGTATGGTTCGATAGCGTGAGGCGATGGTAAGTAGAGTGACGGCAAGGATAGGCTCTTCGCTCAGCAGGGTGACATGAGCCGCAGGGTTGTGGAAGGTTGGTGGCGATATAGGTGTCAAGGGCGACAAGTAAGTGTAGTAGCTACGATTGAAGTCAGTAGAATGCTCCCACAGTGCACTGCGAAAGCCAATGGACGGGCTGAGCTCACTAGTTAATGTACTCGATAGCTTCCTGCGCGGTGAACCAGCCGGCTCGCACAAAGCGGAACCTGGCCCAGGCTCGAAGAGCAGAAGTATAGCCTGGATCGCCAGTCTCTTCTTTCTTGGTCAATTCAGGATCGATCGGCTGTCCATCTGCGCTTCCGACAGGGAGCGCTGTCGGAACACCGGAGAGCACACCGCTGAGTACTTGGTCCGGCCTGCGAGAACTATGGCTCTGTGATCGACCGTGGATTCCATTGGCCTGCGATGCAGAGGTCGGGTTGGCAGCATCTCCATGAGGACTAGAGAAAGGGTCCCAATCAGTAAAACTTTCCAGATAGCACACCCTTGACGACACTCAAGACGAGAGGGGGGTGCACACACCTATCTGTAGCTGCCTTATAGAGCAGATCCAGCGCATCATGGGGGCCGTAGAGCTCCCGCCTCATCACCGTCCTAGCCTCCAGGTTCTCCAGCGGCACATTGGCCTCCTCGGCAAACTCGACGCCGCCCCTCGAGCCACGTCCCTCGCCCGGTCGCCGCAGGGGCTGCGACCGGCCCATGCTACCGCCGGGCGTCAGCGGCACATCGTTGTAGAGCCGCCTGTCGATGGAGCCGGGCGGCGGCGGGCTGTTCCCGCTGATCTCGGAGCGCAGGCGCTTGCGGCCATTGCGGATGACATATTCGTCCTCGCCGGCGCCGGTGCCGGACTCGTCGTAGCCTTCCTCGCCCTTGCGCTTGCGGCGGGTAGCACTGAAGAAGCACTCCTTGGACTCGCGGCGGCAGCGGACGCAGGGCGGGTCGTGCGGGTTGTCGACGGAGCCGAGGTCGCAGCGGACCTTGCGGCGGCGGCAAGGGATGCATGCCTGGTAGACACGCTTGTGGCCCGGCTGCTGTGACCCGTCGCCGCCACCAGCGGCGCCGACAGAGGTCCGTGCCGCGTTGGTCTGGTTCGCTGACCCGTTGCCGGCGGTGGCCGAGTTCTCGGAAACCCGCGGCGACTCCGAGTACTGTGACATTACCACACTGTGGCTTCACGGCAGAGACGGTGTCGGACGACGTGGGCGAAAAGGGACTTGGATCGGCAAGAGGAGGGTGTGATTGGGGCCCTGATCGGGTCAAAGACAGGTCGTGTGCCGCTGGGTGTCGCTCGTTGCTGCAGGTCCAGAGGCCCGTTGCAAGAGTGTTGAATGGCGATGCGGTCTCTGTCGGTTTGCGACGGGTCTTGTGGGCGAGAGCGGGGGAGATCGCTGGCTTAATAAAGGGAAAGGGCTCGGGCTGTTGTGGGTCGTGGGAAAAAGCCAAGAGAGACCTTCGAAGCTTTGGGCAGGCCAAAACTTCGGTGCCCGGGTTCGCGCGGGGTAGAACAAGACGGGAGACCCAGATCAGTCGCAGCCTAGATCCAAAAGGAGTCCGCTAAATAAGAAGCGTCAGATTAATCAGCTGTGGGCGACCAAGGAATGCTGTCCAGAGATAGATATGCAGAGGAGCATCGTTATCTTTGACCAAGCCTCACCTGGGTTCCGCCCAACCCTTTCGTAAGATTCCGGAGTCTGTGGTCATGGGGTTGCCTTGTGTGTCCGTCTGGGTAGTCGAGGACAGGAAAAAGAAAAAAAAAAGAGAGAGAACAGGCATGCAAGGCTGTCTGGCCGTATCTTCTGCGCAAGTCCGGTATATCCTGTAGCTACAGCTGTGACAGCCACTCACACACGGGCTGCTTTTGTTGGTGACTTGGGCACTAACTCGACACCGAAGTTTCCGCAGACCCAACAAAACAAGTGAACCAGACAGCACGCAATGCCTCCTCGGATCAAACCGCTGTATCAAGCAGACATCGTCTGTGCGACTAATGAGATCTCAGGTACAGAAGAACCTGCACCGATCTCGATGGGTGGTGATAAGTAGTACGGGGGCTACAAGTACATAGTCGCGGTTGCCCGACCCGGCCTCGGAGTCGTATTAGGGTGGGTAATCCCCCCCAATCACGGCCTTTAACGCAGTTTCCATTGGCAAAGAGCTTCCATTCTTCTTCCATGCTCCTTCCATTTACCTTCCTGTCTGGTACTTCGGTCGAGACTTATTATCAGAAGATACGCCAACTGCTTTCAAAAATTACGATATAATTTCTCACCTCTTCGCGTGCCTGAGCCAGAATCAGTTTAGGGAGGGGCCCCTGGTAAGTCTGTATGTTGGCTCTGTAGCTTACCACGCTGGGGTATGATTCGGCACCAATTGCCAACAGACAGGAGCAAAGCCAACCACCGCCAAGGCTTCCCTCACCTGGCTCTCTGTAACCTTCTCCGTCCCTCAGTCGCCGCAAAATGTCATGACATCAATACCATGTCATTTGATCAAGACTGTGACGCGGCCGAGTCCGTGTGTAGTCCAATATCGCTTGCTGTGAGTCCAATTGGACCCCGGATACCGGGGGTTCGTAGCTTACCCCGAGATCCCCGGATTCCCCAGGTCTCATGACCCCCTCCTCCTCGCCTTGGAATGGATGGCCTTTGGTCCACCGTGAGACGAGAGCATGGGAGCCAATTGACCGACTGTGACCTGCGGCTGAGCTCTTCAAATAGGGCCGTCAGCCTCGCAGCACGATGGCCTCGTGACAATACCCAAAAATCCCCATTATTCTCCGCGTTGGGCTTCCGCTGGACCCTTTCAGCTCACATCCCATCATCACGACGCAGCCACTGCCCGGACCCCGGCGCGTATACCGTCCACATTGCCAGTACATCACTTGCCAAGAATCACATTCGAAGCACACACTTCTACGGCATTGCTTCAATACTTTTTATGCATTCAACCGCCGTCACTGTATTCCGCTCCCCCTTTTTGATCATGTAGCAGGCGATGTCGGAGAGCCAGGCATCTGCCGCAAAAGAGTAAAGAAAAACCTCGCACGTTCCCGTCCCAAATCATTTTTATCCTCGGAAATTATACGGGGGTATATCGTAGAGGATCGAAAATCCCAGTTCCTATCCTGGAGCCCTGCTGACAGGCCCCCTGCGATGAAGCCGGAGGAGGTCTGGTTCGGTAGATAACCGGGAAGGCCAGAAGACAACGCAGCGAATCCCACACCAATCCATAGCCCAACTTCGTGGGTCCAGATGTAAAGGCAGGATCAGCTCGAGTAACGAAACGGCCGCGATGGCTCATTCAAGAAAACAAGACAGACCCTCAGAAGCCGGTCCGCAAATCAGAAAGATTCGTGTGCTCAAACTTGGGGCCCTTGTCGAACCTCGCTCCCACCAAAGAAAAGTCTCCCATCCGTTCCGTGACGCCTATGCAATGCAACTCATACACGGAGGCTCGTTCGTAATGAGGCATCTCACATTCGAGTTGGCATTGAGCTTGGGTCAATCCCAGCATCAAATGAACTGAGATGCCATCGAGGGACCGACCACTTTATTTCAGGCGGTGGGCCTGGTTGGTGGTGAGCTAACATGGGCAGGTTAGTACAGTTGCCTGATTGTTGGATCAACGAGTGAAAGGCTCACGATGTAGTCCCAGAGCATCTTGCCCAGGGCATCCGGGACGGTGTAGAGGTCGACCGAGAACTCTCCGGCTGGGGGGTGGACACGCACTGTTAGCAAAGCGACGGTTACAAACGTTGAAGAGATATCACGAAGCATATGCCTAGGAGGTAGATCAGGCCCGGGTGGGAGGACTTACCCTCGACGTTGTTGAGGATGTACGTGTCATCGCTCTTGTGGTCGTGGATCAGCTGTATGACCTGCATAAGGTCGTCCTCGCCCAGCTTGGTAATGGCATCCGCCATCTTCTCCACGTCAAACGACTTCTTCTTCTTGCCGCCGGCACCGTCCTGGCCAGCCTTGCGGCCCTTGCGGTCCTCGTCCGAAGGGAGCGGGCCCGTCTCGCGCAGGATAGCCTGCAGGGCCTGCGAAGGGTTCTTGAACTGGACCGTCTGGATGTTCTCGTACGTCGGCTGGGCGAAGTTGAGATCGTGCATGACGGTGATCTTGCCGCCCTTCTCGGTCGTGTAGCAATCGACCGAGAGGTCGAACTCTCCCCATCCCTCGTTGCTGCACTTGAACGGCGGCTCGTGGAAGGCTAGCTGTGGGTCAGCGAAAACTGAGTTGTATATGACCAATGGAGGGAGAAGAGACTGACTCTGTACGGGGTTTTCGAAGGAGGGGTGAAGGTTGTAGGTCACCTTCGTGAAGCAGTTGGCAGGCTTCTCCTTGCCATTCTCGTCCAGGATGTACACCTCGATGTTCCACTCCTTCATCGGGAAACCCTCGACAGGCGAGGGCTTCGGGCTATACGCGTCAATTGTCAGTCGTCGCTCGCACCACTGATGACTCCTCGTGCCACCTCAGGGAACTCCAACGCTCCGAGTCTCATGTGATATGTTGTGTCGAGCTGAAAGGGATGTGACATGGTATCGCGAGGTATGACGTACATGTTGTGCTGCTCAGTGACGAGCTTGATCTTGCGCTGCGATCATCACTCTTGTCAGCTTCCAGTCTCAGAATTGCGAATGGAAAGGTCCAACTGGAGGTGGTCCGAAGCTTACCTCGACGATCATGGCTTTGGCTGTGCGGTAGTAACCCTTGGCGTCCAGGTAGGTTCGGCTGCGATCGCCTGTATATATTTGCCAGAGCTTTGCGTCAGTTTCTGTTTCAAAGGAGCTTGTATATATATATACACAAGGAAAGGGCTGACTGAGATGTCTTTGAGCCAAGAAAAGGCCTGGCAAAGCGGATGTGTCTCGACCAGGAGCCTTTTATAGCGGTGGTGATGATGATGCCCCTCCCTTGCAAGATGCCACCGAGCCACGAGACTCGTGCGTAAATCTGGACCGCGGGCAGGGTGAAAGTAAAGTCAGAACTCACCAGCAAAGGTATTGTCTCCCGAAGGATTGAAACGATCCGGCTGATTAACTTGGCGCGTGGGACGAGTCCGGGCGAGGCCTACAGCTGGATATTTAACTTTTGTGAGGTCGTAGTCGTAGGCGTGGTGGTGGTGGTGGTCGGCGAGAGGCTGGTGGTTTGTCGCGAGGGAACCAGTACCGCTAATCGCGTGGGCTTCAGGTGACGAAGAGACGCTGTCGGTACCTGAAGCAAGCTCAGGCTGCTGAAGCAAGGAAGCCATGGTGATTGGATTGAGCTGGGGTGTGGTGATGGTCCGTGCAGCAACGTGTGGCGCTTTTCCTCATCGCTGAATGGTCAAAAAGTTTGGGTGTGAGAAATATTATGGCTGATGGAGGCGTGAATTTAAAGATGTGGGGTGCGTCTCAGAGATAAACAGCTAAGTGAAGGACCAATCAGAGCTATCTTTAGAGACACACCCCTCAACCCTGCACAGACTGGCCCAAGTCACCGACTTGCCCTTCACTACTCTTCACTTCCAGCATGTTCTATCCAAGCCCAAAGGATAGCAACAGTTTCCGTAGCAGACATTGATCTACCGAAGTGTTTCCGAGGGGCTGAGATTCTGTAAAAGCCAAAGTGAAGTCTGGCCTCTGCATAAGATAAATTTACTAATAGCTCCTTACTACTAGTTGAACGAATATCATCACCACCAAGGGACGAGGGAGAGAAGAATGCATGGTTTTACTCTATTGTGTAGCTACCTAGACTTGTATGTGACGATGCTCGTTTTGGTTGACCAGAGCGCCCGTGGTAGATTGTCGGGTGTGGTTTGTTTTCTACCATCCGTCCTCCCACATTTCCTTGTGAAGGGCCCACGAGTGTGGCGCCTCTGGCAAAGGAAAAGGAGACCCTATCACTTGAAGGATCTCCAAACATCTCCAAAATTTACACATGTCGTAGAACAAGTGAGTGTACGTGGGGTGTTTATGGGGACAGTGGTATATCATTCGCCGTGGTCATGGGTATGTAGGGTGTTTTAACTTGGAAGGGGGAAGTGTGGTGAAGGTGAGTGTAATCGGGGGAAGACTACACGGGGGGGATGCGCTATCGAGACAGGGCTCGGAGGCATGCAATCTAATGTTGCATCACACCGCTCAAGAGGTCTCCTCCTTCTTCTCCTCCTCAGCCTTGGTCTCCTCGGCCGCGCCCTCGGCCGCCTTGGAGAACAGAGCCTCGTTTTCCTTCTGGGCCTGGATGAAGGCGTCCTTGAAGGCATTGGCATCTACAAGATATCAGTATAAAAACACTACATCAAGAAGGGCTAGCTGTTTCGACTCACTATCGGAATTGGCAAAGCGGATGGCCAGGGTGACGGCCTCGGGCTCACCCTCGCTAACATCGGCAGCAGCGTTCCACACCCAACTGCGGTCAGAGCCAACGTTGGGGGAGAGCTTCATCTCGGGAACGACTGTGCGCATTCAGTCAGCATACACAGCTCGGTAGACATGCGAAGAGGGTCTCATAGTCGAGAAAGGGGGGAAACACTTACTGTAGTGGTTGGCGCAAACCTTGAGGGTCTTGTCTCGGCGCATGACGAGGCGGGTCTTGCCGTTCTCCTTGTGCTTCAGCAGGCGAACATCGCCAGTGCCCCGCTCCTTCCACTCGCTGGACTCCTTGACGAACTTGAAGAGCTTGGCGCGCATCTTGAAGAGCTGCTCCTCGGACTCCTCGTTGGTGACGGTGGCGACCTGCTCCGTCAGGCGGATGACGGGCTCGAAGTGGACATCCTCAGACTCGGGAGCATCCTCCTCCTGAATCTCATGTATCAGCACACAACAGTCTCCTTCACCGATGATGCGGTGCGCAGGGGCCAGGGGAGCGGCAAGAATCAGTCGCCGGCATAAGCGCTACTCACCTTCTCGTCACCCTCCTTATCGGCGGCAGCAGCGGCAGCAGCATCGCGCTGGGCCTTGGCGCTGCCAGAGTTGTCGCCACGGTCCTCGTCCTCCTTCTTCTCCTTCTTCGCGCCACCGCCGAACATGGAGAAGACCGCAGATGTGGTGACAGGCTTGTCGGCCTCGCCAGCCTGAACGCGAGTTAGTCTCAGATCCCGAGCTCGGCTAACGCAACCGCAAACCACCCAAGCCACCATCGTAGCGATGCCATCTATCCGTCAGGGGGCCACCCTGGACTGAAGGTCACCCCTGGATGGCGGGGTAGCGGGGTGGTTGCAGACAAGGAGATATGATGATGACGAACCTCCTTGGGGGTCTCCTCGGTGGCGGGCTTGACCTCCTCAACGGGCTTCTCGGTGCCTTCGGTAGTGGACATGGTTATGTTTTGCTTGGAGGGATAGCTGTAAACAAAATGGATGTGTCTGGATGAAGAGAGGTGCAAGGTTAGCATGCGCCAATGTGCTTGACCGTGACCGCCGCCCCGCCTCTGCGATCCAGGATTGCCGTGCTCCCAGTCGCTACCTCCGCAGTGGACCGTACAGAAGGCGGCCGGGCGAGGCTGGGTGGGAGGAACTCACTAATGCAAGCAGTGCGTTGTGTCTGGTTCCGACGAGGTTTCGTTTTAAAATGTGGTCGTCGAGAAACCGTGGTTCGAAAAAAAAAGTTGTTTGTATGGTAAGGTCTGGAAAGTGGAAAAGTGAAGTGGTGCCCCTCTTTGTGCTCTAATCTTATGAGTAAAAGTCAACAAATGCAGCCCAAAAAGCACGAGCCAGGGCGCCTGATTTTCAAAGCCCTGGAGGTATCTTCCTGCCTAATTTCCGCGCTCGAGGTACCAAAACCGCTGCCCAAGGTACCTGCAAGCCTGTAATTTGCCTCGCCCACCCCCCATTCAAGCCATTGCGTGGGGTACCTGATTAAGCGATGACAGGGGTGTTTCAGTCCGTACAGATATCCAAGTCACATAAGAGTCTCACATCAACCATGTCTACTCGCATACATCTACACTTGTATTGGGAAGTTCAGAAAAGTTTGAGACCATAATGTATAGTAACCGAGCAGAGATGTTCGTGTGACGTGCTTATGGCACTCTTGGGGGATATCAGCGAGATAACAAAACCAACCCTTCATGTCCGTCCTAACACAGCAAAGCAGAGCAGAGCAATAGAAAGAAGAGATACCAACAGCCTAACTCCAGATGAGGAATCCCGTTCCTTCCGTTTCCTCGCCATCGACCGAGCAAATGGTCTCCAGCTTCGTGATGGTGTCGTGTACCCTGCATGCATCGAATCATAAAAAGCCATAGGGCCCTTGAAAAGAAAAGAGACAATAACCCACGCCGTTGAAAAATGCATCTCAACCATCCTCCCTCCTCGCTCAAAGACATCTTAGCCAGCCATCTTCCACTTGCCCTTCGTGCCCCGCTTACCCGAGCAGGCACACCTACCCCATGAGAAACTGCCGGGCTTGCAAGGTGTCTTGTGCTTGGACGCACCCCTTGCGGACGCCCACTTTCGCTGACTCTCGGCCGTCTTTTGCAGGATGAAAGACTCTGCCTTGGCTGCGTACTCGTCGTGTTCGGCTTCTTTGCCCTGGACCTTGAGCCACCAGAGCTTGGAAGCTATCTGGGCTTTTAGCAGGCGTAGCTGCGCTGCATCGACCATGGCCTCAGCCGTGGGCGCAGCCTTGGTAGCGATTTGCTTCTTCGTGTTCGCCATGGCCGTGTACAGGTTCACGGCAGAGACAGAATCGCGGATACGGGTGAACGCCAAATCCCCAGCGTGGTCCAAGTATTGGTTGAACGACTTTCGTGACTCCTCGACGGAGCGAGACAACTCAGCCGCGTCCTCCCGGCACAAGTTCAAGATTGCCGCAGCATTGTTATAAGCGGCCTTACCAGCTTCGGCCGCATCTTCAGTGGCGCCTGTGACCGTGTCCTTCAAGCTGTTGAAGAAGTCTGCACCAGCATCGATCATGCCAGCGATCAAGGGCTTACCAAAGTCAATGGCAAAAGTCTCATTGATCTTTGGCTTGCGAGTCGTGACGACAGAGACGTTCATAACGCCGTAGGCATCCTTCTTATTGATCTCAATGAGGATACCTTCATCCGTCGTGGACAACTTGGATTTGAGGAGCTCTTTGCCACGCCAGACGTCGATATCGATGGCTCCTCTTGCAAGCCAGGAAGTCTTGGTACCCGAGGGTACCTTGACGAGGATCTCGTTGCTTCCGTGGACCTCGATTTCGCAGGCCGCCCGGGGCTCTTGCTCTGGCGTCAGGCTCTGAGCTTTGTCGGACAGAAATCCACCAAAAGGCAGGTGGGCAGCAATGTTGGCAGTCGAGGGCTCCTGGACTCGCGGTGTGATCGTGTTGGTGGACGATACATGGATAGTAACGGTCGGAATCTTTGTAGGCACCGAGCAGGTGGCGGACAGAGGCTGGGCCACCGAGGATGGACCTGCAAATTTCGTGGACACAGAACCGTCCTGAGCGGGAAGAAGGATCTTCGGCAGGAATATTCCCAAGTAGATCGACGACAAGGTCAATAGGGCAGCAATAACCATGAGCGGCAGCTCCGTCCTCGACGCGAACCACGAATGCGGAGACATACGTGCTTTTGGGAGCTTGCTTAGCTCGACCTCCTCGGTCTCACTGGAAACATCTTCGCGGAGCCCCGTCAGATAAGCCAGGTTCCTGTTCATCTGCCGGGCATCGATGTTGAGGAAAGACCTCAAGTCAATTGGCAGAGCAACTTCGACCTGCCGGTTGGGATCTCGTGCTTCAATGCTTAGATAGGCAGCGCCCTCGCCGATACAGTGGGCCCATTGCCTGGGCAAGCAGTTAGTAGAACAGTATTGCTCGTTCGAGATGAAGATCGAAGGACGGCCGTGGCGCGTCATGAATTCCCAGGCCGCATTCCTCGTCGCCATTGCCTCCTGGTTGTCGTTGCCTGAGACAAAGAAGATGGCGACATGGGGAAGGTGCCACGAGGGCTCGATTATCCGACCCTCGTCAAGGTCCAGAGATGTATAAGTCTTCTCGTTGTCGATGGTGACAAAGAACGAGGCTGCGTCGAGAGCATCGGGATCGTCGGTGGGCACTTGCCCAGCAGAGCTGCAACACTCCACCATGATTTGATAGTCCGAACTCTCGGTGAGCTGGACATCAGGGATTTTCGTTGAGCCGAATCCGGAAATGGGCAGGATGTTGAAGAGACCGTTCACGCTCCTCCCAAAGACGTTTCCGCCTCGGTATGCTTTGGAGGACGCCAAGACAGCTGAAGAAATCTTCAAGATGATATCATGTTTGCCAGCATCGCTGCCAACAAACAGGAGCCTCAGGGGCTCCCGGGTCGAGAGGCACTGGTTAGACATCATCTGGCGGACGGCGATAACCATTCGCTCGGGGACCTTGAGGCCAAGAGACTCGCTAATGGTAGCGGTCTCTCCCTGGTCCGGCTCGTGGATCGTGTGGCTAACCGAAATCTTGGCCGAGTCAAGAGAATCCAGAGGTTCGGTGAACTCGATTGACTGGCGAAGTGACGATATGGATGGTTCAATATAGTCGACCTCGTCGAGAACAGCGGGAGGTGGTGGGGTCGCACGCAGTGAGTGGGTAGAAGGATGCTCCAGCACCTCTTCGGCATAGCGAATAGAGTCTGATCTGGACTGTCGTTCATTTTCATCTTCGTCCGAGCCGCCGCGCTCTTCCTGATGGGTCTCATTGCCGTTCAGGCTCCGTACCTCGTCTGTGGGAGGGTATATATCGAGCGAGTCGGTGATAGACTCCGTGTAGCGGCCATCTTGACTCTCACCGTCGGTGCTGATAAGCTCGAAGGTGGAATCGGTCAGGTTGGTGTCGTCAGAGTGAAGTGAGGGCAGCATGATGGCTGGAGCTCTGGAAGCTACCCAGTTGGCCAGGATCTGGCTGCCTTGAGGTCGAGGAAACCGCAGTGATTGTACAGAGGAGTCAACGGATGGCTCCGCGGGAGCGCACTCTTGCTGATATGTATCTTTGACGGTTGTCCGCACTGGGTGGTGTCGATGTTGCAGGGATGAATGGGGATCTTCCATCACGGGGAGATATGTCAGCTTTAAGGTTTCCTAAGCATTCAAGGCCCTTGCGAGCCGCGAGTGATGACTGGGAAATCTCGAGTGAATCTGATTTTTGGAAAGAGAGGAGGGGTTGCAAGGCAAGGTAGGCAGGCAGGCAGGCAGGCAGAGCAAGTCGATGCAAGGCAGGGCCTGGTGTCAGTGAGGGGCACCCACCGAGTGCGCAGGTAAAGCGAGAAGGTTTATGACGGAAAGAAGAGCAAAGCACGCAAAAAGGACGACGAGAGGAATAAATAGCATTACCTTGGTTTATTCGACCTGCTATTTGACTTTGTTATCGGACCAGACAACAGAACATGTACGCTTTGCGCTTCCCGTCCGGGGCGAACCAAGGTGCTGTGCTGCCTAGTCAAGTGAACCGAGCACCGAAGTCGCCTCCTTTGCCAGGGTGCCGGAGGGTGGGGAAACGACAGAGCTGCTCATTCACGCCTGCGCGCGCACGTGAGCTTCCGATGGCCTGAGCCTAGTAACGGCCGTCTTGTCGTGCAAGGAAAGTCCAAACAGGACCAGTGGTGAATTTACCGGGTTTATTCCTGGCAAGGCGATGGTGGTGGAGGAGGAGGGATGAAGTCGTGAAGTTGTCAGTGAGATAAGCTGGAGGGTGGTGGGTGGGGTTCCGGGCACAAGCTATTGGTGTCGATGATCACAGGGGGGACAGTGGCATTAGAGCCTTGAGAAGAATCGGACTCATGTCATCCAGGGCGCAAATGGGAGGAAACGATGTACAGATTACGTGAAACCGGCTCGGACTTGGCTACCTACAGCAGAGAGGAAGGAGGGGTGGTCGGCATGTGCAATAAAGCTGGAGGGTTAGGTAAGAAAGCTACATTACATTAGCACATGAACTTCGTTGCACCAAAGCAGGGCAGATTTGGGTGCCCTTGCATCCAACTTGCACGCAGCGAACGCCACCCTTCTCTCCGGAAGGAGAGTCACTTAACTGCAAGTCGCTTCCCGGCCGGCCATACCGGATACCTTCTCAGGCCATCAGAACATTGAAGGGCAGATGGTGTAGATGAGGGGTCTATCTGTTCATGTCTTATCAGCACGTCAGACATTCCACGCCCGTGGGCTGATAGCGCCTGTACAGTGGGGTACCTCCCAACGTAGTGGGCTCCACAGCGGGATGGGAGGCACTTTAGCACCTTTTCTTGGGTCGGATTTGGGCACGCGGACACCTTGATAGCAGCCCCCATAGTCCCATAGTGGGGGGTTTTCCGCGCGTGGAGCGCGGTGCTTGCAACTCCATACCTAACTAATAGGCCAGACAACATTCCTCAAACGGTGCCCAATCTCTCCTTGCTACCGGAGGGGAAAAGACCTTTTGCTAGTTCTCCTTCAACAACCTATCTTGGGCCTCATCATCATAGCTAGACCGGAGCCCGCCACGTCTGAAGCAATGTGGGGGATGCAGATGCATGTGCAAGGGTCCTGCAGCTCTGCTGAAACCACGCATACGTAGCTAGCCACATGGGGACGGATTTGTGCAAATGTAACCGAGAGAGCTCAGAGGATCGGTCGGGGTCTTACGCAGCCTGTATTGTATTCTAGTCCATTATACTCATATGCCCTTTTCCACTGCATCGTCCTCTCATACAGGTCAGTCCGAATAACATAGGAAACAACAACGTTTCCACTCCAAAGCGCACTCTTGTGGTATCTCCAAAGTAAGCGAAATCGAGTAGCTCGCCCCCCTCGAGCGCGATATCCAATGTGATCAGTCCAAAACGCCGTCAAAACAGAGTGGAGGCGGAGGCAGTAAGCGTTCCAGCCAGAGATTCAGTAACGCCGCAATATGTCGAACGCGCGAGCCAGGTATCCATGCGACAGACAGACTTGATTTATGTCTTGCTGGTCTTGTATGTTGGTGCAAAAGACTCGAAGGACAATGCTGTATCTAAACAATGTTGTGCTTGTGAAACAGCTTGAGTAATGAGTTGCTGTCAAAGTCTTCATCTTCGGGAATCAGCTCGATGATGCCCGTTAGGTTCGCAATCAGATCGCCCTGGTTGCGGTAGGCAAGGATGGCCGGTACGGCGGCGTTGTCGAACTCGATATCCTCGTAGTGCACCTTTACAAAATGTATGATGGGGTATGTGCCCACAAGAGGGTTGAGAGCAGCCTCGATCGCTGCTGAAACAGGACACTATTTGCGATGGCATCAGCGAGTCGAGCACTATTGGTGGTGGCTGAAGAAGACATACCTCGTGGTCGTAGACCAGAACGACGACGACAGTATCGCGGCCGACCTTCTCAATGGCATCCAGGTACCCCATGGCATCTACCTCATCGAGGCGGCCGAACATCCTCATGCTTGGCGACGTCCGCCGGTTCCGCACAACTGGTGCCCGCACCTCGTTCTCCAGCTCACGCCGTCTGGACTCTCGCCATTGTTGTAGGAATGACTCTTCATCGTCGTCGCCGGTGCTGTGCTCCGAGTCGCTCTTGCTGTGGCTGTGGCTGTGGCCGTTGGTGATGGTGTTGGTGGTTTCGAAGCCAAAGACACTCCTCCTCGCTTGCCTCACGCGGTTCATCCACGTAGACTTCCTCGCCTGCTCATAGCTCCGGGCGTCGGCGATCACCCCCTTGACACCGGTGGCACGGCCCGAGTCAAAGGATGCGGGCGGCAGCTTGATGTCGGCACCGACGGTGCCGGACTGTCCAAAGGCAGGCATACGCATGGCGGCGTCTATCTGGGCGGCTCTGTGGCGGTCTTCCTCGGTCTGGTCTTCTGATCGTAGCTTGGCCTCGAGAGACTCTTCAGCACGGTCTTCGGGGTGGATTCGGTCACTTGGGTCGGATGCGTTCTTGGAGAGCAAGTCTTGGAACTCCTCCTGGGCGGCAGTAGTAGACATGGTGGAGAGAGGGAGAAAGTGTGACCCGCGAGGTCGATGCGGGGACAGGGCTTTATGTAGGTCAAAGGGACTCGACGGCCAGACTGGGTACGGGACTGCCTGATAGGGTGCTTTGGGTGCGGTGTGGAATGTGCATACAATAAGCGGCGGCGGCGGCTATGTCGTAGGTACGTAGAAAGTGAGCAGGTCGAGGACTGAATTGGGCAGCTCTCGGCAGATGCAAGACCACGAGGTGGCAGCACCCTGGCAGGTGGGTAAGGTAGTGACGGGAACGCCGGGCTGGCGGATTGGACGAGTGGCCTACTGACACGAGAGATAGACGAGTTAGCCCAGCTCGCCGGGGTGCCCAGGTGGTCACGAACAAGGAAGAACACCACGAGGAACCGAAGCGGCATCGGAAACCCCTGGCCATGCGTCAGGGTGTTTCAGGGCCGGGATAGAACGTACCTTTGCAGGTGGGGGTGGGAAGATTTGGCCAGGCAGTGGCTAGAGGAAGGTGTATTATGCAACGATAATAGGCAAAGATGTCGCAGCGAAAGGGATTCGGGCCCTACATATGGGAGTGGCAAGGGGACTGTGCGCTTGGCTTTGCTGTGATCCGAGAGCGGGAGCAGGAGCAGGAGCAGGAGCAGGAGCAGGAATTCGGCTGAGCAGAGGGCGGCTCGACAGTCTAACGAGAAATGCGCAGTTCTCACAGCTACTACGCGACTAGGCCATATGGTAGGACGGCAGCACGGAGTGTGTGATGCGTACCCAATGTGTCGAGGTGGGATGGGATGGGATGGAATGGAGGTGTGTGCGAATGGAGCAGCAGAGTCGAGGACGGATACAAACCGTTCGGGATCCAGGAGAAAAAGTTAAGACAAGGACCCGCCCCTGGCCGCCCCGTCGCGTGGTGGACCAGGATCCCAAGCCGTCATGCGCGTTAGGCTAAGCCGCAGCAGGGGTTCGCTGGGTTTGCATTTGGACCGGCACACTCGTTTCTGTTTTGATCTGCCGCCTCCTGAAGCCAACCACCCTTTTCAGCATGTACCTTCTGCGTCTGCATGTACGATGGATGGAGAGATGTGGAAAGGCTACATTTTCCATAGGATTGGTGGCAATGAGCGCGAGTTTGAGAGGCCCTTGGGGTCGGGGGCCAGTAGAGACGTGATTGGGAACCAAATGACCTCCTCGACGTGTCAGACGCTTGAGGGGGGACGACTGGAAGAAAACGGGGCTGCTTAGAACAAAAAGACTCGAGGCCGATTACAAAGGACAGACCTTCTCGGAGAATTCCCAGGGGTGAAGAAGAACAGACTGAATTGCCGGGCTTCCAGAAGGCGAGATGGAAGGCCAAGAATGTTACCAAGCATGTCCACACCGCCGTAATCAGCTACGGAGTATGTCTCCCTCTTCTGTATCGTACATCGTGGCATCTGGGAAATTGGTCGAGACATGGGCCGCCAATGCGTTTCGGGGGTGCCCGTCTTTGTCCACGAGTTCATGCATGAAACGCATGGTGGAGAGTTGATCTCCCAGCCCATGTCTTCCTGTCCACGCCATGGGTTGTCCCAGCCTGGGCCTCGATAATCCACGATGAGCCAACTACATTATGCATCCGTCGGCGTTGGTGATTCATTTCAATCTCCTTTTCCTCCCTTGCTTCGAGATAGTAACGCATCATGATTGCCTTCCCAGTACCTAGGTATCCTTACCCACCGTACTTGCCTACCTGCGAAGTAGAATTTTATGAACCTCACCGACATCCTGACTGCATCACATACTAGAAGAAGCGGTGTCTTTTCAATTCAGAACGCTCCTGTCCGCCATGCCGATCTTGGCGCCCTTGTTAGGTTGACAGCATCATGACCCCAACACAGTGGGTTTTTACATCTTGAGTAAGTGTATGTAACCGATACCTTGGGGATATGCGAGTATCTGAAAGCGGGATCTCGTAGTGCTTGGTCAACTCAGCGAGGCAGTCGATTCTCCAGCTGTTTCTAGAACATTTTGCCGCCCCAATGTCGGCCCCATGTACGGAGTACTCGTGTATACCCGAGGTAGGTAGCATCACTGACAAGAGACGGTCTTCCTTTTTGCTTCTGGTAGCTCCACCGAAGCTCCCACCATCGTGGTCCTGGGTCGACAGCCACAAGCCGGTTCATGCCATATTATGCCATACCGAGGAACAAGGCTGGGTTTTCGATTCCCCCTGTCACGTAACCATTCTCCCCCGAGTAAGCCACGACCTGATTGCGCAAAGGGGAAGCCCCCTCGACAGGGGAGAATCCCATCAGCCTCTTGTCATGCCTTGTACAGTCGTGTTCTTGAATGCTACAGTGCAAGGTGTGGAAGCCAGGCGGTGAAATGAGGGTATTCCCTCAGTACGACGTTATGTCGTATCAGCCCCTTCCTCTGACAGATCCCAAAAGTTCAATACCCACAGTCGCCGATCGCATCTGCAAGTCGAGGCCGATTACCTACTCCGTATGGGAATCGAGCACTCGAGGCATCTGCGCACGCATTCCCATGCCCAATACAAGTACAGACGTTGGCCGGATAACGCCGGTGACGCATTTCGCGTTGACGAGAATAACTCTTCCCCCCTGCCCGGGCTAGGCCACAAATGTTTCACTCCTTGTTTCACCTTACCCGTCGGCGCCGTCGTTTAAGTTAGGTGTGGGGGACGCCCACCTGGCCTGATTCCAACGTTCTCCCCGGAAACATCTACCCTGATGCATGACTTCATTTTCATTCCGATGGAACAGCGTTTCTTCGATTCATCTCAAGTATGATGTAAATGCGTCTGCATATCCTTCGCTCCTTGGCAAGACTCACTTCCCACCTGGGCATGGTGTGCATGCCTTGAACCCAGAGCAATGATTGGGAGCTCCCCCGGCTGTTGAAACAACATGTTTGAGCCGTTGTGCCTCGCAGAAGCCATGATCGACCATGTCTGAAATCACAGTGTCTGGTAGAGCACCAGAGCAACGCTGTTGATCACAAGAGCCGAATATTGCGCCTGGTGGGCCATACCGGTCACAAGAAAGCACGCATCCATGAGACGCTCGATGCTATCATCTTCCAGGAGGACACCAGTGGCCGAGATACCGATACGCTTCAGGGCCGCCACCCAGATTGTTCACACTGGAGCCGGTACAGCGCCCTATGAGTGCATCGGTCCAAGCCATGGAACGCGATTTCAGCTCGCGCAACTTGCTTGCCTTGTATGACAAATCTGGTTCTGATCCACGTACCGTAGAGTAGCCAAGTCGTCCAGGCGTGAACCTGGCCCGACGGGACACACCGATCTACCATTATTGGATTGAAGAACTCATTTGGCCCTGGCTTGAATGTAGAGAGAGAGATGAACGCAGAAGCTTCTTTGAGGAAGACAAGTTCACTTATTTCTGATGACAGTCCCCCCAGGAGGCCTGACTTTCCTGGGCACCCATGACTGATGATGATGACAGCGCTACTAACATGGGCAGTTTTCACAGTATGTGGCTGTTTGTCCATACAGCAGCTTTGAGAAGAGTGTTTTGGCGAGTATGTAACGTACCGTGTTCTTCATTCGACTCGAGACCTTCCAATACTGGCTTGACTCTTGTCCTGAAGGACTATGTCGACGGCTTAAAGAACAACCCGTCGCCAATATCCAAAATGCCTTGACAGAGCCAGGCTCTGGAAGTTATGTCCGAGGGGCGAGACGGGTTTTCATCAACCAACCTTAGGACATTTAACCATGGTCATGGCAGTGTATAGCCAGGCTGGCCGTGAACCAGACGAGCCTCGTCGTTAGCACAAGTTGAGGCCAGATCACACCCAGGCATCGTAGTCACGAGCATCGCAACGACCATGAACAAGAGAGCATTCAGATTAGATTATCGTACAGAGTTACTAGTGGTTTGCGGACAATAACAAGTCATTTACCCCCACCCTCTCATGACCTTTCGTCCTACCTCTCACCTCCTCGCCATCATGATAGATACATTGCTATTCAACCCCCAAGGCTACTACACACTGGGTGGGTAGCCGGCGAGAGCTCGAAATGCCAATGCGACGCCAAGGAAAGTCTGAAAAGAGGACTGGGTTGTTCAACTGTCCAAGATCGAGGTGAGACCATCCCGACCAGGAAATTCAAATGACCTGTCCCGCACAAGGAGCCGTAGTTTTGTTTCAAGTGGCAATAAGCATCCCACAACACAGCAGCCTCGCCACCACAACATCTGATGCTCCCTTCGCTGCATACCCCTCGCCCCCCAGAGGTACGCCTCAAGCAAAGGAAACCACCCCCAAAAATTGCTCCCAAGGCCTTGAGCTATCAAAGAAACGGGAATCATTCCAGATATCCCACCCACCACCACCGCAGGCTAACTTAGACTAAAACAGGGGAAAACAACTCTTTTGCGAACGGAATAAAGGGAAGAAAAGCATATCGGTATATGGAGGTATTGTTCCGGTGAGGCGGTCTTCCTTGGAAAATCCTTGGAAGATTGTGATAAAAGAGCTCGTCCCAGGGGCTGATGCCCGCTTCAAAGGGGGGACACGGAAGTAAGGGTATAGCCGGCCGTCGATCACTGGTCGAACAGGAGTGTGAAATGTAGCAAATTCCAGCCTCTCGTGCCCTGGGCCATGGACAAGATAGAGACGGACGGAAGGATATCGTAAATTTTTGAAAAAAAAGGGAAACAAAAGGATTGGCGCTCGATAACCTATCCCGCGGGATAAAAATCTTGAGAGAAAGCAAGCCGGCAGACGAAAGTCGGTGGTCTTCATCGTGTGCCGGCTGCCCCTTTATCCTGTAGGACTGAAGGTGAAGATGGAAGGTTCGCAATTCGCCAAGGAGAGTGAGTATGTTCGGGTTGTATTTCGTTACTTCGTCCTGTACGCCTGGCCGTCGAGGAATTAAGGCGTAGTCAGGTTGATTTGTGGCGAAGATAGTTACTCGAGAAATCAAAGCAGGCGGATCGAGACCATCACAACCTGCCGGTGAGTATGATTGTCAAGATAAGTTGTTTAGTACGCCCAGATTTTCAGCTACCAGTCGTGTTAGTGTCATGTTCCCAAAGCGCAAACCACGGCGTCGTGTTTCTTCTTACCAGAGAATCCCAAGAGCCAGTACACAGACTGATGCCGTCATTGCTCACGCCGAGGCAGCTAACACGGTTCTCATGGCCAACCAGAGATCCGACCTTCTCGCCACGGGTAACATCCCAGACCTTGCATTCGAAGTCGTCGTAACCGGCAAACAGCAGTCTGCCAGACACCGAGGTGGCAACAGAGGTGATGCCGCACAGGATCGACTCGGACTGAGAATGAAGTAAGCAAGTGTGTCACCAAGACTGCACGTCATGAAGAGAGCAAAACTTACGCCATAGACGTTCAATTCACGGTCGGCGCGGATATCGAACAGCCGGCACGTAGCGTCATCGGAGCCGGTGACGAAAGAGTGCCCGTCAGGGAAAAACTGAATCGCATTGATATCAGACTCGTGTCCAGCAAAGGTCTGGACGGCCTTGCCAGCACGGATATCCCACAGCTTGGCAAAGGCATCGCAGGCACCAGAGATGAAGGTGTTCTGGTTGGTCGGGTTGAGGCTGATGCTCATGACATCTCCGAGGTGATCGGCGAACTCGATAACCTTGCTGCCAGTCTCAATGTCCCACTTCATGCAGGTCATGTCACCAGAAGAGGTGAGAATACTCCTGTCGTTGATGAAGCGGCAGCACGACAGGTAGCCTGCGTGGCCGGAGAGCTCGCGGGCAACCCGGGTGGGGCCGTCCCGGTTCTGGTTGAGGTTGTAGATGGAGCAGATGTTATCGAGACCACCGCAGGCAACGTAGTTGCCGCTGGGCGCATAGGCGCACGTCATGACCCAGGACGAGCGCAGGGGGATGGCGTGGACCTTGTTGGTGGTGTATGCGTCCCAGATGATGAGCTTGCCATCCTGCGAAGCGGAAACCAGATGCCTTCTGTCGGTCGACCAGTGCATAGCATAAATCTTGGCGAGATGGCCCTTGAGCGTCCGCTTGGCCTTCATCAACTGGTTCTTGGGGATCGGCTCGTGTGCTTGCTGGGCGACGGCTCGGACTGTGGAAGCTGTTAGCATGGGCGGCGGCGAACAATCGCTGCGCTGCTGTATCCATCGCGGGCAGCGATCGGAAAGGGGGTTCGAAGAGACCGGGTGGACTGACGTGTGGTATCGGCGAGCTCATCCTTCTTCCTCTTGATCCTGTCCTTGAGCGTCTCGGCCTCACGACGCGCCTGTTGAATGCGGGCCTGCATCGCCTCGGGCGACACCTCGGATGTCCTTTGCGAATCCATCGTAAGGGGGGGCGGGCTTTCTGGAAACCAAGAACCAGCCACTCAATGAATCGGCGAATCAATCGAGTGAAGAATAAGGCAAGAAAAAAACCCAAAGGCGGCCCGACGAATTGAACGATTGATGAGAAAAGAGCGATGGATCGTTCCGTCGTGGGAGAGGGTTTTCGGGGCGGCAGGAACAGAGGGAGAGAGCTGAAACTGCGAGATTGACGGACGGATCAATCAGGGACGGGAGAGGTCGAACCTGTCTAGGTAAGGTGGTGAGGGCTGGTGGTGGGTGCGGGTGAGGATTGGATGTTGTGGTGGTGGAAAAGAAAATGCAAGCTCCAGGGGGGGGGTTGCGAGGGCCGTGGCCGTTTCTGCTGCCCCAGTGCCCGAACCAGCAATGAAGCTAGGACCTCCAGGGCTAGGTGGTAGTGGCAGATTGGACTAGGCAGACCCCGTAAGACCTGGGTCGAAGAGAAATGACTGTTCCTGGACAAGGGTCGGGGGGTGGAGAGGACAAGGAGATGGAGCCAAGGATGGGCTGGTGGCTCAATCGATTATTAGCAGAGCCGTCGGCAGAAGAAGTACCTCTCTCTGTCTCTCTCACTTTTTGTTTTTAGGGGGAAGAGGACCGGGATGGGAGGTCGTGAGTAGGGGAGGGGGAGATTTGGGGCTGGGCAGAGGCAGAAAAGAAAGGTGAGGGGAGAGGTGTGTTTATTATTAATGACCTGCCAGACCTTCCATGTCTCTACCAGTCTGCACAGTCGCCCTTATGATGTCCGTCCGCAACGCCCAATTGAGGCATCCCAAGGCTCTCTACTTCACTTGAGCATATACATTGACAATTCAGCGCATTGTTCTGGACAGGAGGGGGAAGAGAGCGTGCGGTGAAAGAGCAGAGGGTCACTAGACCATCATACTAACTGCCTAGCTACGTGCTTCTTTTGTGAGAAGAATAACTACCTTAACCGTGTCCCCCTCCTCAACTCTTGTCTCCAATGAGTAGCTTGCCTTGCGAAAGTTCGATGGGATCTACGCTCAACCCAATGCTCCGGGACTGCCGCGCTCCACGAGATTGATCCGCCTCAGAAACGGAGGGCGGCAAGATGGATGGTTGAAGCTACTCCGGAAGTACCTACCTAGGTATTTTAGGGGGTGAATAGACTACAATGAGCAACCTCGAGGGCACGTATCCATCCATACGTTCCCAACAAGAGTATGTACGCAACAGCCAAACCAGCAAAGCCAAGGCAGGCCAGGCAGATGGAGTGTCTGGTGCACACGAAGCCGAGCTTGGACTTGGGAATATTCCAGTTTCCTAACTATCTGAGGCGGTCTTGGTCGAGGTGGATGAAGGCATCTGCCTCGAGAGAGGGGCGACCGGGAGGCACAATGCAGTTCTGGAGCTCCAGGAGCACTGTAGCGTAGCAGTGCAGCACCCACCCACCACTGATTCAAGCATGGGCCATTTGGGGAAATAGTGCCAGTCTCGCACTACTCGCAGCGGGTCTCTAGTGCAAATCTCCCGCCAGCTTCGCTCCTGCAAGGCGACCAATTTCAACCTGGAACCTCCACTTGGACGCCTTCAGCGCCGGAGGCTGGTCTGTTCTGGGGCCTTGGTGCAGTAGGTCAGTGACTGGAGGCGGGTGCACGGGCGGTAGCGAGGTACTTTGGTCTCAACGCAAGGCTGCGGGTCTACAGCATGTACACCTCTAATCCACAATTAAGGTGAGACTTAGTCCTCACCTTATTCCAGTACCTTTGAGGCGAGGGAAAGCAGCGGACACACCAAAAACAATCATTGATCGATCCTCTCCAGTCTCTCCGTGAGTGGGCGAGCGGCACGCGCAGGGACCATTCCGAGTCGCAACCGCGTCATTTACCCCATTTGTCACTTGGGAAGCTCGAGAGGTGGAGTGTACTTGTAGGTAATTGTGCCCGCGCGCGCGTGTATGCTGCTTGTTGAGGAGGGGGGTTTCCATCCGTCTCGTCTTCTCTGAAGCCATCGGCTTTCGTCCCGCATCCCATGCCGACTGGGGGGCATCCCGTTGGGTAACCCCCTTTCCCGAAGTGTCTGCTCTACCGATCCGTTCAATTAGTTCTGGCAAGCACACAGGCGAGAATACCGTGGTGCATCCGCGTGTGGACAGTGAGGCACAAACATGCCTCCAGGGTCAGTCACGCCCACCTTTCGACGACCATGGATATCCGTACTCCGTCCTCCGTACAAGTACACAGACGAAGAGGGCCAAAACGGAACATCTTAGCCTGGAATGGGGATGCTCGGGTGGGCAACATTGAAGCCAACGGTCCATGTTACCTGCTCGGTGGCACCCATCTCCACCTTGCGCCGTTCTCTCTCCACCGACTACAACTCCATTCCTTGTCCCCCGAAATTCGATTGACAGGGTTGGCCAAAAAGCTTCGCTTAATGAAAGGACGGGACTCCCGGCAAAGTGCCTCAGTGCGTGCTTGACGAGAGAGGAAACGAAAAGACTTTTGCAGCACACACACACACATGCGTTGAGACCTAGTGAGCACACACCATCAAATGAGGATGTGATGGCCACCCAGCAGTGTACGAAGTACATACGGCGTGTGTGTACCAACTTGCATACCCGGGGAGCGAAACCATGCATGGATTGGACAGATCGCGGAGGAGGGTGTGCACACAAACCCCCCCCTCCCCCCCCCCCCAAAGTTCAGAGCCTTGGCGGGAATCTTCAACGTCGGCATCATCATGGGGTCAAGAAGGGCCACGAAGCCCAATGCGACAGTCCCGGAATACGGTTCTCAGGAAACCTTAACACGGAAGTAAGAAACAAGGAAAAAAAGACGGCTTTCCGTTCTGCCGCGTCCAGCCACAATGCTTGCTTTTTCGTGATTTAGGGTTTCGATTGATCATCCGCCGCCGAGCGTCGCCATCCAGTCAACACTCTATTGTTCCCTCTTTGCCATCGTCACGGCTTCACCTCCAGGCGGCACAGAGTTTGGAGGAGACGCCTGCTTGATGTCACATTCCAAATCATAGACGAGACTTTGTTCGCGCTTGCCAGAATGTGAAGTGCTGAAAGGCCGTGTTCTCATCATGGATTTGTCGATCTGCTAGCTGCTCCTCCTCCCTCGAGCTCGGTCCGTTTACTCCTAACTTTGCTTTTTGTTCTCTGCAGTCTCCTGCTTTCTCGCCTCGCTATCTTGCGTTCCCTTGCCTCGTTCCTTGCCGCTGTCAGGCCATATCCGAGACAACCCGCAATCGTATGAGCCGACTCTTGTAACTGTTTCCGATTCGGAGAGTCTCGACGATGTGCGAGAGCCTTTCCATCTTATCTTCTGGGCCTATGAATACGACGGTGCTGTCAAGATACGTACCCGCCCCGCGCTTCATGTCGACAGTGGCGTCTAATGTACCTAGGTAGGTAGGTACCTGCGTACGCTGTCTTTCCTTGTCCTGCGGCCGACTGCAGGTATGCGCAGCTCTAATAATAAAGCTGACGTACCGAACGTGGATCCCGACTCACCCCAGACGGCGGACGGGCCGCCATTTATACGTTTTCGTAGCCCAAGAAAGATTGGATCCTGTCGTGGTTCTGCCCATCGTCTTCGTCAAACTTTTGGACAAGGAGCATCTACTACACACAACGGCTGGTATGGGTTAAGGGCGCTCATAGTCTCCATACATGACTATTCCCCGTCATCGTCCCATTCCAAGCTGTGGCTAGCAAGGTAGTACTAGTAGAACCAAGCGTAGAGATGCCCCGAGGTTGTCGAGCCCCGGCTCCTTAGACCGACTCTAGTCGACGACGGCGCCAACTCGCCGCCCACATCGCAAGCTTCCCGCAGCCCGTGCCCTTCGCTTGCCTTGCTGCAATGAGAAGTTGTCCGCCGTGGGGCGTTCGGGCGTCGGGCGTTTTTACAGCTCCATGCACCATACCATGCAGTTGTGTGGCGGCTCGCCTCTCAGGGGTGCTAGGTAGTTGCTGTAACGGCCAACCTCAAGTGAACTGCTGCGAGTCACTGCTCAAGACCACAGCTGATGTAACTACACGCTTCTCAGAGGTCCAGTTCTTAGTTAAGATGGAATCAAGGGCCAAGCTTCATGTTGGTAGTTAGTGATCTCCTGGAATGAGGCTACCTGTGGAGGAGCGCTGCTCGACATCATTGGGCATTTTACCCTTTCACCACCACCATAGCTCCCCATACGTCTCGGTCCTAGTGCATTCAGTGAATGTTAGGCCCAGGGAATGGTTCTCGCATATGCCTTGTGGCTACATTACCTAGTTAGAGATGATAACCAACCAAGTGCGGGAGGATGACAGACGATATCTCATGGCATTGGGACTGGAGGCAGTGGATCTTTGAGGCCTCGAGTGAAGAAGCTCTTATCACTGAAGTGTACAACACCAAAACCCAACCCCACATCGGGTCGGATCCGAGGCCGACGACACCAAATCTCTACGTGCTCACGCGTTCAGAATGGAATAAAAAAATGTGTGAGACATGGTCACTGAAACGGTCGAGGTCAAGTTACCCTTAAACAAGTCAACCGCGCGGACATGGCCAGCCCCGAGGAAGCACTGGATGTAAAAGCCCTCCCTAAGATTGAGGTAACTCTTCTGAACTCCGAGGTCGGAGGCCTTTACTTTGTGGTGCACTTACACTGACGCTGAATCACCTCGACTCAAAAGCTCCATGCTCATCTCAGCGGCAGCATCAGCCGGCAATGCCTGCACGAGGTCTGGCTCCGGAAGAAGGCCGCCGGCGAGACGGACCTCGAGGACCCGCTCGTCGTGATGCCCCCGGGCAAGCATGACTATGACCTCAAGACGTAAGGCCGGCCGCCCGACGTTCCTTGTGTCTTCTCTGCCCTGCTGGAGGATGTATATGTGTCTCGTTGCGCTGCTGACACTTTGCATGCGCGAACCCAGCTTCTTCCCGCTCTTCTCGTCCTACATCTACAACCTCGTCAACGACGAGTGGGCGCTGACCTACACCACCACGCGCGTCCTGCAGGACTTTGCCGACGACGGCGTCGTCTACCTGGAGCTGCGCACGACGCCGCGCGCCCTGGGCCCGCTGTCCAAGGCCGACTACGTGCGCCGCATCCTCGACGCCATCGCCGCCTTCGAGTCGTCGTCGGGCGCGCGCCTGCGCACGCGCCTCATCCTCTCCGTCGACCGGCGCAACACGCCCGCCCAGGCCCTCGAGGTCGTCGACCTGTGCCGCGCCTTCCCGCGCGCCCAGGTCGTCGGGATCGACCTCTGCGGCGACCCGGCGAGGGGCGGCATCGAGGCCCTGTCGCCGGCGTTCGAGGCCGCGCGGGCCGTCGACGGGCTCGGCATGACGCTGCACTTTGCCGAGGCCGAGTGCAGCGGCTCCGAGGCCGAGCTGGACCTGCTGCTGGGCTGGCGGCCCGACCGCATCGGGCACGTCATCCACGTCGGCGAGCGGGCGAGGCGCGCCATCGTCGAGAGGCGCGGCATGGGCCTCGAGCTGTGCCTGAGCTGCAACGTCCACGCGCAGATGATCACCGGCGGCTTCGAGGCGCACCACTTTGGCGAGTGGTGGAAGGTCGACGGCTGCGTGCCTGTCCTCTGTGTGAGTTCCGGTCCCTCTGGCGTTGTTTCCTGGAACGAGCGATCCTGGCTACGTGTGCGGAGACTGACGATGGTTCATGGGAAAACAGACGGATGATGTGGGTGTCTTTGGCAGCCCGCTTTCCAACGAGTACCGTCTCGTGGCGCAGCACTTTGGGCTTACCAAGGACGACTGCTGCAAGCTGGCGCGGAAGGCGATTGATGTCATTTTTGGCGGCGAGGAGGAGAAGGAGCGGCTCAGGAAGATTATGTGGTAGATGCTGGCATGGTTGGGATGGGGGCGTTCAGGGACTCTTCTCTCCTGATGTGACCATGATGATAGAATAGAAGAAGATAGTGTCAATGATGATGCTCTGATTACAATATGGGTTATCCGAAGCTGTGCTCATCTTCTAGCTAAGCCCAAGAGAGACAATTCTTCAAGTGATGTATATGAAATTGCCAAGTCAAGTGTCCTTGAATTCCTTCTATTGGAAATGTTTGATCTTACTGCCCGTTTTGAGAATGTCCTTTTTCTTGCACTTTGAAAGACCACCAACATCCTTTTGCGCTCCGGAAGCTCCATGAATCTATATCTCTTACTGTTTTATACCCCATCTAAGCGTGTGTCTTGGCCCATTCTCTGAACCATTCTATCGCCTCGGGATTCGCAACGCTCGCGTTTGTCTTGATCTTCATTCCGGAGAGGATCTGCTTGACAGCAACCTCGATCCTGATCGCCATGTCAGTGAATACTCTCTCGAGAGATTCGAGGCCAAGATGAAATCCTCTGTGAGAAACTTACTTCTTCCCATTACCCGTCTTGGGGATCCCGCCGCCGCACTCCTCCACGATGCCGGGGATATGCCTCGGGCTCAGCTCCTTGCGGACGGTCGCCTTGATCCGCTCCCGCAGGTCCTGGCCGAACTGCCTGCCCTCGACCATGACGACGAACAGGCACACCGTCTCCTCGCTCTCGGACTCGCGGCGGCGACCCACGCACACGGCGTCGGCGACCTCGTCGCCAAAGAACTTGGTCAGGATGTTGTAGATCTCGGCGCTGCCGAACCGCACGCCGTGGGGCTTGAGCACGCCGTCGGACCGGCCCAGCATGACGAGCCCGCCCGTGCGCGGGTCCATGCGCACAAAGTCGCCGTGGTGCCACAGGCCCGGGAACCGCTCAAAGTAGGCGGCGCGGTACCGCTCGTCGCCGCCGGCGCCGAAGAAGGTCAGCGGCTGGCAGGGGAAGGGCCGCGCGCAGACCAGGTCGCCCTCCTCGCCGGGAGCGACGCGCCGCGGGGCGTCCGGGTCCGAGGCCGGGTCCATGACCGAGATGGCCATGCCGAGCCCCGCGCACTGGATCTCGCCGACGCGGACGGGCAGGAGGGGGCAGGGCGCGCCGAAGAGGGAGATGATGTCCGTGCCGCCGGTGATGGAGGCGAGGTTGACCTGCTTCGGGAAGGCCTCGTAGACGTAGGAGAAGGTAGACGGCGGCAGAGGCGATGCTGTGGAGTAGATGGCCTCGAGGGACGACAAGTCCAGGGTGGGATCGTCCACCGGAGAGATGTTGTTGGTCTCCAGCATGGTCAGATAGCTTGCCGAGGTGCCAAAGTGCGTCACTTTGTGTTCCGATAGCAGCTTTGGCATCGACATGTACCCGTGCGGCTTGAAAGGCGAACCGGAATAGAGCACGAGCGTCGTTCCGCAAGCAAGCGCAGAGACGCTCCATGCCCACATCATCCACGACGTCGTAGTGTAGTACAGCTGACGGGAGGAAGAGTTCATGGAGCAGTGGAGGTAATGCTCCTTCTTGTGCTGGATCAATGTACCCAGAGCAGTGTGCACAATTGGCTTGGGTAGGCCGGTTGTTCCACTCGAGTAGAGTATGAACAAGGGATGCGACGGAGGCAATTGCTCGAACTGTGGTCGCTTTCCAGCAGATCCGCTGAGAGCCTATCAGATATCACGCATCGAGAATTCTCAGATGATGCACATACCTCTTGATGAAGTCGCTATACGATTCTGCTTTGACACCCTTAGATGCGAGTGGACCCAAGCCAAGGTCAGATCCGGCGAGGGTGTCCAGGACGATGACCAGCTCCAAGCCATGCTTCTGCAGCTCGGCAACAATCTCGACAGTCTTTTCCGTACTTGACCACTCCTTGCCATTGTACAAGACGCCGTTGTCTGCAAAGAGCACCTTGGGCCCGATTTGAACCAAGCGGTCCAGCACAGCACTGACACCCGTATCTGGGCTCAGGCCTGTCCAGATGGCGCCGATAGAGGCCGCTGCCAACATGGCAACAAGAGCTCCTGCATGGTTGGAGATGTAGCCAGCGACAACGTCCGATTTCCTGACCCCCGCGTTGGTCAGTGCCAGGGAGCAAGCCTCGACCTCCTGACGCAGCTGGCGCCAGGTCATGGAAGATGAGACGTCATGATTCTCAGTGAGCGTGATGACGGCGGTGTCCGAGTCGTTGACCTTCTCCTTGGCTGGGTAGAGCAGGTTCTCTGCATAGTTGAGACGGGCACCGGCAAAGAAATCAGGCCGTGGAAACATGGGGCTATCGGACTCCAGGACCTAGGGTAGAGTTAGTGGACGAGACAAGTACGTGAGAGCAGAAACTGCGAACACAAGCCGGATCATAGCGAGCCGGTGTACTTGCAATGTTTGCTCAAATCCGTGCGATATCTGACAAGAAGCTCGCCTATCGCGCCTCAAAGGGGCTGGTGGCACAGCATTCCACCTATGGTCTAGGAAATGTCGACTTTGACTGACCTTATTGAATGGCTTTGAGGCCGTGATGCCGACAAAGTGCCATGCTTCCTCCCAGAACTCCGAATCATTTTCTACTGACCACTTGTACAAGTCAGGATAGTCTTGGAGATCCAATTTGTACTTGGAGTTTATGTGCTCAAGAAACTTCCACATCTGACTCGTCTCGGGTTCCGGGTGTCTCCAAAGTTCAGCCGGACTGCCATTGCGGGCAACATCCCCGTTGGTTGCCATGGTAGAAAGATGGGAAGAAGACGCAGTTCTGCTCTCTCGGTCTCTACGATGCGTGTAGTAGAGAATTGTCTACTTGGAAGCGGAGTAACTCGGCCCTCAAATAGACGAACCTCACTCAGTGTGAAAGGTCAGACACGAGACTGAGTCTGATATTGGCTGAGGCTGGAATTCTGGCGAGCAGGATAACCAAACCGTTGGGACATGTACCCATACCTCGAGTATGCTACAAGTGAACGTGGCATCCAGGTACAGGTACTCCGCCGTCCGGAAAGTGGGCGGCTCCAGTCGGCCATCGTCGGTCCTCGATTCGCTCACTGAACAGTGCGGGTTTGCTCCGAGGTAGAGCGGATCTGGTACTGGAGTCGCCGCGCCGACCTCGGTCAGCTTCAGTCGAGCCATGTGCAACGGAGACTCAATATCGACATGACAGACACCGAGACCTTCACCACTTTCTCGAGATGATCAAACCCTGTTTTGAGCACCGTGACAAGTGGTTCCCTGCCGCCTTGGCCGGTCCGGGTTTCAGCTGTGCATTTTGGACTACTCGGTAAGCACCTATTTGACGTTGATGTATGGGAAAGGGTAGTAGTAGTAGATCCAAGTCGAGGTGGTTTACATGGCATTCGAGGTGTCGGTACACCTCAAATGCCTCTCTTTTCAAGCTGACAAGTGACCATGCTTGGCTCAGGGTAATCTGAGAGTATGGGTGGCGGTAGGATCTCACAATTTGGATTTGGATTGCATGTGCTGCTGACTGTAATGTATTGATGCATTTGTTCAGCACATCCTGTAAAGCAACTGGACAGGCGAGTCTGTGCCATATATCCCCTTGCAACATGATATGTGATTATGACCAGCCAAGTGATTGCTTTTTTGTCCAAGTTAACGAACCAGGATCGCCAGACTGGGGCACCTCTAGCTGTCACCTGTCAAGCTCAGCCATTGCAGGGTTTCCCGCCGTCTTAGCCGTGCAACAGGGCAACTGGGGGAAGCGAGCATCAGGGGGGAGTCAACACCCTCGATGACGATGACGCCTTGACGATTAGCGGGAGGCGAGCAAGCGGACTTGACGGGATGCGAGACTGCGTTCGCAAGGTTCGGAAGGCCTAGTTCCATCTCAAGCTCCATGGGAAGATGTGACGATGCGCCAGAGGATGCTGCAGGGATCCGGGCAGCCCAAGCAACAAAAGACTTTTCCAGGTCGGGAGCCAAAGAAATGACGGGACCAAGCCCTGGGCGCGGCAGGCGGATAGAACGGTGGCGAGACCACCCGGTCGTGCCCCTGAGCGCGAGCAAACCCCGGATAGCTGCCGTTTGGTGGGCTCTGTCAGTGCCGCAAGCGTGCTAGTGCATCAGGTTCATGGGATTCGCTGACGGCGATCCCTGCAAATTTCGCGTCGCCGAGGGAGCGAGTGAGGCGAGTAGGTAAGGCAAGTTGGTTAGTGACTTTGGGTTTGCTAATCGCTGAATCTCTGCCACGTCAATAAAGCATTCTAGGCCGACACAATACAATCTAGAAGTACAGAGCTGGGGGAGTAGAACGGCAGCTGTGCAATTGATGATGTTGTTACTCTGTCGAGTCTGTTCTGTGCGGTCCGCATGATGTACCAATTCCGTGGCTCGCTGGTCGACTAACAGCCGAGATTTTCATCATCGCGCATCTTGCCCAGTGGGCAGGCCGGAGGGCTCGGGAGCCAGGGGCAGCCAAGCTCAGCGAGCGCGCGCAGCATCCACCGGCCCAAAATTAAACTTGTGCTGGGCTGGCTGGCAAGCTGGCTAGTGCCATCCTTGAATCGCCGCCAAATCTTCGAGAGTTCCCTCCTGCTCCAGTGCTCCTCCACTGGGCGTACCACGCCAAAACGTATGATTGATCCATTTCTGCTGTCTCGCTTCTCTTCCTGCTCTTCCTCTCTTCTCTCTCTCTCCCTCTCTCCTATCCTGACCGTCAACCCGTCCGCTCCTTTTTCTCTCTTGTTTTCCCCTTTCTCCCACCGACGCCTTCCAATCGGCCATCCTCTCACCGCATCGTCGTGCTCCTCGACCTGCGACGTGAATTTGGAAGACGCAGCCGGATCGAGCGGGACCAGTCAGATCAGGGGATTCCGGGTGTTCGGACGACAGGCGTGCGTGGGAGCCAACGTGACGCCCCTTGCAGCAGGAATTTAGCGGCCTCTCCTTTCGTGCCAGACGTCAAACAACCACGCAGGTGGCGCGTGTCTGTCTCTGCACATCGATTCTGCGCAAAGAGAATCGCGAGAACCTTGCCAATTATTCTCGCAGGCAACGGCCAAGTCAATTGAATTCACGGCAATCAGCCACTTGCAATCCGTAAGTTCTCTTGTCCGCATCCCGATCACCCCGGGGCGGCAGTCGATCCATTTACCCCCCTGGTGAAGACGACTTGCGAGCCATGAGATCTCACCGCTCGTCGTTCGCATTGGCAAACGCAAAGGCGGTGTCCTTCTCATCGTCGCGCATGTCCTCTTTCAGAACCGGTCAATGCACCGTTCGCACGGGTCGTCTTTACCACCGAGACTAACGGATGATCGTCTTGTAGAATTGCAGGTATTGACCTCTCGGTCCCCAGCCTTCCTTGATCTCGTTCCCCGTATCAACCAAGGCTTCGGCTATTTTGTCAGAGATGCCCCGCAAGCTTTCGAACCCTTTCTCGAGTTCCTCCAGCATGCCTACGACTGAGCGGAACACGGAGCGCCGTCCGTCGCAGTCCAAGGCCAACCGTCTCTCCCAGTTCTTCTCATCGTCCCCCAAGAGCAAGGACGGCCTGTCTGCACAGCAGGCTCTCCAAGCCATGCAGCAACAGAATGGCTCCTCGCCCCAGATCTCAGCAGCCAGCCTGTCCCTGCCGACCATCTCCCTCTCGACGGCTACTGCTGGAGAAGCCAACACCGACGAGGCCCCGACCACTCTTTTCCAACCCCCTTCGGCGTCCGAGTCAGACCAGCAGAGGCGTGCTGAGGCACAATTCGGCCCTCTGCTCAGCCAGCGCCATAGATACGTCAGCAAGAGTTCGGGCGAGTCGCTCAAGGCACCGGTTCACGACGAGCCAGCCTACTACTTCGTCCTGACCACCTACATCAGTTATCTGCTCCTGATCATCTATGGCCACACGCGGGACTTCTTCGGCAAGCGATTTGGCGACAAGAAGCTGTACGCGTCCCTCAAAGCCGCCAACGGTTATGCTCCCCTCAACGACGATTTCGACAGTTTCTACACTCGTCGCCTCAAGAGACGCCTCGACGATTGCTTTGCTAGAGTGACCACCGGTGTGCCCGGCCGCTTCATCACCCTCCTGGACCGCAAGTCTGATGACCAGAACCGCTCGTACCAGTACACCGGAACCACCACGCAGACCCTCAACATGAGCTCCTACAACTATCTCGGTTTCGCCCAGTCCGACGGACCTTGTGCCACCGCCGTCGAGGAGACTGTGCGCAAGTATGGCCTCGGCTTCTGCAGCCCTCGAGCGGATGCTGGCACGTCGGACCTTGTCATTGATGTTGAGCGGGAAATTGCTGCTTTCGTCGGAAAGCCTGCCGCCATGGTTTTCTCCATGGGTTTCGTTACCAACGCGAGCTCCTTCCCTGCCCTCGTTTCCAAGGGTTGCCTGATCATCTCGGATGAGCTCAACCACTCGTCCATCCGTATCGGTGCCCGCTTCTCAGGCGCCATGATCAAGTCGTTCAAGCACAACAACATGGCTGATTTGGAGAAGAAGCTGAGGGAAGCCATCTCGCAGGGCCAGCCACGCACTCACCGTCCCTGGAAGAAGATTCTCGTTGCTGTCGAAGGTCTTTACTCCATGGAGGGCAACCTCGTTGACCTCCCCAGTCTGGTTGCACTGAAGAAGAAGTACAAGTTCTACCTCTATGTCGATGAAGCCCACAGCATCGGCGCTCTGGGACCCCGTGGACGAGGTGTCTGTGACTACTTCAACATTGATCCCAGCGAGATCGACATCCTTATGGGCACCCTCACCAAGTCCTTTGGCGCCAACGGTGGTTATGTCGCTGCCGAGAAGCACATTATCGACAAGCTCAGGAGCACCAACGTAGCCACAGCATTGGGAGAGTCTCCTGCTCCGTCTGTCTTGATGCAAATTCTCACCTCGCTCAAGCTCATCACTGGCGAGCTCGTGCCTGGTCAGGGTGAAGAGCGGCTCCAGCGCATTGCGTTCAACTCCCGGTACCTGCGGCTCGGACTCAAGCGTCTCGGCTTCATTGTCTATGGCCACGACGACTCTCCTATCATTCCGGTCGTGCTCTACAACCCCGGCAAAATGAAGTCTTTCAGCGAAGAGATGCTCAAGCGCAAGATTTCCATTGTGATTGTCGGTTATCCCGCAACTCCTCTGATCAGCTCCCGCGCTCGGTTCTGCATCTCGTCAGCTCACAACAAGGACGACCTTGACTGGCTCTTGGCTGCCTGCGACGAGGTTGGCGACATCCTGCAGCTCAAGTACTCGACTGGTATTGCCGGCGGTCTCGAGCCTCTGCCTCCAGGTGTCACCCCGGAAATGGAGGAAGAGTGGAGGAAAGCCAACGGCCTGGAGGGCGTGATCAAGCCCCCGAGGTGGAAGTTGGAAGATGTCGTCGCCTGCACTGCTCGCGATGTACAATACAAGCTTCGGTAATTTATCCCGCCTCGACGGGACGTAGAAGCTTGCCCGAGCCATTTGTACTGCATGTCTGGAGTTCAGGGAGAACACGGCGTTATCCGATAGAATGGGGCCCAATCTTGAGGGGGTATGTCACTCGCTTAACCCTTCAATTCTTGACGGGCCGGATAGCCTTTTGATCAGCTATCTACCCTGACCCAAGTGTAACCGTCGATAGACAACGAAGAGGTAGCTAGTCGGGGATGCGGATGCCATCTCTCGCGCCCTGGTCTGTTTAAGGGGGAACCTCGAAAGGAGGCGGTTAATCATATAGACCCAAGGGACAGCTCCTCTCGCTGGAAGATAATATATAGTCATATGACATTTGATACCCAATGTCGGCCAGTCCAAGGCTACGATAGAATGTGCGAAGCCTGCAATGTGTGATGATATGGCTTGCTGTGACCAGAGTGCGCCTTCGGAGATACGGTATGGATGGATGGTGGTGTTATGTAAGCGTGGTCTACCTGTATGCACTTTAGTGGCCGACACGCTTTGACGCGTCTAGGCTGCCTTTTTCTTTTTTCCTCTCTGGTAGTGGGGAGAGACCAAGCGACAGTAGCTTCTTTGGACTAACAACATATTGATATCTCCGCCAGATTATAATTCCCTTGGAAGCATTCCAGTCCTACCATTGTTGGATTGGACTTGCCTCCGGATACTCGATCCCAAGTTTGCAGTGTACCTACGGAGTAAGTGGGACCCTCCTCAATGTCTATTCGCATGGCAGTGGATCGAGTGATGCTGCAAGGCAGAAGAAGGTGACAGTCACTGCTCAACCTTTTTCCTTGAGACGTCCTGCGTTCGCTTTCTCACTACATCCAGCTTGGTTCCATTTATTCTTTGTTTTCTTGAAAGTGTGCTAACTCCTCCAAGAGCAAGTTTGTGGCCAGGTAGAGCTACTTACTGCACAGACAAGCGAACAAGGCTGCCTGACTGTATGATGAGCTCACACCAAAATCTTGTACCACTTTGACGCTGCTCTCCCAACACCTTTGAATTTGTCAACTTCACTTCACTACCTCCCCATGGCGCGCAAGCACAAACCTCCAAAGCAACAGACTTTGGAGGCGACTCTAGGTATGTCTCCTTCTTATTCGTTCGTCAATCAAAACCGCCCCTTCCAGCCTCTTATCTCCGCCTTACTTGAAAGATCATTTCAAAAAGGGCCACATGCTAGCTATATGAAGCCTACCTATATCTAAATCCCATGCCCTTGCACAACAATCTGCTGACATCAAAGTTTCAACCCTCACTCAGGGATGGCGCCAAAATCAAGCCCTGGGGCCAGGACGACTTCTCCAAGGAAGCCTCCTCCTCCGCTGGCAATAGAGCGCGTTCAGACTAGACTGCCCTCGGCAAGCCAACTTCCATCTACGCAATTCATGTCCAAGCGGGGCGGGCCGATCGTTCTCACTGACGACTCCTCCGATGATGCCGAGGAAGTGGATCAAATCAGAGAGGACGAGGATGCGGAGCCCGTGCAGCTCCCGAGCCGTAGTCAGCGGGCTAAGCGCCCTCGCTCAGAAGATGGCTCGGCGTCGGAGCCCGATGCTAAGCGGCAACAGATGATTGTTCTCGATGATGAATCCGAAGAAGACGACGACATGCCGCTGGCCACGCCAGCCTCTGCGCGTGCACGAGGCCGCAAGCCGGCAGTTCTTCCGGACGACGACGACAGTGATGAGGACATTGTGTCGCCGACTAAACGCAGAAGGCGTCTCGTTGCCGCAAAGTCTGCCAGTCCGTCCCCCGACCTGCCAGACGTAGCGGAGGTCGGCTCGTCCAAACAGGGGGTGCAGCTACAGACCCCGAAGAAGACTCAGTCTTCACCCACCAAACGTGGATCGCGCAGTGCTCGCACTGGGCATCGAACTTTCAAGGACAAGCAGAAGGAGGTCCTGCGCAGGAGGAGACAGGGCGAGAACATCACCATCGAGGAACTCACCGAGTCGTCATCGGACGAGGAGGATCAAAAGGGGGAGTATGACACGGACTCGGACTTCGCCGCCCTTGATGAATTCGATGACGAAGAAGAGGAAGTCGAGGGGCAACCCAGCTCGCCACTCAAGCAACATAAGAATCGAAAGGATAAGGCAAAGAAGACCAAGTCGGCAGAGAAGGAGAAGCCTTCCAAGGGCAAAGAGCACGGCGAATACAACGATGAAGATCTGGAGGACTTCGTGGTTGAGGATGACGAAGGACCGCTGGGTGTGCCGGCAGACCTACTGCGACAAGAGATCCCGTTGGAATTCACATCCCACGCGCACAAGCCGCTCAAGGCACACTTCAAAGATGCCGTCGAGTGGCTTGTTCATCGCCGTCTCAACCCGGCGTTCGACAAGGACGACGGCCTTTATAAGATTGCTTGGAGGAAGTTGGACGACGAGGTGCGGGGGCTGGCGCAGTCTAAATTCATGTCGGCGGGCTGGAAGCCCGAGTTCTACAAGGCGCTGCGTGCTCGACCTTACCTAGAGAGCTACGAGCTCGACAGGAACGACCCGGACAGGGGCGAGGCGTGCCATGCCTGTGGGAGAAGCAAGCATCCCGCCACCTTCAAGATTTCCATGATCGGGTCCGCCTACTACAAGGACTCCCTCGAAGAGGTCGAATCGGACAGCGACTCGGAGGATGGCTCAGAGGAGGAGGGCAGCCGGGCATCTCGCGACGAGGATGGCAACACGTTACAGCCGCAGCACAAGGAGTGGTTCGTCGGCGTCGTGTGCAACTCGAACGCCGAGACGGCGCACAGCCTGATCCACTGGAAGCACGCGCTCATGGACTGGGTCGGCGAGAACCTGGAGAGGCAGGGGCTCATGACGGCGGCCAAGCTCAAGGAGCGCGAGAAGATGAAGGGCAAGAAGCGGCGGCGGCTGGCCAACGAGACGGTGGACCAGTGGGAGGCAAGCGGCGTCATCAAGGCGCTGTGGGGGGACTTTAAGAAGAACCTCGAGGAGGCGAGGACCAAGAGCACCACCGTCGTTGGGCGGAGGGGTAGGAGATAGGGGAGGGGAGGCGGGGTTTGTTTTTTTGGTGGTTGATGATCGAAGTTGTTGATGGTTGGAGTTTCTCTTTTGCATTTGCATAGCATTCTGGGGTGCGAACAGGTGATGGATACGCAAGTTTGCTCGTGGAGCCTTGAGTTTTGCATTCCAAGGCGCATGCAGTATGTTCAAGGCTAGGTACCTATTTTTGAGGTTCTGTCGCTTCTGATAGTTAGGGGCTTTCGCTTCATTTCTCCAGATATTGATTGAATGAGAGATCTGCCTCTCGGTTCTACGCACGCAACAGCCGGCAATAAACTTGCCTTGACGTTTTTTATTTTATTTTATTGTTTTCTGGGACGTTGTTGTCAACGGGAGGCGAGAGGGAGGACGAGGAAGCAAGGACTGGTTACCAATACTGCGGCTAGCCTCAAAGGTCGTAGGCTCGTAGTAGGCCTCAGCTCTTGAACGGCACGAGCGGGGAGCTAAATTAAACAAGTCGACAGGGCGGGATTGATACCACTTTTGGCGTAGGGGACGCTGAAAGAAACGGGTTGGCACCACAAAAATTGGGGAAGATGTGCATGCGCTTATGAACATCATCTATCTCTACAAGTACACATCGAAAAATCTACGTGTACGGAGTCCTAGTAAGAGCTACATTGTACCCTGTTGGCTGCCTCTCTTTCGATGAGAACTACTGGGAGCTACAACATTGTCTTGTCATTCAAGCTGAAAGTACGTCAGGTAGGGAGGGATCCATGTGTACTTGGGCCAGACCGAGCAGGGCGGCCAGCTTGGCCGGGTCCCCCCCAAAAAGGACATGAAACTCCAACAGCTCGCCGCGCTGAGGGGACCTTTAGCATGTTTCAAGACATGTTGCGGGTGGTGGGTGTGGAGTTGAGGAATGGGCAACGAGGTGTTTCCCATGCTCGCACTCGGCCTGGCGATGTTTCGCAAGGTCGAGGGTGAAGCCGCGTCTCATCTAGAGTGGGTGTCTCCGAGATGACGACTGGTGATGGCTGATAGGGCCTGACCAGTGACGAGAGAGGCCCGGGTAGTCTTCTTTCTAGAATGGACAAGGACATAGCTTGGTTGGCTATCTCGAAGGAAAAGTCTTCTACTTGTAGAGAGAAGATAGGGAGATGAGGCTACCATACGGCACAAGATCCGATGCAGAGCCCCAGCCGGAAGCCATCGGCACTGGGATAAGGCTTGGCCCCTTCAACACATCGCCTTTGGTGGGCTAGAAACAACTTGACCCACGCGTAGAACGAGCAGAAAAGGGCCCAAGAGTCACAGGACACGAGGAAAACAGCTCATTTCCCGTATTTCTGTCTTTTCTTTTCGCCTCGCCACGTATTCTGGCGGGAATGCAACTTGACCGGCTATCGAGCTCTGACACGATGTCTCCTTTCCAGGGGGCCCCTAGAGTGGGAAAAAAAAGAACACCAATGGCTTCATTTCCAACCAAGCCCATCGGGACCTGACACTAGCTGTGATGCAAATGTGACCATGCAATTTGCCAGTGGGCCAGATTTGCCAATTCGCTTCCCGAAAACATCAAAGATTACCACTCGGAATTGGGCTTACTGAGATGGAGTTGTTTCCTTTTTTTTCCTTTCTGTGGTGGAGAGTCGGCTCCGAGGTAGGAGCAAATTCACCGCGCACACCTTGAAGGACTCTACTTGTTGAGTCTACGCGCTTTGCACGTTGTACATACTAGAGGTAGGTAGTTAGAAAGAAGATGACTGGGACAAGAACCCAGCCATCACAGGGCTGCTGGCATTGAGAGTTAACAAACGATGTCATTATGAGAAAGAGTGGTGCGACCCAGCGAGTCAATGGCACAGCAGTACAAACAAGTAGTATTTTGTCGTTATCATGGTCTCATCCAGTGCGGGTTCAAATGCGACGCTGCACGCTGCATCTCGACATTGCTGACAGAATGACGATAATAAGGGCATCCATATCCCATCAAGAAGGGCTGTAGCGGAATGGGGCCTACGTCCATCTGCATGCAGGCCAGTCAGTATGTGTACAAACTTGACTCTACCTACCTACCTACCTCCTAAAGGGAGATACACAGCCCAGTCCAGCCCCCAGTGAAGCAAAGACCATCCATCAACTCGTACCTGAGCACCCACGCCTCCCAACCCAGAGCAACAGGAGTGCAGCACGCACCCACTCTCACACAGGCCCTGCAAAACGGTTGCGAGCCACCAATAGTTGCTTGTCCAAGACCAGTCAAGACCACCCAAGACTCCGAGCGGCTAGCCCGAGACTGTTCAGTCGCCTGGTCAAATCAACGGGCGGCTTCCCAATCCTCACCCTCACCACCTTGCCTTGCCTTGCCCACCACTGACCAGCTTCGTCTATTGTTTCCCCCCCTCCCCTCCCCAACGCTAACAATCAGCGTCCGTCTTCTGCGACTAAAGAAGGAGTCCACAGCACCAAACCCAGTGCACGTCCACCCCTACATAGCGCCTGGCAGGACAAACGCCTGGCTCCACCAACTCGCTTCGCTCTCTCTCTAACCCCCCGTTTGCTTGCTAGCAATTCGGCATCCAACATTCCTTCTTTGCTTCTGCTCCTCCCAGGCCCAACTCCCGCCGTTTGTCGCCAGAACCTCCACGGCCCTGATTTTCGCATCTGATCGGGACGGAGAGCACGAGACGGAATGGAAGTGTAACGTCTGAGCCTGCGAAGCATCTCCCCCGACCACTGCGCAGACAAGCTGCCTTGTGCACCACTTTGCCGCCGAACCCTTGTACCCCTGCAGCCCAGTTGGACAACGGCTTCCCAAGACCCGATCTACAGTGGCCTTTCTGCTCTTTCGACTCTTGCGACTGCTTTGTCGGAATCGCTGGGCTCTAGCTCGGCTTCGCCTCCTGCTGCATCATGAGCTTCGTCCAGGGTACTGCCTATGCCGAGTCCGATGCGGACGACGAGTACGAGCGAGACATCCACGACAGCTCCCCGATCGACCACACCGACGCCGAAGCCTCCCCTACTGAATCCGACCCGCCTTCCAACGAGCACACTCCGACCACCTACGGCTACAGGAGCAGCGCCGATCGGCTGCCCGAGACGATAATAACGGAGTGGACAGCCGAGGAGTGCGCCGACTTCATTGCGACCATTGGGCTGCAACAGTACTCTGATCGCTTCATAGGTGGGTCGACATGAGATGCGAGGCTGTTCTTTTGCCTTGTGTGCACTGCGTTTCTGACGATGCTGTGTAGAGAATGAAATCGTTGGCGAGGCCCTTGTGGCACTGCTTCATGATGATCTGAAGCAGATGGGCATCAACAGCGTGGGCCATCGCCTGACCATCCTCAAGAGCGTATACGACGTCAAGAAGGCCCAGGATATCCCGATAGACAGCGACCAGTACATCCCCATGTGTAAGTTCTCGCCGTGCTGCCTGTGTGCCCTTCCCACCAGGCTCATATGAGGAAGCCCGATTGATGGCTCTGTCCTGTCTGCAAATCACTGACCCATGTTCCGTCTGTCTAGCCGCCGACGTGGAGGCTCAATATGCCAATGCTACACTGAAGGATATCAAGCACCTTGTTGAACAGCTCAGGCTCCGCGATGAGCGGATGAATCTGGTTGAGCAGGATCTGCGCCGGCTGACCGAAGACTTCAGACGCTTGCGGGAGGATATGCTTCCGGCGTTGCGGTTGGCAAAGGATGCGCAGCAACCCCTGCCCAACGTCAACAACGGCCCATCTTATCCGTACGACTCGACCATCTCGCCCCCTGCTCAGACACCTTCTACGGTGCAATCGGCCGGTGGGCTCAAGAGACAGTACTCGACCAAGAAGATCATGCTGGGGACCACTCCCAAGACGACCTCGCCGACACACCTCCAAACTACGCACGACCGTTCGATAGTCGAACAGACACTGGACCCGGCCAGCGCTGCAGAAAGGGCCGTCCTCTCATCGTCGCACCTGGCGGCGATGAATGGCAGCGGCCAGCCGCAGGTGTCGCCCTCGTATCCCTCACCGAATATACCCTCTCCAACATCACCGCCGACCACCATGGGTGGCACTGTACTTGCATCGCGTTCATACCGCGGTGACCAGCCTCCCTCCTCAAGCCGTTCTACCTTTGCCGAATCCGACCACTATGCCTCTCGCGACAAGCCGCCGGCACCTCGGCGGATGCAGACACCTGCGCCGGACACACCCAGTTCCAGCTCTGTGGAGATTTTCAAGTCCTTCCGGGTTAGCATGGATGACCCCTGCTACAAGGTGCTCCCCGCGGCTCTCAAGAAATACCAGATCAATGCGCCATGGGACCAGTACGCGCTCTACATCGTGTACGGTGATCAGGAGCGTTGCCTAGGCCTCGACGAGAAGCCCCTCATCCTGTTCAAACAGCTGGACAGGGAGGGCAAGAAGCCCATGTTCATGCTGAGGAAGACGAACAATGCGCAGGTGGAGGCCGAGACCCCTGGTAGCGCAGGCCTCGGAGCCAGAGGAACTGCTACGGGATATGACCCACCCGGTGGCATCATATAATCGGGCTCCGCCAGCATCAAGAGATCCGATCTGGTTTCTTGATTCGAAACTGCTTTGGCATCGCCCTTGGCCGCTCATTGCTTGTTGTGTTTGAGCGACAGCGTCCGCCGTACAATCTAATAGAGCAACTCTGGAGCGCCGGCGCATCTGCTTGGAATTTATGCATACTCCAATCTCTGAGCTGGGGATCAGAGATTTACGAACTCTTTTTCATGAGCTGCGGTGCTTTTGAGACATCCCACGGGCGCTATATAGGTCGGTATATCGTGTCTTTGCGCTGAATATACCCAGAGACACAAGGAGGTGAGGAACAGCTTGGGGAGCTACCCCTTGAGCCCCTCTTGGAACGGTTAGAAGGATGGTTGGAGAGGATGCGCACTTGGGGGGAAAGGAAGGAAAAGGGTACCTCGATGGGTACATGACCAAGTTGGCAGACGTGGAAAGACAGACAACGACATACTCCTGGGACGGGTTTGAGAGGCGCACTCGAGGAGTTTGCCATCTGTTTTCCCCAGCATTTCCAAGGATGACCCCCCAGTTTTCTATTTTGTTTTGTCTACTTTAGAGGAAGCGTGTTGGAAATGTCGTTTACGATAATGTACAATCGCCAAAGCATGGCCATGCCCGCTCCCGAGGTTTTTTTCTTTCTCTATCTTCTCTTGGGAAAGGAGCGGCTGGCCCAACAGCAGCAGTAACGCAGAAAATTTTACTTTGTTCAAAATGTGTCTTTGCACATTCGAGATATGACTTGGAATGACCATTTTATTGTGTGCTCGCGTGCTACGTCTCTTTACAACGAGAGAAGAGGCTTTGAGTGTGAGAACGGGTTCAAGGGGTACTCTGTGCAATGAGATGTAATGCTTGTGAGGCTTTGGTTGACACCTCGTGGTGATGGAGAAACTGCACCAATGTCTTGTCTTGCATTCGACCGGACCTTGCCTTTATGCTAGTATATTGTCCGCCGTTTCTACCAAATCATCTTAGGCTTGAACTGTACAATTCGACGCACAGTGGTCTCCAGCGGGTCCTGGATGAATCTTCGAAAGTAATGATTGGTGAGCACACAAAATGATGGGGCTCATATACTTGAATAAAGCCCTTGACGTCCAATCATCTCAGCCTAGATAGTATAGTGGCTAGTATATTTCGTTGTGGCCAACAGCGACAATCCCGAAACGACCCTGGTTCGATTCCAGGTCTAGGCAAATATTTTTTGTTTTATTTTTTATTCTTTTTACATATTTTACACGAGGTCAAGTATTCAGTCAGTCAAAGTCTGTTAGGTGTTCGCCTTCTATATATCATTTGCCTTTTTTTATATATTATTCGTTTCTTCTTCTTCTTCTTCTTGCTCTTTCCTTGTATTTGTGAAGCCTTTCAGGCTAGGCAAGCTCTGAGGCCACGCAGTCGTCATGCTCGTGGACTCGCCGCAGTCAGAAACACACGATATACACGATAGGTTTCATGCGTCTCTGATGTTGGTCAAGTCTAAACGCATCTTGTATTTATTGTATTCTGTTGACTCTGCCTCGCGTACATCGGACTGACATGCAGGCTGTCTTACGCGAGAAGGCAGCTCTGCTTTGGGCCTTCATGCGACTCTGGATAGACAGGCCAGCACTGACGGATGGTCTGAATCAAGAGGAGCACAGCCTCACCCGGATGGACACCGGATGGACAAGGGGGTCGGCCGGGGGGTCTCACTCCACTAGATACAGCACTAAATACAGCCGTTGCTAGCGCTGCCTTCCACGCGGCAATGATACCGCTTCGGCTGTGGCTCAGCGCTGTCTCCATGCGTGCTGGTGACGTTGGTGAGCCCACTCGATTTCTTCGGGCCCTTATTTATATCCTCCACCCTGATCTGCTGTATGGTATTGTACTTGTAGTTCCTCGAGGTGGTATGCAACCTTTGCAACAACTCTTGGCAGCCTTGTTGCCACGGCCTGCAGCCAACTCGGACCAAGTAGCTAACCTTGAGTACATACAGGTCGAACTTGTCTTCGTCAGCTGCTTGCGTCGGCCGACCAAGCTTTGGTCAGACACCCCGCCATCACACATACATTCCACCACCCATCGCCATCGGAGCACTGTCCACAACCTCAACCGATGCAATCTGCTGAACACGAGCTGAGATCTGGTAGCAAGTTTGATTTCTGATCCAGCCAAAAAAAACACTTCAAGGACCACGGGGCCGTTTGTAGGACCGCCTAGAAACCGATTGGCGTGAGGCTAGCTAGGCAGCCGTATATCTCATATCTGGGGAAGCAACAACCACCCACCACCTAGCTAGCTTCAGCCGCAACCTTGACCTCTGCCTGCCTGCTCAAAGTTGCGCAGAATCTCCCGCCCAGGCTTTTTGGCTTGTCGACAGCCAGCCAGCCAGCCAGCCAGCCAGCCGGCCAGCCGTCCGCAGACATGCTCGACGAGAACCTGCCCACGTTCCACTACCGGGCCTCGACCGAGAATCCCCTGTCCTCGATCCTCTTCTACACCCAGCACGGCTCCGACCCGACGCCAGAGTATGTCCTCAAGCGCGCCGACCCGGCCACCACGCCCGCCGCGCGCAACCGCTACGCCGCCGCCCTGACCGACCCCTACAGCCCGGACATCGTCTTCGGCGAGGTCGTCGTCGACCCGGAGTGGCAGCAGCCGACCCTCTCGGCCGCCGAGATCCGCGCCCAGGGCGGCCAGCAGCAGGGGCCCCCGCCCCCCCTGCCCGCCGTGCCCGACTCGTTCAGCATCCAGCTGTACAACCCGGACCAGACGGTCCCCGTCCGCCTGCTGCCGGGGAGCTGGAACAAGACCGAGGCCTGGGAGTTTGAGATGCCGACGCAGACCTTCCGCGTGCCCAGCGCCAGCCGGGTCGACCGCGAGTCCCCCCGCGCGCCCGGCGCGCCCTCGGCCGTCAGCGAGTTCGCGCCCAAGATCACCTTCCGGTGGAAGAGGGACGGCCGCCTGTCCAAGGACATGACGTGCTACAACGTCGGGCGCAGCCTCGGCAAGCACCGCAGCAAGGAGCCCGACATCACCGTCGCCCTGTTCAAGTCGGGCCGCGAGTCGGCCGTCACCATCTACGAGCCCAACCTGCAGCGCGTCGAGGTCGAGGACCGCAAGGGGCTCGACATCGTCCTGCTCCTCGGCGCCGAGGTCATCCGCGACCTCTACCTGGCCCCGCGCCAGGACCCCTTCAACGTCCATGCTGCCGCCGCCGCCGCCGCCGACGCCGTCGCCAACGGGAAGAGGAAGAACTCGCGCCCCGGCGGCGCATCGTCCGCGCCTCCGCTCGTCATGTCCGGCGCCGCCGCCGGCCCGCCCCCCACCACCACCCTCGCCAACGGCCAGCCTCCCGCCTCCTCATCATCGGCGGCGGCGGCGGCGGCAGCGTACCAGCAGCAGCAGCAGAGCAACGGCCGCCCGGGCGCCCTCGACGCCGAGACGAAGCGCCTGCAGGCCATGGTGGCGCAGGAGCAGAAGGAGCGCGAGAAGCGCGACCGCGAGGAGCAGAAGCGCATCAAGAAGATGCTCGAGGCCGAGGACAAGGAGCGCCGCCGCCGCGAGGCCGAGGTCGACAGGGAGACGGAGCGCCTCAAGAAGATGTACGGCGTGCAGGGCCAGGACCTGCCCTCCAACGGCGGCGGCGGCGGCGGTAGGCCGCCGCCCCACCTCCCGCCCAGGCAGGCCGGCGGCGGAGGGCCGCCGCAGCAGGTGTCGTTTGCGCCGCTGCCGTATCACAGCCCGCCCCCCGCGGGGCACACCAGCTGGTTCGGCCCGGCAGGTGGCCCGCCGCCTATGCCTCCGCGGCCGGTGAGCGCGGGCCCGCCTGCCGTGTACGGCAGCAACACGTGGTACCAAGGCCCGGGCGGCGCGGGGCCGCCGTACGGGCCGCCGCAGCAGGCCCCGCCGCCGGGCAAGCAGGGGAAGCGCAGGAGCGGCTCGAACCCCTACGGCTCCGGGGCCGGGGCCGGGGCCGGGGCGAGCATAAGCGGCTTCTTCCACCGGGATCGAGGAGGCGGGGGAGGAGGAGCGGACCGCGACGACGGGGAGAAGAAGCGGATCTTGAAGAAGAAGAGCACCAACTTTTAGAAGCCTAAGCTTCGCTTTACCTACGTGGCATGGCTTTCATCCTTCCAGCATGGGTTTTTCTTTGGGGGGGGGGGGGGGGTATTTGACGGGGGGTTGTTTCATTTCTGGGACATTCTGCATTGCTAG